TACTTGTTGTTCCATTGCCGCGTTCCACCATTGGTCGCAGATGATACACTTGTTGGCCATGGTCAGATTGAGGCCGATTCCGCCCGTCCTCATAGTAGCAATGAGAACTCTCAAGTCTTCTTTGTCTCGAAACTTCTCTACCTCTATTTCACGAGCCCTGATAGAACTTTTGCCGGAGATCTATATCGACAAGCGTCAGTCAAGCTAATGCGAAATCAGTTGGACCGCGTACCGTCACGGATTCCCAGTTGTTTTTCAAGCACATGTGCTGCAGCAATTGAATAGAGCCCAGGAATTCCGCGAAGACAACTATTTTGGCGTCCTTGTCACTGGTGAGCCAGGTCTCAATCTGTCTCTGTACTTCTGTGTGCTTTGCTCCTGGTGTCAAAATGCCAATTTGATCGACCCAATCGAGTTTCTGCGCAGCCTCAAGCTCCGGCTCAACCCCGTTGAAGCTCGAGAGATCTCCAAGTCCTCCTGTTTCTCGGGCGCGTTGTCGATCTTCCGACCATTTTTGATACCCCGTGACAAGCTGCTTATTCTGCTTGCGTCGTTTCTTGTCTCCTCCCTCTTTTTGAGAAGATTTATGAGTCACGTTGGAGCGTTTTCTGCCGGGTGAATTTGCGGCGGTCGTGCCCTCCGGCGAGGAATCGTTTGAGCCATAGGAATCATAACAGAAAACAACGCCCTCAATTGATGTCTTGCAACCCAAGCATTTCCGACCTGCCGTGTCAGTTTTTCCATGTTCGTCTGGAAGTATGGCAAAGCATGCTTCGCAATACCGGTGAAGACAAGAGGCGAGAAAGAAGTGGTGTGAAGGATTTCCGCACATCGCACAATTTTTCCGTTGGAGGATTTCTAAATGGTCCTCGTCCAAAGAAAGACTATGCATGAGGTCTTGAAACTGTGGGATCAGACTGAGATCTTCCCTGGGGTTCGATCGTTCTGAATCATTGTTGACATCGACTGCTGGCAGCGTCGCATAGAACGTGGTTTCTTCCACCACGGTCACAAGAAGCCGTGCAATGATAGCAGAGTTATCATGGCTCTCATATTCTTCGCTTGCGAGGCTTTTCAGACGACTCATGACATGATCATTGAGAATCATTTCGATGTAGTTCTGAGCGACGAGGAGGTGGCTTATGAACATACGCTGCTTGAGGATAAGTTCAAGGATGCAGAATTTCTGCCTTTCTGGATCGCCAACGAGATCTCCATTCTCAAGTTAGTATATCCTCTACAAACTCTTCTCATTTGCAACTCTTACCATTGACCCTTTTGACGAGGCATTTTGCGAGCTCTTCATGGATGAACGCTTCAGTAGAACAGAAGTCAACCGCAACTATTTTTTCAGTGAGTTTTGGTAGCTCCAATAGAGGTGCGCCAAACAGTCTGCTCTTGTGTGTTTTCCGGAGCATGATTTTGTGAAGTAATTTTTTCAATTGTTCCTTAGCTCTCTTAGAGCCCTGCGGTAAGAGATAACATCAGTAAATGCCAGAAATGGACAAATGCACTCACTCACAGTGCAATATTTGACTTCGAATTTTTCGAAGCTTTCGCAGCCTGGTACTCTTAGGAACTCAAGATAAGAGTAAATTTCTTCCGTGCGACTGTTTCTTTTCTCATCAGGACAGATACTTTCAAGTCATCATCAAGCATGGCGGGTTATATATGTTGAAAACTTGGAACTACTTGACTTACTTGAGGAGGGGAGTGCCAGTCACAACCCATTTGCGCTGACCCCCTAACGCTCGGACCGCGATCGAGGTTTTGACATTCCTGTTTCGAATAACTTGACCTTCTATAGGATCTGGTCAGCTATAGTGCTCATCTGTAGGCTTTTGGTCAAAATAGGTACCATCCAGAATGATTCTGTGCCAATCGACCTTGTGAAATGGCCCTAATTCTCTAGGGTAGACCGTTTCCCACCACTTTTTGACGTCTCTTGGATCGCGAATCCCCTCAGGGCATTTGAGAAATGGGAAGGATGCAGTAATCTGGTGATAGGTGGTGATCCTGTGAGTTGGTTAAATCCACTTTTCTTGCTTATGGCGGACAGGTATCATTGTACATACACAATTTGCTGCTCTTGGAAAAACGCGCTCACATTCGGTCTTTCTGTGCGTGACTTGCTGTCATGTCTGACAAAAACGACGGAATCATCGCAGTGGCGGACTATTTCCTGAACCCTGAATGGCCGAGTGATATCATCAGTATGCTTTAATTTGCGAGAGCTATGGGTTTGAAGACTAACCAGTGCGTAACCAAAGGGCTCGGAGCCACAATCAAGGTTGGACCTATGGCAGGCTCAGAAATGGCGGGCTTCTTGTCATTGACAGCTTGTCTCTCGTTGTGAATCACCGCTGACTATTGTTAGTCCGATGACAATAGAACTTTCCCTTTGGCACTGATACCTAGCATGATCAAAGTTTTTCCCAGTCCCATCTCGTGACACAGTAACCCACCGCGAGGCTTAGCCCCTTGAGACTCACGCTCAATCTGCCTTCATTAGCATATCACCTCAAAGCAAGCCGAGCCAGTTGTCCTTACAATCCAAGCCCCAGATGTGAGCTGTGAATGTTGTTAGCAATCGAAACCCATGCCCGCCGGCCCAGCATTTCCCATGAACGTACCTGGTAATAATAGAGGGTTGTTTCCAACCCTTTGACTTTCCACTTGCCAGAAACATGCTTCGCCAGTCCACGGTATACTCTCGAAGCCTCGATCACCATCCGAGAGTCCAATTTTGCAACTTGTTTATCGGCATCGGGAACACTAGTAATGATCTCGTCCATGGCCTTTCTCTTGTCTGCTAGATCTGAGTCCAGAACTGGATCCAATGCCGCATTTTCTCTGGAAATTTTGGGGTAATCGACTGTGCAGATGTCGTCATAATCTGTGTCCGATATAATCTGTTGGTTGAGAATCTTTCTTTGCTGTTTTTTCTTAGCACCGCCGTCCGGCTCGAGTAGTCTGTCCAGTCCGAGGTTAAAGCCTCTTGTGGCATCCTTTTTGGAGATTCGATGTTTCTCTCTCTTTTTTGCTGGACTTTTTGTGCTCGGCACCTTATTTGACTTAATGTCCGGGTAAATTCCTGGGTCAGAATTTCCCAGTGCATCAAGAGACGGATCTTCAGCTTCTTGATGTGGTGGTAGGGGCTCAGAATGTGTCCCCGGAGCTTGACCGAGCTCGACGAGATCGCGCTCTTGGCCGTGAGCATGGTCGGAGACACCGGAATCTGGTGTATCCTCGAGTCTATACCGTTAGCTATACATAACCATTCGATGAGCCATATTTCTTCACTTACTCGGTATCCTCACTGTCTTCCGAGTCACTATCTTCCGGGACAAATAAATCATCGGACACTTGGTCCGAAGGGCTTTGGGGCGCAGAATTCGCATGGTCAAGGTCGCCTGAGCCTCCATCCTGGTTCGTTGGCGAAGAAGCCTGGGAAGTGTCCGAATGCATTTCATCGGCTTCTTCGGAGGAGTCTCTCCATGGGGGAAATTCTGGAGAATCCCCTGGATGTCTTTTCTCAATGACCGGGGAGTCTGTCATGATGTCGAAGTGCTTTCGTGTTTCAGCTCGTTTTGTATTTTGTAGGAGTTCAAGGGAGAATGAGATTTGGCGAGAGATTGAGAGTGATGTCGGCCGGCGAAAAGAATTGCCAGTGGACAGGCAATATCAGTAACCTTGGAGAGAATTTTCGGGACCTAAACAGGAAGCAGTATGGAGTTAGGTCAATTTGAACAAAAGAATGAAGCAGCGACTAGGTGAAGATCGGGGATGCCCCAAAGGGTGCATTCAGCAGGTGCACAAATACATACCGTGCGTTTGGGTGAAGGTAGCGGAGCGCAGATGGGTCTGAAAAAGTTCAGTGAACAGTTGACAAAATCTCCCGCTCTGGAGAATGGTGATCTCTCACGGCGTGGCGGAGATCGAAGCGGGATAGACAAGTTCAAATCTCGTTCAGAAGGAGAATATTGGAAGGTAACTCCGTGGCAAGGTGTGGTGTATGTATGTGATAGAAATGTAAGAACTGAGGGAACAAGGATACTGGTCGACGGTTGTGCACTCAACTTGCAAGTTGAGAGCCTTGAGCAAGAACAGAGTGTAAGGTGACGCACGAACCGGGAACACAGGGTAGATATAGGTGAGCGACGAAGAATGCACAAAGAACCTTGGAAATAATCGGTGGCTCTTCGAGATTTCTACCGTTCTGGCCAAGACCAATAATATGTTAAGGTGGATTGGGAGTGGGATCAAGATGGTCAGGCTTTAGGCTAGACCTCGGGAAGACGGAGACCGAATGTCTTGGTGATTTGGTGTGCATGTATGTGAACAAGAAGGTGTGCAAGGGTCGAGGGTAAAGGTAGGAATATGTGTGTAGTCATGAGCGCACTTACTGTCAAGTTGGAGATGTTGGAGTAAGAACAGAGGTCGAGGCGATGAGCATCAAATGTTGAAAAGGTAGCCAACCCCAGACAGCTGGACTTGATGATTCGGCTATGTGATAGTGCACCGAGTTGGGGTAGCTTCAAGGAGAAGTTGGTGATAAAAGGATGAACACGAAAAGGTATCCAAGGATAAGAGCATGAGGAGTATTGAGAAACCTATGGGGATTGAGGTTGATGAAATGAAGGCCCTCGTTTTTATGTCCTTCGAACGCAGAAGTTTGCTTATACGAAGCAAGGCATTTGTTACCTACATAGGTATGTTTCGAGCCGGGGACAAACTGTATTTCAGCCGCAGGGTTTCGTGCGCACTCAGATTATGGTTATTTTGCGGCCTGCGGGGACAGGAAGTCGAGCGAGACTCCAAAAGGGAAGACCACGAAGATGGCCAGAACGGTAAAGTTGATACTGAATATCATTCTCGCCCTATCAAACAAGACAACTAAACGGATATCATCACTCATAACCCCTTGCTCCATGTGAACCATATAAATGCTCAACTTCCAGTAAAAAACACAAACACAAAAAAAGGACAAAGCACCCAGCTTACATATCATCGATGTTGCAGTTGGGATGCAGGACATAGAGGATTTTGCTGTCTTCCTGGACATCATCAGGTCCTTCCGTGAGGCCCGTTCCGGAAATACGAAGCACAATGTTATCCTGTGACTTATTAGTATGATTTGAAGGCCAGGACAACACAGACAACATACCTTAACCATGGTTTTCAGCACCATCTTCACAAGCTTGCGTTCACGGGCGAGGTCATCCTCATCCCTAATCTCACCCTCGATCTGCTCAAGGTACCACAGAACAAGGTCTTCTTGTTCGACACCCTCGGCCGCCGTCTTTTCGTCCTCGACCAGTCGTCTGACAATGTGGTTCAAGACGCCGTGGTACTTGTCGTATGTCACCTTGACCTTGGTTCCCTCGCGCTTAGTGGGAGCGGGGGGTTCATCGTGCATTTGATCATCACCCTCGGCATCGCCATCAGCCATCTCCTCATCCTCATGGTGTTGGGGAGCAGGCTGCTCTTCGTCGATTTCGACATCGTCTTTCTCGACAGTCACGATACTCTGGCGGAGGAGGTCGTATGCCTCGTTGACGAAGCGAGGAATGATTTCCTCGACACAGTTGGCCTTGGCCACAGCCTCAGACAAACGGATCAAAGACTCCAATTGACGAACAGTGATGCGGTAAGAAGAGCGACCAATACCACCTTGCGCATCATTGGAGCGCAGCTCCTTGTACTTCTCGACAAGTAGTGTCTTAGCCTCGTCTGTGAAAACAGGGCGGAAGGTGCGGGCGAAGCGAATGTAACGCTGCAACTGTTCAGTGGACAGCTCAGGCTCAACAGCCTCGTCACGGTTCATGTGCACATTGACAATGTGCTCGGCCAGACTGCGGTCGACTGACTCCTTGGGGTCATCACGGATGACGAAGAAAACATCGAAACGACTCATGATAGGAGCACTGAAGTTCAAGTTGTTGCGAAGGGTTTGCTTCGGATCGTAGCGACCGTTGACTGGGTTGGCAGCTGCAAGGATGGAAGCACGAGCGTTCAGAGTGGTGTGAATACCGGCCTTTGCGATGGAAATAGTCTGCTGTTCCATGGCTTCGTGAATAGCCACTTGGTCAGCGATGTCCATCTTATCAAACTCATCGATGGCACAGATACCACCGCCGTTAGCAAGCATCAGGGCTCCGGCTTCGATGGTGAACTCGCCAGTTTCGGCATCCTTGACAACAGAGGCGGTCAAACCAGCAGCGGAAGAAGCTTTACCACTGGTGTAGACTGCGCGAGGATGCAGAGAACAGATATACTTCAAGAACTGACTCTTACTGGTCGAAGGGTCGCCAACAATACAGATATTGATATCACCACGAAGCTTGAGGCTCTCGGCAGATGTGGACTTTCCAACACCACCAATCAACTGCAACAGCAGACCCTTCTTGATTTGTCTGTGGCCCCAGATCATGGGCGCGATCGAATCCACCAGACGAGAGTAGATATAGTCAGAGTGCACCAACTGCTTCAGGTCCTGAACCTCAGCCGGGGTGAGACTGTGCAAGAACGCTTCCTGGGCCGAGTCATCTCCACGATCGTCATCTTGGTTCTGGTTCAAGGAGGCAAGAATGTTGTTCGACTGGCCACTGAGCTGTTGCTCGGGCTTTTGGCCGGGTGTCGTCGTGTCTGGTGTGACCATGCAGGAGAGGAATGCCATGCGGTAAGAAAGATCGCGCACACCCAACACCTTCAAGCCAGTAACTCCATTTCCGTCGCCGCCTCGGAAGGAATTATCGTCGCGGACAGCTTCGGGGCGCACACCGGGAAGACCCAATTGGCTCACATCCGGAACGACAATCAGAGTACCGGTGAAAATACAGCGCTCACCGGCCTTGGCCCGGTCGACCATCTCACCCCGCAGAATAACGTCCATTGTGCGAGGCATGCTACCAGTCGGGATTTCATGTGACGATTCCTGGAGCTTCACCTTTTGCCAATCGATAAATGTACTTTTGCCGATATCGAGGCGCCATCCCACGCGGTTACCACAGGTTTGGTTAGGACACTCCGATGGCTCTGTGTATTTGAAGGTCTGCTCGACATTCTGGACGACTGTCTTGCAGCCTTCGCAAATGAATGTTCCCAATGACAGCTCGGGGCGGACTTCGGATGTCCTCGTGACGGTTCCCGAGACAGAAAGCAACTGTCCAATCTGCTTTGTTCGAAGTTGTCGAAGTCGTGAAACCAAAGGGAGGTTGTAGAACGCGAGCGCGAATAGCTTATCTGTTTGTTGGTGGCGAGTCTTCTCGCGAATGTGACGGTCCAGCTCGGGGTTGTCGGTGGAGCTTCCGCCCGCTGTTGCTGAGCTCCCGGGTTCCGTCGCGCTGCTGGATGTCAATCTGTGGGAGACGAAGTAGTCCGACGCATATTTGGCGATCAAGTTGTGCAGTGCCTTGGTGAGGAAGGGTAGAAATCGGTAGTATTGAGTGGCAACAGCATCGGCGAGAATGGGATCTCTCCAACTTGTGAGATGGGTGAAATCAACGTAGAGAGTCGACAACTCAAATTTGGCCATGCCTTTGATCTGAGCGATGTAATATCTGGTGCTGAGCACCTCACCCGAAGAGATAGGCGCAGAGGACGAAGGCTCCTCCTGATACTCTTCCAGTAGCGTTTCAAACGCACCCCTCACCCTCTCTCCTGCATCATCGATCAACTGTGCGGGGGTAGCGGTGTAAGGGTTGCGCAAGCGATTGATAGTCGCATTTCCCCCTGATACAACCTGGTCGTCGGCAAATGCGTGCATGTCACTCATGGGGCCATTGCTCTCAGAACGCCGCGAGCTGGGGAGGTGGTCAGATCGCAGGTTGTCGCTTGCGGGCCCTGAGCCCAATTCGGACTGGATCACGGCATCGAAAAGTGAAGACATGATGATGAAGAACGGCCTGGAGGTGGCCAATAATTTTAATTAGATAAACCCTCTCTCGACAAGGCAGTCAGAAAGGAATGTGGAGGGTCGATTTCGCGATGATACCGAGCAGGATTGCTATCTTAGTTTTTCGTGGGTCTCCGCCTGCAGGTCTCCTTAGGCAACGCGCGAACGCGAACGCGTCTACGGGCTTTGAATAATCCGCTCCGACGCGTTAAGTGGTTTATGTCAGCGGGTTACATCAGCTCGGAAGCCGGACCCGTGACTCGTCTCGGGATCTGGGAAGGGCACCTGGACTAGGCCATTTTAGGTAGTTGGTCGTCTCCCGCAGCCCCACTGGGCTTGACGAATGAGGGCGGCACCACGATGTCAAATCCGAGTTCAAGGCGAATGGGCTACAGCTGAGGTCTATGCTTTAGCGCGGGAATTCCCTTCACGGCCCCCGTGGATTCACCGACATTCACAGAAAACAAACAGGTACATTTGGGGACTCTCTGTGACTCATCTGTTATGTGTTTTATTCCAGTCTCCCAGGCGCAATGTATCTGAGCTCTGGTCGTATAGAATAACATTTTGCGCGTCGGTCCTTGAACGGTTGTTGCCCGGTGAGCGAAAAAGAGCCCAACATCGAGATAGTTCAAGGCCCAATCCGAATAGGGTAGCAGTCTCCTGTATATCATGTCCCCCATGACCTCATGTTCAGCTACCACTTGGACCACCTCCGGATACTTGATCCACCAGGATCCGAGGGTTTAGAGAGCAAAATTGGCGGATATACGTGCACGCTGGTATAATGAAGGTTGCCCTGGTGTTTCATATGTGCGCATGACACCCAGTCCCAAAATCAATTCCAGTTCTACGTTATACGAAGCGCAGGGAGATCCAAAGCCGAGGTGAGAACGGCAAACCTTGGAATATACCCCTCTTGGGCAGTCATCTGCCGACAAAAGTCCAACCTTGCGAGCGTATATCCTACCGCTTCATCCGACAGCCATTGATACAACCCTAGTTACGAAATTTCTCTAGTGGATGAATAGTCCAGCATTGCAGGGTTGATACTTGGCGCTTATCTAATTGGCTTCCAAAACCCGGGTGCCCGCACTCCATCTGAAACCATCCCATTATTCCCTCTCGGGGAATTATCTCCTCCCTCGCATTGCAGTGCGCCGTATGTATAAGAAACTGTCTTTCGCTCGGGGGACTCTTTCCTGTTCGTTGGGCTGACCTATCATAAGGACTCGCGCCTTGCGATGGTTTCTTTCAAACCCGAGGTCCTTGACTGGAGGAATCTTGGTAATCGTTCGGGCACGCAGCACTGACCGAGTTCACCACATACCCATATTTACTCGACATGTCTGGAAACGAACGGCTGGTGTCAACTTTGACCAAGCCGAGCTCTCTGTCTCCACCAGGCGCGCTTGACACGGATGCTTCGGGTACGCCTTGTCCGCTTTTGCGAGTGAAACGTACGATGACCGCTCAAAGCAGCTGACCAGGACATGGATTTAGTGCCCGTCAACGATGCCTCACTAGTAGCGAAGCCAACAAAGCGCCGACGTACCGCTGACTCGAAGAATAAAGCCTCAAAGAATCAACATTTCTACTTCGTTGATCAGAACTCGTCCTCCAAAGAAAAGCGCGCCCATGTTATGCGTCATCATGTACAGGAGAAAAGGAAACAGCACAAAACCTCACGCACAGCTCTGTCGGAGGATTCTGAGGCGGCAATCACCCGGTACCATCCATCAGGGACATCCTCGGCAGCCGCGCGAGCCTCTGATCTGACAACTTCGGTACGAGAACCACCTTTGCTGGCATTCAACCCGAGCCAAGTAAGGCCGGGGGCCAACTATGCGCTTCGGGCTCAATGCTAACATCTCATGCTGCAGCTTCAGATACGATTCTCAAATATGAAGACACAGCCTCATCCTTCTTTGCCACAACACATCGGCTCGCCAGTTACAATACTCGATGCTTCTCGAAAAGATCCGTTCTCCAGTTTACCGATGGAACACGACAGTACCGATATCGAATTGGCTGATTATTGGAGGAATAAATTGACGTACTGGTCCGGACAAAATGTCCATGTTAAGAACCAAATATTTCGCACGGCGATGGGCCATCCTCTTTCATTCAAAGCAGTGGTGCTTTCCTACTGCTCGCGTTGGAAAGCGCAATTATACGGCTTGACCGACAGCGAAGAAATCCAACGTCACGTTGGACAGGCGGCGAAGCTCATCGACGAAGCAAGCAATGGCTCTGCGGTAGTCCGTCCGGACGATCTTGTCATGGCTTTGGGTGGGATGGCTTTGCAAGAAGAACGGTTTGGAAGCAAGCAGTCGGCACAGCAGTATATCGACCGTGCTGTTAAGGTCCTGCGCCCGCGAACGGGATCAAACCCCGCGGTGGAAACTTTCATACACTACATTCGATACCTCATGACCCCCGAAGTCCCAATCCCAAACCCTTCCGAGCAAATTTGGCTCACCACCTTCCTGCATGGTGCCAGAGATCTCATGCGCCGACACAACACACCTGAGTATCTTCGACAAGCCCCATACCGCCGCAACGCCTTCGAAATGGCGAGCCCTCTCTTCACCCTTCTCTCCAGCGGGCCCCGCCCTTCTCAGGTTCCACAGGCTTCGCGCGTCTACGTAGTTCGCGACGCGCAGACCCAGGAACCCAGCCGAACCGCATCTCTCATCTATATCACGGCGGCATTGTGGGACCATCAAGAGTCACCTAGCAAAACGGACCGGTTCCTTCGCCATCTTTGGTCTTTGGTGAAGCAACACCACCTCGATCGCGACCCAGCCTGTGAGACACTTCTGTGGTTGTTATTGGAGGAGACTTGTGACTCCGATTTACGAGACCCTGAGCGCGGGTGGTCGACCGGAGCGCTACTCGGAGTACATAAACAGCTCCGACCGGATCTACAATTCCTCTGGAACGAGATTCTGATGAGCTTCCTCAGCTTCCAAACCCCCATTCGTGGGGTTGAAGCCTTTGAAGAGGGACTCCTGCATGGTACTTCACACTGATTGTACGAGGAGATCCCGAGGTCTCAACATTGATTATACTATGAATAGATATCCCCATGCATCCAAGTTCTTTCGCAAAGTGACATGTGCTAGCTCTGAGTGCATCATTCATGGTTGTAGTTGTAGTACTGTCCACCTGCGCAGTGAGGTCATAATAAGTGCAACCATGAATCAGTTGGACCTACTCTATTGTATAGTACGTAGTACTCAATATGTAATATGCAACTATGTACTCCGTATGTACTCCGTATTCTGTACAATGTAGTAGGCCCTTGGCAGACCCGGGAACCAGGGCAATGTTAGCGTCATTGATCTCCAGTGGAGCTTCAAGGTCGAATTGCTGGATGTCCAATAGAGAATTACAGTCCAAATCTGACGCTAGTCTCGGAGTCCCGATCCCCTGTAACCCCGAGGTACCTTCCCACCGAAAACGGCACACGCACTACCAACTCGGTACCTGTGGGCCTGAACCTGAACCGACTTGAGATCGCCGATCGACACTTTTCCTTTGCCAATGATTTTTATTGAATGGATCAGTCGGGGGCCCATGGTTCGTGACATACCTCATTTCAATCTTTTTTTCTCCTTTTTTCTTATGCACTTTCACGGCCAGTGTCAATATCACATACCACTTCACTGTCAAGCATGCCACCAATTATCTGCAAGATCAGTGGCACGGAAATACATAGGCAGAAATAGCTGCCAAGGGACAATTTAAATGAAGTGGCAAATCTAGCTGGCGAGTCGCCAACTCTGTTTGCGAAGCTCGGCCCAGATCCCTCGTCCGAGTAGGGCGTAGTCGATAGTGCAGCCCACTAGCACCGTTAGCGTCACCATGTTCCATTTCGATGTGTTGATTTCGGCCCTGTCGCGTCTCTTCATTCGACGATCTCTCGGTGCTGAACTGGCCATGCGCGTCTATTGCTGCGTGTCATGGCACACGTTCAGACCGTATTATTGATTGGGGACAAAGAAAGCAAAAAGCAAAACGCAGAGCTCGGCTGACCTCGTGTGCTTTTGGGACTGGTGGAGACTTGACACGACAGTACCCCTGGATTCTTCGACAGCTGTTTGAGATATGAGACTTTTGGACGTATCCAGGCGTGTGATAGTATAAACAAAGTCAGAGTGCTTCTCAGATGCTGTATCCCTTGCACCCAGCCGCATCCCTGTACAAATTCGTCATGATCGGCGTCAGATAGAGTAGCTCAGATAGGGGGTTGTGGCTAGTGTGGCGGTACTCGGTCTTCTCCGTGTGCCATGTGAAGGGAAAGTCGAGAGAGTCATTGACTGCAAGGAACCACAGGAACCAAAGGCACATTGCGCACGGAGAACCATTGCGGCCGTGAGTGTGGAACGATCAGTGACTCGCTGAAGCTTTAAGGAGTGGATGTCCGACGGGAAAGCAACAGAGTAATTAGCCCGTCACAGTAGCACGGCAGATCTGAAATCATAAAACGAAAATCCAAAATCAAATCGAAAGGAAAAAAAAAAAAAAAAGAGAAAAGAGGGTGCTGGTCCAATTACGTAGACTCCGCAGATCGTGGCAGCCCCTCTCTTTTTCGTTTAAGCTTCTTTTTCCTCTTCTCCTACACAAACCTGGGGAGAAACCAGGACTTGATTGCAAATTGGTTTGATATTCACAATATGGTGCTCGACAGTCACCCGCTGGTCGCGCGTGCGGTAAGCTCTCCATCTCAGCCTGGATACCTTGTTGACATGCTAACGACACCCAGAGTTCCGAAGATGAGAACTCGCCGTCGCTCTCCAGCTTGGTCACCGTCCTGATCCCCTCCCTGATCATCGCGGTCGTGATGGTGCTCGGCTTCATCATCCTGCGCAAGCGGTTCCGCCGAATGTATATGCCTCGAACCTACATTGGATACCTGAAGCCCTGGCAACGCTCCCCCGATACGCCCACTGGAGCGTGGAACTGGATTGTTTCTATGTACAAGATCCCCGATACATATGTGCTGCAGCATCACTCAATGGATGCTTACCTGATGCTGCGCTTCCTGAAGCTCTGCTCGGTCATTCTCTTCGTCGGCTGCTGCATCACTTTCCCCATTTTGTGGCCCGTAAACGCTACGGGTGGTGGTACCGGCAAAGAGCTGGACTTGCTGAGTATCTCCAACATCTCGGAGAACTCTGCCGGTCGCTACTTTGCGCATTGCTTCGTCGCATGGATCTTCATCGCATTCGTGTTCTTCATGGTGACTCGGGAGCATCTCTATTACATCAACTTGCGCCAGGCCTATCTCTTCTCGCCCGCTTACGCCAGCCGTATCTCATCGCGCACCGTCCTCTTCACCGCTGTGACGCCCGATCTTCTCCAAAAGGAGAAGGTCCGCACCATGTTCGGTCGCGACAAGGTCAAGAACGTGTGGATCGCCAGCGATACCAAGGAGCTCGAGGAGAAGGTCAAGGAGCGTGACAGTGCCGCGATGAAGCTCGAGGGCGCCGAGACCAAGCTGATCATCTTGGCCAACAAGGCGCGCAACAAGGCCCTGAAGAAACAGGGCTCCGCTGAGAACCCCGAGACCGAGATCGGTGATGGTCAATTCGATGACGAGTCTGGCTCGACCGCTGCTCGCTGGGTTGAGGCTAAGAACCGCCCTACTCACCGTCTCAAGATGCTCATTGGAAAGAAGGTTGACACGATCAACTGGGCCCGTTCTGAGATTGAGCGTCTGTCTCCCGAGATCGAGGAAATGCAGGCTAAGCACCGTGCTGGAGAGGCCAAGCTTGTGTCCTCCATCTTTGTCGAATTTTACCACCAGTCTGATGCGCAGGCTTCGTACCAGTCCGTTGCTCACAACCTTCCTCTTCACATGAGCCCTCGCTACATTGGTCTGGACCCTACACAGGTTATCTGGTCCAACCTGCGTATCAAGTGGTGGGAGCGCCTCGGTCGCCATGCCGCTACCATCGCTTTCATCTGCGCAATGATCATCTTCTGGGCTATCCCCACCGCCGTTGTTGGTGCCATCTCTAACATCGACTCGTTGACCGACATGGTTCCCTTCCTGAAGTTCATTGACTCCGTGCCAAACTGGATCAAGGGTGTGATCACTGGTCTTTTGCCCACTATCCTGATGTCTGTCCTGATCGCGTTGGTGCCCATTATCATGCGCCTGATGGCCAAGTGGGGTGGCGCACCTAGCATGGCTGCTGTTGAATTGACTGTCCAGAACTGGTTCTTTGCTTTCCAGGTTATTCAAGTTTTCCTCGTCGTCACACTCGCTTCCGCGGCAACCAGTGTTGTCACAAAGATCATCAATGATCCGTCGCAGGCCGCATCGCTGCTTGCGACGAAGATACCCAAGGCGGCCAACTTTTATATCTCCTACATCATCTTGCAAGGTCTTTCCTTCAGTGCAGGTGCTCTTCTTCAGATTGTGCCTTTGATCCTTGGAAAGGTCCTTGGTCGCATTCTCGATGGCACTCCTCGCAAGATGTACACTCGGTGGGCGAGCTTGGCTGGTCTTGGTTGGGGAACTGTTTACCCCGTTTTCACTTTGTTGACTGTGATCGGTAAGTACAAACAGAACACTGATCCTGGTCAGGAGTCTAACATCTCACAGCTATCACCTACTCTTGCATTGCGCCCCTGGTCATGGGCTTCGGCGCCATCGGTCTCTACCTCTTCTACTTCGCTTACCGATACAACATCCTGTATGTGTCGAATGCAAGCATCGACACCCAGGGAAGATGTTACACCCGTGCTCTGCAGCACCTTACTGTCGGATGTTACCTTTCCATTGTTTGTTTGATCGGTCTATTCGCCATGGGCTCCGGTGCCAACCAGCTCGCTGTCGGCCCATTGGTTCTCATGGTCATTTTCCTGGTCTTTGTCATTCTCTACCACATCTCTATGAACAGCGCCATGGAGCCCCTGCTTAACTTCTTGCCCAAGAACCTTGAGGCCGAAGAGGAGGCTCTCCTTGCCGCAGACCGCAACACCATCTCCAAGTCCACCTCGGAGGATCTGCAAGTCCCAACTGGCTCCACCGACGCTCCCCGCGACAGTGGAATCAATGTTGACAACGGTGTCGGCAACGTCGACTCTGCTGAAAAGGGTCTGACCGGCACCACTGCGGAGCCCAAGCCCAACTTCCTCACCAAGTTCCTGCGCCCGGACAAGTACGCCAACTACCACCAGCTTCGCAAGCTGGTTCCTGCCGCAGACCCTACTACATACCCATCCGAGGCTGAACGTGATGCTTACTGTCACCCGTCCATCACCTCGCAGCCACCTCTTCTCTGGATTCCTCGCGACCCTCTTGGTGTTTCTTCTCAAGAAGTCGCCCACACCATGCGTGTCATCCCCATCACCGATGAGGATGCCTATCTTGATGAGAACTGCAAGATCCAGTGGAACGAGGAGAAGGGTGAACCTCCTATCTACGAGGAGAAGATTCCCTACTAGATCAGCTGATGGTCTTCGTTGTCTCCGATTGCCATTGCATCGGTTTACTGGTCTACTGTGATACCCGCCCGGGTGGTCGAACCACCCGGCTATGATATGAGATTTCTCTCATTTCAGATCCAATCCTGGGCACAGTCTTCGAATCGCAAGATACGATGGTGTCCTTGGTTTGGATCTGGTGCTGCCTCTACTTTTTTTTCTTTTCTTTCTCTATAATTTTTAAATGTAATTGGTGGCTCACGCGTCATGTCGATAATGTATGCGAGGATGTTGTCCATGAAATTCGAATCTGTTTCTATTTAACACGGTTTCTGTGTAGTATATGTCTGGATTTCAAAACCAACCATGTTTTTTTTTTTTCATTCAAGCTCCTACATAGGTAGGTATCGATTACCTAGGTACCTATCTCATAAACGCTACCTACTCTTTGCCAATATGGATTTCTGCGAACCTTCCAAGGTTGCGACTTGCCCAGGTGGAAGGTTGCCTAGTCGACGGGCCAATGTAAAGACCTCACTCATACTAGTGTCCACGGTATATATGGAGCTGTATCGGCACTATATTTATGTATCTAGTACCAACCTTGAAACGTTCACAGATACAATCCGGCGACACAGCCATGGACCTGCACTTGGCACAAGGCCCCTAGTACTCGGTAGGAACAAAAAGCCTGTCCACGGGTTCATGGAGAAGTATATAAACGAACCTGTCTTCTTACGACCGCAGAAATGCTGCCTGAGATACCTAGTACGTTATGACCCAGTCCTCATGCCTGAAGCATTCTGAGTGTGTGGGTTCCCTACTTCATGTCTGTACACTGCATCCATATGTGATGCATTCTGTTCATTCCAGAGTTCAAATGTTATCCCTTGGAAAGCTCCTGATGTGGAAGGCAGCGATATTATCACGTGTCAGAGTCATGTGATCTACCTTCGATCATGCAAATTACCGAATTACGAGGTATTGTGTGAAGTACGAACTTGAAACATAGATTACATACCCCGTATCTCGTAATGGAAGATGAGTCTGAAGTTTCCCGTAAACTCTCCTAGTTTTGGATGTGTTTGAGCTTTATTCTTGCGCAATCCTGTGACCCTACGAGCTCTAAATTTGGTGATCCAGAGATCTATGTATCATCCACAAGTGAGATCTGTTCCGTAAAACCGTGGTACACATCTGGGATTTAGCCCCCGTTTATGGCTAGCTATTTTATGGGTCTTTTAATCTATAGCATGCAGGTCAAGAGCCACAGTCGTCAAGACTCGGAACGGATACGGCGGTGGCTTGCATCCTTTGACACCTGTCATTTTTGGCTAGTGGGGTGGAGTCAATAAGATACAATGTATTTTTCCGAGGTCAACTTGGCGATGTGGTTTTGGAGGGAAAGCGAAAAACATGTTGCTTTTTGCCGAGGAAACCATTTACCCAGGAGAGCTCGGAAAAAAATCCTCGGGGCTTGCATATTGAACTATTCCAGGTCTCTTGAGTACTTGATACTCCCACCGCTCTCTGTCCCTTGGTAAGTACTAGTTTTGTTCAGTCCTGCAGGCTCGAGTATCAACCACCAACCATCGGTGGCATCTTTCCCCGGACGAAAACAAGGGATTACCAAACTCCACCTCGTCTGCTTGGTTTATGCAGGCAATTTGTGGAATGGGCGGGGCTGGCCTTCTCGACGTGGGTTCACGGACGAGTCTGTATTGTTTTTATTGTTTTTGTTCGCATTTGGCCTCTTCGGGATCTTAAATTACACAGGGGCTCCTTTAATCTACGGAGTACAGAATTCTGAGTTTGCGGGCCTTCTAGCATTACGATGGAACGTTTTCCTCCTCCAACTTGGAGGATTGTCGGCAATTCTGGCGTTTGACAGCAAAGCTGAGACAGCTAATGTTCTTTTCATGTACGTTTCATCCTCCATACGTAATAGCGCCCAAAGTACAGAGGAGCATGTGCTCTGTACGGAGTATGGTAAATCCTCTCGCACGGAGTACTTCCTGCCCCGTCCTCGTACAGTGTGTGATGATCGTCAACCATGAAAACCCTGCATCCAGTCAGGATTCATACTGTATAGTGTACTCCGTCCTGCCCGCAGCAGTTCCACCATCAAATTGCCTAGGTCATGCATAGCAACGGCACGTTTACCCCATAGCGCCCCGATCTGCCGGCCGACTGCGGTGATGCACGGAAAAGGCGCACTGGGCGCTCATCGGAAACCACAGGTCTTGAAAATCATAAGAATCCAGATTTGACGCATGCCGTGTGTCGTATGATGCGCCGTTCGTCATGACCTCGACGCATACCACATACAGCAGTGCAACGTACTGTGCATATGTGAGGACTCTACTCCGTAAGGAATCTCGGAAGAACCCATGAATTTGTTAGGGCCCCTCTCCGTACGTTGAAGGATCTTGTCGAGTTCGCCTAAGAAACCCCCCCTTTTTGCCCCCCGCTTGGCCCGACCGTTTACCTGATTAGGAAGGTTGGCCAAATATTGATGCCGACGCCCCACCGCGGGAAGTTTGTAATTTGGCGATTGCGAGACCGACAACGGTAGTGCATTCCACCGCGTTTAGGCTTAATTGTAGCCCAGGGTATGAACGCGAATTGACGTTCGGCAAGGCTTGGCGGCCCTAGGGTGTTTTGATCGTCCAATATCCATGGATTATACTATATGCAATCGGTGTGAAGTTCAAATCAAAATTCCAATATATACTAGATGTGTGGAGAGCCAGAAGAAAACGCTAATGCCAACGCCATACTCTCCTAGAAATGGGTCATGAGCTGATGCAAGAGACAGACAGGAGATATAGACCCCCGAAGCGGACAAAGTGGGATCAAAGATAGTAGATAAACCAGAGTAGACAGCAGGTCAAAGGAAATGGATGGTGGAAATCCAGAGCGCGATCGCGAAATTCGCGAAACAAAATGGCCGAGAAGGAAATGGTATCCCCGAAGATCAAGGTATCAACTATACTTTTGCTAGATTTTCAACACGCTGAATCGCTAAATGGTCAAGGACGGGCAGATTCTACACCCGAATCCGGGAGGCCCGGAATGCAGAGAGGTCGATTGACTCGGCCGAGAAGGAAGAATTGTCATCCACTTCGATGGCGCCCGCTGTGGTGGTCGTGGTGGTGGCCGGGGGCTTGTTGGCAATAGCAGCAACCCTGGCGAGTCGAGCAGCAGAAGGAGTGGGGGGAGGTTTAGGCGGCCCTTCATCGGCAGTGCCATTTTGTTGTTGCTGCTCATGCTCTTCCTGTTGCTTCTTTTCTGCCACGAGACGGTCAACCTCGTTGATCACGGCCTCGAGCAGCATCTTAAATTTCTCCTCCACGCCATCAAGTTCGGTGCCGCAGTCCCCGGATCGGAGGACTTGGTAAGCCGCCGTTTCGCAAAGTGAATGTGCCACCTCAAGCTGTTTGTCTGCGAAGTCGAAAGGAGAGTCTGTGCGCATCGCACTCGTTCCGGAGACACCGACGATTCCGGACGTGGTGCGCGTGCTGCGAACACAGGAGAGTGGCGTTGCCGATCCACCCGACAGGTTGTTCATCCCAACGCCTTTGCTCAACAAACCGGCCCGTAAGCCTGTTCGGGGCATCGTAGCCATCTTCGCACGACGAAGATTGTTTCTCGCTCCACCAATGTCCCGTACAATAACCTCGAGCGTCTTCTGCGTGTGGCCGTCGTAGTCGATAATGACATTGTGTCTTGTGCTAACGAACGCGTATTCTTCATTTGAGCTGGTAGAGGCCTCGTCTGTGTTGCGTTTACGACTTGAGCGTTGACCTTGATCGGGCGCGTGCGCTGTCTCCGCGGTGGGCTCTGGGCTGGGACCTTTGCGTTGTGCGATCGGGACCAGGTCGTCGGTGTGGATGGAACAAACGGAGCTGTTTTTCCGTCGGCGGGGCTTGAAATTCGCACGGCGTCTGTATGCTTCAGAGTAATCGTTGTGCTTCTTGTGGGTGTGTGTGGCGAGTTCGGAGACGCGGGCAATCCATGCGGGAAGATTGTCTTTCATGTGGGTAAAGGCCCCCAGTGCATCCATTGACGCCATGGCCATAATAGCAAATGTAATTTGATTCCTCCCAGTCCTTTCTCTATGGAGGCGAAGTTGAAATATGCGTGTGGAAACCTGGTGTCAGGCTATTAGATCTCGAGGAGTGGTTGTGTTCGTTTCGTCATAAAATCGTGAAGATCGACCAGGAGCGCAAGGGTTAAATGTCCAGACAGGTCGCAATGCGATTATGGGTCCCGGGAGAACAGATGGGCGAAGTAAGATATTAAGGGAGCCCTCAATAATGAGCTTGAGGATCGACAAGAAATGCAAGTGACGGTGAAGCAAAGTATGGGGAGGGGAAGTGAACAGGAGTAGGAAAAGAACTGGAAATATCGAGAAAATGAGCAAGCTTTGATACACGTATGGTAATGGTATGGTACGAGGCCCGGTACCGTTTCGTGGAAAAGGAACACCCCTGTGTGATGTATTTGATATCCGAATCGCACATCGCAAGGCCAACTGCATGTCTCTTTATTGGTTCGCTTGTCCATTGACTTGATCCCCCGAGAAGCGGTGGAGTGCATGTGTCAGGCCATGCAAGTGTCCTACTCGTTTAGTCTGTACTTTCGTCTTCGTAGACCAGGGAACCTTGCAAACGGGGCATCGGTCTGGATCTGCGATCTTCATTGGATACGAGGACATGATGCTAAGACTGAGCGAAAACACGTTGTCATGAGGATCTCCGAGACCTTTCTGGGCAGAAGAACCAGTCCCTCCCATTCCGTTGAAAGTCGAGTCTCCCGTAAACCGTGCACGAGGGTTACAGACGCATACGGGCTGCGGTACAACGTACAACGTAAGGGACTACTAGTACTAAATTGCGAGCTCTCGTTGACCCGATGACAGCAAACGTCTAGATAACTGAAACAATGCATCCAAGACGGTAGAAGCGAGATATGAAGCGGGTACCATTCCTAAGAGAGGTCTGACACGTAACGGTCGCTAATGGTACCCTTGTACGGATTATAGTGTATGGGATCGGGGACCATCACCGCGGGGATTCGGGGTTTACAGGGGTTACGGGGACCTCAAGAGGAACTAGAAATTGCGACTTACGGATCCTAATAGAATACCAAAATGGGGGCCTTGACACTAGAGACCAAGCAGACGATCCCTCCCGCGGAAGCCCGGGACAGCCCGTGATTGGAGCTATTCAGGTCCCACGATGGGCACCCCACTCCGATGGCTGCGTGTAAGTGGCTAATCGCTGTTCATCGAAGGTGCAGGCCTGGTATTAGTGGTATTTTAAGCCTCAGTGGGCATGCTCCGCTGCATGTATATCACAACTCACATTCATACTCCCATCGTATACCAAATATCTATCATATGGACACCTCGCACCAGTCTAGACTTCTGGAAAGCCGCGAGGCAAAATATGGCAGGTAAATTGGTGGAAACTACTTCGTACCCGTCTCTGCTTTCTACAGTATGGGCCACCTTCAACGGCAACCCCGCCAACACTGTCAAGATATCAGGTCTCGTCGTACTCCGTACTTTAGCAATGGAAACCCTTGATCAGACGAGATACCGTGGACCGCGCAGCCACGAGACAGCAACCAGGATAAATTGCACCTCCCCGAGCCTGTGTACGGAGTATTTATTACACGATAGAAACATCGCCAGAGAATTACAGCAGTCAGATGACTAGGAAACAGTTTCGAAATTTGATTTCACGCCCCAGCATTCTTTCTACCTGAGTCAGGGAGATCCATTTTCCAGTCAATCCTGATCTCGAAGGTTCGAGAATTGAGCAACCCAGATGGATCCTAACATCCAGAGGACCAAGCCTCAATCCAGGTATCGAGGGCGCGCTTGACAGCCTTGGCAGAGGTGATGGTAGCGCGATGAGCTTTTTGGCTAACCTGAAAACACGTCATACTCCTGGATGCGCGCCTCCAACTCACGAGCAAAGACTCTGTGGACAGACAAAGCAGAGGCAGCCTCAATTGCGTCGGCAGGTAGGTCGGTAATCGCAGGCATTGGGCTCGGGATGATAGGAGCTAAAGGGCGACCTCGCTTGGCTCTTTTCTTAGGAATAAGTTTGCGGTCCTCGCTATCGGATGTAGAAAGCTCGTTGCTGGTACCAACCCAAGCTTGAGCTTCGCTTTCCTGATTTACCCTGTCAGCTTGCTGGGGAAATCCATATGGCTCTGGCGGCAATCTTGAGCATACCTTGACCACGGTGGTGCACCTGCGGCGGTTTTGCGGAGCCGCGTTTGACTCGATGACGGGCTCGGAGTCGGTATCGACGTCGAGCTCGGGCTCAGGCTCAGGCTCAGGCTCCACAACAACACGGTGGATACATCGCTTCTTCTTGAGCTTGCATGAACGACAAGCTGAGCGTCCCTCGACCATATTTGTCAAGCACTAGAATTTTCACTTGTTAGTCAGTGTATAGACGACGCGTATGGAGGGGAGTTCAGATCCGATGGACTTACTTTTGCTATCGGATCGACTTAAATGGGGGCAGAGTCTTTGTTGCACTTGCAAATCAATTATGTGAAGTAGATGTGTGTGACTGCTGGATTCGCGCAGGTTTGCAACAGATAAAGAAGAAATAAACAGAGCGACGCGGGCTGGAAAGTAAAACAAGCTGAAAGAGCACGATCGGACGCGGCCTGAAAGTGTGAGAACGTCAAAAGCACGTTCCCACTATGTATTATCTTTCCATTGTACTCAGCGCAAATATAGTCTGTCCAATTTGCCTAAATAGTGATTATGTCCAGTAATTCGATGAGTTTCCTAGCAGTATGAGTATAGGATGCTGGGCAAAAACTTCTGCGTTGACGCACTCTTAGACCCATGTGCCCTATATCATGGCCACAACTCAGTCTCATTCCACTGACTAGTAGTATCCTGGGTACTGGCGATCTTCCAGTTCCATCTTCTGCCGTTTTCTTGATCTGTTAGGTCTAGTCTTTCAACCTCCTCAGGCTTGATGACGACCACCCGGAAGTTGGCACGGGCTGCAGGATCTTGTAAATCGGTTATTTTCTGCCCCAAATTGAGATCTGAGTTACTGGGATTGGAATTTCTGGGCTGCCCAGGAGGGGGATTGCGGAAGGAGCCTAAATTCTGTTGTTAGCATATGTCCATGAATCAATATTGGAAGTCTTGGATCTGATGTAAAGCCACAACGAACGCCATGTGCATGTGGCACGCAGTTCAAAATGCTGTTATAACTTCTTTGTCAGGATATGAGTAAGAGAAACCAACCTCGTGCAACAGGTGAATGATTTGCAAAATACTTTGTAACAGCCTTTTCCCACGTCCATGTCGAAGAATCGTTGTCTGGTGCTGTCATCCTCAGAGCCTTTTCGATTTCTTGTCGGGAGTTTCTTTCAACCTCAGCATCCTCTCCCTGTGGGTTCCCAATTGCATAAGCAGTGCCTTTGATGCGCCATTGAGTCATCAAATCCTTCAGCCAGAAGACTGCCTCAATGGCATGCCCCGAAGACTCCAGTTGAGGTAGCTTTTCCATCCGAGAATCGGTCGTGAACGTAAGCATATCGCTCTCGTATACGGATGGATTGCCCCCATTCTCCACCTGCTGGTCCATGGCTTCTTGGCCCTTGGGGTGGAGCTTAAGTTCCGGGAAAAAGCCGCGACAGCCGCATGTTCGCAGGCGTGGCACAGGCCGTTGTTGCGAATCGTATCCGATTGTAGCCACCGTGAATTCGTAGCCTGGGGTTTGCTTGAGTTGCGAATCAAGCAGGTCACGCCATGGGGCGCGCTGAGAATTCTCGGACGAGGAGCTCATGACTGTAGCTCCAGCAAGATGTGATTTCAGAGCAAATGATCGACTGGAAATTCCGCTGGTGGCTTTGATTTCGCCAAGTCGCTGAAGCGCCACTCGTAGAGAACCTTGCTGGCCGGCAGTGACGGAAGCTGGCATGTGTTACTACAAACACAATAGCTCTCCTTTGTAGAACAGCCTTTATGAGACTCAAGCTAATGCCGAAAATTTCTCACTCGCGAGGCAATAGCAACAAAGGACGATATAGTTGGATGAAGTAGAGATAAGCGTAAAATGAAGCCTTGGAAGATGACAAGAAACGTGGTTGGTAGGATGACATCAGGTGGTCCGTGCGCGGACGCGTTTGGGTGTCATTTGCGAGATCTTTACGATGTACGGAGTACACCTTGGTATTGCTACCTAGGTAGACATCACCGGGTAAACATGCCGCCACCGCGAGGAATATACATATTGAGGCAGTTTCTGGGCGTGTCCCGCGTTAGGGAACGAGCTTTAACTCATCAGTCACTGCTCCCCATATATTCCCATTCGTCAAAAGGGCCTCTCAGACAGCATTCGACAGTACCAAATGCCCCTTGCGAGATCCCACCGGGCCATCTGGAGACGAAGACGCATGTCATGGGATGGGAGAAGATTCAAACACAGGTTGAACCGTATTTCAAGACCAATTGGAACTTCGTCAGCGAGAAGGAAAGAAAGGGGTTGCTTAGCATTGGGCTCCCTCACGCCTTCTGTAAATCATTCCCTTCGACGCTTAATAACCGTGTCGGAGTTACTTGCAAGATGCTATATTTGTCTTTGCTCATCGATGGTGGGTGATTGGAAAATTGGGGTTCGACATCTGCTAACAGTTTCGATAGACCAACTGGAAAAAATGAGCTTTGCACAAATGCTATCTTATAGACATCGGACCATGGAAGTTGCACTCGGGTCGGTCAAGCCGGATATCAGCATCAGTCGCGAGTGGATGCTTTATGATACATTGCAGATCATGCGAGGCATGGATAAGAGGTTGGCAAATCGTGTTGCCCGTGGGTTTTGCCAATTATTGAAGGCTATGACATCCCCCGAACGCAACTCGATAACAAATCTTGAATCATATTTTCAATTTAGAGAAGTTGATTCCGGTCGAACGTATGCTCAATTTGTCGCCGTGATATTTCACGAACCCCAGACAGGCCGCTGACCATGGATACAGGTTTTTCACTGCCCTCATCAGATTCGGCGCCAATTTACATCTCAATGACACAGAGTTGATGAAGTCAAAGCCATTTGAAAGTATCGCATTCCGGCATTTCAGTATCATCAATGATATCTATAGCTGGGAACGGGAATCGAGAGTGTCCCAGACAATTTCGACCGATGGCGCAAAACCGTTTTCATCCGTTTATATTGTCGCTAAAGACACTCGACAGCCTTTCTCTATATGCCAGCGATTATTGTACGACTACTGCAGAGGAATCGAGCTTGATTTCAAACAAGCTGTGGATGGGCTTCGGGAAGATGGCTCTAATGTGCTGACACCCCAGCTGGAGAGCTACCTTCGGAATCTGGAGTTTTTTATGAGTGGGATGGAGGCATGGAGTCAATTGACTGCCCGATATAAGAAGTAGGGTGTTTCGAAGATACATTTTGCGCAGTGAAATTTGTACAAAGCAGAAAATTCTGCCAAAACTTGGGAAGCGAAAACAAAAGGTTCATCATGAAGATATTGGCGTATGAGATGCACAATTTCTTGAAACTGGACTGAAATGAGCTTCCAAGGTCTGTGACTGACGAAACCCCGATGGAACAAAATGAGACACGGTTTTGCATATACCGAAAGAAATCAGCTCTCCTACCAAGCCAAGTTGGGCAATCAGGAAATGTCGGAGCTGGCAGTGGCAGTGGAATCATTTGCCTGATTTTGCTTCTTGCTTTGCTTGATGCCAGACATCCCATACACGGTGATAAAAGCCATACCTAAGAAGGCGGACACACAAGAAAACACCATCGCAACGATTCCTTTGGCAGTAAAACCGGCAGGTAGCCAATCAACCTGCTTATTCTGGCCATCTAAATCAAGATAGTCTTTCGTATTTCCTGCAGCATTACCCTCGTATTTCACGCCAGCGGCGTCGCAGACGTCGTAATGATTTTGTGGGATTGATAGACGCTCTTGAATCTGTTCCGGAGCTTCGATTAAGGTCAAAGCGAGACCTTGTGACAAATGCCAATCAATGTGGCAATGGAAAAGCCATACGCCTGGGTTATCGGCGACAACGCGGACGACAAAGTACCCCTGAGGGGGAAGAACCAGGGTATCTCGCCTGGCGGGATATTCTGGGAATGCAGTGTGATTTGATGGATCATATGTGACAGGGTCTCCATCAGCATAGTCATAGAAGTGTTCTCCATACGGCGGGAATCGCTCAATGACCTGGAACTGATGGCCATGAAGATGAAATGGGTGGGATCCAGTGTCGCCGTTGTTGAGAACAATATCCACGACTTGATTATGACCCAGAACGAACGGGTGGGTGTAGTCTCCATAGACTTGGGGGTCGGAAGAGAGATTTCCCGAGGACAGAACAGAGTATAAGGTTGGAACCTTGGGCTTTGTGTAGGAAATATTGTTGAAAAATGCGTAGCTTGCACCATCCCCGAGATTACCCATTACGACCGTGAGATCGATTGTCATATCAGCATCTGGAAGAAGCGGCTGCTTGTCGTAGGGAATGAGAGTGAAATCATCATATGGATCAAGATCAGAGGCGACATCCACTTTCATGATAGCCTGAGGATGCGCTGAGCTGGCATTATATTCCAGCCAGTTAGTGTGGTTGAGCTGAAGGCTTTCGGGGATTGTGTCTAGAAGAACCGAGTCCGCGACAGTGACAATTGGGTAGTTTCGTTCGGTCGAGTTTTTCATTGTCACGAGAATAGCATAGCGCTGTGCAACGGCGATATAGAGCATATCGGCCTCACTAGGCTCCGTGTATACACCATCAATCTCAACGATGCGGAATGTGTGATCTTCGATATAGAAGTACTGTGCGACAAATGCCCCGATATTGATCAAACGGAACAAGTAGGTCTTGCCGGCTTCCACTGGGATGCTGCTGTTCATAGTATCATTGAACAGAAATGCCTGAGGAATAGGCTCCGCGCCGGTGGGGTTGTCCATATTGATGAACTTTGGCGCGATATCTTCCATAAGATCATGATACCAATCACTCATTGTGATCGTATATTCCTCATCGTACATATCGTTGAAGTACGAGTCCTTATCATGCACAATCAAGGCCTGACGGTACCCGTCTGGGTAGCAATAATCGGTATGACAGTGATACCAGTACGTTCCGTTCTGGTTCACAGTGAAGTTGTATGTGAACGATGCACCAGGCGGGATAGGGCATTGAGTCACCATGGATGGTCCATCCATATCATTTGTTCCATTTTGGTACATGCCATGCCAATGAATCGAAGTTGATTTATCGCCCAATGCATTGTATGTGTTGACAATGAGCCGGTCACCCTTGTCCACCTCAATCACTGGAAGTGGCCATTGCCCATTAATGCCGACCACTTTTCTCTCGGCAAGTCCATCAGGATTCGCATTCACCCAGGTGACATTGAAATCGAGGTTGACGGTTTTGGCTTGGCAAAGGCGAAGGAGGAAAAGCAAGAACGCGAGCGGCGAGACCAGATTCAGTGTCATATTTCTCATCGTGAGAACCGGTGCGTCTGCGGAATGAAGAAGCGTAGGGATGAAATGCCTATCATGTGTCCAGCGATTAAATTGAACACACCTAGATTACCCTGCAAGTTGAAAAATACGACAGATCCCGCGTCTGCCCACCGGGGCAGGTCCACGAGTGGTCACACCGTGATAAGATTTATCGATCTTACCGGCAGAGACAAGAAAACGCCATCAAACCTTAGCCACCGTTGGGACCCTAGCGCGAAAGACCGACTTTGGAAGGTGGAGTGCCGACGGGTCTCTGCGCGTTGGAATGGAACGGGAGAATGCAGGTGCCTGGGTTAGAAGGGCACCTGCAGTACAAATGGGGATGTCTTGCCGGACCTTCCCCTCAACCTTGGAAGGGCCCCATATGAGGATCACCTCAGGATAACCTTGGAAGGCATTTTACCCGAGTAATGTTTCCATTTGGGAAAGAAACCAACTTGTTAGGGATAATCTGATTTCGAAGGGTAAGCTGATTGGACGCTCTTCCTGGCATCCATGGGACACAGGGGCCCTTGGGCACGGGGCTAAGCTTTGCTAAGACCCGGCGCTAAGCGGTCATCTATGGGTGCCTTCGAATTCACCCACGCCATTGGCCCACAGGACACTTGGTAAAATTACACCGTTTTGCAAATTGCGATGTTCAAAGTACGCATCGCACACCTTCAAGATTCCCAGGTCTACCGTGGCTTCAATAGCCCTGGAGGGCCCCCCCGCCCCTACCTACTAAAGTGATATTCAATCTTTGATTGATCTCACCAATCTCTATCTTCATTTTTTCCCACCTCTTCCTCCAGAACCGACAGGCAATATCATGGGTAAGCTTCAGTAAACTTGACAACGGTAGAAACACCGTCACCGGGAGCTTTCTGCTTCTCCGTAGCGACATGCTCAATGGCCCCACTAGATTCCGCGACAGGCTCCTCATATGGTCTGCGCAGGATGGATGCCTTCATTTTGGCCTTGTAGTCGGTGACCTTTTTAACCGCGGGATCAATGATGGGGAGTGCACCCCGACGTTCCCGGTAGAACATCAACCCGTACCCGACCATAACGCAGATCCAGTACAAGTTGTAAGAGATCACCGATCCATAGGTGGCCGAGTTGGTCCATCCAAGCAAAGCGTTGAAGATACCCCAGCCTCCGCCGCCACCCAATTCCGGATTGCAGCAGTTGACGTGCCACACGCTTTGCTTGATATTGTACGAGCCTGCACCGGACCCCGTCTCTGACGCATCACCCCCAATGATCTTGTTCCATGTGTTGTTTTCGAAGTACCAAATGCCCCGCGAGAATAGACCACCTGCGACGAGATATAAAAAGCACGTGGAGATGATTAGGAAGATCTGCATAGATGTCTCCCGGCCACCGCTACAGTGAGTGATTAGATATACAGACCGCAGAGAATAGGGTGAAAATTTAGCGAGGGATCTTACCGGTAAATCAGATAGCCCACCAGGATTCCAGCCGCAAGACCGCAGACGACAGCCAAGGGAAATGAGGTAGCAGGGAGACCGAGACCGACGCCACCAACATAGACGACGGCCTCCAGACCTTCACGTAACACCGTCACGAAAGGCAGGATGAACATGGCATACTTCTCGAGCCATCTCTTTATCCGACCCTTGCGCAATTCATTGGGATTGTTCTCGTGCGCGAGTGCCTTGGCTAGCTTGAGACGCCATTTTTCCTGCAGCTTAGAAACGCGTAGTAGAGCAGCACCCATTATCGTGATAATGAGTGAGGCGATGATGCCCAGTACGCCTTCCCAGATGTCTTCCGTGCTGGAGAATGTATCGGTGCCGAGACCATAGAAAGCACCGATCATGCCGCCACCGACGGCAAGGCAGAGAAACAGCCCGCAAGCACATCCTGCCCAGACCTATCGAGTCGTCAGCTAGCAGCTCTGTCCAAGGATTGGGTCGTGTACACACTTGGCGCACAAGTCGCTTGTGGGTTGCGCGGTCTTCATTTCCACCCAAGGTCTGCTTCAAAAATGCCAATAAGACAGATACGACTACCGTCGTCTCTAGACACTCCCGGAAACAAATGAAAAACACTGGATCCGCCGTGTTGTTGTCAGCATCATCCTTGACTCACAGGGAACAAGGGGCAATCGTACCTGTGACCGCAAAGACCGGATTATTCCCCATGTTAGTCCCGAGGTCAAAAGTGATCAATGGAAAGAATCAGCAACGTAGAAGAAACCCCCAAGTGAGAGAAGACACAAAAGCGAAGGAATCTATGATGTTGCGAAAACGTAGTGTATTGAAAAATACAAGCGCAGTCCACGTTGCTATCTGATCAAACCTTGTTGAGAAACTAAAACGCGAAAAGGCCCCGGTTGACCTACGGCACGGGATCGTGGTATTGGCTGATCCCTCCTCTCCTTCATTTTCCTCTTGTTTTTCATCGTCCTTTTTTTGTTGAGTGCAGGGTGGGCGGCGGGATTAGGGAGGATACTACATTATCAGATCCGCATTACTATGGACACCCTGGGAGCGTGCTAAATTGCCGAAGATAGCATGACCCATGCAGGACGAATAAGAGCGCGTTGTTCCTTTCTAGCCTCCCAAAAGAAAACCTTGGAAGTACACCGATGGAGCCAAAAACTGACAATGGCCAATTATGGTGAGTAATTACACCACGTGAAAGGGAACGAGAATCAACTCGGATGTTTCGAGTAGAGCCACGAAGACCCTCGGGGATGATATATGATTTGTGCACATCGAATGATAGGTCAAGACTGCCCAGGTGCCCAAGTGGAATCTAACAAGCATGATGTACAATTATTTCAATTGAGAAGCTTCATTTTATGACGATATCATTTGATTGGATTAGATACAGGTGGCGCTTAGCTGCTTTTGGTGGCTGAGACATTGTGATCGAAGGATTGCGAAGGTCTCGCGATGGCCCGGAAAACAGTCCTCAAAAAACGTATGATATTAAATTAGTTTGTGGGCTTGAATGAATTTTGCACCTGTTTGGCTTCTTCGTCGTGACTCTTCTTGGACAATCTCTCGCTTCGATATCCCTTGAAGGTATATATCGCACTGAGAAACATCCCAAGACCACCGAGACCAATGGCCATGTATAAGGCGCCTCTGTACCCTTTCAATACATCGGCCGGTGTGCGGCCTCCATTGTTCACGTGGACCTCCACCGTACCAGCGAAACCCAGACTCAGGGAAATGCTGTAGTTGACAATGGTGGTGACCAAAGATGCGCCGACACCCTGATGCTTTCGTTCAACCGAGTTTGAAAGCATCAGAGTAGCTGCGGGGAATGACATATCCATGCCCCATGGAATCACCAAAAGGCAAACAAAGGTCAGCGCCCAGTAAGTCTGGTGGACCGGTGCAATTGCGATCAACACATTGCCCAAGGTGAACGCGCTCATTGACAGTACCATGATCCACCCAGGGCGCATGTGACCCATCAACCATCCAGTGACAACACATGCAATGATCCCCATCGGACCGACGGGGACGAATTCGGCAGATGCCAGGAGAGGCGTGGCGAGACGGAACTTCTCTTGAAACCGCCAGAAGTAATAAATCCAGATTCCGAATGAGCCCCAACCGCAGGCAACACAGCCAAGGACAAAGGAGACGTCACGACTGAAGGCGTGGAATGGGATGAGGGGGTGTTCGGCGACACAAAACTCCACATAGAAGAATGCAGCAATGAAGAGGATGCCTACGATCAGTATCACATAGACATAGGGCTCGCTCCATCCCACAATGGGCGCTTGGTTCCAAGCTATGTTGACCAGAACTAGTCCGCCGATTCCGCAGACCCCTCCAAGTGCGTCGAGGGCTTTGAGCAAGCCCAGCAGGGATTTGTCGTAGTGTGCATCGTGGTGAATGGATGGAATGACCGCAAGGCCCAACGCGGCACAAACGAGGGAAACGAGTGCTTGTGACCAGTATGTCCATGGCCACCAAGCTAATTGAGAGAAAAGCGCACCGAAGACAGTTCCGAGCAGAGCACTGTTGGGAGCGGCGGCACCAAAGATGGCGAATATCATGTTCTTTCGCTTCCCGGGTTGGTAGGTTGCTCCAAGGAGAGCCAGTGCATTTGGCAAAAGCATAGCGCCGCCTAGTCCTTGAAGAACGCGGGCAAAGATGAACAGAATGTAGTTCGAATAGACGCTCAGCCCGGCAACAAGAGACCAGACCGCAAGCCAACAGAACCCGGAGATGAACATCAGACGGTATCCGAAAAGATCACCACATCGGCCAGAGATCAGGATGAATGTCCCCACGGTGAGTGAGTAGCCGGCCATGAACCAGCTTAAAACTCCGGGGTCGGTTATTCCGAAGCTATTGCCGACGATATCGAGTGGTGATAAACATACTCCAATGTTGGTCTGGGTCATGAATTGGCCCATACAAACCACGGCGACAAAGAGAACTTCCCTGATGGGTGAAAAGGTCGCAGCGAGAGACTGCGCCGATTCTACTGGCCTAAGATCATTGTCCTTCATGGTCGATCGATAGTGGTGTCCTTACGTATCGTTCGACTTGACGGCGAAAGGTGGGAAAGAAAGCTTTCTAGACGGTGCGCTGTCGTCTCAATTGTCATCTTAGGAGGCGAGCCTGTGTCGGCGCGTAATTGTGGGCCCTTGTGGGGATAGACAGAGATTATCAGCTGCTTGTTCGTGTGCCCTGTAGAAAGGCGAGTTGAGCACCCTTTTGTGGGTCACAACCTTAGAAGTTTATGTCCTCGGCTTGACCCATCGGCATCCTACTCCGTGCAGTACAGTTGGCTTCGACGATGGCCAAATCTATCCTACTTGTACTTTATAAAAATGGCCTGAGACTCTGCGGAAACGTGGAAGGTGTCACATCTGACTTACTTCGATTCAAATCGCGTCCCCGAAACAGCAGTCTGAGCTGAACCCGCGTTGAAGACGGGCTTTATCCGAAACTTCGGATATACGGGAAACGATTCCCGCCGGCCAATCGTTCTCCGTGCCGGCTTCGGCGTTCTAGCACTTGCAGATCAGCGACAATCTGAAATCAATTGACATTTCGCCATAGCTTAACTCGAGGGATCTGCGTCTTTACTCCATACGTCTCCCAATATCGGGTCGGAGACATGATTTGAAACTCGACCATGTTATAAGTCAGAATGGTACGAATATTTATTGCCGTCCCAATATGTTGGCCATGACCTCGTGTAACTTGGAAGCACACCGAGTCGCATCGCCGAGCACTGCGTCACATCTCCAAGCGACGAATCGATCAGGCCGCACAAGAACACACCCAGTTTCATCCACCCCACGGACACGGGCCCAGTCAAAGTAGACATCCTCATAGTCTTGCCTGAAACCGATTGAGTATGCCTTGATGCTTATCCCAAGGCTAGCTCCAACCTGATCAGCAGCGATTTTCCAAGCCTGGCCACCGATACCGCTGAGAATGGTGAACAATCCATTTCCGGCAAGGTCGATGGTGGAAACACGCTGGACCGGAACAGCGGCGTTGAGCCACACGTGAGGAAGGCGACAACCGGGGTATGTGCTTCGCGTTAAACAAAGATCGGCGTCCTTGGCAACGACCTCAGGGGCATAGAAAGCCTCCTTTTCGTCTGCTGCGTATATCGCGGAGCTTTGATAATGTTGGCCCATTTCAGTACCAAGCGCATGGTACTCATGCTCTGTTTCTTCGATAGCGGCCTGGAGTCTGCTCCGGCGGGCCCGCCCTTGATCAGTAGCCAGCGTGAGTTCAGTCAGAGCTTCTACTCTGAGCTCGGTTGTTGGCAGAGTCACACCAAGGGCCTCCCATACAGGACCGTGATGGCGGAATGACGAGTTTGCGCGAGTCACCACACCGCGTCCAACGGGCTGGCGCTCTTCAGAATAGGTCTCAAGGATAGAAGGAGATGCGTGTCCTAATAATCGCGTTAGCCCGGGTCGCATCCGATCGGGAGGTATGACTTACCCTTCAAGACATGAGCGACTTTCCATGCCAAATTGTACGCATCTTGTATACATGTGTTGGAGCCAAGTCCATTCGACGGTGGGTGACGGTGAACGGCATCACCCAGACAGAATCTAGAGCAGGATTAGTTTGACCCAGAGGTTTACTGTGGGTTGTCTTACACTCTGCCCTTGGAAAACTTCTCTGCCACAACGTCGTTGATTCGCCACTTCGAGACACCTAGAATCTCCGTGGGGATTGAATCATCCCCGATGAACTCCTTCATCCGTTTCTCCCATTCTTCGTCGGTAGGTGTGACTGTCAACTCCTTTCCTCGCTCGGGGAGCACGATGAACAGCCATTCATCCCATGGCTTGACCATTCTTGCTATGCATGCCCAGCCAAAAAGAGGGTGCTCCTTGTCTGGCTGTAACAGCCAGTGTAGATTCCCAGTCCGGTATTTCATATAGCTGGAGAGATCTGCCTTGAGATGCACATTGTATGCAACTCCCTGATCAGGTCGCACATCCAGTGGAAGCTCCAATTGACTGAAGACTTGACTGCGAGCGCCATCCGCGCCAAACAGGTACTTTGAGCGGATCTGGTATAGTGCACCGGAGATGTTATCTTTCAGTGTTGACAAGACACCATGGCTATCCTCGGTGAAGCTGACAAATGTGGTATCGAAACGGCAGTTGAAGCCGTTAAGTGTGGCATTCCGAACGAGGATCGGTTCGAGCAGGGTTTGAGGAAGGTCGACCGGGTCGCAGGGACTCGCCATCTCGTAGTCACCCTGTACGTCGAGGTTAGATCTTCGCTGGCTCACTGGAGCCTAGAGACAATTACCTTTCTCTTTGGGTCGTGTCCCCAGGAATGGATTCGGGCATATTCTTCTCCCGCCATGCTGTAAGCCCATCGCGTATGCATCATGTTGAATCCATTTGTGGCGAGGCGGTTGCATTCTGCTTCTAGGCCGAAGTCCCGCAGGCATTCTTCATTGCATTCGTCAGCGCGCCGTTCGAGAAGGGCTTGCAGGAACAAGACTCACCCATGGCTGCCATATTCGTGATATGAGCTCTCGGCGTATCTGCGTTCGTGGGAGATGAGCTTATCATGGCCCCTCGAATGCCTTCGGTTTGTTAATGCCTTGTCAGTTTCAAAACGCACCATATTAGGTCCGCCCAACATACCATAATTTGCCAGAAAAGCGGCCAACGCTGCTCCAGCTGGCCCAGTACCGATTATCAGAGCGTCCATTGAGGTAACTGTCGCGGAGTTTGCGCCATCGCTGTTGGTTAGCTGGAATATCGTCATCGTCGATGGTCTCGTGAAACCTTGGCAGTGAGAAAGTGACGAAGAAGTGAAGGGATTTCCAGAAAGGGAACGTGTCCAACACCCGTGGACTTATCCAAATGGATGTCCACCAAAATTCACTAAGAGAACCAGCTACGCAGCAAGCCCCACAGCACTTAATATTTCCTACGGGCCAGGCGTTTCAAAGTTATGGGTGACTTACGGTATTCTATACCTGGGCCATGATCTACAAACAAAGGCCAAATTGGGATTAAGCATTCGAAAGAGGCGAAGAGCACCCAGCGGATGATGTCAAAACTGCCCGTCGTCCAAAATTCCTGAAGGGGAAACACTCGAATTAAGACCGCCATTGGCGGCTAAGCTTTGATCGTCCATCTTATCAGATGGGCCCAACGGGCGCCTCGGCAAAATCTTCATGCCAGATACTGCAAGTGTACAGTACTGTAAATTATCCCCCGTTTACGTTCGGAATACATACTTCCTCGAGGTGTTCAGATGGAGTGAATTGATCAATTGTTTTCGGCTCCGCTGAATAACCCAAGAGTTGGCCCCAAGATCTTCGTTCCTCCTGATCTGCGCACACTATACCCCCTGAATACTACCGCCACTCCATTTTGTCTGCTATGATGTTATGGTCGGCAAATAAATCCATTATTGACAAACTCTCAACCCCTCATCATGAGTGCCTTGCTGAACTGGAGAGCACAGATAAACTCAAGCCCTGAATTTACCTATATTTGAAGGCCCCGCCCCCAGGTTTTCCCACAAGACCTGCAACAACTATCTCCAAACCCTCAACTTGCCTCTCTTACGTATCTGAAATGTGTGACACAAAGATCGGCTTGGCCATTGCCCAGCGTTCCTACACCGAGAAGGTATTTCGGATATTGAATTCCCCGGATAGTTGACCTCGTTGACTCAGACCTTCAGGCTTCCACATCGCCTATGGCGGCATCATCGCACCTGGCGGGCCATCCAATTCAAGAACAACAATCAGCTGAAGGGGGATCAGTTAGTGAGAAATTTGGATTCATGCAAGGGTTTCCCCAGATATCATTCGTTGATGCTGTTAAATCTGCCAGCTTCACCATCTTAAGACATGAAAGCTAGAGCAAACCACGGATCATGGTTGAGGGCACCCCTTCGAGTGTTTGATAATTACGTTATGGTTGATTGTACGCAGCGATTTATGATCATGTACTATACACAGAATCGAGTGGGATCCAAGCTCTTACGACCTCGGGATGGAACAGCACCAGGTCTCTGAAGCTTCCCAGCATTACTCCGCACTGTAGGGTGCCCAGCGGTGGTCAGACTGATTGATGTCGGTCTGGTGTATTGAGGCGGCCCTTGCTTTATGTACAAGAGAACTGCGACGATCGCTCATGAAAAGTGACGTAGAAGCCTACTTGACTTCCAAGGTTGTAAGCGTGAGATGCTCCAGATGTCCGATGTACACCTGTTTGAACAAGAATTGCAGATCTCGACAGCCGACCCGGAGCTTTCGAGTGAAGTGGAGGTCTGACCAGTTAATCCCCTATGCGCTTAGGCCGCCAAACAAGCTTCCAACAAAAGATTAGAAGGCCGCAGATCCCAAGTGTCGCCCGCTGATCTCCAAGGCTTTGTTCCGGGTGGCGCCAGCCATGACGCGGGAAATGATCTTATCTGATCTGATCGAAAATGAGGGAAAATAAAAAACATTCGGAGGAAATTCTAGAGCGCTCGGTGGAAACTCGCTATGGGGCCAAATTAAATGTCCCGGAGCAGAATACCAGGATGGGCTCTAGAATCTGCAGGACAAAATCCACAGGATTCCTGAGGTCTTGGCGACGCACAGTCGTCGCGGGTATATCGCTGACAGCTAAAACAAACCCCTTTGAGGATCCGGTGAAACACGGAGTCCGACTTCCCCTGCATTTAAGGCAAGCCACATGAAGAGAATCGGGACACCGGCAAGGTTGCCCATCCCGACAATGATCGGCATGCCGGAGTCTCAGGAATATGTATTTGTAGCAACTGACTAAAGATGAGTAAGATCGCGGGTGGACCGGAAATATTAAGGGTACACCTGTCAAGAGCCTACAATATTTCTTCTCTGATCCACTTGAGGAGGGTCTCCTGTTCTTTTCAGTGCAGAACACCCCTCTGGTGCCTTGGCGTTTCTATCCGATGTTCGGAATTGCGGACGTCCGTCAATATCTTGCTGAAACTTAGATTGGAGTGGATCTATAGCGTGCTAACTGCTCAATTCTAGATATTCACGCTCCTTTGTGACTCGCCATCGCGCATTGCACCTTTTGGGAATAGGCTGGCCTGACCGAAAGTTTCATTAGGTCGTTGTAGCGATGGTGGATCGTGATGATTGGAAATCACAAATTGGGCGGGAGTGTAAAAGTATAAAGTAAACCGTGTAGTTTGAAGAAACACCTCTTGTCGTTAGAGTAGTGAAATCTTCTTCCTTCATCTTGCCTCAGGCATTTTCTGTATTAATCCACATTCGCCATGCGCAACCTCATCGGCCTGGCACTGCTCCCACTGGCAGCTGCAGTCCCCCATGCCTCCCATAACTCAGACTCCAAGTACGATTACATCGTTGTCGGAGGTGGAACGAGTGGTCTTGTGGTAGCCAACCGACTCTCCGAGAAAGAGAACATCAACGTCCTCGTCATTGAGGCTGGTGGCTCCGTTTACAACAACCCGAATGTGACCGACACTCTCGGATACGGCAAGGCCTTTGGCACCGATATCGACTGGGCCTACAAGACAACAGAACAGGAGCATGGCGGAGGAATTGTGCAAACAGTGCGTGCCGGAAAGGCGCTCGGAGGAACGTCCACTATCAACGGCATGGTGTACCTTCGCGCTCAGACCGCGCAGATTGACGCCTGGGAAGCCGCCGGCAACAAGGGCTGGAACTGGAAGAACCTCTTCCCCTACTTCAAGAAGGGAGAGCAGTTCCAAAGCCCCGAAAAGTACTCGTTCCTTGACGGATCCGGTGTTACTTACGATCCAGCCTACCACGGCTTCAATGGCCCGTTGAAGGTCGGCTGGTCTTCAACTCAACTGAACGATGGTCTTGCGCAGAAGATGAACACCACATACAAGAACCTCGACGTTCCCGTTCAGTTCAACAAGGACCCCAATGGCGGAGACATGATCGGATACAGCCTCTACCCCAAGACAGTCGACTCTGAGTTGAACATTCGCGAGGATGCCGCTCGTGCCTACTACTACCCTTACCAGAACCGGACCAACCTTCACGTTTGGCTCAACACTCATGCCAACAAACTCACTTGGAAGGATGGCAAAGATGTCACTGCTGATGGCGTTGAAGTCACACTCTCCAATGGCACCACCACTGTCGTGAAGGCTTCTCGTGAAGTTATTCTTGCCGCCGGCTCGCTGAAGTCCCCAGTTCTGCTTGAGCTCTCCGGTGTCGGAAACCCAGAGTAAGTCTCAATGTATCCCCCCGATATGAGAACGCAGTAACCCTAACCATCACAACAGTATTCTGTCCAAGTATGGCATCGACACGAAGCTCAACATTCCTACCGTCGGCGAGAACCTCCAGGACCAAATGAACAACGGACTCCAGTTCGACGCCAAGACCAGCTACAACATGAGCGCAGACTATGTCTCCTACCCTTCCGCGGCTCAGCTCTTCCCCAACCACACCGCTGTCGGCAACGAGCTCCTCCGCAAGCTTCCCGCCTACGCGGCCAAGGTTGCCTCTGCAAACGGTAACGTCACCAGCGCCCGTGATTTGCAGCGCTTCTTCAAGATCCAATGGGACCTTATCTTCAAGTCCGGTATTCCCGTTGCTGAAATCCTCCTTGAGCCCTCTGGAACCACATACGACACTGAATACTGGGGCTCTGTTCCCTTCTCTCGTGGCAATGTCCATCTTTCCTCTGCCGATCCCACCGCCGCGGCTATAATTGACCCCAAGTACTTCATGCTCGACTTTGATCTGCATGCTCAAGTCGAGGCCGCCCGATTCATTCGTGAAATCTTCAAGACCGAGCCCTTTGCTAGTATGAGTGGAGATGAGACTAGCCCTGGCTTGTCTTCCGTTGCTGCTAGCGCTGGTGATGAGGGATGGTCTGACTTTATCAAACAGAACTGTATGTTTCCCAACTCTATCACACACATTATGGATTACTGACAATTTACCAGACCGCTCGAACTTCCACCCGATCAGTACGACTGCCATGTTGCCCAAGGAAGTGGGTGGAGTTGTCGACACTTCTCTCAAGGTCTATGGAACCTCGAATGTCCGCGTTGTCGACGCCTCCGTCATCCCCTTCCAAGTCTGTGGCCACCTGCAGAGCACGATTTATGCGGTCGCTGAACGTGCTGCCGATATCATCAAAAAGCAGCTGTAACCCCCCTGGTGAAGCGACTCAGCTAGAATCGGGGATGGGTGTTACCTTCTCATGTATCAATTATAAGATTTGTTTACTCAGTTGCGATGAATCCAAAAAAACTCTTCGGTCATTCAATGAGGCTCCTGTGCTATTGTAGTGTCATGGAGATGATTTTCGATGAGATTGGATTTTCTTCAGAATTTCTCTCGCGATTCGAGATGTTTCAAGGGATACTCCCACGTTAATTGTTTGACCGATAGTACTCCGTACATGATTTGTCTTTCTGAGATCGTAATGCAGCCGGCTCTCATCACAGTTGTGTGCACAAACAGTCGAAAACCTTTCACTCGGGCTTACATGGGTGGTTTAGTTGTCAAGGGGAGCTCGAAAAAGTTGACCAAGTCTTCATGTTCTGACTTCAATCAAGTTTGCTAACGGTGACAGCCACGGAATTCATTTATGCTGCCCCTTCTTCCCCGAGGTCGGCAATGTTCAGACTTGACAGATGCTGCACGATCTGGCGCTCTGGGTATCTGAAAGGTTGTGCTTCCCTGTTACCAGGACGTCCCTGTCGAGCCTCCGACTCGGGATGTTCCGTTTGGTATTCGGGAACAGCGATATTCAAGTTCGACATTTGCTGGGTTATTCCGCGCTCGATAACCGACGAAGCTGTAGATCTCAACGAGGGGCGGGATCGTTCTGGGAGTGGTTTGCGACTGCGGGGTGATAGCGAGCGTCGGTCTCGCTTGTTTCTTCGAGCTCTCTCATTTCGAGCATCGGAAGGTTCACGTAGGTGGTCGCGGATCCACATGAGAGCTCTGGTGGTTACAGAACAAAAGAGCACGCTGTAAGATACCTGAAAGGTGACCACCCGGTCGACCCATCTCATCCTGATGATATCGTGCTGAATTTGAGTAGTCTCCGGGCCGGTTTGGCTTGGGCCGTATCGGTGAATGAAAACTCGCTGAGTAGGCATAGCTTCAAAGCTCAGAAGTCTTCCATCCTCTCCGTCGGCATAGCTTGTCTTGGTAACCTGAAAGCGCTGGAATTCTCCAAGAGCACACACGTCGTAAATTTGTCCGAATTCCACTTCCAGGTGGGGGTAGTTCATATTGAAAATGATCTCGAGCTGATGATTCTCGCCGAAAACAAGCTCCGCAATTCCTTGCATGCAAGTATCTTCCCCTAGACTTTGCATGTCTGGAACGATCATCCTGCAGTTGAACTGTCGCCCAAGAGCGCGGAACTCGTCGATCAGAGAGGCAGCCGTCACAACAGCGGTATCAGAATACTGAGACCAAGACTCTGATGTCATCTTGCCGGAAGTGGTGGTATTCTTTCGAATGAAAGAGATGTGGGTATTGAGAGCCCGTGGTCTGGGATGTTGAGATGAGAAAGCGCTCAAGTCGATCGACCGAGGAGGAAGGTTACAAGAAGGCACAGGTTCAGATGAAGAGGTCTCTGTAGATAAAAACTTTCGATAAAAACCCTCGAATGGCCTCAGCGGTGGGAGAGTCGATGGGCTGATGGAAGTATTGAGATATCTCGCTCGACTTTAAACCGCAACAATTGAACACCACGTAGGTATAGACAATGGGGAATCTAAAATACTACTTAACAAATATCCTAGGAATAAAAGAGCATTTCTTGTATCAATAGAATGGTCAATTATTCATTGTAGTCCCCCGCCTACCTTAGCTCTGAATAGATCGATGAATGAATCGATTCAGAATGAGCACTGCCCTATTGTACAGGCTGTCTCCGGATGTTTGACCAATGAATGACCACCCTAGAGCGAGCACATTGATGCAGATCAAATCTACTTTCGCCAATTGTTCCCGTAAACATCATCTCCAAGACGCGATCAGTGCGACAGGGTTGACATTATGACGCCTTTGCACAGACGTTGCTTTTGAATTGACGAATCAGGAACCACCCACGCGTACGCATTAACACCTCGTGATTTGAGGCCCAAATCGAGCATAAAAAGCAGGAACTCTCAAACACTTTCCATCTCACAATGGTATCTTCTATCTTGTCTCTTACTCCCGCGACCACCACTTCTTGAAATGTCTGAGCCATCTACCCTTCAACTGACCCAAACCTTCCACTACTCCACCTCCACTCATACCTACCAGATCCGCTGGGCTTCACTCGGAGAACAAGGTCTGCCACCTTTGATATTTGTTCATGGCACACCATGGTCTTCGAAAGTATGGCACAGCCTCGCCCAGCCCTTCGCGAATCGTTTCCACGTATATCTCTTCGATAACCCCGGCTTCGGCGAAAGCCCTCTCGGTCGCCCACTACCTAGCGCGGAGCAAGACACCCAAATGAGCAGCAAAGTTGCTTTGGACGCAGATCTATCTCAACAGAGTGAGGTCTTCGCCGCAATCTACAAGTTCTGGGCAAAGAATTGGCCTGAAACAGTGAACGCCCATGTCGTTGCCCATGACCATGGCGGCTTGATGAGTTTGCGCGCTCATCTCCTCCATGGTTGTGAATTTGCAAGTTTATGCTTGATCAATGTTGTTGCGATCGGGCCGTTTGGGCAACCTTTGTTCAAACTGGTAGCCGAGAACGAAAACGTCTTTAATTCGCTGACTGGTCCCGTATTCGAGGGTGTTGTTGAAGCCTATATCCGGGACGCTGCATGCAAAGAGCTGAGCAAAGAGACAATGTTGTTACTGAAGAATCCTTGGGTTCTTACCGACGAGGGTAGAAGGGGGTTTGTTCGACAAATGATTCAGGCCAACAGCCGCAGTACCGAGGAAGTTGAGAACAGATACCATGCAGTGGGGGAGAAAATACCAGTGCAGATCATTTGGGCAACTGAGGATAAATGGATCCCTGTGGAGACGGCGGAGCGTCTGAAGAGCAAGGTAAAGGCCCAGAGTGTGGCTTATATCGAGAAAGCGGGACATCTGGTCATGTATGATCAAGAGGGAAAGCTGGGCGTTGAGCTTGGATGGTGGCTTAGATCTCATGTCTAAGAGTCTACATACTTTGTATTGAAGGGTGCTTTAGCTTGCATCGCCCTGGGGATATCTTGAAACTTGAAAATGCCCACCCCAGATGGACGCTCAGGCGAATATAATCAGATCAATTTACGAAGAGGATTGGGTATGACTCTCCATGTACCTAGGTATACACACTGTCTATGCTTGGTGAACTTGAACAGCTTGAACTTGTTTGGCTTCAGTCATGACATTCCTAGGGTATGCTCAGGTGACAACGTATCACAATACTAATCAAGCTCGCCAATACTCTATCTCTCTGGGTATCACAGAATAGAGCCAAGCAAGGGGGTTATAGCAGTGTTTTTGCTTGATGCCTCTTCCTAAAATCAGGCGGCTCGAGTTTCGCTAAGTACAGTGTGCGGGAACCGGTAACCACAATTGGTCTCCTGACCTCGGGGTGTCAATCTTCCTAGGCTATACCTAGGTATGTATCTCAGGATAATCCGAAACACCGGTCCAGCCGGAGGCCGTTCGTTGGTCGTTTGGGGTAGTTGAAGATGACTTGCAGGGGTAAGACGAAAAATCCACTTGCCTGTCTGCCCCCACTTTATCGGGTATCCGGGTATCTCAACGACCCTCATACCCGTACACGGGACATTCTCTGATACAGATAGGCGTAGTTCAAGAAGTATTGCGTGATCTAACGGAGAACACTCATGTCACATATCTTAGAAAAATAGATATAAAAGGGTGAATCGGTTAGAATCACTGCCTCACACCACTCCTCTGAACACACAACACAACCAACACTGCATTCTACATACCTTCAACGAAATGCCACAAAAGCTAGTCATCATTGGTGCTGGATTTGGTGGTGTATGGAGCGCGCTATCAGCCAAGCGTCTTCTGGGTCTCGCCAACAAGCAGAATGAGATCGAGGTCGTCGTCGTTGCCCCCAAACCAACCTTGGTGATGCGCCCTCGACTCTACGAGTCCAACGCCTCCAGTCTGGTTCACCATCTCGATGTGCTATTTGAAGAAGCCGGCATCAAGTTTATCTCCGGTATTGCGCATGCCATCCACACCGAAGAGCACACCGTCGATATCAAGTCTGCTTCTGGTCTCGAAACAACAGTCAACTACGACCGCCTCATTATTGCCGCTGGAAGCTCTGTTAATCGACCCCAAGCAATCAAAGGTATTCAAGAGCATTCCTTTGATGTCGATTCTCTCGAAGGAGCTGTCAAGCTGGAGGCACACCTTGAGGGCCTTGGCGCACAGGGCGCAAGCCCAGGCCGCGATACCGTTGTCGTGTGCGGCGCTGGTTTCACAGGCATTGAAATCGCCGCGGAGCTACCTCGACGACTTGCTCACATTCCCAATGCACGCGTCATCCTGGTCGGAAACGCGAATGAGGTTGGCCCCGATTTTGGAACTGAGCCGCGTCCCGCAATCGCGTCGGCTCTGGCAGATCTCGGCGTTGAATTCAAGCTCGGATCTGGAGTCGCCGCAGTTGATTCATACGGTATTACTCTCGCAAATGGTGAGCGTCTCGAAACAAAGACAGCTATCTGGACTGCTGGAGTGAAAGCTACACCCCTGACAGCACAGATTCCTGGCCAAAAGGATGCTATGGCGCGTCTCTATGTCGATCAGCATCTCCGCGTCTCGTCTGCAGATGGCGTTTTTGCTACAGGCGACGCCGCCTGTGCCATTGCCGATGGCAAAAGCCAATATGCTTTGATGTGTTGTCAACACGCCATTCAGCTCGGCCGGGTGTCAGGTCACAATGCTGCTGCTGCGCTCCTGGGTGAGCCTCTCATCGACTATTCACAGGCTGCATACAATTGCTGCCTTGATCTTGGGGCCTGGGGTGCGCTGGTTGCCAGTGGCTGGGATAGAGAAACCATCAAGCTTTCTGGGGATACTGCGAAGCGAGTGAAGTGCTACATCAACCAAAAGTTGATTTATCCTCCCGACAACGCTCAGGAAGCTCTCGACTCGGCTGATCCTGTTGGTTTTGACTCTGATCAGCTCTTCGAACAGCTAACTCAGATTGCTGGATAATTTAGAGGTACAAATATTCGCGTTTGCAGAAGCTCATGTATTTAATTAGAACTCAAGAATTTTTCTCCGCTCTAACCTGACAAACCTATGAAGATGAAAACTAAGGGATTTCCAATTCCATTTCATCTATCTCATATTCCATGATTCTCGAAATGACTCGTAAATTCCTAAAATAGGCCGAGTTGGGCCCGGACCTCGGGCCCAAAGCCCACTCCTCGGGCCTGCTTCCGGGCCCTTAGTAAAGCTCAGGATACCCGACCGGGGCGGCTTTGTGGTAATTTTATTAGAGTTACTTCTAAGGGTACCACTTATACCTTGTTTAAATTCGAGGCATAACTTGATAATAGCGTTGTTGTAATGATAAGGCATTACTGTCAAAATAGTTCGGGGTTGAAAACAAAGTAGGAAAAACTGTATTTCAAAAGCTTCGAAAACCGGAGAATCATCAGTACCCATGGACTTTCAGTATGTTTGGGGCCCGTGGGGCCCGCCAAAAAGCCTTAAGGGCCCGGCTTTTGGGCCTAAAGCCCAGTTCAATCGTGAGCTCGGCCGGGTTCGGCTCTGGGCTTTGTGGGCCAGTGCGGGGGTTATTCTTCGATAGCCCCCCCCCCATCAATTTGCATCACTTTAATTTGGTAGATATTGTCGTCTTCTGCAAATCAAATCATTGAATATCTGAGCTATTTCTGCGACACAATAAAAGATTCGGAAGCTTCTACCGCGCAGCTGGGGATCATTTCATTTCTTTGTTTTATGATCGATTCCGTATAACGCCAACAAAGTACTGCAATAAGCTCGTGTCTCTTTCAGATTTATATCTGCTCAATTGGGAAAAGAAATTATCCGCGGATACTACTAGATATTTCAAAGGGTCTTAACCAGAAATATGGGCGATACATAGAGGCATCACCCCCTTGATAGGCTACGAAATTGGATTGATAGCCTATTGCCCGGATGTGGGTCATGCCAGCCCTGGAGGTGTCCAACGGTACATTCTACCACACCAGTCTGCTGTTTCATGATGGAATACGATCCGTGGTGCCGATCAAAAGTTCAGAATAAACGATGATATATCAAATATGTTTGGAAAGATTTTGAAGTATCGATCTCCATTGACATTACGGGTAGAATTTCGGGCGTCCCATCAGTCCTTGGATGGACGATTCGTGGTGATAGCCTTGAGAATTGCCTCCGCGCCACCACTGATCAAACTCGCTGCCATGTCTCTTCCCAACTTTCCTGCTTCATCATAATTCTCGATCTTAGTCACAATTGTGTCTTCAACGCTCTCCGACCCATCCAGACTGACAACAATAGCAGCCATCTTCAGCTCGTCGGATCTTACCCATTCTGTTTCAACGCCAATAGGAACACTGCAGCCGCCCTCGAGGGTCCTCAAAAGTTCCCTCTCCGCAAGGCAGGCAAGCGTAGATTTCCGATCACCCAACTGCTCAAGCAACTTCTGCATTTCAACATCTCCCTTTCGAATTTCTAGCCCAAGAGCTCCCTGTCCAACAGCATGGAAGATTCCTCCATCCTTAGAGCCCAGATACTGATCAATACGAGGATCTAACCCCAAGCGCTCAAGACCAGCAGCAGACATGATCATACACGTGTACTCACTGTCCGGGTTATCGACCTTCGCTAGACGAGTTTCCACGTTCCCACGCAGGTTCGCAAACCGGAGATGGGGATACAGGCGACTAAGCTGGGCCGAACGTCGGACGGAAGATGTCCCCACGACTGCGCCTTCGTGAAGATCCCTCAAGGTCTTGAACGGCAGACCAGACTGCACAATCAGCGCATCGCGGGGATCATCTCGCGGCGGGATTGCCGCGATCTCACACGTTTCTGGGATTTTTGTTGGCATATCTGATTCCATTAGCTAGGATATAAAGTTGGGAGCGTATATGGATCAACTGACCTTTGAGACAATGCACAATGATGTCTAATTCACCAGAAGTGAGCTTTTCCTCTAGTTCCGTCGTCCATAGACTCTTGGCGTTGATCTCGGGAAGAGCTGTGACTTTGTCTCGATCGCCGGCTGTGTGAAGAGTTTCAATCTCAATGGAGAGGCTTGGGTTGAGCTTCTTTAGTTGATCGCGGATACCCTCAGCCTGGACCATGGCCAATTTGGATCGCCGGGTACCAATTCGCACCGGCTTTGAGGTGGTCGACTGAATCATTTCGACGGATTGGGTAAACGAGGATGATTTTACTAGAAGAGAGGTTGTCGAGCTCTATATGAAGACCTGGGGGTCGAGTAGAAGACCAAAGCAGATTTTGTGTACGAGTCAGACAACTAACCCACGTCTTAGCGTGATCCGGAGCCGCCGCCCGCGGGGCTGCCATCAGCATCCACAATGTACAATTAGGTGTTCTGGTTTAAATTGTAGATATTTTAACTTGGTTTTATTGCGTGTGCAAGGCTCTGGAGCCCCGGGGCTAGTAAAAGCAACTTATAATGTTGACTCCCTCGTCGACCGAGATACTCCATACGCCCATGGACCCTGGCGCACAGTGGCAGCACGAAGCCGAGCCTTCGGCACCTGGGGCGGCGGCCGTGGTTGAGTGATGACCGACGGCCCGGGGGGTCACTAGAGCCTACCAAGCCCTGGGACCGTTAAAGTACTACAGGCGAAGATAGTATTATGATTTGACTACGAAGGCAAAGAGGTATTGTGGAATAAATAATATTGACAACTGTTTCTATAGGATCATAGAAACAGCGACCGGATTTGACAATGCAAATCCAGTCAAGCAAGGTTTGTAAACCTCGCACATGTGGTAAACCACACAATGTTGAAATAGTAAAGCCGACACCGAACACCACGACGACAGTAGGTCGTGGCGTAGGTATGCCGACTTGAAATCGTCATTCATGTTGAAACTCCAGGCCCGCTTTTGGTATCCTCTAGAAAACCCGTTGAAACCCATATGTTGAACTTTTGGTATCATCGTCGTAACTCATCAGAAAACAAAACTCCTCAATCCTTGAGGTGACAGGTTGATTGTCACCTCCGCATTAAAATTAATGTAAGTTGAATGCATTTACTGCGCGTACTTCGCACGGAAGAACTTGGCAGCGTTGACCATGTTGGTCAGGGCGGCCTTGGTCTCCTCCCAGCCACGGGTCTTTAGACCACAGTCGGGGTTGATGTTGAGCTGAGCAGGAGTGAGGTACTGCAGCATCTCCTCGATGCGGACCTTGATCTCCTCCTCGGAGGGGATACGGGGAGAGTGGATGTCGTAGACACCAGGGCCGATGTGACGGGGGTACTTCTCGTCAACGAAGACGCGGAGCAGCTTGGCATCGGACTTGGAGTTCTCAATGGAGAGGACATCGGCATCGAGGGCAGCGATGGCGTGGAAGAAGTCCTGGAACTCAGAGTAACAGAAGTGAGAGTGGATCTGAGTTCCGTCGGTGACACCGGCGGTGGACAGCTTGAAGGAGTCGACGGCCCACTTGAGGTAGGCAACGCGCTCGGAGCCGGTGCGGAGGGGAAGACCCTCACGGAGAGCGGGCTCATCGACCTGGATGACCTGGATACCAGCGGCCTCAAGGTCAACAACCTCGTCACGGATGGCGAGGGCGAGCTGCTGAGCCTGGACGGACTGGTGGACATCGTCACGGGGGAAAGACCAGCGGAGACAGGTGATGGGACCAGTGAGCATGCCCTTCATGGGCTTGGGGGAGACGGAAGCGGCGTACTTGGACTCCTTGACGGTCATGGGAGCAGGGCGAGAGACATCACCGACAATGATGGGGGGACGCACGCAACGAGATCCGTAAGACTGAACCCAGGCGTGGGTGGTGAAGACGTAACCGGTGAGACGCTCACCGAAGTACTGAACCATGTCGTTACGCTCGGGCTCACCGTGGACGAAGACATCGAGGTCAAGCTCCTCCTGGATCTTGACGACGTCACGGATCTCCTTCTCGATGAACTTCTCGTACTCCTCGGGGGTGATCTCACCCTTGGTGAACTTGTTGCGCTGGATACGGATCTCCTTGGTCTGGGGGAAGGAACCGATGGTGGTGGTGGGGAAGAGAGGGAGCTTGAGGGTCTTGGTCTGCTCGGCAAGACGCTGAGTGAACTCAGAGCGACGGTTGTGCATGTCGGCAGTGACGGCGGCCTGGCGGGCCTTGACAGCGGGGTCGTTGGTGCGGGCAGAGGAGGCACGGGCCTGAACAGACTTGGCGTTGGCCTCGAGCTGCTCGCGGACAGCGGCGGGGCCCTCGGTGACAGCCTTGGCGATCACAGCAACCTCGAAGGCCTTCTCAACGGCGAAGGAGAACCAGTCACGAACCTCAGCATCGAGGGTCTTCTCGCTGGCGAGGGTGTGGGGAACGTGGAGCAGGGAGCTGGAGGTGGCAACGATGACGCGGTCCTTGCCGAGCTTCTGGATGGCGTTCTCGACCTTCTCGATGGCGGCCTTGAAGTTGGTCTTCCAGATGTTACGGCCGTCAACAACACCGGCGGAGAGGACCTGGTTGGGACCGAGAGCGGCGACAACGGTGTCGAGCTGCTCAGGGTTACGGACAAGGTCAACGTGGATGGAGTGGAGGCTCTGGAGGTTGGCGAGGACATCAATGTTGTGGACGATGTCACCGAAGTAGGTGGCGAGGGTGATGCGGGGGGCGCTGGCGCCGAGGCTGCCAAGCTTCTCGTAGGCGGGCTTGAAGGCAGCCTTGTTCTTCTCAGCGAGATCGAAGACGAGGACGGGCTCGTCGATCTGAACGTCCTCGGCACCGGCGGCCTTGAGCTTGGTAAGGAGCTCGGCGTAGAGGGGCAGGAGCTGGTCGAGCTGGGAGATAGGCTCAACGGTCTGGCCACGGTCGGCCTTGGCGAGAGTCAGGAAAGAGACGGGACCGAGGATGACGGGGCGGGTGGTGATGCCAGCGGCCTTGGCCTCGAGGAACTCAGCGACGGGCTTGGGCTCAGCGGCAAGCTTGTACTGCTGGTTGTCCTGGAGGGTGGGCTTGACGTAGTGGTAGTTAGAGTCGAACCACTTCACCATCTCGAGGGCGGGGACATCAATGCCCTCAGCGGGCTTCTGGAGACCACGGCCCATGGCGAAGTACTCATCCAGAGCGTGGAGGTTGTACTTGGAGTAGCGCTCAGGGATGGTTCCGAAGAGCTGGTGGTGGTCAAGGACCTGGTCGTAGAAAGCAAAGTCGTTGCTGGGGATGACATCGACACCAGCATCTTGCTGGATCTTCCAGTGCTCCAGACGGAGACGCTTGCCCTCAGCGAGGAGCTCATCACGGGAGATCTTTCCACCCCAGTAAGCTTCGGTGGCCTTCTTCAGGTCACGAAGCTTACCCATGCGGGGGAAACCCAGAACAGATGATTGAACCATTCTGATGGATATGTGTAAAAAGAGGGAAAGAGGATGGAGGTTCTCAAGGGTAGAATTTTCACAAATCCAAGCCTTTGAGAGAGAGAATGAAGAAGAGAAGGGAAAGGAGGGAAACGCTCGAAGAAAAATGGAGGGGAAGCCAAACGCTAATCCCAAAGAGGAAATACGATGTTGGAGGGGCAAGAGGTACGGAGTACTGTCTGGAACCTACGGTATCCAAGGATACCGTGTCCATACCCGGGGATGCTGCTTCTCCAGCCAATTAGAGGGGGTGATTGCACGGCGATCATGTAAGTTACTGTTCTGACAGCGTATCGACCAGCGCCAATACGTCCCACAATCTCCGGGATCGGGCCCCCGAAGGGCGATCACGCCATTTGCTGTCGATAAGAAACTGTTATTTTCATACTCTGTATACTTACGAACTGCTGTTAATGCTACTGTACTACTCCGTATTCTGCTCTAAATGATCCCAACACACATAGTATGTAGAGTATCCTCATAGTTCAATGAGCGGTCAATTGTCCCAGGACTAGCCAGCTCCGAAGCCCCATTATGGAAGCACGGGGCAACGTCAATTTGACCCCGCCACTTTGTAATTGGGACACACCAATTGATCTTAGTAAACGCACTGTCTAGCCCTGGAGGTAGCCCTGATGTACGAAGTAGTTACAGTGTGCAACATCCGCGGTACTACGGAGTAGTATGTGTTGGACAACATATGCATGCATGCCTTGCGACTTTGTCCCAATGGCATCAATTGGGTGCTCCCGACGGGATACACGTGGAGCACTTCATCCATACAAACCTACTAAGACGTTCTGAAGTTCTGGTATTTGCCATCCATATGAGTCAAAACCCCCCGGTCTCGGTGTTGAGCTATGATCGTCCCACGTGATACCGTGATAGGAAGGGAAAAAGTTAATTTCCACGGGAAAAAAAAACGAATCGAAAAGGAAAAAAACCATTGGAAAAAAATTCAGTCCACTAGTCGGGTGATTCCAGCAGACCTCCAAGTGACAACTCACATCATGGCATCCATCGGTCAAGTCAACGCAGCCAAGAGTCAAGGCGCCCCGAGTGCCGAGCTTCAAGACTCCGCAGTTTCTGTGACTAATGAAGATGATCGCGACCTGCTGAAGCTTGGCTATCGCTCGGTGTTGGCACGGAGCTGGGGATCCTTCGATAACTTTGCCTGCTCTTTCTCGGCCCTCAATGTCATCGGCGGGATCCGTGTTCTGTTCTATATTGCCCTCAGTGGAGGTGGTCCAGCAGCCATGTAAGCACAGATCCTGCATTTTCATCGGGGATCGGTCCTCGGTGTTCCAACATCGGCTTCCGGGCTTTGAGAATCGGTAGCTAACCAATTCAGATGGAGTTCCTGGGTCTCCGGTAGCATCCTCTCCGTGATCACCGCCGCGTGTCTCGCCGAAGCGTGCTCGAGTTACCCTGCCGCGGGTTCGATATATTACTGGGCATTCCGATCTTGGGGAGGCGGTCAAGTGGGACGGTTCATCTCGTTTATGGTTGCTGCGTGGACACTAGTTGCTTGGACTGCCTTCCTGGCGAGTGACTCCTTCGGTGTTGCCAACTACCTCATCTCGGAAGTGGTCGTCTTCGACCCGCACACCAGCTTCCCCTATGAGACCTCCGATGTGCGCGCGCGTGCTGTAGCATGGGTTTTCTCCCTTCTGTTCTTGGGAATTGCCACGTCGCTGAACTTCCTTCCTCCGCGCATGTACTCCTGGGTGTTTCGCGCAGGTGTCACCGTGATCATCATCGACATGCTGCTCAACTTCATTTGGCTCCCCATCGGCGTGTCGAACAGTTACGGATTCCAATCGGCTGAGTTTGTGTTCACATCCCAATACAATGGTGGCGATACCAGTCCTGGATTGAATTGGGTTCTTTCCTGGTTCATGGTCGGTAGTTGCCTTGTTGGACAGGATGCATCAGGCCATGTCGCTGAAGAGACCGTTTCGGCCAAGAAGGCAGCTGCGAAGGGGATCTTCTGGGCGACAGTCGCATCTGCGCTGTGTGGTTTCCCGATCATCATCTTGTTCCTGTTCTGTATGCCTCCCATCGAGACATTCTACGGCACCACCGCGCCGCAGCCATTCATCAACATGTATGCAATGGCGCTTGGTCCCCACGCACATGTGGTTGCGACCATCGTCGCAATGGTCGGGGCCATTCTCAACACTTCCATCTCTCTAGTTGCTGTATCGCGACTTGTCTTCGCTGTCGCTCGCGATGGAGTATTCCCATTCAGCGAAGTGCTATCTCGCGTCTCGAAATCGAAGCAGCCTCACAATGCGGTCATTTTTATTTCCACGATTGCTGCACTTCTGTTGTGCACGCAATTACCATCCCAGGTCGCTTTCTCCAGCCTGATCTCCACCTCGGCTGCAGGCTCGCTTGCGGCGTACGGTCTTGTTGGCATCGGCCGCGCATTCATCACACGCAAGACTTTCCGCCCTGGGTTCTGGGACATGGGCCGTTTTGGCGTGGCAGCTGCTGTGGTCACCTTCATGTGGAACGGGTTCGCATTCGCCGTTCTCTGTGCTCCAACATACTCGAATAGTGCGATCGATCAAGACTCCAGTCTGTTCAATTACGCAATTGTGATTATGGGTGGTGTCACCATCCTCGCAATTGCTGAATGGTGGCGCAAGTCTAACGACGATTGGTTCACGCACCTCAAGATCGTTGATTCCGATACCGAAACCACGCACACTGGCCGTGAGGAGAAGCTTGAGCCCTCCGCGGTCCCAGTTTAGGTGGTCATTGGGCAGCTTTGCAGCAGCTCTCGTCCTCAGGTGTCATAGCGATCCCCGGGGAACTGTAAAACAGCAAATGGGTTTGGGGTTTTGCATCCATACAGGGATGCCATAGGTGAGTGTACTTTTTTGCGGCACGCATGACGGGTGTTCGAGGCTATGTGTCTTTGGTCTCTCCAAAGCACAAGCCTCGTTCTGAGATATTACCGTTAAAACTTGATCTGGACAATACCAGCGAAAGGACATGCATGCTCTATCCCTCTTCTCTCCCTTGTGGTGTCTGCCTTGTGTTTATCTCAAGGCAGATATTGCTGACTGTCTCATTGGAGGCTGTAGATGCAGGTTGCTATTGGCAGGTGAGTAAACGACCTCGGGTCTCCCTTTACTGGGCGTGCTGCATTCCTACCTTCTTGTGGAATGACGGGCCCCTGTTACGACCGTGTCGTACTAGACTCCCCTTCGACTGTTGGCCCCTCCCCTAGCATATCCTGAAATTTGCAGCATGAAGTACACTTGCATCGGTGGTTGGGGGCTGCAGTTTGCTGGGGCGGTTCACAAGGGTGTTTGACTGCCAAGACACCCGTGGCAGCATGTCTAAGTGGTTTGGTCGACTAGTTGGCCACTAATAGCAATCTGCTGTAGACCTGTAAGTTTGTAGCAACCTTGGAAGTGACTCGAAGATGTAGCCAGCAACCAACCGCAGTTGCACCGGTACCGGGACACCGTCGCTGTCGCAACCTTGGAAGTATTGTATAGTGTCATTATCCGCAGGCCGAGAATTTGATCTGCTCAATCTGCGATCAATTGAGTTCTTCTTGTCTCAACCAGACCTGTTCCTTCGATGAGGGGCAAAGGGGATCAAGTACGACTAAATAACCCAGGCCATGGAGAACCTTGGGGGTTTTGCCAAGCGCACCTGACGTCAAGGGCATCGTGTTGATCATTTCCGAATGCGTACCCAGATGCTCCCCTCACAGCTCTCATCTCCAACATCTTCATGTCAAAACACTATTGTTCAGCTACAATCAATAGACTCTCCATATCATGGCATTCACTCACCGACTGGCCATTCTTCCTGGCGGCCTTGGTAGGAATCCCACCACCCAAATATGTCTCCACTCTGGCAACAAGATCACCTAATCGTGGATATTCTCAGGTGGCCTTGGGTCCAGCATTGGCCAAAAGCTCCGCCAACAAGGGGCAAGTTTGGCTATCCTTTATGCCCCGTTTGAAGCCTCCCGTCGCGATGAACTCCTGGAATCCGGATACGGGGCATACGGCAACCTAGACGAGATTCGCACTTACGAATGCGACATCACTTCCCCGGATTCTGTGAAGTCAGCTTTCAGTGCGTTGGAGAATAACACTACTGTGCAGCGTTCAGGGACATCATCTACACCCGAGCAGGCTTTCCCAAGCATGCTCATCAACACAGCTGGATATGTATCTCTCAGCGATATGGAGATAACACCGCCAGAAGAAACGCTCAAGCATTTGACTACCAACATTTTCGGTCCAATGCTCTGCTCACAAGCGTTTGCAAGGATGTACATTGCTGCCTCCGGCACTGCCAAAGGATCTTCCAACTCCAACCCACCCGGACGAATCGTGAGCATATCATCACAAGCGGCACATGCCGCGCTACATCGACATGGTGCCTATTGCGCATCCAAAGCTGGACTCCTGGGCTTGACGCGCAGTATGGCCTCCGAGTGGGGTGGTAAGGGTATCACTGCTAATACGGTTTCCCCGACTGTTGCCTGGACAGAGCTTGGGAAGAAGGCTTGGGGGGAGGAGAAGATTCGGAACGCTTTCTTAGAGAGCATTCCCACCGGCAAGTTTGCACTCCCCGAGGAGGTGGCAGATGCTGTGCTCTTTCTTTGTCAAGTAAGTCTTCACGGTTTGCACTGTTCGAGTCTGATTCAGATGGACATTTTTTGACCTCCGTCACAGGATTCTAGTGGTATGATCAACGGCGCAGATATTCGAGTTGACGGCGGATTTACGGTTCGATAATATCGAGATTTCCTCCGGAGCTCGCGACAGGGCTTCACCATAGTTATCAAGGTCCACGGGTACTAGGTATATGTGCATTGTTATATACCAAGCTCTTGTTCCTATTCTTTCAATCTACTCTCTGCCCAGGTGCCAACCGAGTGGCAAAGGCTTCAATCTGCTTTCAAATGACACCCAACCACGCATACGACAAATGAACCACCCGCAAACAATACTGTATCAGTTCTACAGCATGGTTCTAGCCAAGTGAGACCTTACATCCATCTGCACTCATCACCACGATCGTCATCGCTTGTTTCTCCTCTCCAGTGGGAACAATAGGCAAATCAGGGGGCAGCTTGAGCTCTGGGAAGGTTTGTATGATGCGTATGATAGCATAAGACGCTTCAGTCAAGGCGAAATCCTCTAATGAAACTGTTAGCGGAAAACCCCTCACGGGGGGTATGGTTCGAAATGGAACTTACTACCCAGACATATTCTGGGTCCTCCGTGGAATGGCATGAATCCCCATCCAACACTCTCCAGTTCTGGACTCAGCCATCTTTCGGGTCGGAAGCTGTTCCTATCATCGCCGTATATACTCTTTTGTCGATGCATGTGGTATACAGAATATCCAATACCAGTATGCTTTGGTATAAGCACGGGCGAATTTCCGTCTGGCCCACCTCCAGATGGAAGAATTGTGGTTTTGGCAGCAACTCGCACGTTGAAGGGGAGCTGGGGATACAGTCGCTGGACTACAATGACAGCAATCGAATCAGATGAGTTCCAGGGCAGAGTCTTGAGCACAGGGCTTACCTTCATTGATCACACAGCGAAGATATTTCATCTTGCTGATGACCGCTCGACTCATATCCGATGATCCCCCCGTGACATCCTGGATCTCGGTCCGCAATTTCGCAAGAACTTCGGGATGCCGCACCAGTAGGAAAAAAGTCCAAGACATCAGACATGCTGTTGTGTCTCTTCCAGCAATGAGCACGTGAACCAGTTGATCTCTCACAAGCGCTGGATTCTGCATTTCTTTATAAAGCTCGATGATGAAGGCATACTTTTTCGAAGCCGCTTCCTCGCCACTTTGCTCCATCTCCTTGAGCGCAAGTTCCACAAAGTGCATGGCAAAGTCTTTGATAACAGCACAAGCCTCTTTGAACTTCGCTGGCTTCCATATCCATTCGAAATCCGCAAGCCGAAGCCGAAGCGCACTAATGTAACTGGCATAATCAAAGGACTTCTCGAAAGCATCTGTCTCCTCCCCTGGCACTGAGATCACAGGCTCCCCGAAGATGAGCGCCGTCGTCGTGGCCAAGGTGAAGCGCAGGAAATGTGGTTGAAGATCCACTACACCGCTGGCCGACTTCAGCTTTGTGATCAAGTCATTCACATGATCATCGAAGACGTGAGAATCTTGTCGGTGGATCCGTACGAATTGGCGGCGCAGAAGCTCCCTCGAATGTTTCCATGGCCGGCCATCTTGCGTGAATATACCCTCGCCCAGCATTGGGAAGAGTCCCGGTCGCCTGGATCCGAGCTCCCAGTCTGAGGTATGTGAGCTTGATATTTCCCAGGCTTCAAGGCGAGTGCATAACTACCTTCAAAATTTGTCGCGAGAATGGCTTCCACATTTTTGGGGTCAGCAGTGAGGAATCCCTGGTTGCCAAATAGCTTGAATGTCATATTCGGGCCCAGTTTGTCGAAGTATTGGGATTGGAATAGCAGCAACTGTTGCTCTGAAGATGCATCATATTGTCGTTTTAGGATATCAAGGGCCAATGGCCACTTGTAGGGGATCCAAGTTTGCACCGGCAAACAGCCGTGCTGATCGCCAAAGGCTTTATCACGCTAGAGGGGTCAGCTTTCTGATCCTAATATTCTAGCTTGTCAACGCACCGAGTATTTGAGTCGGCTTTGGATCGTACAATACACAAGGTAGCCAATCACGCTGGCTATAGCCACGCGTAGAGGAAGCTGCCTCGTTTCAAACAAGCTTTGAAGATACTCAAACTGACCCAATAGCCCCATATTGAAGATGATTCTTGATGCGAGGGCTCAGTTCATGGCAAGACCCCAGAGCGAATCGAGTGATATTGATATGCGAGGCAAAACCCCCCGTGCAAAACCAAACGGGCCGGACCTGCTGCGGCGCAACCCGGGCGCGTCAGCATTTCAACGCGACTCTATTCGAGGAATCAATCACGGTAATGTGCATTAGCTTCGTATCTACTGTATGAATGTGGCCGGCTAAATATTCCGTACGCCACCATTTTATTAGTGCTCCCTGCTGAGTCGCTCAAAGTGCTAACCCGGTGGGGAAAGGCTTGACGTGAATCACACAACCCCGTCAGCACTAGACCACACCCAGGTGAAGCCCCGTTGACACAGCGAAAATGAGCTACAGTCTCCTGAGTACCACGCTTCAGAAATTCTAGGGCCGTCGAGACTATCCTCAACCCATGCCTTGTTGCGAGGCTCGAGATGCGCACGTCTCTCAGCCCCCATTTCACACACCTATCGGGATGACTGCCAAGACAACTTCTGCTCAGCTTCATTAGCCTCGTATAATGTCATGACCGTTAATTCGCCCATACTGGTGTTTCTCACGGAGATGACCCACCACCCAGGAGTACCGCATCTGCCGCATGGAAGTGGAACGCAATATTGACCTCGATGGCCATGATTGGCGCAGTTCATATCATGCGGAATGAACACCGAATCTCACCCCAGATTCCTACCTTAAAGATACTCTGTACTCAGTTTCAACACGAATATTCGACTGAGGAGTCTCTATGGATCCCTTCTCCATCATCGTGGGAGCTACGGGCCTCGCAGACTTATCCTTTCGCCTAATTTCTTACCTGAATGACATACGAAAGGCTTCCGTGAAGATACAAGACGAGATAACAATCTTAAGCCATGAAATCCAATCGCTCCTTGACGTCAATGAGTCTGTCAACGACTTCTGGCGCTCTAGGCGCCACTTGATCAGCCTGGACACGGCACTCAGCCACACAGCCTCCGAAGATATCTACGGCCATCAGATAGAGGACAACTGGCGCAAGCTTGGATCTTTGTTGCAAAAGAGTCAAAGCACAATCGAGAGCCTGGAGACGCTTCTCAGGGATGTCGTTGGAAAGAAAGGCCTCTCCGGTGGTAAGATCGAGGACTTGAGAAAGACGATACGGAAGCACGATCGGGATGGCGAATACATGCAGATCCGCGCAAGGCTTGCGAATAACCAGCAGGGAATACAGATGTTCCTCACCATGTTGAATCTGTACGCTGACCGGATATTGATCAAGTGCCTGATGTGTCAAGGTTGTTAATGCTGTACAGATCCTACATGCTCGGTCACCATGCATCCGAGGATATAGCAGTAGGAAAGATATCGGAGGATCTGCAATACCACAAAGTCAAACTAGAGAGTAAGATCAACAGTCTTCGCTCGTCACTCAGAGGCTCGGTCGACTCGAATGATGTGAGTTTCACCTAAAATTTGATATCGTACACCTGCTAAGATCTTGAAGTTCAACGATTTCCTCGACTCGGCCAACGCGGTTGCCTCCCTCGTTAGGCTCAACAAGCATTTTTACACGCCACAAAGCGTTAGCAGCTACTACACCGGTCGAAAAAAACAGTTGGAGGAGTTGAAATCAGTTCTTGGCGTACTGAAGTCTCGGGAAAGGCAACATCACCAACGACGATTTGTTGTTCATGGTCTTGGGGGCTCTGGGAAGACTCAATTTTGTTGCAAGTTTGCCCAAGACAACAGAGAAGCGTGGGTTACCAGTTTCAATCCATGGAAATATTTGTAACTGACGTGTCCAGATTTTGGGGGATCTTTTGGATCGATGGAAGCTCCTACGAGAACGCCAAGCACTCATATGCTGAGATTGGCAAGGTCGGCGGCGTTGAACCCAATGAGAAAGCAGCGAAGAATTGGCTTTCGAGTCTCCAACAACCCTGGCTTCTTCTTATTGACAATGCTGATGACCCCGAAGTCGACGTCACTCAGTTTTTCCCGGGAGGAGAGGGAGGTGTGATTCTCATCACCACGCGCAACCCTACGAATAGAAGACATGGCACGGAAGGCTCTGGGTTTTTTCATTTCGAGAATCTCGAGGCCAACGAAGCCAGTGATCTTTTATTGGCCGCAGCAGTCTTCCCGCGTCCGTGGGAGGTTGCGACAAGAGAGTACGCACACAAAGCTGCTCATGTTCTCGGATATCTTCCTCTTGCACTTATTATTGCCGGAAAAGCTATCCTCGAGCGAATTTGCTCCCTGAGTGAATACCCGGACTACTATCAACAATTCTGGGATGGGATTCGCCGTTCCAGAAGCAGGAGTCGTGAGAGCGCACATAAATCGGACATGATTGTCTACTCTTCCTATGAAATGATTTATTTGGGACTTGAAAACAAGGACGATTCTGTATCAAAGGATGCTTTAGAGCTGCTGAAGATTTTCTCGTTCTTTCATTGGGAGAACATCGAGTTCGACTTCATCAAGAACGCAGCCTTGAACCCCCGGAGAGAACAAGAGGACCGGCGAGCCAAGCAACGTGCTGAGAATCTAACTTCCGTTCACAAGAGGCCAAAGACGTGGAAGATGACAATTGAAGCGTGGGCGACTTCGATAATAGAGCCATTCACTAGACCAGGTCTTGTGCTCCCTGCTGTCTTACGTGACGAGGATGACATGCCTTTCAATGGATATAGGCTGCGCGATGCATTATCTCTGTTGGAGAGGCTTGGGATGGTCACTTCGCATGCTGAGAATGACAGTTATTGGATGCATCCACTCGTGCATACCTGGGTTCGACAGAGGCCGGAGACAAGCACAGCAGAGCAGGCTCTTTGGTGCCAAGCAGCTGCAACAGTGCTGGCCCAATCCATATTCTTCAAGCCACCAGACGCATATACTATCCAGGATGACTACCTCAAACGGCAAATTTACCCACATGTCGAGAATGTGCGCAAATTCCAAGCGGAATTGAACACACGCTTTGAAGAGAACTTGAGTACCCGTGGTTGGCCTTGGTCAATGGCGTGGCTCACTCCTCGCGCGAGCTTTGGGAGATTGCAGGCAATCGAGTCTGCAAAGTTCAGTCTGGTCTACCTCAATTGTGGCTATTGGAGCAAGGCGGAAGAGCTCCAACTTCAAGTGAAGGATTTCGTGTTCTCGCGCCTAGGCCCAGAGTCCGAGCCTGGTATCGCGATCGCTCTATTGCTATCCAACGTGTATGCCATACAGACAAGGAACAATGAAGCCAGGGAGCTCCAGTCTCAGGTTCTGGGGTATGCAAAAAGCTTTTATGGCCCTCAGCATCCCACGACGTTGGATATTATGGACACACTCGGGGCTACCTGTAACATGGGTTCCAGACTGCGTGAAGCCAACCAATTACATCAAGAAGTCATTGACACACTGTCAAAGTTGGAAGGGATTGGTCCTAACCACGAGAGCACATGGACTGCGGTGAAAAATCTTGCCAAAGTCAAGCTTCGCTATTTGGACGCAGAAGCGGCCATTGATCTCCAATCGCAGGCCTATGAAGGATTCTTGAATCTGTTGGGTCCAAAACATCCAAAGACACTGGCCGCCCAACTTGATCTCGCTGACATTGCTGGATTCAGAGGCGAGGAGCATCTAGAGCCATCCTTAAAGATGGCTGAAGAGGTCGAGTATCAATTTACCAAGACAATGGGACGAGAACATCCGTTCACTCTCATGGCCAAGCTGACCATGGCAAAAATCAACATTGCCATGAATCGATTTGAAGAAGCCGAGGAGCTGTTCCGAGATGGGCTACCCGCTGCTGAGCGCAATCTGGGGCCAAACCATCTCGGAACGTTGACTGGCCACGTCTGGCGTGGACATTCATGTTGGCGTCAAGGTCGATATTTGGAAGCACAGACGATATTCGAGGACGTGATGAAGAAGCAAAACTGGGAGAGAGCAAAACGTGCAGATGGGGAGCATTCGGATCGAGGTAAGGCCTCCAGGTTTCTGGCTGATGACTGCTTGATCTCTCTTCAAAGGGAGAGAAAAAAAAACAAACTAACATGATTTCCTCGCTCTCAGTGCAAGCAATGTGGTTTCTCGTGCACTGCTATGAGGATCAGGGAAAGCTTGATGCTGCCCTGGATATATGTGAGGATCTACTTCGACTTGTTCACGATTTTGGAGGGGAAGGTCTTGGACAGAAGCACAAGTTTTGGCAACTGTTATTGGAAAAGAGAGACTATTTGCTTCATATTCGGGGTGGAGAGGACACCATATCGGTGGTTGATGCTGTGGACGATGTGAGCGAGCTCCCGCCTGGCTTGCTACAAGATTCTCCTGCCGTTATTCCACCAAAAAGGGTCATCAAAAACTTCACTTATTGAAGACTCGGCGCAAATGTCTCGGCATTGCGTCTCCTATCTGAAAAAGAGAGACTGTTGTGTACGCTAGCCAATTTCAGAGTTCTGGAAGCACCCTTGGGGACTGAATATAAACGCTAATTTTCCCAGAATTACCTAGGTATGTCTTGGCTCCATATCCACACATGCTCACTTAGGTACTACGTATAGAATATCTAAGGGAATACTAAGAGCTTGTCCACGGGTGGAGTCTACGGGTGATCTGCGCTACCCGCTGACTAGTGGAGACGGCCCCGGGGACTTTCTCGTCTCCCACAAGTTGTTTCCTTGAAATGAATGCCCAATTATGGATTTTCCATGTGAAATCATGCAGGTTCTGTCGTTCAATTTGTTTTGTGTTTTTGTCATCGCGTTTTTTCAAGGCAAGTGAAGGTGCGGACCGCCCTAATGCTTTTCCAGGTTAGCATTCCACGGAAGGACTTATGATTATGACTGTTTGTGATCTCTTGACTCCCGCAGGTTAGGCCCCATGCCCAAGAGATTTGAAGGGAATCTTGGCGGGGGCCGACTCGTTGGCCTCGGCCTCGGAGCTAATGAACCAAGGTCTCAACCTTCTACATTCATCCCTTCGCCTGGAAATACACGAGTTTAAGGGGCGGCTCAGTATCTTTAGGGGCTGTCAGCGGAAGCGTCAGGTCTGACTCAGGGGTCATTCAACCCTGGGAATTGGTGTGAAGAGCATACATTCGCATCTCGGCGGGCTTACCCGTGCGTGACTAAAGATGTTTGTTTCGGGGCCAATACTACTATGCGAGAACCCAGTCCGAGATACATGAAATGATGTTCTCTGGTCAGGATGTTATAGTAATCTTTCGTTGCCAAGACAGATCCTTGATCGTGGCGTTGTTTGATTTCAGGTGCACCAAAATGGGTTTCTCCTCCTATAATCACTTTAGCCTCACCACAGCCACCTATTCAGATTTACGCCCGGAGCTCACCATGCTATCCCAGATCTCAGATCTGGAACTTGTTCCCCGGGCTGACTCGGTCTTGGATGTCGAAGCAACTTCAACCTTCCCAGGCCCCCGGTTGCTTGCTGTGACGTCTCCTCTCCCATTGACAACAACATTCACACCGGCAAGTGAGTGCCTCAACGATCTCTGGCTATTTGAGTCTGTGTATACCGTTCAAGACTCCAAGAGCTACTCAACTCGCTGGGCCAATCTAGGCCCTGAAGACACCAAACGATGCCTGCCACCTGGCTGGGAGCCATCGACCTTTTATTCTCCTGGACTTGTTTGTCCCACTGGATGGGCGATGGCCCCTGGAAGTACTATCAATGACAATGGTGAGACTACTGCGACCTGCTGCCCCGTTTACCAGTGAGTACTCGAATCTCGTCAACTTTGAGGCACGTACTAATTCTATACTACTCTTAGACCAAGCAGTTTGACATTCACTCAACGATCGTTGACAAGTGGTCCGGCCAGACCGTGGCATAGTACCGAAGCGTGCGCGTTCGGTGCGCCCACCGATATACCCTACACCTACACGGCCACACCAGGACATGGCAGTAAAACCACAATCTATGCCACCGCGACTGCTAGAAAAGATGGTTGGAATGCGTATGGAATCGAGCTTCGTTGGAAAGCCACCGACTTAACTTCTATCTCATCCATATATGTTCCAAGTATAACATCATCTGCGACCCCACAAACAACAACCCAACAGCAACCAGAGGAATCATCTACATTGTCTACAGGTGCCAAGGCAGGCATTGGCATCGGAGCTGCACTTGGCAGCATACTAGTCATTCTTGCGATCGGGTTCCTGATCATCCGTCGACGAAAGTCCAAGGTCAAAGATACGAGTGAGGCGATTGATAATGGGCAGCACGAATTGCATGGACCTAGGGATCAAAAGCATGAATTGGGCTCAAATTCTGTCGCGAGAACGAATGATCCCCACGCTTCATTCGCGTCACCACCAGCACCGGTTGAGTTGGAGAGTCGCATCCCGGGCTGAAAAGGATATGTACGCAGGCATAGTAATTTTGTACAAGAGTTGATTCCCAAGGTTGAGGGCGGTCAATAAGATAGCCTTCATACATAATCAGAATGGAGTTCCAAGGTTATTTATACACAACACAACACAGCTTTGGGGGTAAAAAATCGATGAGAGTTATAATGCAAACGAGGAAGATACAAAAACATTACAAAAAATGAATACCGGCCCGAGCCCGGGATTGAACCGGGGACCTCGCGCAATTGTGCTTTGGGTGAACCCTAAGCGCGAATCATACCACTAGACCACCCGGGCGGTGTATGTGAGAGGCTCAACTTTAAGGTTATATGTATAAATTTTCATGAATGTGAGGAAATCCTCAAAGCGCCTTGACAATCGATGTATCCTTGGTGGACCGAATGCGATTGAAAATTGCAAAACAAAACCTTGGAAGCGTTGACCTTCCAAGGTCGTTCAAAGAGTGATGCAGTTAAAGGTTTTAGTCTTTCGTTCCGATAAGATATTCATTCCAAGTTGGTAAACGTGTTGCTACCACTGTATATATGTTCCAAGGTTCGCTACTAAGCTTGACCTTGGGACTAGTACTAGGTACTGTACTTCCAAGCTCAAGGTTCAATCATCCCTAGAGTCTACCTACCTAGGTAGGTGTCACACGCAAGTAACAAGATCGACTTTGATACGACCTCGGGAGAATATGATGTCAATATACTGGATAGAACTAGGAGCGAGGATAATACGTATTCATTAAACCTGCCCAGATCGAAGCAGAGCTTTGAGGCATTTCAAAGGTTCCTTCCAAGACCAGTAGACCAAAGAAGCTTGGAGTTTCACCGCGCATCTGGGCACGGTCACCTGGGCACGTACTGAGTTGATCAGATCGCCGACTCTGCATGGATACTATTAGTGGGTAATGATTTTGAAACTGCAAAAGGTGAGCATGAAAAGGTAAGACCACATGTATGAGCCAACTACGTAAAGACACCCAACCGCTCCAACACCGACACTACAACCTCTCATCATTCCCCGCTATACACAGATCCATACTACTTCAAATTGTGGCAGATATGTTCGCTTTTAAAACTCCTAAAGCCATGCTAACCCGTTATGTCGTGAAAAAAGAATTCTTCCGCATCGGGCTGGGTATCATGCGCTAACACCGGGGAAGCAATCGGCAAGGCCCTTGTTGTGCTTGTTGGAGGCGTGCTCGAGGAGACTGTTCAAAGAGAAAAATGAGTGTTAGCATTTATACACATCTTGCGATCCAACGATCAAGAGGTCACGTACGCAGGGGCCTTGGTGGTCTGGAGGAAAGTCTGTCTGCAGACCTGGCATTGGATGCTCATGGCTTTCTCATTCTGGAACAGATATTAGCGGTAGCGCAGAATGAAGAGGAGTATGTTGCGTACGCTCTTGGTTTGCGACTTGGCAGTCTTGGTGTCCTTCGCGTTGCGCTCGCGCTTCATGTTGGCCTTGGCTCCCTGTAGATGATCGTCAGCCCACCTGCGTGAGGATTGAGTGGTGACAAAGGCGCGACAGCGTTTTGCGCAAGCCAGTGATTGGAAGGGGTATCTTACGTTACCCATTTTGGCGGTAGTATACTGATTGACAGGAAAGAGGGTATGAGGGTAGGAATGCGGGTTGCAGTGAAGATCTGTAATTTTTTTTGTAAAAAAATTGTAAACCCCCGGGATCAGACCCACGTGGGGCGCGGGACATGCTGACTCAGCAGATCCATTGGTCGGTTTTGGTCCAATCAGAGCCACTGCATATAATTAGCTACACTGTACGGAGTACGGAGTATATCTCAATGCAAGATTTGCGTTGTGAAATATTTGCTAACAGAGAAAGGAGAGATAATTCCCAAGGCTTTGTAAATTACCTACGTAATGGTATCTGTTGCTACTGCACCAATCAAGAATTGAACTTGCCATGCATTTGAAAAGCGCCTAATTGCAATTCAAACACCAGAAGCTTGAATCATCCTTCAAGCAATTCCAGAAAGCATATCATTGACAACTCCTAACAGAATAAAACCAAGTGAGTTAACACAGAATAAGAAGGCTCCATGAGCTACAGGAAAAGCATGAAGGTCCAGGCTGTCATGGACACCATAACATATATCACAGCAGCGTAATGACCCCAGTTAATTGTTGGCATGATGTGCACGGAAGCAGCCGATCCCTTAGACGTGGTGGCTGCAGCTCCTCCACCTCCGGCCACTTGACCTGTCCCGGATGCACCAGCTTGGCTCAGCAGCGACTTGCAGTTTCCAGTAGGGTCCTTGGCTGACTGGAGGGTGGCAGCTCCGCTGAAATCGCACGCTTGCTTGTTCTGCTTTCGGTTTTGGTAGTAGCGATCGAACACATAGGAAAGCTGATCTTTGCTTCCACATACGGCGAAAGAGCCGAAGTTTCCCGATGACGCATTGCTCAAGATACCTTCGCAGGCATTCTGGTCGTTTCCGCACGCAGTGCCAAACAATGCGCCATATTGGTCAGCCTTGACCGATTCTGCCACCACACAAGAGAGGCTACTGACCATGCAAGAACATAGGTCCATGTTTGGAGACGGAGGAAGAGGGCTGGAGGCAGCTTGCCATTTGTTATCAATTGTAGGACAAGCGCGGGGTGAGTTGGCGGGCGAGTAACTGCCACTGTTGATTCCAGAAGGAGTGGCGCTTTCGATCGCCTGTGAGTAATAGCTAAATCCACCGAGGGTCGAGACGGAGCTTCCATCGGCTGACACAAGCCCATAGTCATTGGTGCTTTGGAAGTACATGTAGACAATGCCCCCGCTCCAAACATCGTCCATGTCAGAGCCAAATAGCGCAGGGACATCACTGAACTTGCGAGGCTTGATCGTGTTGCACCCGTATTCAGAAAAGAGCACCGGAATCGAGTAATCCTTGTAGTCTTGCGTGAGGTTCTTGTATCCAGAAGCCTCAAAGGTATTTTCGCCGCACCACTCGTAGATGTTGTAACCAAAAAAGTCGATAGCACTCGACTGCTCGCCACAATTCAGATAGTCAGAGAGCTCTTTTCGGAAATTGGGGGAGTCGGTGGTAGCGTAACCAAAAGCCAACGAGGTTCGGTACCCTTTAGCCTTGACATAGGCTTTCATATCCCGAGTTGCAGCTCTCACAAAGGCCGCAGCCACTGTCTGGTTCTTGTGGTTCACAACCTCATTGCCAGCGAAAAACCCAATCACATTATCATACTGGTGGAACGCATCGACGACGGAGGTGTATCGGTTGTACTGATCAACGGTCCAAGCGGGCGAATCGGAGACGATGGATACCTCGGGCGATGCGAGATCAGCAATTACGTAGATGCCTGCATCGGCCAGCTTTCTCATGCAATCATCGTGATTCTTCGTTGGGTCCACTGCGTAGGTTCGAATGACATTAGTCCGCAGTTTCAGCAGATATGGGATGTCACGCTCGCAGACAGAGCCATCTGCCAGAGGGTCTTTGTAGTGTACATCGCTCGAATGTCCAGTTCCGGTGGCGCCTCCTGCATCATAGTCCTCTATGTTGTTATTAGCAACCATGTGGCCCGACCAATCTGCGTTTTGCGACAATGATACCCTGGTAGGCAATGCCTCGAATGTAACTGGTCCTTTGTCAGTCATAGCTCGCCTTGTAGGAAATACCAAGGACTTACAATTGAGTTCCGTTGCCAGTATAGAAGAACTTGGATCCCTAGTTTATGCGAAGGTCAGCTCTTTTCGATGCGGAGAGGGCTTGACTTTGCAGTTGCATACCTTGATCTCGATCTGGGGAATTGTAGCCACAGCCGACACAACGAGCAGGAAAAGCCCCGCTAAAATCAGAAAGCCACGCATTATAGCCGATTTAAAGTATGGGCGTAGTGATGAGTAGATGGAAGATGCAGGTAGAGAAGGAAGACGAGAAGAGAAGAAAAGGGGCCTTTCAAGTCTGTGCAACCGGAAGGTACGAAGGTCAAGAGTGTACCCAGGGAAGTCACACATGAGACCTTGGAATGTGTGACTTTCAAGGTCCAACGTCTCTTTTACATGAATCTCCAATGGCCTATGCTGCTGATGCTAAGCTATCCGGAGCCGGTACGGCCTGCTGCTTCTGCTTTTTTCTTTCCTTTGCCTCTGCATCTTCCTTTTTCCATGAGCCCTCATAGTGGTGTGTCGCAAGAATATCACCTTGGTCGGTCGGATGATTGTTCTGATTTGCAGCAAACGCATTGCCCGGCATGATGAGCACATCGCCCACTAGCTTAGGCTGCTTGATGCCCGCGAAGTCACGATCATCGACAGTTCTGTTAAGTAGCTGTTCGAGACTTTTCAAAATAGCGATTGTCATCATCTTCGGTCCAGTGACATCCACCACGTCAGAAAGCATTTCCAAAGTGAGTCCACTGATGGTGACATTATTTTCATGGGCGATTTGCTTCAATTTCGCGATGACAGAATCTACAACGACTTGCAGATTCCGTGAAGACTTCTGTCCGACGAACACCCAATTACAAAATTGCGATGCGATAGGCTTTCCTGGCCCTCGCCATGGCATGTCGAACTCCAATCCGACGATCATGTCGATCGTGCTGTTCCGGTATTCAGCCGGGACCCACTCCGCGACATCCTTTTCACAAGTGACATCTAGGTCCCCCCAGATGCCGCCCTCTGCCAGCACAATCAGGTACCGGAGAAGATCTGCCCGCAGTATGGCTATAGGAAGGGCCTCGTAGATCTCGACAATGTCTGGACGTGTCTCGTGGAAGTGAGCCCGCACAAAGGCCTGTGCCGATCGGTCCGTCAGCAATTCTTGGCGGCAATAGGGGTTGGTCTTGGTCCAGCTTCCAATCCATCCCCGTTGATTTTCGGTCAGATTGTCAAACTTGGCGGAATGCCACGCCTTCTCGGGAACGCGATAGATTTGCGCGGTGGGTTGAGACTTTTCGGTGGCGGGCGAGGGTTGTGGTGGTACGGTGCCTGTTGAAGCCGTCTCGATCAGAACGGCCGAGTGCGACAACTCTGTTTTTGGACTGAGCAGTGCCTGGGGCCCTTCGGTATACAGATAAAAGAACATCGCAAGGGGGGCGATGAGCGCGAGTGCTAAGCCTAGAGGCCGCAGGGTTTTCAAACTAGACCGCATCGCAATGCCCAGGGCGGCCTAATCGCAGGCCGAGGACACAGAACGGAGTAGACAATGGAAAGATATTTTGAAGTTTGAAATCTGACGCTGCAGGCAAATCGATTTTGTACGGGGACTTTCAACGCCCCACCAGGGAAAAGGGTCTCACGAGCGAGCTGCATGCAATTGATCGAGTTCCACCATGGGAAGTTAGTCTGAATGCTAAAAGGTGATACCCTTTGCTCTATACAAATTTCTCTTACTTCTTACTGCCATACTCATCTTATTGTAAGTCACGATGTGTTTAGACACAAAGCTTTCTGAGTCCAGCGCCACCGCGGTATAGTTGCAGGCTAGCTGGCGACTTTCTAACGAATCGACTTATCTTTGAGCATCATTTTACTCGACTGCTCACTGACCCCTGCTTGGATGATCCGTACTCCATACATAAATCCGTTCGAGGGTGTTCAATACCTACAAAAAATTGTACTGCTGACGGCCCAGGCCTTCAAAGAGAGAGAGAAAAAAAAAAACAAGGACCGGAACCCCCGGGCAATTGAGGCTGTGCCCTGCTGCCCAGTGCTCTATCCATGCCCCAGGGTCCATCCATGGATGCCCAGCATGATTATTCAACCATCTAGAAGCCCTGGGCCCAGTTGCTCTGGAATCCTGGATTCCAGTCGGTTTTTTTTTTTTTTTTTTTTCTTAATACTTCCAAGGTTAGCATTGGACACATGCGACAAAAAGGTTGTGCTATTTTCATTTTGGCTTATCTCTTGGCTTTGATGATCGAATCACACAAACGGTAAGGCGTCCAGGAATATAGCCACAGGCTCCCAAGCGAATGCTATCTCACTTTCCCAAAAACGACACCGGAGTACTCTGAAGAATGTGAGCCATGAGTTTATCATGATCGCCGCGCCAAGGAGCGATCCACCGACATCAAACATTTAGTCTCGACTTTATCTATCCAAGGCCCACCCGGACCCCACGAGGTTTCGGTGTGTATTTTGTTGACTACACGGAGTCCACTGCCCAGGTGTATTGGTATTTCAACATGAACGATTGGGCTTAAACCATGAGGCGTTCTAATTGAACGCCTCACTGACCCCTGGGCAGCGGAAAGACAGCATTATTCACCCTCATTTAGCTCTCGTTTCGATCGCATTTCAAATGCCACGACTCAAGTCGTGAACTAGCACGTCAATTCCAGACTGGAGACCACTTGAGCAGACATCGAAGGAAATCGGGGTGGTTGGCCTTGCCAAATTTGGACATGAGGAATACTCGATGGTGCCTTCCGTCTTTTCGCCATAAAGGAAACATGAATGGCCCTGGGGTCTTTTCGTTCTGCAATGATGCTCACATACTGAAAAATGTTCTTTTTTGTCTGTCCACGTCTGAGGAAAGGACCTCGGCATGTTTCTTCTGCTGACTTCGCGCAATCATACCAAGAGACCCAGAGGGCTGATGCCGATGGACCGGGGGAGCCAACACAAGGCAAGAACAGAATCCTCGGTGGGATCAGCTCAGTCTAACAAAATCCGAGCTCAGTCCTTAATCATGGAGAAAATGAAAACCCTGCCCAGAGCGTGAAGCAAGCGTCCGCGAGTTTCTCACGTCGGCTTCGGCGTCGATTTTCCCGGGAGTCCAGACAGTCCGGAGAGCATCGCCTGAACCTTCCTTTCACCCTCAAGTCCAAGCCAAGCACACCGAAGACAGATGCACAAGTTTCGGTCTTTCCAGATATGGGGAGCAGCTTGACGAGCGCGCGAGGATATGACAGTGACGCACAGTGTCTCGGAACACCACCGCCTATTGGGGATGTGAATAGATCACCAAGGACTCCCGCCTCGCGCAGAATGGGGGTTCAAAATATCGCCCAAGCCTGGCAAGAGCAGAACATGGCATATTGGAATTCCCCTAATATGCATGCTCACCCGGCCCCTGCCGCTAGTTATGACATGCTTGCACCGTCTACTCCACAGGGCAGTGTGAAAGGACCACATGGTGTTAGTGGTCCACAACACATGGCCAGAGTCATGAACAGTCATTCTACAACTTCGTTCAACGACCAGCGATCGGGTGAACAGAACATGTTTGCCAAGTCTCTCCCAAGCTTGCATCTCAGCCAAGAACAATTGGCTGCACCCAATGATGGAGTGAACAAACGCCAAGGGGCCTTTCTGTCCAGCAGCAGCGAGAATATACAGGATCTAGAGGTTGACTGGGCCAAATGGATGAGCTCAAACGCGAGTGGTCTTCGCAACACATCCTCAGAATCGCTCAACAGGCAATCGCCTGAAATGGCGATGACTAAAAGACGACAGCCCTCGAGCACACCCCACACGCATTCAGACACCCGCATGCCTTTCTTGGGTGATCTGGATCTTTCTCATCGGCTCCATGAGTCGCAGTTGGCATCAAGTTCTCAGTCAGCTAACCCATCCATGACAAATTTGCCACAGGAACGGAGACGTGCACAGTGTATGGTTTCATCAGAGAATGCCCAATTAGACATACATTCTGGATCGTCCACTGTTGTTGGACCCGAGACTCCCGCTCGATCGATGCATCAGCACCGAGATGTGTCTTCGTTTTATTCCCGCCAAAGCGACGAAGCACCGGAAAATGGATCTTACGCGATCCAGTCACTGAAAGTTCATGCAGCCAACGCCATAGATAGCTTGCCCAATATACAGGGAAGGCTTTTTGGTCAGCCTGGTATCGCCGAGGGCACGCCAGGGCCTCCAGGCGAACTGGTCAAAAGCAAATTTGACCACCAAGAAGCTAACACCCCGCCATCTCTACCTCATGCGTTGCCGAACTCCGCGGACGGCACGCGAAAGGTCAGTCCTGGATGGATGACAGGAGGCCGCCGGGTGGGATATGGTTACCGACTGGTGGACAACACCGAAGAGTCGACCCGCCAAAGTGTCCCGCATGAAGTACGAACTCCTACCGACGTGAATAAGTCTGATATACACCAAAGTGAGAGGCAGAGAACCGTATCTCAGCCAGTATTGCAACCCCCTACCTGGGATGACAGTCGCAGGCACTCGCCCCTCAGAACACCAACCGACCCGAAGACTCCTGTCCGAACACCGAGCACTTGGACAAAGATGAAGAGAAATTCAGTCCGAGTTCGCAATCATGCGCCACCTGCGATAGACCTTGCAGGCGATGCAAAGGCCCCTCGAGATCAGCCCGGCGCCCGCGCTATTCTTGTGCAGCCCGACCATTCCCCAACCCCTGCGAGTGTTGAGTATGTCGAAGATGACGGAAATTTCGCAAGCAGATGGTCGAGGGGTAGCTTGTCGCGGAAAAGACAATCTCAGTCGAAAAAGAAAGATGACTTGGATCTCGAGCCCGAATCGTGTACTCCCGACGCCTCGCCGATTGCAGATCGGCGTCTTTCTATGGATCAAACAGTTCGTCGTACATCCGTCTACTTCGATCCAGCGAATGATAGGAGCGCAGATAAAGTGAACGGACAGCCTTCGCGGTCTAGAAGTGGGCGGTGGGTTTTGAGATTCTTCCGGAACCGTGACAACAGGAGGCTATCGGCTAAGCCTGTTAAGGAGCCTTCACCTGAGTCCTCGGGGGAGTATGAGGAGTGTCCATTAAACAGTATAGCGCGTTCGAATTCCGTCAGGAGTGACATAGCAGCGGAATTGGCGAGTGATTATCAGCAGTGCATTCAGATGCCCGGGGCGTTCTATGGCAGCGGTTGGGCTAGTCGAACAAGCTTGATTGTCGAAGCCGAGTGACAAAGCTCTGCAGGTCTGTAAGATTGGAAAGGCTCAGCATTGGAAAAGATTTGAAGCCCGGGAGAAACCTTGGAAGGATACTGGTGTTGGGCGGAGAAAGTGGTATGTATCGATAGTCCAGGGGCTTTGTGCCAGTTTTTGTTATTGTTATCCGTGGAATCGAGTTGGTTCAATTATGAGTACACCTTCCAACAGGATGTCATTAATCGTACATAAATATGGGTAAAATATCCCTGATACATGTTCCACTTCATGTGCGCGCACATTCAGCGTGGGTTTCTCAGCAGCAAATCATCTCCGCTGCCGCTTGTTGCTCTCGCTCGTAGCACTGAGTACACTAGCAGATCGCTTGTGCGTACCATCGCCTCCATTGCTGGTTTCTTGTGCAACATCTGGCTGGCCGTGCCCGGCCTGCGCGGAGCTGTCAGGCGCTGCAGGGGGATCGCCCGGATGAGAAGCGGAGATGCCTGTATCGCCATCATCAGCCTCAGTCTTCACCTCTGGGCGAGGCAGAGCCGGGAGACCAGCAGCCTCCCTTGCTTTGCGCTCACGCTCAAACTTGGCAGCCTCGAGGACGCGGATTTCGCTCTCCACCTTCTCTGATACTTTTCGTGCATCCAGGAGCATGTTGACGGACTGGATGAGTTTCTCGAAGTCCTTGCATACGCGCTCGGTAGGCATGAAGAGGCGAACAGGGATCTCGAGTTCGGCAAGTGCGTTGGCCAGCTTCTGTGTTTGGACGTTGGATTTGGCTTGTGTGAGGCGTTGGGCGCGATCGCTGCGGAATTGCACGCCTGCTGAGACTCTTTCGTGATGTGTGACACCAAACTTGGCCTCCTCGGCTGGAGTGAGGGTGCGAACGGCCTGGTGGGTTTCCTTTGAGGCTGTAGATCCCTTCTTGTGATTTGCTGCTTGCGTGACGGGTGTTTCGGCGCGGCCCGCGCTACCTGTTGCATTTGGTGTCTGGCCCGCGGGACTGGGGACGGCTCCATCGCCGAGGATGGAGCGGCGTTTCTTGCTCTTGTCGGCTTGGAGGAGGGTTTGCAGGAGCTGGGATAGACCGGCGCTGGACTGGTACATGGTGGTGTTACCGACGCTGATAGGCACCTCCAGGCGAGAATAAAGTTCACGACGCTCAGTGATGAAGTTCTGCTCGTTGCTTGTGATGCGCTTCAGTTCCTCCAACAACATGGCTTCCTCGCGAACCTCGTCCGCTGTGCGATTGATCTGTAGAGCAGCCAGATCTTTACGGTCACGTTCGCGATTTGGATCAAACTTAAGCATTCTCTCGTGCAACTCGAACTCTGCCTCGGACATCTCCGAAGGTGGGTGTTCTATCGATAGCATCGTTGCCGCGACGTAATAGTAACGTGCCTTCATTTGCTCCATTGTCCGGTTCTGCTTGGCTGGCACAAGGGCGTTTCCGTCGGGCTCGGTCTCCAGGTTCGGCTGAAAATCGTACCTATCTGCGACAATCACCCAGCGGATGTCGTATTCACTGACAAGATCCACCAAATAGTCGGTCTCTTCACGCGACCAGTCATCGTTTTTCAGATTTCGTTCATATTCTTCGTCTGTGTATCGGCGGGGCAGACGCGGTTTGATGTTATACTTGGCGAAGGCGTAATCGTGTTCTGCGGTTTTTGGGGTCTCGTCCTTCTCCTCTTCCTTTGGCTGATCCACATCCATCTGCGATTCGTCTGGTGCGGGAGCAGCCACGGGCGGGCGTGCGGATTCATGTTTTCTCTGCCAGTGGTTCAACACGAGGCCGTCGGATCGCGCGCTATTTGTGAAAGGGGCCATGCTCCTGAAGAATCACCATCAATCAACGTCCGTCCAATTGCTTCAACTCCATGGGCCGGAGAACATACCATGGCCGGACACGCAACTTGTTCATCCATTTTGGACGGCCCTTGTATTTGTTTTCATTGATCGCGATTGGCGGCGCTCGTTCTCCCAGCAGCGCGTATAATTCACGGGTGATGCCCTCTTAACTCAATGTCAGCCGTTTCTTCCGACTTAAAACGCGTGTCACTTACCAGGTCGCTTTTCCACCACTTTTTGCTTCTTGTGTGGCCTAGGCTGTCCCTCAGCGGGCAGATCTAGCATGTCGCGAACATCGCCGGCCGAGGCCATGATGCCGATTTGTAGGTGGATGAAGCCGGGCGCAAGCGGCAGATCTCTTTCACGTGGGTAGTGTATAGCTATGGACGACAGATGAGGGAGATGGTATCCGACTTTCTTCCGATGTAATAGAGGTGGCGGAGGTGGAATTAATGATCGCCGACGACAGAGGTTTCGCGTTGGAAAGGGAGCATTCCGCAGACGGAAGGCGGTGAGCTGCGGTTCGTGGATGTTGACACCTTCGCGGAGTACGTTGGACCTGGTTGACTCCCCGATTGCTCAATTCACAATCATGGCTTTCTTTGGGACTTCGTCGTCATGGTTGGCATCAGCCTTGACTTTGCTCTCCTTTTTCTCGCTCATCTTCCCCACTAATGCCCTCTACTTCTACATGGAGGGCCGGCAAACAAAGTGCTTCTTCGAGGACCTGCCTAAGGATACGCTGGTGGCCGGTACGATGCGCATTCCGTTGAGATCCTAGTATGCAAGGCTAAATTTTTGTCCCTTACGATAGGTCGCTATGAGAGCGAGGTCATCAATGCCCAAACCGGAGCCTACCACATCGACCACAACATGAAGGTGCTCATCACCGTCGAGGAGACCTTCGACAACGACCACCGTGTTGTATCCAAGCGTGACAGCCACTCCGGTCGCTTCCACTTCTCTGCTGCCGACGCTGGTCAACACAGAATCTGCTTCACGCCCGAGACGGACGCCACCTCCGCCTGGCTGAGCAACTCCCCCGGTGCTGTGAAGCTCACTGTTGACATTGCCATTGGAGAGACCAGCAAGATCGAAACCGAGGACAAGGACAAGATGAAGGATATCGTCCAGCGTGTCAAGGACCTGAACAGCAGGCTCCAAGATATTCGTCGCGAGCAGGTTTACCAGCGGGTAAGAAATGCCCACACTGACTATTGACCTGGAAGCATCGGTCATCCACAACGGATTTACTGATTTGATATACAGGAACGTGAATCCGAATTCCGCGATCAGTCCGAAACGACCAACTCTCGTGTTGTGCGCTGGACTTTGATCCAGATCGCCATCTTGTCTGCCGCCTGCGCTTGGCAACTCTCGCATCTGCGCTCATTCTTCATTAAGCAGAAGCTGACTTAAATGTGTCGTGATTCTTTTTATGGCTGCTCAAAGCTCCTCTGGTCCTTCGCATAATGCAATAGCATACTCTGCTGTTGCATGCGCCAGTCCACCTGGATATCCATCACAGGCCTCGTTTGCAATTATATCTTGGCACACAATAAACATGCGGACGCATGTTGAAGATTACGAGGCTTTGCTTCATTGGTCCATGGATATATTCAGGGGTCTTCACGAGAACAAAATTGCGGAGCGTTTGGAGCGAAGTCAGATGTTGAGATTGATAATGGATGTAATGATAGCTTTTTCTTCCACATTGGCTCTCTTTGTAGGGTAGTTTCGAGGCTCGACATGCGCCTGTCATTCTAATGGAGGACCGCTGCCGCCAGGGGTCATTTCATCACCTAGGTACATTTGCCATTCGGCAATTAAATCTGTCCCGGCGATAATTATAAATGTTGTATTGATCTTTATCCAAAGCCCCAGCGTTGTATGATAGGTGCTTGCTTTGCACTTCACGGGAATTTGTTTTCAACGTGCTCCTCATACTGAATTTGTTCCTTTTTCTCGGCGACTTTATCACCCAACTTTCGCTTTGCGTCCTCGCCCTCGAAAAGATAGGTCAGTTCTTCGAGAGTAGGGCCGGCGGTCTCCACAAAGAAGAAATATACCGTGAGGTAGACAATGAGCACCCAGACGCAGTAGTAGATATAGAACTTCCATCCCAAAGCCTTCAGCCCAATTGGGTTAACATAGCTTCCGAAGACAGACGCCACCTGAATGGTCAGAAGAACAAATGCCCATGCCTTGGCTCGCATCTGAAGTGTGACAATCTCCAGGGTATAGGTAACGATCAGATTCGTCCAAGCAAAAGTGTAGAATGCTTGAAACACGAATATGCACGCAATCACTACCCTGCCGGCAGCTAGTGAGTTGTGCTCCAAGTATTGCTGGGCTGCGATAGTCCAGACGACGAACACGACAACAACACCACCGGATCCAGTGAGAAAGAAGAAGCGACGACGGAATTTGTCGATGACCACTGCAACGGCAATCGCGACGATGTATTGCCAAAGAGTAACCATTCCGTTCACAAGTGTGATCTCATATTGTGTCTTCAGCCCGGTGTCCTTGAGAATCTGTGTCAAATAATTCGAGACCAAGAGGTTACCAGAGCTCTGGCTGAAGACCGCCGTGGCAAAGCACAGAAACATGCGCTTGAGATTGGCTCGTGATGACACGAAATCTTTCCATGTCAGGTTGTTTTCGGCTTCCTTGTCGATGGCCTCCTGGATCTCAGCGCACTCCACTTGGACCAACTCTGAGTTAGGATCGCATTCCCCGTGGTATTTGATCAAAATCTCCTTGGCCTCCTGGTGACGCCCTTTAGCAATCAGCCAGCGAGGGGATTCGGGGCAAAACCAAATCAAACAGAACTGGTAAGCCGAGGGAATGATTTGAACCAATGTAGGTAGTCGCCACGACCATTGGCTGCTGATTCTATAGCAGCCAAAAGTTGCCCAGGCCCCAATGACATATCCCAGGGCAATGGAAGTGTTGTAGAAGGTGGTGACTTGCACACGCTCTTTCGGATGAGACAGTTCTGTGATCAGGACTGGGGCACCCATCTGAATAAGTGAAGACCCCGCCCCTAGAATGATCTTTCCGCCAATATACATGTTGAGAGAAGTAGCGAAGAACTCGATTATCACACCAGTGATGATAATGATAGAGCCTAGGGCAGTGGGCAACCGGCGGCCGAATTTATCGCCGATCCAACTGAGGAAGATGAACGGAATCACACCTCCGATTGCGTTGGATGCACCGAAAAATCCCAATGTAGCTCCCTCGGGGTGTCCAAAGCGATCTTGCCAAGAATCCAAGGCCTGCATGCCGTTTGTCATGGACTGCATAAAGTGGTCAGCGAGACGACATTGCTAAGTCAGATAGGGCAACATACGCCATCAATTCCAAGTGCAGCGCTTGCAAGCAGTGAGGAAGTCAAAAGGAAGTATAGTAGTATCCCATTTTTTCGTCGCCAGAACGGCGGCATAGACTTCACATCAATGGACGACACGATGCCCTCGGCAGCGTGGGCAGCAGCGGGTGCCATAGTTGAGATGAGTGTCTCGAAGTGAAAGAGAAACGAACCAGAGCTTTAAAATGACAGGCGTAAAACCTGAGCTCATTTCAATGACTTCCTCTGCCTCTTATAGGAGTGACAGAAAGGTATAACATTGCATGCCGACGGCCCAGGAACCTTGATCCATACATACACACGTGGAGAGAAAACCGTCCAGCTCTCAATTTGCGGAGAATTCCCCCGTGGGGAAAGCGAAAGTTCCAAAAAAACGCACGATGTCTGGGAAATCGGCGAATTGTCACCGGTGAATTGGGTATTTCCCCGAAACAAGGACGAATCGCCGACGGCTTTATTGACCTAGCTTGAGCGCCACAATTTTCCGAATGCTATAAGGCGTACGCCTCGAGTCTGTATAGCTTTGGTACAAAAAGATCTCAACACAGTAAACGAAGTCCCATCAACCTAACTCCATCATGGTGCCAGTTACACTTCCCACGAATTTTGAATGGGGCTTTGCAACAGCAGCATATCAGATTGAGGGCGCTGTGGATGAAGATGGGCGCGGCAAATCAATTTGGGACACCTTCTGTCATCTCCAGCCCACAAGAACCAAGGGTGCAAATGGAGATATCGCCTGCGATCACTATCACCGATATGAAGAAGATCTCGATAGCCTTGTCCAATACGGGGCTTCAGCTTACAGGTTCTCAATCTCCTGGTCTCGCATCATCCCTATGGGAGGAAGAGATGATCCAGTCAATGAGTCAGGCATTGCATTCTATGATAACCTGATCAATTCTCTCCTTTCAAGGGGAATCACTCCGTGGGTCACTCTGTATCATTGGGATCTTCCTCAGGGGATTCATGATCGATATGGAGGTTGGTTGAATGTGGAAGAGTCACAACTTGATTTCGAGCGATACGCGAAAGTCTGCTATGAGCGATTCGGAGACCGAGTCAAGAATTGGATCACTATCAATGAGCCGTGGATTGTCTCTATTTTTGTGTGTTTTCTCTGCTTCTTTCTCTCTCGTCCTTTCTCTTACTTTTATCTTCCGTCCCTCTTCCTACCGGCTTTTTCAGTTAACTAATTTTTCTTCTTCTAGGGATATGGCAATGGATGGAATGCACCTGGACGCAGTAGCACAAATCCCATGTCTACCAACGGAGATACTTCCACGGAGCCTTGGACTGTTGGCAAAGCTTTGATCATGAGCCATGCTCGTGCGACTGCGTTGTATAATCGTGATTTTCGTGGCCCTCAAAAGGGCAAGATTGGTATCTCTCTGAATGGTGATTATTATGAGCCTTGGGATAGCCAAGATCAGCGAGACCACGAGGCTGCGGAGCGCCGCATGGAGTTTCATATTGGATGGTTTGCCAATCCTGTGTGGTATGCTTTCACCATTTCCCTGGCATGGATCATTTTACGGGGCCATTCAATCTGACCAAGCCCTACAGTCTAGCGCAAGATTACCCTGAATGCATGAGAGCTCAGTTGGGAAATCGACTTCCCCGCTTCACAGAATCAGACTTCGCTCTGCTCAGAAAAGCTGATATGGACTTCTATGGGATGAATTACTACACTTCTCAATATGCTCGACACCGTGGAACCAATCCCCCCGATACAGACTTCCTGGGTAACGTGGACGAATTACAAGAAAACAAGGAAGGCATGTCGATCGGGGAAAAGAGTGGTGTATCTTGGCTTCGATCAACCCCACACTTGTTCCGGAAACACTTAACCAGGATTTATCAAAAATACGGGAAGCCGATATATGTCACAGAGAACGGATGCCCTTGCCCTAACGAGGACAAGATGACACGTGAAGAGGCTGTCAACGATGACTACCGAGTCCAATACTTTGCGGATCATCTCGATGCAGTTGGGATATCTTGCAAAGATGGCTCTGATATCAGAGGTTACTTTGCGTGGTCTTTGATGGATAACTTGGGTATGCTTGTTCACTTCTGCTTGAAAAGATGTATCAGAGCTGATTATGATAGAATGGTCCGACGGGTATGGGGTCCGCTTTGGCGTTACTTTCACCGACTACGACACTCTTGAAAGAACTCCAAAACGATCTGCTCTCCTTCTGAAAAGTATGTTCAATGCACGTATGAGCAATATACCCATAGGTCACCCGTGTGTAGCAGAGTTGGATGAGCGCAAGTCACACATATGAGATCAATGCCATGACTGAGCCCATTGCCTAATATAGAGTCTGGTCTTTCCCTGATGATGAACTCTACTCCAACAACTTCGGAATTGAGTACCTTCATTTCTTTATTTTGAGTAATGTTTGTGAGTAAATTTTCAAGATCGGTTGGAACTAGCGTAGGGTAGTCGAGATTCAAGGAAGGTAAGTCAGAGTTGTTCACTACGTAGTACAGTGTATCAAATTCGGAGAAATTTGCCTGACAATCTATTCTGCCTTGGATTCCGTCAATTAACCAAAGTCTCGAGACTGCGCTAGTAGATACCCTCGGGCATTGCAGTTCTCGGCTCATTTTCCATCCAAATCTGCGAAGAACCTATAACCATACTGTTCGCTAGGGTCGTTGTAGCGAATCTTCTTGTCAAGTGCATTGATTTCAGCAAAATCTTCAGGGCTCAGCTCAACAACTGCACGCAGGTTTTCGTAAATTCGGGTCTGCGTTTTCGATTTCGGAATAACCGAATGGCCCCGTGAGATTCCCCACCCTGTGATCGTGAATTAGACTCAAGGCACAGTATCCTAATCAAATCCAGTGTTAAAATCTCACCAAGCGCCATTTGGGCCCCGGTTCTGCCATGCTTTTGACCAATTTTTCTCAAAACCTCATCATTTACTTCCTTGTCGGTTTCATCCCTGACTCCATAGATTGCATTTTGATTGCCCAGCGGTGAATACTGAGTCACATGGATGCCCTGCTCTTTCAGAAATTCGGTAAAATCCATTTGTTGGAGCCATGGATGAAGCTCCATCTGGTGGACTGCTGGAACAACACTAGTGTTTGCAAGAAGACGCTCAATCTCCTTGTGTGAAAAGTTAGAAACACCAATTGCTTTGCTCTTTCCAGATCGAATAAGGCCTTCCATAGCTTTGTATGTCTTTTTGATCATCAGCATGACACGGATAAAAGCAGATTTGGCTCATACATCGATATAGTCAATGTTGACGGTTATAACATTACCATCCCTGTCAGTCGGGAATGAGTCGTCACCTCGCTTGAATGCGACTGGCCAGTGCATCAAGAATAGATCAAGATAATCTAATCCAAGAGCGTTCAGTGATTCTTGCAATGCGGGGCCGACATCATCTGGATGGTGTCTGTGGTTGCAAAGTTTGCTTGTGACGAAGATCTGGTCTCGTGGAATGCCACTTCTCCTGATAGCGTTTCCCACAGCTCTCTCCGTATCATAACTGGATTATCTAGGTCATTTTTTGGTAGCCTGAGGTTTTGAACGGGGTATGATGCTCACCATCGGGCGGTGTCGATGTGACGATAGCCTGCGTGGAGTGCAGTAAGGACTGCTTGCTCTTGTGTGTCTTCATCTTGCCAGGTACCCAGCCCGATCGCCGGGATGTGTGCTCCAGTGTTGAGCCTGAAATTCTTTTGCTCAAAAGCCATTCTTGTATGTTGATGACACCAGGTGAATGTGAAACTTCTTCTCCGCAAGGCCAAGTCCACAGTAATTCCGCAGCAATGATATCATCTAGCTGTAATATTGAAGCTATGTAGCTTGGAATCTGAAAAGATATACTAGGTATCGGACCGGCGCAGGAACAAGTTACATCACTATTGCGTTCAAGGCTACTTTTGCTTGGCCTTGGATGGGCGAGATTTCCTGTACATACTTTCAAATATTTTTCACGGAGATCATCAGGCGAGAAAGACATAGTATGTACATCCGTAGACGATTTCGAGCAACAATAGCTTGGTACCACCACTTGAGGACTTCTCTGGGGTAAGAGTGTGTACTTGACTCGAATATGGCCTGATACCCTATCCTATTGTTTTTCCGTTTTCCCGATACACTTCTGCAGCTCATACAAGTCATTTCTATATCCCAGGCTCTATGTCCTGGGCAAGATGAAATCCCTGTACTTTCTCGGCCCCTCACTGCTTGATTTCTTCCTTGTGAAAGATATCTGGAGAAAGTCAGATGCGTCATATATAGATCTTGTCACCGGGACTAACTTTGAATTTCAGGCATCCATTTGGTGCGAGCCTTGCAGAAGAATTCACCCTTTGGAGGCAGCGCGTCAGGGTCGTCTAATGATCCTATACAAATGTATCGGAAATCATTCTTCACAGCATCCTGCACTTCTTGTCAGTAAAGCTTCCACTGATTGATCTGGAAATGTACTCCGTATTCCAAAATGAAGCTGCCACAATTGTCGCAAAATTCCCTGTGAATGGTGACATCGGATCCATTATCGGCGGCGTGTTCCTTGGGCTTGCCCTTCTTCAAACGAAAGGTATCCTTAGGTACCTTTGCCGTCAGACCATAGTTGGTTCCAAAAGCTTTCTGCTCAGAAAGAATTTGGTCAACGCTGTTTCACTCAATTCGTGAAGAACTACGATGTCCACGATACCTTGCAATTGCCACAGTGACAGATTGAGGCTCTCGTATCTTCGATCGAGTTCAACTCTAACTCGTATTCGATGTTGCGACAGAAGCAGGATCCTGAAAGTTTGAGCATATTGATTTCCATCAATTTTGGAATGAAGATCGCATGCCCACGAAATACTTCATAGCAAGAGGTCATTGAATGATATCACCTGGGCAGGATATTGCAAGGATGACATCACCCCGACACGAAAGTATGTATTTTTATTCTGATTGATTCTTCCTGATTATCAACCATGTACAGTAGATATGTACAAAACCACCTACTGAGAGAAAAATGCATAGTTGGATGGATTTGATCAGACCTATTGGCTTCCAAGGTTGATTCTTGAATTTACTGTTTTCCCGATTGTTCGCCTTAAATCTCAGGCTCTATGTTTGACTATAGTCTCCCCACCTCGCATCTGCATACTCTTTGGAGTCGAAAAAGAGCGGGGCCGGGGAAATTGACATATTTGACCGTCCTTCATCCTTCATGTTCAATAAACTCCAATTTCTCCGTCTCTGATGACCACTTCTAGCCCATCTGGCTTACGCCCAAGGGCATGCGACAGGTGTCGTCGGAGAAAAGCAAAGGTATCGGTCCGTGATCAAATTGAGAATGGCCCAACTGACCGGTACTACCAGTGTGACTGCTCTAGCCCATCCTCAATTTGTAGCAGCTGCCAACTGGCTCACTTGACTTGCACCTTTGACTTGCCGATCGCGAGACGCGGGCCCAAGACTAAGCGACAGAGATCGATTGCGGCAGTCTATCCGAATGTGCTTCAAAGCCCCCCGCAACCATTACGGCAGGTCTCAGAACATGGGCCCATATCACAGCATCCATTCTCCTCGGTTTCAGATGCTGTTTCATTGGAGCCGTGGGATACCACTCTGTCGGTTCTTGACCCAGCATTATCCCCTGAAACGGTACATACGGTTCACTCGGCCATCTCCAACCCGGCTTCCAGCAGGATAACCTCGGCTTTGCAAAGGTGGCATAACCTGGAACAAGATCTTGGAGGACAGGATTCCTCTACAAGCCTGGAACGGATTGTCAATCGGTGCTTTGAACTATTCTTTGAATATCTATACCCATTGACTCCGCTGGTTCATGAGCCCAGTCTGCGAGATGGCCTGGGCTTTTTTGTGACCCAAGGGAGGATCTCACGATCTGATGGTCTCATCTACGGACTTGACAGTCTTAAATACCCGGATATCTGGCCAGACTTTACTTTTACTCTTATCACAGCAGTTTGTGCAGAAGCTGCTTTTCTCCTTCCAAAGGATATCTTTCCCGAGGGTGAGAGTCTAGCGGATCCATTTCTTCAAGCCTCCAGAAATTGTTTGACTACTTATTTGGAAGCCGATCTCGAGTACCCGAATGCTAATTCGGTTGCCATCCGGTACTTTCATTCGAACTGCATGCATGCAGCCGGCAAACCAAGGTTGTCGTGGCATATATTCGGGGAAGCAACCCGATTGGCGCAAGTTATGCAGATGCACGATGAAGAATCGTTACAAGGTCTCACCGTTCTTGAGGCTGAGTTCCGTCGACGTGCATTCTGGATTGCCTATATTGGCGATAAGTCTGCTGCAATATTGAACAATCGCCCAATCACGATTCACAAATATTCATTCGACTCGGGCATCACAATCGGCTATCCCACAGGTATCGAAGAAAACACAATTGTGACGCCAGGCAGTGGAGTTTCAGACGAGGAGAGCACTGGTAGAAGCTTCATTGTGGGATTCAATGCCAACATAAGATTGTGGCAAAGTGCTTCGGACTTGATACTTGAAATGCGACTATTGGATAGTAGCCAAAAAAGTGGGAGCCTGCTTCCTCGTCAGCCACCCACCGCCGAAGAAATTCATCGGCTTGATCACCTATACGTGCTTTTTGCGACGTCCTTGGATGACCTGCCTCGCTTTTTACAATATGACCAGCTCATGACAGAGACCAATACAGAGGATCAACGGTTGTCTAGACTAACAAGACTGCGGATCATACAGGCAACTAATGTCTTTGTTTCGTTGCACTGCCTCAAGATGGTCATCACACAGAAATTTGCAGAAATTGGCTACTATCCGATGCAGGTTAAAAGTGGAATGCTGCTACTCAGGGAAACGGACATCGCACGCGACCTGCTCCGAGTAATACGTGGTGCGCCATTTTGGGCTTTGCAAGTGAATGGCGAGCCATGCGTGAGTATTGTACCAAGATAGGCATGGCTCGAACATACTGATCGCTGATATTCACACAGGTTGAGAAGATCCGACTTATTGGAGCTTGTCTTTTGGAAATAATCGATCAACATGAGACTTCGCCATTGTCAGCTCGTGCGCGGAACGATCTTTCAGTTCTGCTTGATATATTGACCCGCCTTGATTCAAGGGCATCAGATACTTTACGGCGGCTTTTGTGAAGCATTAATGTAACTCTAGAATATCATGAACTTTTTTTTTCTGGCAAGCCCATCTTGTCTGACAATCAGGTTGGTATAACTATTCTAACGGCGCAAGCACTAGACCATAGAGTTAGACGGTGGCCTCATAAACTAGACGGCCAATTCCCGCCTCTCAGCTACCTAGGTAGGATCACTGACTGCCGGATCTTCTCACGACGATGAACTCTTTTTGTTATTTTTTTTTGTTTCTCCCACCTTCCTCTTTCGGAAAATTACCTCCCATTCTTCATACTTTTTATTTGACTGGACGTCTTGGTAAAGGGGTAAATGCTACTCCCACCTGGGCACTAGACCACAATTCCCCGATTCCCCGACTCAGCCTAACCCATTTCCGAGCACAACAGAGGAGGAGATTGTCAGTGTGGGGACCCCGGATATCTTGCCCGTGGCGCTTTGAACATGGCAGTGATAGCATGAAACAGTATTTATGAGCCCTTCGCGGCCTCCTATTTCTTCGGAGATCGTACGGACCCCTGCTACATCTTTGAATTATATTGACATACCTTGAGATGCATCTAAACAGAAGCCTCGGCGGCGTACTCGCGTTGCTCGCCTACGTCAAAGCTTTGCCATCACCTGAGCAAGTCAGACACCCTTCGTGCCGTTTCGCAAATCAATATTCCCAAAAGGAAATTCTTAAAGACCCTACTGCTTTCGTCAACGACCTCCTGTTCTGGGAGGGCAAGTTCCACCAGAACAACATTTCATATAACAGCAACAATGGGATCACCTATGACGGTACAAACATTGACTGGGTGACTGGCGAAGCTACCATCAAGCACTCCACTAGCGCAGCTAGCAAGGAGGTAGGATATTCTTCTCCGCCAGCTGTCAGGTCAACTAACCGAGTCAACCAGTCACTTCAAATCATGTTGTATGCACATGCTATTGCCGGGTCTCCAGAAGCTGCCCGGTTCCTCTCCCCCGAGGACCCACCAGCAGCTCCAGAATTAGCCGCTTCGATCATGGAGAAGAAGTTACAAACATATCTCAGGTTCAATCAGACTTTTCCTGGATTCGGGGGCTTCCTGCCTTGGATTCTTGCAGATGGTGAAGATCTGACCCCGACACCAGACTGGGAAAATCGCGTGCCTGGCCTGGATAACGGGTGTGTAAGCTCCTCAAGAATGGCAATGCAGAGCTGATAACCATTCTGCAGTGAACTTATTTGGGCCGTATATGGAATTATCCAAGCTCTTGAGAATTCAGGCGACAAGTCGTATCTTGAGCTTGCTCAGAAGTGGCAAGTATGGTTGGACTATACCAAAACCACTGCATCTAGGGTACGCCTGTCAACCTTTTATCGTCATCAGACTAAGTTCATTAACCCTCGGCTGAGTTAATAGATCTTCTATTTCGGTAACGGGAAAGTCTGTGCTGTTGTGACTATGAAAAACCAGTCTCTCCCAGTGAATCATCAAGGCCAACTTTATCAATGCGAGAAGGGCATTTTATTGGACGATCCATTTGAAGGTGAAATATTCACATTCTGGCTTCAATTCTTCGGTGGCTTGTCAGATGCAGATAAAAAGGCCCTCTGGGAAGTGAAAAGACCACAGCTGGTGAGCGTGGACTATTCAATGGGCGATTTTGGACCCATCACCGTGCAGAAAGGTATGCTATTCATGAAAGTCATCACATTCGTCCAAATCTCATATCGTACAGGATACTGGTTCTCCAGCCACGAGACATGGAAAGCCTTGCAAATGCCCTACTATGACATCGATATCGTCAGGTCAGTTCTTCGCAGGTTCTCACAAAATTCCAAAGCGACATGCTCACCTATCTTTACCCAGTCGTGTGTTCAAGAATGCAGAACGGGTCCGGACTTGCAATTCGGTTGTAACAAAGAAGCCCGGCATGTTCGCTTCCATCAACAACATCACTGATCCATCCACTGGCGATGTTACAGGTTACATCTCCAATGCTGGCATCCCCTCTATCTCAAACCAGACCGTGCAAGAACTGGACGTGATAACACCCTACAGCGTTTTCCCTACCATTCTCGTCGACAAGTCTATTGGGCTGGCGTGGTGGAGAAATATGGCTATGGCCAAAAAGATGCAGAGTCGGTGATGGTTCTCTCGAAATCGTGTTAGCAAACTAACAAAAATCCCAGACATGTATGGCAGCACCGAGTCCACACGCGTCGATGGGACCGGTGTCTCTGCTCTTGTCACTTGGGATAGCAAGATTACCACGGTGGTTGCGATCTTGGGAGGTGTCACTGACCTCGTTCGTCAAAAGATGAAGGCAGATGGCGTCTATGCTGAGTTCGTAGATGTCATCGAGGTAAGTGCTTCGCTGCTATGTGTCAGCCGTGATTTGGGCCCTGGAGTTGTGGCTAACGAATATTGACATGTAGACTGAGTATTCACGGGTGTTCACGAATCTCCGGGGGGAAGATGTCGATCTTTGTCTTCCGAAGGACACCGTTTCCGATGCAGGACTGGTGGATTTCACGGCCTGTCGTTAGGTAAAGATACTGGCGTCCCGATACATCAATAGTCTATTGTGGTTAAGTGCTAGTCAACCAATTCCAAGGTTAAGTACCAAAATGGATATTAAATGCAGTATATTAACTACATATTCATTCCAAAGTTCCTTGTTCACATGGCTTTATGTAGCAAGGAGATCGCTAGATGTATAGCGATCTGTCATCAATCATTATGTCCAAGGTGCAGATAATAAACATAGTAGGGGTAAAATGCCAGTTGTGGTATGGCAGGAGGGATGAAGTGAAAACCCGAGATAGCATGCGGAGCAGCAAAGGCGGTGGCAACCACTGAGCGGTTGCACATCCCATCTCAAGGGCCTTTAGGCCAATTTGCAAAGCGACTGAAAGAAATTTGTACGAGCAAATGATCCACACCAACGGGTATATAATGGTCTTGGTGTGTGATCCAAAAAGACAACGCAAGCTTGAAATGGTGGACTTGCAGGCATGCTGATTCAAGAAAAATGCTGGCAAGCACCGCCACAAAATTCGAGAATCAATCGTTCAAGGTCGGAGAGTTTGTATGGTTTTGTCATGTAACCTTTGATCCCTACCCTGGAAGCGCGATTCAGCGCCTCATCAGTGACGTCTGCGCTGACGGCGAGGACGGTTGGGGGTGGCGGCGTGCAGAAAGTGTTTGGAGTGGTATCCATTTCCATGGAGTCAGGGCTATTGCGGTTTTGTTGATCAAAGGCGGCGTGTTCGTCACGATGGTTGTCGACCATCTGCAGAATGCGCGAGGTGGCTTCATAGCCATCCATTTCAGGCATCCAAAGGTCCATCAGGACTACGTCGATAGATTTCATTTTCGGTGGTGGAGGTGAGTCCTTGATGACGCCTTCCATGGCATTCGAGGGGTCGGAGTCGGAGTCCACATCCATAGCAGAGCCTTTTGAGGCGTTCAGAATGCCTTCGACGATTTGTACGGCTTCTCTGCCATCGGCTGCTTCAAGGACATCCCGATAGCCGAGTTTCCGTAACATGTTCACCAAGACGCGTCGGTTGATTCTATTGTCTTCGGCAACAAGAAAACGCAGCGGATACTTCTCCGCGAGTTTCTTATCGTACGCCTCCCCAGAAATATTGGTTCGATGTAGACGGGTTTGGGGTGGTGATCTTTTGAGCGTTGGGCTTTGAGACATGTTCTCTTCGCTAACACTTGGGGTCGGCTGCTGAAGTTGGATGTTTTGAGGGAGTATGAAAGGGGAGTTATTGGTAGCAGGGTCACATAAATTGCTGCTCCCGCTGCTATTCCGTGTTTGGTCATAAATGGCCTCGCCAGGCGTGGCGGGTCGGGCTTCAGTCTCACGTTGATTGACAGGGATTCGGATTCTGAATTCGGTACCTCGCTCAGGGCCCGATGTGGATGAGCGTACACACGTCAAATCACCGCCCATTTTCCGCGATAGGCCCTTGGCCACAAGAAGACCGAGTCCTAGGCCGTCTTTGCTTCGGGTGGTTGAGGCATCCTCGCGAGCAAATGGTTTGAATAGATTGGGCAAAAACGCAGCTGGAATTCCTGGGCCTGTATCGCGTACAAGAATCAAGACATCGTTTTTCTTGGAGTCAAAAGTCGCTGACACAGTGATGGTACCGTTGTTGGTGAATTTTATTGCGTTAAGAAAGACACAAGATATCAATTTGGCCAGATCACGGTCATCGGCAAGAAGGGTGTCGGGCAATGCTGGATCCACAGACCAATCTACGACCTTGGTGCGCAACTCGCCATTGGAGGATCTTGATCGAATTTCGATCCTCTCGCCACAATCGGTTGCGTTGCTTATAGCAGAATCAGGTCGACCACCAACATGAAGAGACTCATTGATTACCAGACGAAGAAGATCTCTCAGTTTGGTAAAGCGCAAAGCAGAGCCTCGGAGGTTGACGTTGATGCCCTCCAGGAGTAGGTGGGGTGCAGATCGTCGTACGGCAAGTGAAGGGCGGGGATCGACCATGTTGGCCATAACAGCTTCGATCTGGCGGGCGGGAATAGCATGTACAATTTGGTCGCTTTCATGCACAGCGTTCTTGACTTCTTCGCTGCGGGGGGAAAGCTCTTGTCGTGATGTAGCAGCGCGAAGCCTCTGCTTCCGCACCGGTCGGGGGTTCGTTTCCAATGGCAAACTTCGCCGCCGCTTGTAGGGATTCACTGCAATGTTGTTCCCTTCAATGAAGATGCTTGGGCGGGTTTCGGAGTCCTGGGTTTCGGCCACATGGTTCTCCGGGATCTCAGGGGGAATAGCAGGGTGGCCCAAAATCTCAGTTTCTTCCCGAAGTGGTGTTTTAGGGACCTGCATGTTAAGATCATATGCGTGAACGACATTGTCGGCCGCTTCAACCGCACGCCTTGCACTGTCCTGCACCATCTCGATGCCTTCTTTGAGTGTCTGGAAGATCCCGCCCGATTTGATGGGTGTCTTGCTTTCCATTGCCTCGCGTACCGTCGCATGCATCACATCGAGCATACCTACAACGCCTTGCATTGGAGTTCTGAGTTCGTGTGACAGGCTTCGTGCGTACGGTTTGAGGGGCTGTGAGTTGAAATCGGAGAGTTCGTTGGGGGCGATGAAGTGAGGGTTGGGGTGGTTCGGGGCATTGGTAGTTGGAGAAACCAAGTCATCTGTATTTGTTTCTCCTTGTTGCAAGCGCTGAACAATTAGATCTTCGAGGGAGTGGAGGATCATCTCCATAAAAGACCAGGACAGATTTCGCTGCCGGAGGCCATCTTTCGACCACATCAATCCGAGGTGCGCCAGGCACTTTCCAGCCGAGAACAACGGTATCGCTAGGTAGGCATCGACACCGAATGGTAACTGGTCATCGCCGAAGGAAACCAGGGAGCTGAGATTTTCGGTGATCAAACAAGGCCGTTCGTGGTCCATGTGCAACAAGGGATTCCCGCCCGCGAAATACCTGTTTCGCTGCAAACCAACATTTTGATAGCCATCGTTGTAGTAAAATACTGGACCAAAAAGCGTCGGGCGCCGCCCGCCTAATTCTGGTAAGGGGTCACTACCATGGACTCTCCGAGCAACAAATCCATATTGGGCTTTTGTTATTGACGTGATATCCTCCATCAGCCGCTTCCAGAACAGCTCTGTGTCGGATACCCGTAGCCCCTGTTTGAGTGCAACCAAGTGTTCAATGGCCGCAGTCTGGGCTCCATCATTCCATGTTTCCGTGTCCAGTTTTACACCATCATCGCGACCGTTCAGTCCGTCGGTGATGCACTCGGATTTGCAGGAGGGGAATGACATGACAGGACAGGGTTTCACGAGATTGGAGGCATCCGGCTCGGGCTTGTCGGGCATAGTCCATATGGTAAACGAGAGTGTTGATTTTGAGGTGGAGGTTGCGTGTTCCAAGGTTCCCAGAAAGGTACGAGAAGTGTGGAGTAGAGGACGTACGGAGTAGACAGGTAGATATTTCGAGATGTCCTATTCCAAGACGATCATAGCTGGGCTACGAATCGAGATGTACAGAGCAGAGAAGAGCCAAAGCCAATCCCCGAAGGAGGGGAGAGGGGATTTTCCCTTAGTTCGACGGGGGCCGGGCGGTCTAGACACGGAACTGAAACAGATCACCGATCAAACGGTTCTACTCTTCGACTCTGTACTTGTGTGGTGGTGGGATTTGGCGTTTTCTCACTATTGGACCTTGACTTTTTTTATTTTAATGAAATGGTACTTTTGTCTTCTCATGTTTCTCCATTTCCTGAAAGAAAAAAAAAAAGAACCGCCTTCGATCCATGCGGAGGTGCACGGAGGGTGCACTGCAGGATCGGCAGATCTAGACCCGAAGAAGAACCAGTAGGTACTGGGTACTCGGTTTTCCCTTGTAACACAGCCCATTGGCCAGGTACCCGGTACCTCCCCGAAAGTGGCCATTTGCCCTAAGCCCGCCCTCATGCCCGGGGACACCCTTGGAAATCATAGGACCGTGCTTTAATATATTAGATACACTCCAGGTCTACAATGCGTATGGGTCTACGGGGTGACGAGGGCATACAACTCCAGCAATTATTTTTTTCGATGCTTGAACCCGCACTGAAGTAAACTTCCGGTAAAATATATAGTTCAGATGTAAACAGAGAGATTGGCCTTTACGGATATCTATGAATGTGAAGCATTTTGGAAACAATACCTAGGTAGTGACTTTACAGTATAAACTTGAATTGATTTGGACGGTCTACATCTACTAGGTACTCGTAATTCACTCTTGTATACAATTCCATTTACGATACTCCCAAGGCTTCCAAGGTTCCAAGGTTGTACTAGTAGATCGAGATTGAAAGCTTGGTGCTGGTTTGAGGCACATCCGAGTCTCTGGACCTTTACAAAATTCGTGGCCCGGTTCGAAACAAAGGTCCACTTTATCTTTTATTACGAGACACGAGAGCCAGTTCGAAACTCCGGTTTGTCTCTTCTGGGCGCATGAGGAAATACCCACGGAGTACGGAGCAATTTGTTCTCCGTAATCATTTATACGAATCAAATATCTAACGGTGCAGCCGAGGAACCTCCGAGCACTATACTCCAGGGCTGCAATCCAGCATGGATCAATTTGACATTCTACTCTCTCGAGTTTCCGGTACTGTACGACTTGGGAATGTACGCGCTGTGGAACCGAGGCATAAAAGTGTGATGGCCGATCACTGCATGCTAAGGTCCGAGCGCAGCCTAAGGCAGTATAAACTGCAGCCGGAGAACTATATCACAACAACCGGCCGTATCTCTCTCAACCTCGGTGTCGACGACGATGGCCTCTGTCGCCCCCTACAAGATCCACGTTCCGGATGAGAAGCTCCAGCAACTTCGTCACAAATTAGACCATGCCACCTTCCCAGACGAACTCGACGCCTCAGGGTGGGACATGGGTGTGCCTCTCGATGAGGTCAAACGGCTTGTCGCCATCTGGCGGGATCAATTCGATTGGCGGATACAGGAAGCACGATTGAATCATGATCTCAAGCAAATCAGCGTTCAAATCGCCGTGGATGGCTTTGGAAATTTGGATATGCACGCCGTGCACCACAAAAGTGGGAATAGCAAGGCCATCCCACTATTGTTTATCCATGGGTGTATGCAATCAGAATCAATGGCCTCTTTCTGAGGTTGCAGGGCTGATATTTCTTCAGGGCCTGGCAGCTTCCTGGAAGCAACCAAGCTCATCCCCCTGCTCACGGAGAACGAAGGAAACGGTCCGGTATTTGACGTTGTGGCACCCTCCTTACCCAACTTTGGATTCTCTCAAGGAGTGAAAACAGTATGCTTCAATCTTCAACATACCATATTATACTTACCGAGATCAGAGGGGGTTCGGGCTAGCACAGTATGCCGAGTCTGTACACAAAGTGATGATAGCTCTGGGGTACGATGAATACGGTTCGCATCATCTACTCTCCCTGGGACGTTCATCATCTAACATCCAGCAGTGGTACAAGGTGGCGACTGGGGGAGCATGATAGCTCGTACCATATCCCAATTCTACCCTCAGCACGTCCAGGCCATACACCTGAATTTCATCCCGGTGATACCGCCCTATCCATGGCGAAGCCCATACCAGTTCTGCAAATCCCTGATCTCAGTGCCCTTCTCCGCGAAAGACAGAAGTCTTATTGCCCAGACAGTCGGGTATTTTACTCGTGACAATGCATACATGAAGCAGCAGGAGACTCGGCCCCAGACTCTAGGGTATGGGCTTCACGACAGTCCCGTTGGACTTCTCGCATGGATCTGCGACAAGATGCACTCATGGTCTGATGACTATCACTGGACAGACGAGGAGATTTTGACTTGGGTAAGTGTTTACTACTTTTCAACGGCTGGGCCAACAGCCTCAGCGAGGATTTACTTTGAGGCCTCGGCGCCGAAAAGAGAGCTTGGTGAGTCTACTATGGACGATGGGTCTTCAAAGATACAGACGCCGGATTTGAGGTACATGTCGCTAGAGCAGGTCCTTGGCGCTCGAGCTCCCCCAAAAGTGCTCTTTGCCGTGGCACAGTTCCGGAAAGAACTCATCATGTTTCCCATGTCGTGGTATCGGTCTATTGGAAACGTCGTACAGGAGCACGAGTACGATAGTGGGGGGCATTTCGCGGCCTGGGAGGTTCCCAATTTGCTGGCTGCCGACATCAAGCAGTTTCTAGGCAAAGCAGGACCAGCTTTCGGGATAGTAGCCGATAGGAATGGTTATTGACGGACTTGTTGAGCTCCGCACTGATAGAGTGTCAAAATGAATACCAATATAACATTGAACCCACCGTGACGTCCGCACAGTATATTCGTGAGTTGCAATTGAGGGCATCTGTGACAGGAAATTTAAGCTTCAGATAGAACACTGACGTGACGTGACAACGGGGCCTTTTATTATCGTGATAGAAGTAAGAGAAACATGGAGTCAAAGGGCTCTCATAGCCCCTTGGCTCAGGTATCGATCGCCCTCACATTGAGAATGTGCTACCCCGACATTGATCGACCGTACACGGCACGCAACATCCAGTGAAGACCGTAGACGCCGGGATTCGCCAAACCAACGGAAAGCCCAAAACAACCACTTCCCCGAATCTAATCCTGGCGTCCCTTCAATAGACGCTGGGTGACCTTATCCTTCTCTATGATATAAACCTGTGCGCCCCAACCGGAGAGAGCGTCTCGGTCGACGGCACTGAGGAGCGCTTGTGAGATTGTCTCGAAGAGATCCTCGGGTGCCTATAGGAAGAGACGTGTTAGAGTTTACCCAACGCTTTTGTAAGTTTGGCTTGTACGCACCAGATCAGGCTCCCACAGACCCTCGCAGGTACCGAAGAGCTGGTCGCTTGCCGTTCCGCTGACAATGAAGTCCTTGGCGAAATCGATACAGCCAATGCTGTCAAAGCCGCAGATGAAGGGCTTCCCCGTTGTTGGGTTGATACCAGCCAGCACGGGGCTGACGAAGTAAGGACCGAAGCGCTTCTCATAAAGCGATGAGCTGACTAGGTTGGCGAGAGTCTGCGGTGCAATGTCGCGCTCCTCGCGTAGGCGGTACATGTTGACCTTGTAGCGGAAGAGATCGGAGATGGTGTTGACATCGGTGGCCAGACCGGTCAGGCCGAGGTAGGTGGATGGTGCATAGTTGAAAATCTTGGGGAAGTTGTTGGAGATGGTCAAGGCCTGCATGCCCAGACGAAGGTCGCAGGCAATGGCGACGCAGTCCTTGCCCACCATGGCGACACAAGCACCGCCATCTGAGGAAGGGTTAGTATGTTCATTGACAGATCTTCAGGGGCAGGTTTCTGGCGTACTGATGTCGAAGGGGTTGGACTGTGATGGGAGAAGTCGGTCAGCCTTGGGAGGTCCAGAGGTGGACGGATTGGGAGAAAGGGTGCCATTTTCATACCATTATTGCGATTCGTCAAAGCAGATCAATATGGTGGAGAGTGCTCAGAGCTAACCGACAAGCAAAAAGAGGCGAAAATGGGGTTGAGAATGGGGTGAATTGGGGGAGGTGATGGAGATGAGGTGATGACGGGGAAGCTCTGAGGTACGCGAGAGCTCAGATGACGCCCGCACCGCTGCCTGGGGGTTTCTGATGCGACCGACTACTTTCTTTCGCCCTCGTTCTCCCCGCATTTGCCAGCTAACTGTTTCATTGACATTTACAATTTTGGAAGATTTACACAAAGGCTAGAAAACATTTTCTGTCTTATCAACGTTTGTGTCAAGAAGTGACAATGAGTGCCCATGTCGTCGTGATCGACGCGACGGCCAGGCGGGCAACCATCAAGACCACACCCGGCAAACACTTGACCGATATCTTACATGAAGCCTGCTCCAAGCTTGGTTATAACTCCAGTCAATATGGATTGAAGTGAGTGGCTTCCTCAAGACCGAGGACAGTACTAATCGAGTCTATTCTACATTACAGACACAATCGCAAACAGCTTGATCTTTCTCTATCCTTTCGTCTATCCGGCCTCAGCTCTGGTGCAAAGCTGGAGCTTGTCCAAGCGTCTCGTTCCCCCTCTGTCGTTACTGTCGGCTTGCAGCTCCCCGAGTCCGAAGTTCGTGGCGCTCCGAATGGCCGTATACTTGACAAATTCCCAAGTACGACCACGCTTTGGCTGGTGCTGCGCAAATTCGAGGCTGGAGTGGCAGGAAGCGGCTTAACAAGGAACCTCACTTCTCGCGCAGTGCCCTCTACAGGCGACGCCTCGGGTGCTGGACGTTTGAACTATGAGATTCCTGTGCTTCAAATAATGGAGCGCGAAGTCTCAACCTTCACAGACTTACAGAAGACATTGGCCCAGTTGGGGTACAACAGTGGAAATGTCCTCATTCGACTTAGCTTCCGACGAACTGAACAACCCATCGAAGAAGCGATGGCTCATATTGGCGAGTTCTTCAAGACCGAAGACGAGACCCCTCCAACACAAGATACAAATACGGCGCCCCCGGTGGTCCCCGCCGAGGTCAAGCCGGATGACTCTGCTCAGCAGTCATCCGAGCTGCCCGAACCTGAGTCCTCGGGCGTTCTTGCCGCTCCGTCGGAGCCTCTTGCTTCTCCCCCAAGTACCCTTGACCCGGCCACCTCTACAACCGAATCTGGCCGCAATGTCACTGTCTTCTCGCCTCCATCCGAGAGTACACCTTCATCGGCACAACTAGCATATAACGAGAATGATTATGTGCCCTCGATCGAACACGCACAACTGCATCAACGACTCCTCAACGAATCGTCTCGTAACCAGCGCCTACCCACCCACGCAGAGATGGCTGCCAAGGCGAAGGAAGACGAGGCAAGGCAAGCAGCAATCCGTGAGGTGGATGTCAAAGTCCGCTTCCCGGATCAAAGCCAAGTAGTGGCCAAATTTGGGGCCTCGGACACTGGTCATTCACTTTATGAGTTCGTGCGGGGCTGTCTTTCTCCTCCGTTTGCGAAAGAGAACTTCCACTTGACCGTTCATATTGCGTCGCGCTCTCAGCATGCAAGTGAAATTTCCTCATCAGATCAGAAACTGTTGATCAAAGATATCAAGCTGGTCGGAAGGGTGCTTATCAACTTTTCCTGGGCTGACAATGCTGCTCCCTTTGTGCATGAACGTCGATCAGAGACACTTCGTCCAGAACTTCGAAGCCAGGCCCAGCAGCTCAAGGTAGAACAGCCACCGGAACCCAAAGAAGAGGAGGTGGTTCCTTCGCAGCCTGGGCCTAGCAGTGCCTCGGGGGATGCAAAGCCTAGCAGTGCGCGAAAGCCTGGTGCCATGCCTAAATGGCTGAAGCTAGGCAAGAAATGAACTTACAATCATGATTGTGCTCGGTTCAAATGAATGGATGACCTGTCTCTGATGATCATGATTTGACTGTTGTGCTTTATGTTCATGACTATTTTTAGAAGTGCAAATAGAATTGAAACAAGCACATACCTTCTACAAGCTTAACGGGCAGGTAAGCGCACGGTAGATCCATGGATTCACTCTTTGCAAGTCGCTGCAACTGTCAAGCCAACGATCTAGAGCAATACACAAGTGATCCCTAGGAGGGGATCTCAAAAGCACCTGGGCACTATATACAGTAACCACTCGAGATCGTATACCTGCAGATGGGACAGTTGCTACCACCATGCATGCGGCAGGGGACTACTTATATGCCAAAAGACAATTGCATGGCATGCCCCAGTTCTATCCATGGATGTCAATACCATAGGGGCATGGATATGCACATGTGGTCCAGATAATGAGTTAAAGTTAAAGACCGTGCTACGTGGACACATCTTGAAATGCATTAAGGCAAGATATCCGACATACTTCGGACTAGATTTATCGGTTGGTAGGTATTGCTTCGAGGGTGGCGGAGAGCAAATAGCTCAACAGCCCGCAGCTCACGTAGGTCGGGATTGATCCAGTTGTCTATGCAAACAGCTGCTACTTCCACCCGTACATGTCATGCGTCGCCCAAGGATGAGAGTCAAACGGAAATATCATGAAATGGTTGAGAAATTGTTTTCATTAGGGTTTCACTAAAGGAATCCCATGTTTGCCTTCCCCCTTCATGCACACCCAGTGGCCACAAAACCCCCTTTCCGATCCGAGTATCACGCTTTTTTTGCGTCGAGTCGTTACAACGATAGAAAAACAGGAACGGTTGGAGACATTTAGTGACCAGCAGCCTGGGCACGGCGAGACTCAGCAATGACCTTCTGCATGTTCTCAACCTTGGCCTTGCCACGGCCGAAAGTACCGAGCTAGATGAACAAGTTAGCAAATGCATGCTTGTTGATTTCGTCGTAGCTTCTGCTGAAACGACAGACTACATCACTTGGGGTTGGCTTCCATGACAAGTGCAAATGATTGAACATTTTCAAGTGCAATCGGCCTTCTCAAAGAGACCTGCAGAGGCGACTTGTTAATCCATTCAACCATCGCACCAAACCCAAAGAAGCCATTCCACCAAAACGTTGTAGTTCACGAAACAGAGACAGCGAGTGACGAGTAGATTTTTGGGTGTAGACATACGCGCTTCTTAGCGAGCTTGCGGGCACGCTTGTCCTGGGCGTTGCGCAGCAACTCAATGATGCGGCGCTCGTAGGGGGCGAGACCGACGACCTCCTGGGCGATTTCGCGGACGAAAGCGGTGCGACGGGAGCTCTTACCCTTGGACCGGCTGATGCGGGTCTTGGGGGTGTTCAGGGCAGTCGTAGGCTATATCATGAGCAGTCAGTACATGTTCTTTCTTGGTCATGAAAGCCAAAGCCAATGATTCCCGGGTCTCTCTGTTCATCTCTCAGGATGATCTCTCGGTTCATTCAAGTGTGGTCGTTGGAAAACTGTTGGAGGGGTGGAGTGACGGTGTCGGGTGTCGAATATCGAATCGCGAAAAAAAAAAGTTCCACCAATCTTGAACTTCTCCAAACGAGACCATTCTTTGATTCTTCTTTCCGGTTGTCGAGATTATTGCAGTCCATTCTGCCAATTGATTCTCCAGTGTTTCCGCCATAAATCGTGACCCAAATGTACTTGAATGAACCGATAGACTGAACGGGGAGACCTGATGGGACATTCAAGAGACCCGGCAGCGTGGGGAAAGAGAGGACGACACGTACACGGCCGCTGTTGAGTCCGAGGATGAGTCCGGAGCGTTCTTGCACCATCTCGGCGGTTGTTGACTGAAGGGGTTGGCGGAGGTTGTCGAGGAGGAGGTGAGGGAGCCGTGTGGAATTTGCCTGGTCCTTTGCTTGGGACCGCAAGAGCCCCGTCCCTGGTTGGTGCGGTACGCGAAAGGCTAGGGCTAGGGCTATAAACTATTTTGGACTAGCGCGACCAGTTGACACCTCAGGTTTCCATCCAAAAATGTCTTGGCGTTCAAGACTTAACTTTAACTGTCAACTGATATTGAACATTTTAGGACGGCTCTTGGAAAATAATACTTAAGTTGTATGGTTTTACATGAGTTCTAGCTTGAGACTTTCGTAGGCGCATGAGTATTTTCGTACATTCCCCTTACTCCTACCCTCAAATCTTGGCACTCAGCACTCCGTCGAGTGCCTCTTCCCAACTCTCCCTTAGCTCTCCACAGAACACTTCGAGTCCGGAATTATCAACCATTCCCTCAAGGGCATCTTGTAGAGGCTGCTGGTACTCGCTGCCAGCGTCACCCTGGTTGACAAGATCAATCAAAGTACTGAGGGTGGCTGTTTCGGTAAGGCCTTGCTTCAAAGCCCGGGTGTTGGAGCGAACATGCTCGAAAACTTCAAGAACCAAAGCCTCAATTCGCTTCACGGTCTCAACGGGAAGTTTTGAAGTTTTAAGACTCTTGCGAGAGTCCAGCTCAATCACCTTCCACGTAGCCTGAAGTGTCTCCACAAGGGTCCAAATGGCATGGAAGTATTCCCAAGTTGGTGCAGCTGGGGTATCAGGGACAAACTCAATGGTGGTCTTGTCGACAAGAACGGATTTTTTAGTTTCGTCCAAGGCGAGAGTTTGTTTCTGGGATTTGAGCCACTCTTCCATCTGGGCAAGGGCATTGTCAATCTGGGAAGTGGTGTAGGTTTTTGATCCAGCCATGAAGAGCGCAACCTTGAGAAGCTCCAAGTGAACCTTGGAAGCACCTATCTCGGCAACCGTTTGATCGCTATCTGCTTCAGAGAGCGACAAATCACCGATGGCAGGCAGTTCCAAGGTTAGGTCGACTGGCTTTTGCGAGCCGATGCTTGCAAGAACGCTAAACAGTCGGTCAGTGATACGAGCTGCCGAGAGCCAATTCGCCTGGATCTAGGTTAACATTGATCATACAGTAGTTTTTGAAATAAACTTTACCTTGGGAACCGGTCCTACGCGTAGGTGCTCCTCGAATGTGGGCTGGCTCAGGCGTTCAAGGCTCGGCAAAGCATCAAACTTCCGATTATCGTGGGCTAGTGAGGAGCTTTGGGCTGTGGGCCTGTTAGTATCCATTGGGCTGGGGAGATGGGAAACTTGGCAGACACTTACCAACATCTTCGTGGAAGCTTAGGTGTTCGCCCTTTGTGATTCTTTGCATGCGTCGTACATCAAGAGCCCACATTCTTCGACATTGGCTGTCTCGAAGACGATTTCCTAGCTCGATCGAGTCCTCCAAGCCGACATATGACCCACCGTTGAGCCCTTTGTTAAGGTTGTGGCCGATAGTGATATCGGCACCGCGATAGAAATCAAGGGCTTTAACGAATGCAGCTTGCGGGTCAAAGTCCTTGTAGTCCCCGCCTTCGATGGGAGGGGCCTGATGTGGGTGAATTGTGGCGAAGCGAGTGTAAAGGAAATGGGAAACTGATTCGTACTGCACTTGCTTGATGGATAGCCGGCCAAACATCTTCAAAGCAATCGAACCAGCACCGAGAAGGAGATAGATTCGAATCAAGGTCAAAATTGCCCCAGAGTGATGTGGGGAGTTGAGCAGGAGTTGATTTAGAAGACCAGCAGCACGGATAAGGGTAGTCGTAGTTGCTTCGTTGAATGTTTCCCCAGTTTCGCTGCCAGTGATAAGAGCCATAGCGGCAATTATGCAGAACTCATCAGCTGGGCGGCTCTCCATTGACGCAGCATCGCTCTTTTCATCTGTGCCTGTTTTCGAGGTCTTTGGTGTGAAAGTATTGTACAGTTCAATGCACTTTTGAACCAGACTTTCAACGTTGGATTTCGATGATTCCCTGTTACCAGAGATGTGCGCATGGTATCGCAGCTTGTATGCGTTGATTAATGGGATGACGTTCTCCTTTAATTCCATCAGCTTGTGGTCATTAGATTCACGAAGATATACCACTCACCGGTGTCTCCTCAACACTTTCCACGCAAGTTTCAGTGATACGCTGTATCATCGAATCATCACGCGTCTCCATGACACCTCGTAAGTCCATAAAGGCATAGAGCTTAGACTTGTGTGCATCGAAGTATTTACGGCAAGCCCAAATCAGGTCCTCCTCGGTACGTACACCGAGTTTCAAACCAGTCAGGGTGACATCCAAGAGGGCGATGTGCGCATTGCGAGACCGAGGCTCATACTCAATGAACCTCTCAATGTGCTGCTGTGCATCTGAAAGCAGTCTGTCAGGGTAATTTTGATATGTTAGTGTATGCCCCGATAGCTGAAATGTATACAATGGCATCATCGGCACTTACCCATCTTCTTCGGGTAAATTTCGTGGGACTGAAATGAACAAATTCCAAGTGTTCCAGTCGTCACGTTCATTCAGGCCCTGGCGCCCTTCTTCGTTTTCGGGTACGGCGAGCAGATCCTTTGTGAAAGCATACCCTTCTTTCCAAGCCCCAGCGAATCCCAGGAAGTAAAGCTTTTCAATCAAGAAGGTTCGATCGTTGTTGACGAGACGAGATTTGATACCGGTGGTCTCGCTTTCAAGCAACTTCAAAGCCTCGGCCCAACGCTCTTGTACTTTGTAAATTCTGAGGAGGAAATAAAGCTCTTCGCTGGTTTGAATAGCTCTTGGGGCACTGAGCAATTGAGTCTATGAAGTGCAATTGTCAGTCTCATTGGTTGTCTCTCATAACAGTTGGTATATCTGTTGTTCCGTGAGAAGATTGCATACCTGGTCAGTAGGAATGTCATTCGCCGCCTTTGATATCATCCGGTAGGCAAGGGTGCCGAACAGCTTGCGGTCCATTTCAGAGCTGGCTGGGCTTCTCGAAATGAGATGACAAAGGAAAATGGCCCAGAAGTAATATTTGCGCTCGCGGGGGAAATTCTTTTGAAGACTCATGGCAGCCTGTATGGATAAATGTGAGGTTCAGTTAGCAATCCCATTCTTATTTGCGCTCTTTTTGCACATGAAACCCACCTTCTGAGCCATCTTCCAGTCGCCGGCTTCAAACCCTAAAGAGAACCACCTCATCTGTAAGGTGCGATCATGGGGGTTTGCTTTTGCTGCTTTCTCCCATATGGCACTCCGAAGCTCGGTGTGACCATTCATCTTCTGCAGTGTTCGGTGGAGGATGTCCAGTGAGTCTAGATCCGATACGGGTGGCTCCGCTTTGCACAGCTGCAGGGTTTCTTCGGCTCCTCGCTTTTGGTGGGTTTCATCCGCATGGTTGAAAAGAATATGCGCTTTCCAGACCTGTGGAGTTTGCAGGGTATGTGTTAGCAGCTTTCAGATAGCTTTCCTCGTGGCAGTGGGGCCGGACTTGGTGATAAGGGTGACTTGCCTTCAGAAACTGCGTGTTTTCGCCCTTCTTGATGCGCTTCTCGATGAGTTGCAGCGCCTGCTTCATGTTCTGTGAGTCAATGGCATCTTGGACTTGGTTGTTGCGGCGCAGAAACACCGCGTCATTGCTGGAGCTCATCTTGAGGATATTGCTCAGCTTGAGCTAGGTAACTTGAGGTCCCCTAATTTGATAAGAGTTCCTAGTCACTGCAAAAGGCACGGCATACACCGAGGTGGTATGAGATGCTGATGGGGGTCTGACGATCGACTCCGGCTACTTTTATTTTTGGCGGGGAAACAAGCCAAACAAAGGCGGTGAATAACTCCCCACATTATACTGCCGGCAAATCTTAAAGAAATTATGAGGCTTCATTGACGTATGCTGCTACTCAGCCGTGGAATAATTTGGAGCTTACTTAAATATTTACCCGCGTATACAACCCTCCAGTGCTGGAAACACCAGTGCACCCTTATTATCCTGTACTGGAGTGATCATCTTCAAACAATGATATCATCAATTATGATTAGACAGATGCGAAGGTAGGGTTGAAAAACATATAGGTAACTGTCTGGGCACTACCGAGCGGTAACGAAACTGTGAGCCTGACAATGGAATCAACATTGGAAGGGATGTCAATGGTACGTAGGTACTAGGTAGGTCGCACATTTCGAACGCATGAGAGGTGAACGGCTTTTCAAGTTTATGATAGAGTAGGTAGGAGCGTCACGGGTCCAAAAGTGATAAATGCTCGTCTTCAGATGCTCCAAAGCTCCATGAATAGAACCACCTGTCTGTGAAACCTTGGGAACAGGTGTTCCTGTTCAGTATTTAGTGATGACCTCAAGATTCTTGATTTCCAGCCTTAAGAGGTGCATTGCTTAGGAGCCTCAGAGAAAATTGGCTCTCCCTTGCCACGTCCATAGTCCTGTATAAATACCAGATGCCTTTGATGGGGAGACACCGGGTATGGCGAAACGCCCAATCATAGGAATATCAAGTTGTGAGTAGAGGTTAAAAAAAACTGAATGGATTGGTGGATTCCCCCTAGCGTACCCCGTACACATATACGGATCACTCTGCACGGAGTCAATTCAATGCAGGTCAATAAAGAGTCAGAATGAGGTGACGAGTCCATTGTTGACGCCCTTCCTGGCAAGGGTGCAACCGTGGACGGCCGCTCCACGGGTTTGGCGCGTGATTATGTGATGTGCACGCCTGAGGCCGAAATAACATATTTACCTTGGCTCCCTCACTTGAAGAAACTGAATGACCTCGCACTTGGAAGTTTCACTTCGTTCTACCTCCCAAAAAGAGCGCCAGTCTCCCCGCTGACCCGATTTCACTGGAGTTGCCTCTGGCGTAGGCTGCAGGCCTCCCTTTGCCTCTCAAGCAGCTGGCTTTACAGGCCCAGACCCCACTGCATTCTATCCAAACTCGCGCCTGCACTCCGAGACACCCTGGACACAGTTTGATAGATGACAACGTTACTTTTGGGCCACTCCAGCCTATGACAAGCTCCAGAGCGCAATAATGAGCTCACGCGGTGGAACTATGGCCGAGGGATCGGGTGTAAGTTCAATTCCGCGTATACTTGAAAGGACTGCCGAAGACTGACCCGTGCTTTATAGCTCGTCCATACTCTACAAAGTCACATCGATGATATCCGCACCCTGATACAGTGTGGTATCTGCATTCGACCCCTCTACGAGCCCTTCACCCTTGCATGCGGTCATACATTCTGCTACTCAGTATGCTCTTATATACCAATCGCACTGCAATCACTTAAGCTGACCGTGCTCTTATAGTGTCTTACATCTTGGTTCAGTGGAGGGAAAGAACAGCGGACATGTCCGGATTGCCGAGCCCCGGTCAAAACACAACCGGCGCCAGCCTACCTGGTATGTTCGCAGGCAAGCTATGACCAGGCTCTTGAAGCTAACTATGCTATTCCTGTAGATCAGGACTATGGTACAGATGTTCACCGGTCGTGCGGAATTAGTCGACAAGGGAGAATCCACCAAAGAACACGCCAAGAATCAGAAAGAAGAAGCAGACAGATTGGACCAGGACAAGGCGAATAATCACCCAACCCGTGGAGGTCTCTTTGGAGGTCTTTTCAGGCCCAAAGCTGCAGTACCTCAACCCGTTATTGATGTTGACGATGGTGTTGTGCGATGTCCTCACTGTGCGTGGGAGCTTGAGGAAGGAGATACCTGCGCGGGATGCGGGTATGTCTATCAGCCAGATGAGAATGAATCAGATGACAGTGAGTCGGGGATATACAGTCGAAGCGAGGACGGCTCTATGGGGGGAGACAATGATTATGACGACTTCGATGACCAAGACCCCGTCTGGACTCATTTTGCAAACAGTCACCCCCACAACTTGATTGCCGGAGGCTACCGAGGCTCTGGGATACCTGCAGAGCCGCGGAATCTCCTGGATCAACTTACTGTTCAAGATCAAATCAACCGTGGAAATCGCATGCAAAATCCTGCGAATGTCCCTTACTACAATGGTATGAGTCGACGTGCCAACAGAGATCCATATGGCGAAGACATGGGGTCAGAGGAGGAAGAGGATTCCGAGGAGGAAGGCGAAAATGAATATGATGAGGACGATCCCTTTATCGATGACGATGGAATGAGTGGCCCGCCCACAAGCTCCTTCGTTGGCACTCATGGACATGACACGAGTGGCGAAGTGTATGATCTACAATCAGAACCTTCCACCGGCACAGCTGTGGACGATGATGACGACGACGGTGAACACCCCAGCACTGATGGATTGCTCCAATGGCGAGATGCCACCCCTTATATCGAACAAGATTCAGACGAGTCTGGCGAGGCAGAGAGAATTGAGGATTCAGAAGCGGATTCAGATGAAGAGGAAATCAACATACCATCTCGTCGTCGGCAACCACAACTCGCATCACTTTCTCGGGGGTTCCAGATTCCGAGCGAAGCTCCATGGTTGTCAGCAAGGAGCAACTCAGCAAGGGCCAGACGCCCAATCATTCCTGATTCTGACGAGGCCGAGGAATCCGCTGCGTCGGAATCTTCGAGTGAGCCTCCTCCTCGGCCGGCTGCCAGACGCACCGGGGCATCCGTCGGCAATGCCATTGCTCTTGACGATTCAGATGATGACCAGCCTGTCGGACCCATGAGAAGAAACACCCAGAGACGGAATAATAGATTTTCTCCATATTGAGTGAGGCAAGTGTTCTTGTCCCAAATGGGCATGCAGGGTGGGCTTAGATTGGCCTTTCCTATACTATTTCGATTGGTTTATTTTCACTTTGATTTCAGCGCGGCGCTTCGGTGGTGGGTAGACGCACTACTTCCCCTTTTTGATGTTTTTCTCCTTTGATATCCCAGACCAAGTCTAGCTTCATGATTGCAGTATTCTTGCATATTTGATCATCACCTCGTTCGTATTTACTAGTAGGGTATTCTAATCGAATCTGGCTCAGATTACGGGGTAGACTGCGGAGCACAGTAGAGTGATTGCAGCTGGTTGTTGCGATGATTTGTCTCCAGGTGAGACAACGTCGAGGAACGATCTCCGCGCCAAGACTGCGGATCCCCAACTCTTCCTCCAACAACCGCTCCAATCAACCTTCAGCTGACCTTTCATCTGGCCTCAGTCACTTGGTCATACTTACACCTTAAATTGCTGGCATCGCTTTTGAAGACTACTAGTACACTCTCAACATCCACACGCAAAAATACGCAATCATGGCTGAGTCTACCGGAGGCGACCACGACAAGGCCTGGAAGAAAGCGGAGAAGAAGTTTGCACAGTATGTTGAGATATTACCTTTACCCACCGGATTGAGGTCCCCTTTCTGTTATATCTTCCATACCCCTGTGTTTCGCGTCCGTTCGTGATGGCGCTGAGGTCTCCGGGCTCACTTCGCCAAACACTGTTCAGCGAATCATCCAGAGCAGAACCACGCCGGTCAAAACCCCAATCAGATAGCTACCTTTCTACAGCGAAGTGTATTCAAATGACTTGGACCGATCGCTAAAATGAGATTCCAGCAAATCTGCCAGCGAATACTACGACCCTTGCCAAGACTTTGCAGATCGGAGTCTCAAGTGCATGAAGCGAAATGCTTATGATCGAGAACTGTGCCACGACTATTTCCAGTGAGTCCCAACGCAATCCTATCACAGGCGGGTAGGCCAGAAGATGACCTTCCTACGAGCTTGTGTATCATGGTCAAAATCCGGACTAATCAGTCTCTTCAATTAGAGCGTATCGTGATTGCAAGAAGAACTGGGTAAGTTTGAAATTATATTCATGGATTGTTTTGCCCTGTTTGCCGAGTTTCCAAGTTGGCGTATATGCCCAAGGGCTGGCATCAATCCTACTGAAGTATGTTATCTTCAGTTGCTAACAACAGTCACAGCTTACCCAAAAGAAAGTGTCCGTGCCAAAAGCCGAGTAAAACCTACCGTGCAACCTTGGAAGCGGGAAAGGTGTCTCCATTGCCTAGGTTTTAGCTTACCTCTATAACATCTCCAATCTGTATATTAGCAAGCACATCTCTTGTACCAATGTCATGCTCCATTAATTTACCGAGGCTCCGTTAATTCCACGTGTAGACCTCCATATGCCTTACCTACAGATACGTGTTCAAGTGATATGCCGACAGAGTCAGCCTGGAGCTGCCGTTACTCATGCTGACCCCGAGAAGGGTAAACTCTGGATGCTACCTAATCATGATATTGCCCAGGTGGCCTCTAGATAAATCATGCCCGCTTGGGCAGGTAGATCTACTTTCCTTTTCAACAAGCCACCTTATTTGCAAGAAGTTGGAAGCTCCGAGCTTCACGCCCAATATGTCACTTGAGGACTTGCGCCCATTCGTATTTTCCAGTCGATTTGAGGCCACGAGCTTGCTCTTTGGATGAACTTCATAGCAAGGTCTCGGTGATAATACCAATAACAGGAATCATCCAAGCCAATAATACTGAGCTCTGGTCGAAAGGGACCCAGATCGAAATCATCAAGGGTCAGTGTCGGAACATCGTAATCACCTTTGGATACCAGAGGCTCTCGGCGGGTGCGTTGAGAGACCCTCTCATCACAGGCATACAAGCACCACCATAGGCGTTTTCTGTTTTTGATACTCGCAGGGCTCAAGGATGATTTTGTCGGATCCCTGTGCAGGCTAATGCGTTGAGCCAACGATAGCCCAACCTCCAGCCAGTGCCGACAACCCTTTTCTTCCGGGGAGTCATGCCAATACGACATGAGCAGCAATGAATTAACGATTGCAAATATATCTGTTTCCATGTCGAAGTCGTAAAGTAATCGTGTCTTATGGAAGAAAGCTCTGCGGGCGCTATCTCTGTTTTGGTACCCAGCTCGATGGAGATATTGGAGGTCGACAAAAGAGGTGCCAGCGAACATTATTGTTTGGAAAAGCAGTAGACTGACGCAGTGTATGCTGTTGTTTTTTTGGATTCTCCAGAGCAGGTCGTTGAGATCCAACATCGGGAGATGTGGATGAACATGGTCAATATAGCTTTTCAGCAGGGCATCCCTCAAGTCTTTTTGTGGTATTGTGAAGACACCTTTCTTCCGAAGATAGCTTAAGTCGGTTTCATCGACATGTGATGGATTGCACTGAATATAATTGTGTTGCATATGATCATATTCGGTTTGTTTCGTTTTGATTTCGGGCGTCGTGGCTGGCGGCGTGATGGGATGCGCTTGAACAGGGTCTTCAATGGAAACTTTCTCTTGATTGCGACGAAGCTTCTTCTCCTTTTGTGGTGGGATTTTGACAAAGTTTTTCGGTGACGATTGAGGATTGGAAGCAGTCCAATCTTGGTGCGCATTGATCGCCCAGGGAATGGGCATGTATAAACTCTTAGTCTTGCGACTTGAACTTCAAACCACGATAGTATAAGCCAATATGAACAAGCATGCAGCGTCGAACTCGACACTTACACCTTCCGTTTGCCTCTGATCTTGCAATCAACCCCATCCAGCTGACAGTTCGTACAGGGAAAACTGTTGCGTAAGGCACTGCAACGCACTTTACGTATCTGGCAGTATGAGCATGCTCTAGAGGCGCGTCTTCCATGTGGGAACCGGGCGACTGCGTTTGGTGGAGGCATCCTTGCACACGGTTGAGAGGTGTCGGTCGTCATGATCTCACAGCAACTTTGTCACGGATCACCAAGAATCAATCAGCCATTTCAGTCTCGATCTTATAAGCCCCATTATGCTTATATAGTTGACGTAGTGCTGGGTGCAGGTCTGGCAAAAAAAGGAATGACCTTCCACTGCAGCGTCGGGGGGTAAGTCATTCCGACATGAACTAGATCGCCAGTTCACTTGCCTTCCTAATTTGACTTACTTTCTTTCCAATGGTCTCTTTAGGTACATTGCTTTACCCCGGTGACCACGGGCCTTGAAGAATATCCATAGCCTTGAGGTCACACTAAACGGAGCCCCGAGGAGATCCATGAATTAGCCAAAACAGTTGTTCCATGGAGAGACTGGCAGAAATCCGACTACTCGGCAGGATGGCTACAACAACTTGCTTGGAAGGATATAGTTGAATTCAATGCACCGAAGGAGCCCGGCACATATGCAAAAATGGTAGAAATACACAGATCTGACTCCAAATACACCTGACCCTGAGCAACGCTCCCCATTTTATTCTCAATCAGTGACCAAGATCGAGATGAATTATGAACAAGAATTTATACACCAGCCTCCACAGGTTCATTAGTGATGAATGGAACTTCGAACACGACAGCGCCGTTGCGGCCCCCAGAAGTAGCTCCCTCGTAGAAAGTGTTTTCGAAGCACTTCCAGCGAGCCAACCGATGCTCCTTACCGACTGCAGCGACGATGGAAACACCACGAGGCTCATCCTTGCAGGCCAATTTGGTTTTCGCATCAGCGCCAGGCAAATCAGATTCAGGGCGGCGCTCAAAGACCGCGATGTCGTTGATAACGCCCTTGATCAAAGGCTCTGGCTCCTTTTGGCCCAAACCTGGGGTGCCATCAAGTGCAAGGGTCTGGTTGAGTTGTTGTGAGGGGGTGTCGGGTGTGACATCTCCGACAGTGCCGGCGCCAATGGGTCCTAGTGGAATGATTGTCTTCTTATCGTCTGAGATGCGCCAGGCGCGGATCCAACCGTCCCAGCTACCGCTGAGGACAACGTCGGTACCGGGAAGGGTAGTGAGTGCAGTGATCCAGCGAGGCGTGGGGCGCATGTGACGCGCATTGTGAGCAGCAGTCGCCTCATCGACCTCGGGGGATAGGACATTCAGAGGAGGGACTGGGTCCAAGCCATGGGCCTGGCGGATAGTGTAGAGGGGCTTCTTCTTATGGATTGACCAGAGCGAGATGGAGCCAGAGTCTGAGCCAGTGACAAAGTGAGCTGGCGGAAGAGGAGCAATGCAGTCAATGTTGTTGTCCTGGTAAGGAGCGCTCTTGGCGGCACCGCCACGGAACACAAGTTGTGTTTCATCGACTACCTTCCACAAGCGGGCTGTGCGATCCCGAGCACCGACACTGACACATTCGTCAATGGTCATAGCAGCGATTCCGGAAACATGGTCTTGGTGACCGAATAGCGTCTCGACATAGGCGTGGCCCGCTCCGCTGATGGACCATGTTTTAATTGTGCGATCATATGAGCCGGAGAACAGTTGCTCACCAGAGCTCATGGTAGAGATATGGCGTGCGAAGGCCAAACTGCAAACCGAGTCTCTGTGTTGCAAAAATGTCTTGGATGGGGTCAGGGTCTCTGCATCCCAGATGACCAGCTTATTGTCCGCTCCACCGGTGGCCACGAATCTTCCAGAAGGAGAAACGGCAATAGAGAGAATGGCTCCAGTGTGCCCTTGCTCTTCATCCGACTCTCCAACTTTGCGCATGCCACGGGCATAGCTGACGCGCTTGGGCTTCTTGCGCTGAGGACGGGGGGGACGTTTGGAGGTATCCTTATCGCCGCTCTTTTCTGTGGAGCCTGGTACAATGGGCGTCGCCAATTCCCACTTCGTCAAAACTTTATCTTTGGACACAGTGTAAACAAATGGCGCGTGAACTGCGATGTTGGTGGTTGACTGGGTATCAGAGCGGAAAAACGAATGGGGTGCGGTGGGAATGGCTAGTTTCGAGGCGATTTGGCGGAAAGTTCGTCCTTTAAATTCGTCCACATCCTTCTTGAGTCGCTCGGCGATCAAGTCTCGGTCGATCTCTGCTGCGTCGAATCCAGCCTCGTCTACCTCTCCTTTAATATTTTCCAAGTAGCGTTCGGCAAGTTTCAGTCTTCGATCGGCCGCGGTTTCGCCTTCCGAGTCTGATCCGCTCTCGTCGCCTGACTCGGGCGAGTCAATTCCAGCATCATCATCCAGATCGCTGCCAGAGATTGAATCCTCCCTCTCTTGGCGTCGACCTGCGTCGGCTTTGGTGTCCCCGCCTCGCTTCTTTGATCCTGCGGGTGCAGCGCGATCGTCTCTCTTCCGCTTGCGCTGGGCGTTTGGTACAGTGAAAAACGACGACATCTCGAATTTCTGTCAAGCCTGTCGCTTCCTAGTCACTGTTGAAAAGAAACCGGAAGTATGGCGTTCTCAGAAGACTCGGGTTGCGGATATCAAAACTTCAACTTTTTTTTGGCAGAAAAAAAAAGCGCCAAAGCGGTGGCTGACTCAGCGTGTAGCTGGCCGGGAGCTCCAGGCGTCAAGCTCACCGCGCGGCGCTCCTCACTTGACCACTACTTCCCTTCGTCCTGATCATCTAACGTGCTCTTATCTTTTCTTTTGATTAATTTTCCCGCATACCGCAAATATGTAGGCTCACTCCTGATGAAATATTGCTTGAACATGATCATTGACAGCCGTTGACAGGGAGGTTCTTTTGGGTATCGCTGGCAAGGACTTCGTCATTCTTGCTGCATCCAAGGCCGCGATGAGAGGCCCTACAGTCCTCAAGGCTGAGGACGATAAGACGAGGCAGTTGAACAAGAACACAGTCATGGCCTTCTCTGGGGAGTCTGGAGACACTGGTATGTTAGCGACCCGCTGGGGCCAAAGCAAGATACTAACAAGCTGCTTTGCTTAGTTCAATTCGCCGAATACATCCAAGCCAACGCCGCACTCTACAGTATGCGCAATGATACTGAACTCAGCCCTGCTGCAGTCGCCAATTTCGTCCGGGGAGAGCTGGCGCGCAGTCTACGATCACGGAGTCCTTACACAGTAAACCTGCTGCTTGGTGGTATAGATCCAGTGAGCGAAAAGCCTCATCTGTACTGGATTGACTACCTTGCGTCATTGGCGCCCCTACCATATGCCGCTCATGGTTACGCACAGTATGTTCCATCCTATCCCGGTGACGGATAAGGTAGAGCTCCAAGACGATCAGTGCTGACCATCATAGATACTACTGCCTCTCCATTCTCGACAAGCACCACAACCCTAACATCTCGCTTGAAGAGGGTCTTAAGCTCCTCGGGTTGTGTACAGATGAGCTGAAGCGCCGACTTCCCATTGATTACAAGGGTGTAAGTATTTCAATGCAAACTCGCGATGAATACCTCTGACTAGGCTATTAGGTTTTGGTGAAGGTGATCACGAAGGATGGTGTCCAAGAGATTCCTTTCGATAACGATAAGATTGTTCGGAGTGCTTGAAGGTCGACATACCACGGCGTTTGTACCGCATCCTATGACGTTTTTATTTGATTCAGAGATAGTCTCCAAACGGTCGGCATGATTCAGACTGTAGCAACTCAAGATCAAAAGTAGATGCATAGGGATATTTTAAAACAAGTTTAAGAGTAATGGGTTGAGATCTACTTCACCGATAGAAAGCTGGGGGTGATAGTTGTGTCATCGGTTGGGTCATGTTTGTCATGTTTGCATCTTGGACCTTTCGGAAGGTCAAGAACTCCGTAGTCGCCAATCTCTCATCGCAACCCTTTCACAATGTCCAAAAGACCCGCTGAGCTCCCCCTGGAGCGAGACTTTTCCGGTTCCCCCGCCTCCAAAAAGGCGCGTGTCGAAGACGCCACCGAAGAGGGCTCCGCCAACGGCGCAGATGTCGACGTTCAGGGAGCAGCCGAGTTAGAAGCAGAGGAGCTTGAGGAGGGCGAACAGGACCCCTCGGAAATTCTCGATATCGACGAAGATGCGCCTGCACTCAGCGCACCGAAGCGGCAAAGTGCTCCTATGGAAGGCTACGGCGACTTGTATCTCGACACGATCAACCGCCAGATCTTGGACTTCGACTTCGAGAAATTGTGCTCTGTGAGTCTGTCAAACATCAATGTGTACGCATGTCTTGTTTGCGGCAAATACTTCCAAGGTCGAGGTCCTAAGTCGCATGCCTACTTTCACGCGCTTGAGGTCGGGCACCATGTCTTCATCAACATTGGCACAAGGAAAGTCTATGTCTTGCCGGAGGGATACGAAGTGCAGAACAAGAGCTTGGACGATATCAAATATGTGGTTGACCCGCACTACACCAAAAGTGAGGTTATCAAGCTAGACAAAGAAGTCCACGATGCTTGGGATCTGTCAGGGTCTAGATACAGACCAGGTGAGAAGCTTGAAATGCGATTGAATATAAGTGTTTCGGAAACTAATTTGCTCTTTTACAGGCTTCGTTGGCATGAACAACATCAAAGCCAATGATTATGTGAATGTTGTAGCCCAACTATTGGCACACGTCCTACCTATTCGCAATTTCTTCCTCCTCCAAAACTTCCCAGTTCCCGGTACCCCGGAGATCGTTTTGCGGTTCAGCACACTTGTTCGTAAGCTATGGAATCCAAAGGCTTTTCGATCGCACGTTTCTCCACATGAGCTGCTACAGGAGATCGCTTTGCGGTCTTCAAAGCGGTTCACGCTCACGAATCAGGCCGATCCAGTCGAGTTCTTGTCTTGGTTCTTAAACACCCTTCACCTTGCTTTGGGCGGGTCTAAAAAGCCTTCCCCTAATCCAACAAGTGTTGTGCACGCGGCATTCCAGGGTCGTGTGCGAATTGAAAGCCAAGCTATCACCGCTCACTCCGATACCCAGAATGCCCGTCTGGTGTTTACTGACTCCGGTACCACCAAAAGCCAAGTCACGCCTTTCCTCATTTTGACTCTGGATCTACCCCCTACTCCTCTCTTCCAGTCTATCAACCGAGAGTCGATCATTCCGCAGATTCCCTTGACGACCTTATTGAACAAATACAACGGCTACACGGCATCCGAGAAGTTGGACCACCGTGTCCGTCATCGCCTTCTCCACCCTCTTCCTCCCTACCTCTTCTTCCACATCAAGCGTTTCAGCAAGAATCGCTTTGTCTCTGAGCGAAACCCAACGATTGTCACTTTCCCTTCCCCTCGCTCTCTAGATATGTCCCCGTACGTTGAGCCGAACCCAGATGTCTGGTCACCTGGCGAGCCAATTCTGTACGATCTCGTCGCAAACATCATTCTTGACCCAGCCATGGTCGCCCCCGGAGCAATGGATGACGCCGCCGAAAAAGGCACTAACGCTGCATCAGGATCCGGTGGCTCTTCCGCTGGTGCTGGCGGTGGCAGCGAAAAGGTTGCATGGCACGTCCAACTCCACGACAAGGCCATGTCAGCAGAAAATTCAAAGGCACAAAAGGCAAACGCTCAAGGGAAACACCAGCAGCGTGGCCCGGAGTGGCTCGAAATCCAGGACTTGTTTGTCAAGCGTGCAGAGTCTGAAACACTGTTTACGCGTGAAGGCTACCTTATGGTTTGGGAACGACGCAAGACCCCGGGGCAAAAAGGAAAGGCTTCTGCATAGACAAGCACACCGTGGGGTCTGTCTGATCTAGTCGCATCCTGTTATTGTCTTTTGTATGCTTCTACGTTGAGAGCAGAGCTGATGTATCATTAAAACTATTGACGAAATTATGTCACACTTTCCCTAATGGTATAATAGTAAACCTTGGAAGTCTGTAAAAGATAGGTAAAACCTGCACGCGATAGTAAGATGAGAAGAGTCGCCCACCTGCAGCCTTGGGTGTGAAGAACGCCCGAGAACAAAGAATTGGGGACGATCTATAGTTTTCCCCAACCACAGAAATTTCTCCCAATTCTCATCGTCGACCCCACTAGAAAGCCCCAAATTCCTGCCCTCATTGCAACTTGCATACCTCTCATAAGAACTAGTCGACAGGTGTAGGCACCTGCATCTGACCAGGTTCTGCCTCCAAACCAAAGACCCAGAGGGTGAAGATCTGAGAGCTGCATAGTGGGGGAAGGATGTGTGGTCAACCAAGATTGAGCTAATGAACGCAGGTAAAGCGCTTCGATTGGCGCGAGTAAAATACCGCTGATCGCAGCAGCGAGATGTGAAGCCAGCGAGTCCACAGGATAGGCTGAAAGAAGGGTGACGCGGTGGGCCTCTGGAAGCTCATTTCTCGGTTGTCCAGGCATGAGAGAAGACAGGATTGGCTGGTCGGCAGTTTCTGACTCCGCGTCATCATTGTTTTCCACAACTGCGACGGGGATCGAGTCATTGAACGGTTCCTCGTCATTTGGTTCTTCCACGCCATCGGGTAAAATGTTTGGAACAACCGCCTCAAGGGCCTCTTCGATGGTTTCGAATTGCGTGGCAGAGATGGCCTGATTTGCCTGGCTACCCCGAGTTGGGTTTTGGGAGTTTGGTTCAATAGCCTCCAATTGGGGAGGAGTTGAGATAGAAGCCCTAGCGGTAGCAGTTGAGAGCTCGTCTCCATCGACTATTGCGGGCAGGTTCAGCTGTCCGCCACTAGCAAGTCTCATGATCTCAAGATGAGCTGCCCTATATCTCAAACGATCATCAGGAGTAGCAACCATTCTCATAGCTTGGATAAATTGGGTCATGGTTTCTTCATCCATGGTCACTGGAATGTGGCTCGGTGTTCGAGCAGCATCGCCCGCTAGAGCGTTTCCCACTTGTTGGGAATTATTGACTGGTTGCGCTGAAGGGTTTCCAGCACTGTTACCAAGTAGCTCAAGCTGCATTGTGACAAGGTCAGAGTTCTGGTGGATCAATGATGCTCTGACGCGCGGAGAAGTGGGTGGAGATGTTTCCGGCGAGGATGGGCGAGAGAACAGTGTGTTGGATCGTGATATCTGTCGGCCTGGGGCGATGTTCCCGGAGGTTTGCGGCTCAATCGACGGGTTTTGTGAATTTGAAGTGTTTGGTGGACCATTCATTCGCCCACCAGTCGCTGTCTCGGGGAAATAATCATTGCTCATTTCCCCAGGCGATTGAGACATTCGATTTTCATTCGTAAGCACCTGATTCAGTACGAGGTCTGAATCATTGTGGACCAGGGGTATGTTTCTGATTGACTCCTCAATTTGCCGATCTATCGCGGCACTTGATACGGGGTCAATTGGAGGATTACGCTGTGCAACCGTAAGTTGATGCCGTAGCATTTGAAACGAATTCTGCAAGGATTCAGCCCTCTCTTCTCTAAAGAATTGCTGTTCTTGATCTTGCTGATGTGTCGGATTGATCGATGTCAGCCCAAAGAACGAGAATAACCATCTTCGGAAGACTCCAATTTCACACTTTATGTCTTCAAAAAGTGTCAGCATTGATCGGTGCAATTCTTCATCTGACCTGCGACCCAGGCTTGGCACCACCCATTCTATCAGATTTTCTTCATAGGCCACTCTGACAGAAAGCTCATCCGGGAGACTTGGCTTGGGAAGACGTCTCCGTATCAGCCGATAGATACGCTCTTCAAGCTGTGGCCGTAGGTAGTAGCCATAGAGAAAGACTAGAACACTAGGAGAGGTCAAAAGACCAACAAGTGATGTACCCAGTGAGTGGAGAGAAAGGTCGGTTGGTAATGTTGGTGACCGCATCAAAGACTGCTCACCAAATGGGATCAGGAGCTTTAATCCCGGAATGGAATAGGGAGATACAAGCGAGAGAGATTGGAGCGTGGAGTACATGTAAAACTCCACAGAAAGCATGAGCACCGAGTTTCTCGCTCTAGATCCGGTGTTAGTTTGCATTGAAACGTGATTGAATGTGAGCCACTCACAATATGTATGCCATCCCGAAAAGAGGTCGCACCAATCTTGACTCTCCCATCAAGTACTGAGCATAATCTCGAAAGGGCAAGAAGACGCGCCTGAGCGGATTCTCTCGGGCTATAGCCAGCCCACTTGACATTGCCCATGCGGGAATGCCTGCAAAATAGAAATTGAGAATTCCCATCGAGTCCCTCTCCAATTGGATGACATTCAGTACCGCTGAATGAGCGTAATGTTTATAGGTCTAAAACTAAGGGTCAGTCTGATGCGGATCGAAAGTAGCCCGGGTATAATTACCTGAACTCGACCAGTAAGAGAGGAAGTCCACCAGGTACCAAAGAATATAAGCAGCTGGTCAAGAGTGGTTATGACCAACCCGAAGTCATTCTCGCTGGCAATTTGGTCGAGCTTTTGCTGCTCATTGGGGCTACCAGTATTTCGATCTTCCCGGCTCACGACGATTCCCATTGTTGAGAGAATGTCATTTTTCGCTCTTCGGAGACCTTTCCCTAATATTCTAGATTCGGTATTGACAGGATGGCCTCGCGCATCATACTCCTGCATGTAATTGTCTGCATGGACCTCAGAGACCCGTCTGACGGGGTTTGAGGGGTCCACTGTCGCATTATCTGGAACTTCGTAAGGCGACCGGCCCTAGGTCAAGTTAATATAACAGGTTCAACCATATGGGAGATGATGCACATGTGCAGCCATGTTGGGTATTATATAAAATGTACACAAGAAGGTGGGGCGCAGTGGAAGCTCTCAGGTATCAAGTAATCTTAAGACTTGTCTGACCCCAAAGCAAGAATCAAGTCTGGCGATTTTGATCCGACAGTCCCTAGTCTAGAGAGCAGATAAAGGGCGTATTGCACAGATGGTGGTCTTACCAAAGCGAGCCTGTTCAAATAGGCTTGTCGTCCCATAACTCAAGAGCACTGAGCCACTGCGGCTACATCCCCATCGGAAGAGATAAGCAGTAGAGAGCCCCAGACTGTCAACACCAACGAGTGAAGTTTCGCAAAAGATCAACAAGAGAGAGAGAGATGAAACAGTCGCAGGTGGCAGTAACGCGGCTACAGTTTGCCTGAGGCAGAGGCGCTATCTTATCACAGTGCAAACAGTGCAAACACCAAAAAAAGTTGCCCGCTCAAGCTGCCGTTTTTTTGCGACTCGATTATCACGGCTCTTCGACTGGGCAATGGCGTGTTGATTTCTACTTTTTCACGCTGAGATATTATTAAGTCATGTCGAAAGCTATCGTCAAAACAACCTTCGAGGCGTCACGCACGCTCCGTCCCATTTACACCGGCGGTAGCACGGCGCTGGATGCCAGCGGCCGCATCTTGCTGAGCTGCGTCGGCGAAGATGCCTTGATTGTTGATTTGGAGACTGGCAACCAGTTGGCCAGCCTTGAAGGAGTGAGTGGATTGATGCTGGATATATTTTATCAATTGCAAAGCGCTAATCGCATAAGCGCCACAGGATGGAGAAATTGTCACTGGCTTGGCGAGTAAGTATTAGGATACATCCATGGCTGCAAGAAAACCGCTCACATTCATTCAGTTACACCGTCTGCCTCGCACGCCATTGTCTGCTCGCGATCGATGTCTATGCGCATTTACTCCCTCACAGCTTTCGACGAATCTTCGCAAACCATTGAAGCAAAGCTTCTTCGCACTCTCAAGCCTCACACGGCACCCGTTGTAACCATCTCCGTGGATTCCACCGGTACACTGCTTGCCACTGGTGGTGCCGATGGGTCGATCAAAGTTTGGGATATCAGAGGTGGCTTCGTCACCCATACCTTCCATGGTCACGGTGGTGTCGTTTCGGCGCTGTGCTTCTTCGAAGTCCCCACTGCCGACGGACAGACCAAGGGTACCAAGAGCAAGCAATCTAAGCGAAAGGCTTCAGGTGACGACGATGAAGATATGGATGAGGAGTCTACCCCAACCGGTTCTATTGCAGGATTCCGCTTAGCGTCTGGTAGTGAAGATGGCAAGCTCCGCGTGTGGGATCTTCACAAGAGAAAGTCTATTGCATCGCTCGAGTCACATGTCTCTCTCGTTCGAAGTCTGTCCTTCTCTCCGTCAGAGAACGCACTGATCTCCGCCAGCAGAGATAAGACAGTGATCGTCTGGGATGCGCGCACCTGGAAGACCCGCCGGATCATTCCCGTTCTTGAGAGCGTGGAGGCCGCTGCCTTCATCGCGGATACTCCGCTGTGTGTGATTGGTGGAGAAAATGGTAAATTGCGAGTTTGGGACTGCAACCGTGGAAGTGAGGTTACCGAAGAACAAGAAGCCGGTGAGGAGTTCGAGAGTGTCGTCGCCATCCAATACTCGGTCGGGCTATCGTTCGTCCTCACTGTTCACGCAGACCAAACTTTGCGCATCCACTCACTGGAGGCGCTGTCTGGATATAAGCCAGGGTCCAGCTTGGAGCCGCTAACGGTCACTCGTCGCATTTCTGGCAATGACGATGAAATCATCGATCTGGCCTATGTTGGAGCTGATCGATCAATGATCGCTTTGGCCACCAACACTGAAAGTATTCGCGTGGTCTCATGTGCCCCGTCTGAAGATCGACCCTCGACCCAAGGAGAGGAATACTTCGGTGCCGATGTCACGCATCTTGAGGGCCACGACGATATTATCATCTGCATGGATGTTGACTGGTCAGGACACTGGCTTGCAACTGGTGCCAAGGACAACACAGCCCGCCTCTGGCGTATTGACCCCAAAAATTCCTCCTATACCTGCTTTGCTACCTTCACCGGTCACGCCGAATCACTGGGAGCAATCGCCCTTCCTCGCGTGCCCCCAGCTGTTGGCAGCGCCGCCTATAATGACCCCGTGAACCACCCCCCTTCGTTCTTGATTACAGGTTCTCAAGACCGCACAATCAAGAGATGGGACACAAGCAAGCTTGCTCCCCTACAGGGAGAAAAGCCACACTCGCCCAAGGCAATCTATACTCGCAAAGCCCACGAGAAGGACATTAATGCCATTGATGTCGATTCTACATCCGAACTATTCGCTTCAGCATCACAAGATCGCACCGTGAAGATTTGGGCCGCCGACGAAGGCACAGCAGTCGGTGTTTTGCGTGGCCACAAGCGAGGTGTTTGGTCTGTGCGGTTCGCTCCTCAGGGTACTCCGATTGTTAACTCGGACTCGCGCACAAGCACAAGCCGTGGCCTGGCAGTCACAGGATCTGGTGACAAGACCGTCAAGCTATGGAGCTTGTCTGACTACACCTGTCTCCTCACTTTCGAGGGTCACACCAACAGTGTCCTCAAAGTTCTCTGGCTTCCCCCTCCTCAGGTCTCCAACAGAGACGATGACGAGGAGGACGAGGTGGCGGCGGCGGCACGTAAGAACGAAGCGATCCAGGCTCGTCCCCTCGTTGCCTCTGCAGCAGCAGACGGTCTTGTCAAGATCTGGTCTCCCTACACAGGCGAGCTCGAAACAACGCTAGACAACCACATTGACCGAGTCTGGGCTCTGGCTAGCCCAACACCCTCTGGTTCACGCTCAGACGTGAAACAGACCAACTCTACCTCCGTTCCCTACGCCATCGCCTCCGGCTCCGCCGATGCGACTGTGACTTTCTGGACTGATACCACATCAGCGACATATACCGCCGCTGTCAACGCCAACTCTGCTCGCGTTGAGCAAGACCAAGAACTGCAGAACTACATCCGTGCCGGTGCCTACCGTGAAGCCATCACTCTGGCGCTTCAGCTCAACCACCCTGGCAGACTGCTCTCGCTCTTCACGGCCGCCATCAATGCCGCAGACGACCCTACCTCATCTGCCGAGGACCGTGAACGTGCCGCGGGCAGTCTGTCCGGTAACCCGGACATTGACGAGGTTTTGCAGAACCTAGACCCTGCAAACCTGCGCACTCTCCTGCTCCGTCTCCGTGACTGGAACACCAACGCTCGCACGTCTCGCGTGTCGCAGCGCATCCTCTATGTTCTATTCCGCTCCTACCCTGCTTCCACCTTCGTGGAGCTGGCAACCCAGTCAGTGCGTGGAAAGAACGGTCGCGCTGCCGCGGGCCTGAAGGACATCCTGCAGGCGCTGGCTGCATACACGGAGAGACACTACCGCCGTGTTGAAGAGCTGGTCGATGACAGCTATCTGGTGGAGTGGGTTCTCGGTGAAATGGATGGCGGCGTTGGACTTGGTGGACTTCGTGATCTGACTGTGAGTGATGTTGAAGAAGAGCACGAGAAAGATGTTGTCATGTTAGAAGCATAATCTGGCTCTAGTCTTTCTGTTTGTATATTGAATTCGGCGCTTTCGTTCTTGGAGTACCATGGGTGGGAAGGATAAAAGCCATTCCTTTTATAGAATTGAACAGTGTATCATGAAGATTATCTCCTGTGAGATTCATATGTTTCTTATTTTTCGGGGTATCTAAATATTGAAACAGTCTATAAGTAGAGTTGCTGGATGGGGTGACAGCGGCAAATCCCAAAACAACATCTTCATATGCATGTTGGCGTTGAATGCCATCTCTTCAATGAAGGTTCTGTTCTAATCGTCTCGTCGGCTGCGGCGAGAGTCACGATCGCGGTCACGATCACGGTCATGTCGAGATGAGTGGGACGAGTGCCGGGAGCTACTGTACCTCTCATCCCGCGACTTATGACTGCGATCTCTATCACGCTCTCCATCTCCATCTCGTCTTCTATCTCTGTCATAATCACGGTCTCGGCGACGATCTCGGTCGGAGTCACGATCACGATAGGAGCGGTCATCTCTACTTCTATCATCGTCATATCGAGATCGAGAAGATCGACTCGAGGAATGGCGACCCGCAGATCGGCTGCGATCACGACGCGAGGAGCCAGTGTGTCGGCGAGAGCGATCCTCCTCGTCATCGTAGTCGCGTTTGCGGTATTCGCGGTCGCGATCCTTGTCGCGGCCGCTCTTTTCGAGGTTGCGGTCTCTTCGCTCGCGCCAGTCGTCCTCTTGGGGAGGTTTAGACTTGGCTTCCTTTTGCAAAGCGGCGAGTTCTTCTTCGGTAAGGTGCTCGCCAGTCTTTTTGTTGCGCATTGTGATGGGCATGTACACACCCTCGGCCTTGTCGTTCTCCTCGCCCTGTTTCCGAGATGCCTTGCGCATGGCTGATTTTCCCCAGGCACCGAGCTCGGTCTCGGCGCCTTTGCCGCCAGATGAATCCTTTGCACCAATGCCGAGGAATCCAGGTCGTCGTTCTGGTACACGGGGTTTGTTGGCCTTGTCTGCTGCGGCTGCACCCCCATAATTGCCTCGCCCAATGGATTGTCCATCTTTCCAGCCCATTCCTCGGAGCAAGGCGGCGCCGAAATCTTCGACCGGAATGGCATTGTAGGCATCCAGAGTAGCGGATTCAGGCCGCGTTGCGATGTCTGCGCGGAAAGAGCCAGTCTCGGAGTAATGAACTGGGGCTTCCTCGTCATCTTCCTTTTTAGCCGCGGCCTCGATCACGAGGTCAGACCTTCGCTCGACATCACCAGTAACCTCGCTGAGCAGCGCCTTCATGGCGATTTGGTCATCTGTAAGGGGTTTTGTCTCAACGGGTGTCGCATCGGGCATAGGTTGGTCTTCCTTCGCCGCTTCGGCGTTTTGAGGCTTTTCTTCGGCTTCCTTCGCAAAGCTCAGACCGAATGCCATGCTCGGTGCATCTGTCTCCACCGTAGACTCCCCGGGTTTGTGTCCATTCTTCTCGGCCTCTTGCATAGCCTGCACCTCGCGAGGTAGCAGATTCTTCTTTCCCTTTTTCACATTGACACCCGCCCGGTCGCGCCAGTTATTCTTGCTTGTAACGGGAATGATCAATGGTTTCTGGGCATCTTCGACTGCTTTTCCTTCGGCGGTGATAGCACCGCCGGTGTGAGTGTCAAAGCCCGAGACTTCTTCATGGGCCGGCGGGGCTTCTTCTTCGTCGGAGTCATCGTCATTGCCGAAATTTTGCGGCCGCCGAGGAAGAGACCGGCCGTTAGCTGGGCCAGTGGGACGACCGCGATTTGAGGACTGGATGTTGAAGGCCGTGGTTTTGGGGCCACTTGAGCCGGAGAGCGACAGGGAAATAGGCTTAGAGGGTGGCTGCCCACTCTCTTGATCGCGTGATGACATCGCGACAGCCCTGGTGTTCTTGGGACTGCAATGAATGTTGAAGAAAGGAAAGTTTGGAATTACATCTTGAGAGCTTGGAGCGGGGCGGTGGCAAAACTCAAAGCGCGCGTCTACGGCGTATGCGGTGGAAATAGCAACGACTCCGAATTACAACATTTCCCCATTGATTGTCACATGGCTATTTGCTACCATTTTCCACCACTATTTCGATCTTTCATAAATGGTTTTCCCGAGGGGCCTGAAAGCCCCTCGGGAATCCATCGTCTATACACGGCACAGCAGACCACTGTTCAAGTCATAATCCCACTCATCGCTTGCAACTCCGCTCCAAACAAACAAGCTTCCGCTAGGGTCATACTTGCGCTTCACATCAAGGAGCCGCTCATAGTTTGACCCGTAGAAGTCATGCTTCCAGTTAATGCTGAATGTGTTGCCCTCGTTCATGTAGGACCCGGAATGGGGTGCCCAATGCTTCCAGACTGACTCTTGGGCTTTGTTGATCCAATCAGCGCCAGCTTTCAAAGATTGGCTAGGGTCACCGGTGGCATCAACAGAGGCACTGTAGGCCATGGCATGAACATATGATTCACGCCAGGCAGGCAGGGTGCTACCACGTCTCATTTCAGGGACGCTAGCCGGGCCTTTTCCAGCCTGCAACCCGAAAAGAAGCATTGTACCCGCAGTTGTGTTTTGGGAGACCATGATCTCCTGGAGATGACTGACCAGTTTCTCCCGGGGGATATCTGAAAGCTCACGTCTGCCTAGAAGGTGGCTTGTCATTAAGCTGACAGATCCTGCGGCATTGCTGGCTGAGAAGTCGGGCTTGGTAGAAGCCCAGTAGCTCTTTGTAGAAGGTGATTGAAGAGTGATGTTCACGTTGTTAAGATCGAGTCGGGCAGCCAGGTTGCTGACTGATGCATTCATTGACTCCATAGTCATATTGAACCCAGTGAAGCTGATCATGCCGGATACACCAGGCATCTCTTGCTTCAGTCCCAAGTAAGATACTGCCTTTTTCTTGTTCAAAGCTGTGACTGTTCCAGTCAGGCCGCTGTCCATCAAGTCTGGGATTTGGGCCGCTATCTCAGCGAGAGCGTTCCAGGATGCAGTCTCGCTGGCGTTCGAGTTCTGAGCCGGGAAAAATGAGAAACCTCCCGTTACCACATTCTTGGGAACAGGGTGTGTCTTCAGCACGAACTCTGTAACCACTCCGTACTGACCACCACCTGCACCCCGAACAGCCCAGAACAGATCTTGATTTTGGATATCGTTGGCGACGAGCCGTTGACCCTCAGTGGTAACGACAGTGACCTGATAGACTTGATCGGATGCAAGTCCATGATGGCTTGAGAGAAGCCCGTGTCCGCCATTCTGAATGAGTCCACCCAGGCCAACTGTGGCGTCTTCCCCGCCAACTACCGTTCGGTTTATCTTGTGCACTGCATTGTAAACGGTTCCCCAGTTGTTTCCACTGCCGCAAATAACCACATCTGCCGTGTCGTTCGTTCCGGGTAAATGCCACTGCGGATGCCTTTGGATGCGCTTGAAATTATGGGTCCAGATAGAAAGAGCGAAAGCACCGGTTGATCTATAGAAGGTCAGCCTAACTTCATCGACCAATCGAGTTGAATGAACATACCGTCCACCGAGATCATGTCCCGTTCCCTTCACAACGATCCGAATATCTCTCTGGGATGCCCATTTCATCGCAGTCGCAACTTGATGCTCAGTCGAGGCATTGACGATGTATTGTGGCAAACCACCTATACTGCATTCTTTCCCTGCTGTGTATCCATCTACTCCTGGGGGCAAACACGAGTTGTTTGCGTAGATTGAGTAGTCGATACTCTCAGGCCAAGCAGCATGGTATGCGGCGGAGGACCAATGGTTTTTCACTGCTGTGCAGTTCTCGGGAGAATCGAATGGATTACCGGGGTAACACGAGGAGCCGGCTGGGGACGTCTTAATGAGAGTCCCTTGGATAGACTGGTTGAGGGAATTCCATTCGTTCTGCGACGGCCAGGACAAGTCACCAGGAGAAGATTTGCAGGTTTGCTTTGCGGTGGCCGTCAATGCCAAAAGCGCGACAGCGCAGAAGTTAAGGGGTTGCAGCATGAGGTTGGATATATACGAATAAACACTCGTATTTGATCATTGAATATTTTAGACTGCCGGACTTAGGGGGTGTGTTCTAATAAATACAAATGCCAACGGCACCCTTTAAGGGGAAGCACACGAATACGATATGGTGAATAGATCCACAGTGACGATTCTACTTGGGTGGAATGAAATTATTTCAAGTTTGTGCTTCTACCTTGGTACTGAGGTTAGATGCAATTATCTTCAAGTGTCTGTTCTTGTTCAGGCAACACTCAATGGTGAAATGACGGATGAAACTGCTGATCGGTACTATATTAGGAAAACTTCGCGTACTCGTGTCGGGCCCGTTATTTCCAAGGTCAACCAGCCCCTACAGTTGGATGTTCTCAGATAGTGCTTCAATTTCCATTAATAGAAACCGTGGAAGTTTGTGCAGAGCTAACATAGGCTCCAGGGCTGGTACCTTTCTCTGATGCTTAAGGCACTTAGGAGTAAACCCCAAGCTTTTCGGACCACCCCACGCTCTACTCCGTGGTACATAGCCAAAATCTCGGATAGCAGCACGAGTATCCACTTGGGCAAATTTTTCTTAACTTTCCCGACGGGTACTCTATCGAAGTTTAGAGCAAACCCTTCATCAAGAAGTCTCCAGATCCACAGTGCTAAAAATAATGTCCAATATTGACGATCCCCAAGTCCCTGAAGCCCTAGAAAGAAGCATAAATGCAACTTCCAGATCGAAGTGGGGCCCGAACGTATTCGCTCACAGAATTTCCTAATTCGGAATCTAGAATTAGAACTGTGTCAAATTTCAAACTCCGTTGATATAAAGCTTGGCCCTTTTTCCTCGATAATTGAATCAAATTGAGATCTCGTTCAAAATGGATATTGTGTTCCACCCCGGTCAGAATGGGTCCGCACCCTGGGTAGAGTTCTATCCTTATACACCATCCGCAACAGCCGGGTATGCCTTCATGGGTATCTTTGGTGTTTCAACCCTTGCACACATCGTTTTGATGTTCCCTTTCCGTGCTGCTTACTTCATTCCCTTAATATTGGGCGGAATATGTATGAATCCTCCGCATCAAACATGAATATGCAGCTAACGATCCACGCAGGTGAAACCTTCGGTTACTATGGTCGAGCCTGGTCTCATGAATCCCGGTTTGAGATCAGTTCATGGGCACTACAGGAGATGCTCATTCTTTGTGCACCACCCCTCGTCGCAGCCACGGTTTATATGGTTCTTGGTCGCATCATACGCTCTTTCGATGCCGAGCATCACTCAAGTATGCGCGTCAAGTGGCTCACTTTTGTCTTCGTCATGAACGACGTCTTGTGCTTCTGCACGCAGCTGGGAGGTGCAGGCGTGCAGGTGACGGGTGACCAGAATATCATGAAGATCGGCAAGAAAGTCGTGTTGGCAGGCTTGATCTTCTCTTTGGTTGTCTTTGCGTTCTTCATCTATATTGCGGCCAAGTTCCATCGGCGTCTTCAACAACGGCCGACTCCCATCCTCAATCACCACCCCGATCTTCCCTGGCAGCGATACATGTGGGCAATCTACGTTTCCTGTGCTGCGTTGATGGTGCGCAATCTGGTCCGAACCATTCAATTTGGAGCTGGCCAGAAAACCGATGTCAACACCAAGGAGGTATACATCTATGTGTTTGATGCATTCTTGATGTTTTTCTCCATGCTGGTCCTTATCATTTACCACCCCGGTCGACTGATCAAGAGAGCTCGTCGTCTTGCCAAGAATGGTATGTTCCGGCAGTCTAGCGACGGAAACTCCGCGCATATACTGTTGTCTGATTGCGAGATGGGACAGCGTCCGGCCAAGTGATATGCGACATACCATGATAATTGTCATTCTTTTTCCCTTTCTTCTCTTTTATTTCTCTTGTTCTTCATCACAGACTGTACATATTAACTCACAATTCGAATCCTGATCCAAGTTGGCTCGAAATCTTTGATATCCCGGACATGTTAGATCTAAATTTACTAAAAGAGCAGAATCGTGGTTCTACTCCAAAATTGGTGCCGTCAAAAGGCGATGCAGAAGGATTTGCTTGTCGGGATCGGGGTACCGATGGGGCTAGCGCCTTTGGACCGTTGCATCGACTCCAGTTCTTTGTTCCACGGTGGATTTTCTTCCTCTCAAACAACATGCATCTCATCCAGTATGCCACCGAGGCTGATGGCCCAGCACTCGCCAAAGTCAATGTGGAAAGTTTCAGGGCCCGGCTTCTCCTTGGCCAGGTGTTTCCAGGGTCCAACAATACTCTCCTACGGGAGTATAAAACACACGTCGGGATGAAACATCTGGCCAATCCCAATATGCACGTTCTCAAGATCCACAGCGAGAACGGTGAATTGGTCACATATAGCCGCTGGCAGCTTCCGGCTTCGTTCGGCCAGAGCCAGGTTCCTTTAAGTGACCAAGGTGCCTTGTCTGCCAAGGACCCTCTTGTGTACGCGCCACAGCCAATGAATACAGAGGCATTTGCTGCCTTCAAGAAGATACTAGAAGAGGGTCGTAAAAAGCACACAACAGAAGACGACATAGGTAAGTTCTTAGCTTTGGGGATTCCAGGTCAACCCCGCATTGGCACTTTGCTGACCCTCCAGTTCTGGATCTGTTGGCCACTCTGCCTGATTATCAGGGCCAGGGGTATGGCAAGACCATTTTGAAATGGGGCATTGAGAAAGCAGACGCTACCAAGTCGCGCATCTACCTAGAAGCCACTCCCGAGGGGGTTCCGGTCTACCTCAAATACGGATGGAGGCACATGGAGGAGGTGACAATGAACTTCGCGGACTATGGAGGTGTTGGGGTCGAGTCGTATTACCTGATGATCAGGGATCCAATTGCATAGTCTTTTTCGCCGAATACCTAAGTCCAGAATGTATCCATACATTATATACGTGCTTCATCGGGTATTCGATTAATTCCCAACGGGTAAATCCAGTGCCGAGGTTTCGTCATAACGCGGGGGAATTTCTCGTCTTTTCGACATTCTCTTTGTCAGCCGTCATCTCCAATCTCATTCCAGCTCACGATGGCTGTCAAATTCGCAATTCTCGATGACTACCAAGGTATTGCACCTGCATACTTTGCCCACCTAGAATCACGCGTCGAAATCTCCAGTTTCCCCGAGACCCTCAACCCCCGCATTCCCGCCCAGCGTGATGCCCTCGTCCAACGACTTCTGCCCTTTGATGTGATTCTAGCGATGCGCGAGCGCACGCCATTCTCCGCCGAAACGATTGCTGCCCTCCCCAACTTGAAACTCCTGTTGACAACCGGTACTCGCAATCTGGCATTGGATCTCGAGGCCTTCACGCAGGCCAATGTCGCCGTCGCGGGCACTGAGGGTCGACCGCCCGGTGTCAATTCGACTGTTCAGCACACGTGGGCGTTGATACTGGGGTTAGCGCGGAATCTGGCGCGCGATGACGCAGCCGTCAAGCGCGGGGCATGGCAAGGGTCCCTCGGTGTCAATCTATCAGGGAAGACCCTGGGACTCCTCGGCTTGGGGAAACTTGGATCGCAAGTGGGGAACATTGCACACCTAGCATTCGGAATGAAGGTCCTGGCCTGGTCAACCAATTTAACGCAGGCAAAAGCCGATGAGCAAGCCCAAGCTCAGGGCTTGCCTGCTGGTACCTTCGTTGTCGCTGCATCCAAACAGGATTTCTTCCAGCAAGCCGACATTGTCAGTATCCACAGCGTGCTCTCTGAACGGAGCCGTGGCATTGTCAGCACGGCCGAGCTGGAGAGCATGCGATCCTCTGCCTTTCTCATTAACACTTCTCGTGGGCCACTGATTGACGAGAAGGCACTCCTTGAGGCCTTAAACGCGGGTAGTATACGTGGAGCCGCGCTGGATGTCTTTGAGCCGGAGCCACTGCCTCTCGACAGTCCTTGGCGGACTACCCCCTGGGGTCAGGACGGACGTAGTGAAGTGCTGTTGACTCCTCACATGGGATACGGGGAAGAAGACTTATTGCGAGGATGGTATCGCGAAACGGCAGAGAACCTAGAGCGATGGCTTACTGGAAAGGAGCTCCTCCGGAAGATGAACTAGAATGTGAGACTGTACAGTAGATTTTGAGCGACGCGATTCTACACAATTCCTTGTTTACGCCGAGAATGGGCACATTTGCATGTGGGCAGAATTCACCGAGCGACTGAAAACGTCCGATCACCCGCTAGAAGATCCCACTTCCCCCACATTGAGCCTAATGGTTGCGACTAATGCCAATGGACTGCAGTGGAGGCGGGTTAATCGCTTTTAGGCCTCGCTCTCCGCGGCGTTGTCGTCATGGGCCTCGGTCCTCTCGTTGTCTCTTTCATAGACTTCCCTCGGTTGAAGGGATGTCTTAAATAGCACCCCCGCCTGGAGTCATTCTTTCTACCTTTCTCTCTACCTCTCGCTTTCTCTACCTCTACCTCTATCTCTCTTACATCCTCCCTCTCCAACCATGGCCCCATCCGCCGATCCCGTCGTGGCTACGCCCGGCGTGCCTGCTCCGACCCATCCCGATCGTCTGCGCGTCGACCGAAGCACCAAAGCCTTTGGAAGTGGGGCCACCTCTCTCGTCGACCTCCCCGCGGGTGCCCTCTTTGCCAAGATCACCACGGCGACCCCCGGCAAAAAGGCCTACACCAGCGTGCAGACCGGTCCGGACAGCCACATCGAGCTCAATTCCGACCTGGTCTTCTGCAACCACTCCTGCGCCCCCACCTTGAACTTCGACATGGATCGCATGGAAGTGCGCGCTGTGGACAACCGTCCCCTCAAGGCAGGCGACGCTCTGACCTTCTTCTACCCCAGCACCGAATGGGAAATGGACCAGGCTTTCCAATGCACCTGCGGGGCAGGTGAGGGGGTCTGCAGAGGCTGGATCTCTGGGGCCAAAACCATGTCCAACGACGAATTGGCGGGGTACTGGCTCAACCCTCACATTGCGCAGCTGGTTGCTCAGCGCAAATAAGCCCATTGACATCTCAATTGAGGGGCTGGCACCCCTGCGGGGATAAGAATATAGAAACAGGAAAAAGAAAGAAAGATATCCGATAGAGAATAGATACCAGATGAATTGAAGAAGCTATGAAATCCAAGATCCAATCTACATACTCCGTATGCGAGTAAACAATCTCAGCTGCCAGCTGCTCCTGCAATCATTGCGAATTGTAACATCCTCCGACGGTCCATCTCCCGCTTCAACATGACCAGACATGTCGCAACGATGACTGCTTCGTCTAACTCATGATACTGTAACGCCGCCTCGTCAATCTGCAACTCTCCACCATTCCCAGCGGAACACTTCGACGTCCCCGGAGTACGAGAATCGGCCCCGCGGACCAGCTGCGCGATCCTCTGTGTCTTTTCCGCTTCGACGGCGCGGAAAACAATCAGCCTCACTTTCTGTCCGTCTGCTCTCTTCTCTTTCGCATATTCCCATTCAAACCGTTCACCTCCCGGCATGGTAAACTGCATAGTCCGTGATGTCCATTTTCCTGAAACTGTCACATCCGCGGACTCGGCTTGCAGCAACTGTAGGACGGGATCTCGGTTCGGTCCGAAGAAGTACTCGGTCCGAATGAGATTTCCGCGTTTAGGGTGGGACAGGACCGCATTGCCCGAGCAGACTTTGTCGCGGGTGGAAATATACGCCTCTGTGGCGTCGGAATTGTATATGAAGATCTCGGTTTGTCGTGATGGTATTGGAAGACGAAAGGCGCCGATGCCGCGTGCATTTACGGTTAAGATGCGGGAGGGTTGGAAGTTGGTGTCGGACAGTGTGCAGAGAGTGCTCTCGGACCGAACAGACAAGGCAGAGGATTGAACCTCCTCCTTCATTTTAGATGTGATTGTAGTCATGGTGATGTCTTGTTTCTCATGGATTTTGTCCCGTTGACTCGCGACTATATACAAACATGGGGAATACGAGCATTGCCTATTTCGGCGACGATCCACGGGGCGCGGCAAGCATGCTCGGATTCGCTCGTATTCCGCATTTCGTATTCAAGGTTAGGTATCTCCGTGGAATATGCGTCTTTGCTGTTTTGTATCCAATGAAAAATATGAAGGCAAGAATATTAACATGATTTTCATGTTCGTATTGTAAATGATGTCATGGGTATATGCCCATGTAGGGTCCACGGGTGCTATGTTTCAACTTTGAAGGGACACTTCGCCTTTCCTCTACCTTCTCATAAACTCGAAATACCAGAGACACTTGAGCTACTGGGCGTAGAGCGGTTCACGGGGAATACCGCATGGCTCAGTTCCATTCCTAGGCGAATTCCATGCGTGGATCCAATCAGTTGCAGCGCAGACCGGGCCTGAGCTTCTTGAGCCTCAGTCGCATAGCCACACTGTGTCACGCTAAATACTGGCCAAAGAAGTGCAAATCCTTGCACTGCCTTGGTGCCAGACCGAAATGTTGGACAGCCAAAGGTGTCAACTTTACCCAAGGCAAAGGGGATAGTCTCGCATATCTCCGTGACCATATCAATGATAATTTCCTCTGGGAGAGGCAAAGCTGAGGCACCATCAGACATCCACGATATCATTTGGGAGTTGTCAAGATGCCTGTGGATCTCCAACAGGGTCTGTTGAAGGAGGATTCGTGTCCCGCGGTAGTAGTTCCAAACGCCCGCCGACGTGAGATCTGGATATAATATAAAATTGTCCCCGCCAGACGTTGGAAATCCCCTTGGCATCCAAGCCTCCGGTAATCCATTATGCCACATACTGAATTCTAGATCCAGATGCTCGCCTTTTTCAAGTAAAGACGTGAGGGCCAGTGTATCGGCCAGATTGCAGTCACTTGATAGAAAATTGGCAACGGTGGCACAATATTTGCTGATTTTGATATTTCCAGCCATCATCTGATAAATCGGATGGGGGATCGTGAGCACCTCCAATAACCAATCGAGGTCGATTTGCACGGGGTCTTTCAGGCCCACAAATTGAATCAGCTAAGTGACTGTCAGTCAAGCACAGATAAATTACCACATTAAGTCATACCATTTGAGTAAATGCAAAGTGAAACAGAGATCGAGTAGCGGGATCACTGAGCTGCTTGACCCCTCGCAACTTCAGAAGGTACTGGATACCCGAGACGTGCGTACTCATAAGACTCTGGCGCTCACTGTTGATATCTTCGAACAGCATGAGCATGACGATCGCCCCTAGTGTTTCATCTCGAACAGCATCCTCCACTGATGACAGCGCAATGCTCAAGTGGGCCAGGGCCTGGCCATACTTTCTTCGAGCCTGAGTCGCTAAAGAGGATACACTGGAGTGATTTGCCATAGACGCAAATGCTGCTGCATCCATCGCTGCACGCAGGCTGGCTAAGGGTGCCCCGGTCTGATTCCCCTGACATAATGTATATAGTAATGGGATGGAATCGAGAGGGCCCGGGCTCCCATCTGGCTCGGTGGGTAATGTGAACTGATCCAAGAAATAGCAGTGGCCATGATACTCCCACGAGGAGTCTAACAGAAACGGAGGAATCATAATATCAGGCTCTGATACCGAAGCGGCTGGAGAGGAGACAATGAGCCTTCTCTGATCCGTTCGCCCCGGGCGATTCTTCCTCGCTCCCTTCTGAGGCTTTTGCACTGATTTCTCGAATTTTTTATTCTCATTTCGAAATATCAGCGGTAAACTCGTCTGATACCCCGGGCATTCCCTGCCATACACAGCACAGTTGCCACAGGCAGGCTTCCCCTCATCACACTGCTATGGTCAACTTCCGATCCACCTGGGCAGAGCCTCAATTCCAATCAAGACCGCTCACCTTAACCTTGCGCTTCCTGCATAGAATGCAACCCTGACTCCGTGGACGTGCGGACATGATTGATCTTTCCAGCCCTGGAGGCCTTCGGACCCCAAAGGGGACCTGCGACTGCCAGATCGGTTGTAGATCACCTTCCCGATCGGGATCCACGCGACCCTGGAACCTTGGAATATGGGGCTCCACTGTGGCTTCTCATTGGGTCGTTCTATAGCACGCTAGTCTATTCTTGGTGGATTTCTTCACACAAATCATTCCGGCTCATAAAGCACTAAAAGCTCAGCCTCTCCATCGAATTGGGCTTGTGGTTTAGTGGTATAATACTCCCTTAGCATGGGAGTGGTCCGGGGTTCGATTCCCCGCGAGTCCATCTCTTTTTGTTGCCTTCGATTCATCTCTAATCATTGTCATTCATGGGGGATTGAAGATTGATGTTTTTTTTAGCGGACCGAAAGGTAATAAGCACCAAGACGAAAAAGCTCATTATTCAGGCAAAATTCGGGCAAAATTCAGGTATCCAAATTCCAGGTCCATTCTACTAAAGGGGCGTTAGAGTAATCAAAAGGTGTCAAAATAGGCTTGGGGGGCCAATTCTGTACCCTGTGCAGCAGGACTCTTTAAGGTTCCGAGGTTTTGATGTGAACGCACGTGTGCACATGTGCCCAGGTGGTTTTAGGCTATTATCTCACTATATCCAGACGCTGAATAATCAAATGGGCTTGTGGTTTAGTGGTATAATACTCCCTTAGCATGGGAGTGGTCCGGGGTTCGATTCCCCGCGAGTCCATTCTTTTTTGTTTTTGGTTCAAGGTTGTTTTGACAGAGGATAAATGTGACACTGGTCCTATCTTCGTGATGTATAGCTCTACATTTAGTTTTGTGGTGAATGATTTTTGGATCAATGTTCAGGCGGAAACATATAGATGTCCACCTGGGTATCGAGCAGATCCATGGAAGATATTCAACTCTAAAAGTCTATTCTAGTGTTGTATGTTTGGCAATTCCTCAAATTTGCCACTATGCCAACTTTGTCCAAATATCTTGAGCAGTGAGTAGCGTGCTCAGCATCATGGCCGATCCAATAACCACGTCTCCGGTGGGCCACCAGGCCAAGAGCTCCAATGGAATGAGCAGATCACATCCATCGACCACCACCCGCTTCATAAGAGTGGAGGCAGCGGTGGTATGGACAGGTGCGACCTTCTCTTGGGCTTTTTCGTTCTTCGTGACCTTGGCTGGCTGCTTGGGGCTGCTGAAAAGAAGCGCCCAGATAGACCCTACCACAGAGAAAGACAGAGCGTACAGCCAGAAGGTATTGGCCTGGTCCATCACACGGTCATTCCAGGGAACCGCGTAAACTCCCATTGCATGAAGCTGGTACAGTCAGTGTCTTGGTCAATCGCAATTCGGAACGACGACTGGAACTTACAATGGTGAGATCCTCTAGGACAAAGTACAAACCGAAGCAAGTCCATTTGGCTAGGTCAATTAGACCAGTCACCGAACTGAACCCATCCCCGCCAAGCAGGGCAGACACCCGCTGGAACGAGTCAATGAATCCAAAGAAGCGGAAGTATCTCCGCGCTATGGGTCAATGTCAGTATTTATGGTGCTTATATCGCACGGTGTGTATCATTGAGCGAGGTATTTCCACTTACTCAGGGCCAATTGCAGCTTGACGGTCGTCAATTGCACAGCCAGGGCACTGCTCTCGGTGAGCGCTGCAACAACCTGCGACACGCATTGAATCAGGCGGAGGGTCTTTTCCAGACCGCTGCCTGTGTTGACGAAGCGGGAAAATTTCTGGATCATTGCTGCGCTGGGGTACTTAGGTATAGCGGTTGTTTGGTCTGGCTCTGAAGGGATGTGTCAAGGGCTTGAAAGCGGGCTCCAGGGCTGATCTCCGCGCCAGGTTCACCTAGCGCTATTTTGCTTATTCATCTTTCTGATTCATCTATTTCTTTTATTTGCCTAAATGGAAAAAGAAGGACCCGTTCTAGAAAATGGTTGTTCAGAAAGGTCTGAATTCGTGGGAGACAATCTTGAGATAGGCGCGGTTAGAGTGGACAAAAAGGGAATGTGTAGGAGACCTATGCCAGGTGGATATATATCGCGTCGATTGGAGACTACATTTCGGACATAACCCCCGCATCGCTAAATAACTACATAGTAACCATGCTATTTACGAGTACATCTACCATTGACCTGTACTTCAGAAAAAACATGAAAAAGTTGCTACACAAAATGAGACATGCTTGCAAAAATAGAGACATGCCCCAGGCAATACCTAGGTATGTCTTCTATCGCCCTTTCTATCGCCCTTTGCCGCCCGAGATGTCTTGTCCCAGACGGTATCCACCGACTTTCTCCCACTCCACCTTTTGACGTGTGATGGGAAGTTGTCTGCGTAGACCCTTGAACGCACCCTCTGCTGTTTGCACAAACGCCCGGTTCAAGGCCTCCTGGTAATCGCGCTCGGCTGCTGCGATCTTGGAAACAATCGACTCGGCGGACACGGAGGGAATGTTGATGCTGAGGGGCTTGGTGGTGTTGAGTGCCACATTGCCGTCCTCGTAGTAGTGTACATCGACCTGGATCTTACCGGTCAAAGTGGAAGGCGAGGAGACGGGGACCTGGTAAAATGCACGGAAGCGACCGTTCCTATCCGTATGATCAGCTTGTGCCCCCTGTGACTCCAACCGTCAATGAAGACATTTCGTCCACTCACCAGAAGTTGTTGGGGGAGTATCGGTTGGCGACCAGGAGAATAGCGACGGCAGAGTCGTTCTCGATGGGGTAGACGCCGTAAGAGCAGTTGGGGTAGTGTTCACGGGCGTGAGCCCCGAAGGACTTGAGTAGCGATTTGCTGATATAGTCAATATACTGCCCCGGATACCAAGATTGAGGATCTCTCACATTAAATCGGCATTGCTGGACTCCAGGTGGTATGATTGTGCCCCAGAGGCAGTCTATTATCACCAGTCAGCCCCACGAGCTCCATCGAACGTCTCGACCAACAGCAGCCTACCTGTGTGGTATGGTCGAGCTCGAAAGAGGTCTGGCTTTCAGGATCAAAATAGCGGTTGTCCTCTAGCGCATTGAATTCACTGACGATGACCTTGGAAACACTGTCAGTGGCACCGCGGTGCAATCAAGTGCGAAACCCACCTCCTGGCTTGACCCGGGAAGCTTCACTGTTGTAAGCTGGGTCTCGTTGTATCGCTTGAACGCGGGCAGCAGCGAGGGAATAATGTCATCGCCCTCGGAGGTCAGGGCCTGCACATCTATCGAGCGGCGGGGATCAGCATCAGCACTCAGGCACGGAAGTCGGAATCGAGTGGGTCGGGGTAGGACGCAAGGCAGGTGAGAATTTTACCGGAGACGACATCTGCAAGCTGGGATGGTGCACGTTAGCTATTGGAACCTGAGCTGCAGGGCCGGGGAAGCCATGTTGACATACCTCTCCGGGCGGGGCACCCTCAATAAAGGCGGAGGCCAACTCAACAGTGGAAGCCATAGTGAACACAAGAGAGAACTCGACAAACAAGAGTGAACGCAATTGGAATTATCAAGAAACTTGTGAGATGGAGGGGGTGTTTCGGAGAGAAGCTCGCGGAGGCGGAGAGCGATAAGCACGTGGTATACCCCGTACAGATCTACATTTTATACGCAGCACCCATGGATGCAGTCCAAGGGTGTGTAACAATTATGATGGATAGTGGTAAAGTTGCACATGTGAATTATCATCAGGCAGCCACGACGTAAATCAGACGCTAAGAAGACTATGATCCCCCAACACCATGCTAAGAAACTCCGAAAATAAAAAATAATCAATCAATGCTCATGTTCATGAAGCCATCGCTGGCCTCGGTCATTCCTTGCAAGCCGACGCGTTTGGTTCCCCCGTGCGGAGTAGCCCGAGGACCAGAGTCGATACTCGATCGTTCTGAGAACGGTGCACCAAGACCCGGCTTCGGAGGTGGGCCCCAGATATTGGGACCCGTGTCACTGACGTGGTGGGAATGGGTCATCACCGGACTGCTCTGAGAACTGACGCTAGGTGACACAGCCCTGCGCTTGAAGAGGTTCGGATCAAAGTCATCGTCGCGACGTCGCTTTCGACAGATCTCTCCCATGCTCACCATACCGGGAGCATGAGGGGTGCATGAACGGGAACGGGGCTTGGATGAATCTGCTGTCACGGATCCGATCGTCGTAGATGGAGTCATGTCCATGGACATATCATCATCGGCCACTGAAGGGGGTCCTCCCTGACGCGCGGGCGGGGGAGTTCGGTAGCGCCCATCGAACGAGTTCCAGAACTCAACGCCACCCGAGTTGCGACTTGCTTGTTTGTGGAAACTGTCTTTGGACGGGGTTTCCATTGACTTAGTTGCAGTCTCGTCTGTTGGCGTGGAATCGTATGAGGTAGACGGTTGAAGAGATGGGAATTCACCCAGGGCAGGGGTTGGTTCAGGCTCCGTGTCGCGGACCTGCCGGACAACTTCTGCCTCACGTTTCATATCACTGTCCACCGGAGCGCCTTCCTCCATGAGCGCCGCACGGATTCGCGCGAACGTTTTGGTTTTAGGCTATGATCGAGGTCAGCGCTGGTGTCGTCAACAAACACGATATGGACGTGATCTTACCAGTAAACTTCCACGCCGGGTCACTGCACGGCGGATAACCCCCCATGGTCCACCGCCACTCTCCGAATTTTGTTTAGGGATGGGACTACCACTCCGCGTGTTGCGGCTCTCGCCATCGTCACTCATATCGGACAGACGTAGGTCACGGGTGCTGAAGCTGATGCTCTCTCTCCGTGCATTTACGTTTGGCCGCGGCGCAAAGTAACCGCCGGTGGGATGCTCGACACTTTTCAGAATGGGCGGAGAATGAGGAGTAGGGCTGGGCTTCGAGCTATTCCCACTTGCACTGCTAGAGCTGTGGCGACTGCGGCCTTTACGGAAGCGCGCACGTTGGAAGCTCATCAGGCTAGCAGCGGCCTGCGAGTAGCCCCCCATCCACTCGTTCCCTGGACTTTGCATATTGCCCGCGAAAGGACTTGGCGCGTGCATGCGAGTCGCTTGGGGTGTGTTAAGCATCATGTCGTCACGATCCCCCATTGTCTCGTCTTCATCCTCGCTACTGCTGGTATCCGACTCCATCATATTAACACTGGACATGGAGCTTGAGATGGCCGTGCGCTCTACCGGTCCAGATGTCGAGAATGGCGCGTTTGAGGTCGCGCCCGGCGAACCGTACCGCTGCGGTATTGCCATGCCTCGCCCCCCAACGGTTGGAGATGAGTCTGGGGAGGATTCGGCGAGGGTGGAATGGTGGAGGTTTGTACATGCGCGAGAGAAATCGAGACCTCGTGATCGACGGGGGAGCACGGATCCTGGCGATCCGTAGGTATGGGATGGGTCGAGTTTGGGAGAGAGGGGAACACGACTGGTGAGTGTTGGCGACACCGCGGGTTTGGAAGGCAGGTTCAGCGATAGATTTGAATGAGGCAGGCTTGATCGTCGGGGAGTTGCGGGAAGTGCGGGAGTCGCATGTTCGTCTTTGCTTGGTGGCCGACTCAAATCGCCAGTGGATGGTTGAGTGGAAGATGTAGGTTTCGACGCATCGGAAAGTGAACGCGATTTGGGTGAGTGTGGTGAGCGCGACGACTCAGAATGTTCCAGATCAGGTGAAAGGGGTTGTGATAATTGCTGGCTGAGTTTGCTTTCAAACGCGTGGGCTGATATGCTGCGCCCGGGCGCTGAAGGACGTAACTCAGCCATTAGGTCACTCTGATCCGAATCAGTGATATAGAGGACGTAAGTTGATGGGCATCGCTCAATGACGCCAATATTGGGATTTCAGGCCTGGTTTCACTTTTGAACTCAACGAAATCCCACAGAATGAGCTTTCAGGCTTGAAACAGAAATGAGACCTAAGTCATTGAGAGGAATACAATGAAATCCAAGCCGTTGGCTCTGAGCGGTTAACGAGATCAGATGATACGCTAACCCGATCCGGATATTTATATAGACCCCAGGGCCCCCGGGGCCGTGGACCCTGGCCCCCAGCATGGGGAATGTAGCACTCTATCTTCACCTTGCATTTAAATCTTCTTTTTCTGCAACAACCTTGAAATTTATAGACCTTGGGAGTCATTTTATGACATAGAACCTTGGATGTACCCGTTTATATTTGGTCGGATTTATGCTGCTGTATTATACATTGGGATCGACCTTGAAGTACAGACCAACCTTGGAAGGTTAGGCCAGGCTCATGGCATTGCTGATAGGCACCACATGCCATTCCCAGTCATTACAATGATTTTGAGGAACAGTTCTCTTAATCAAGTCGGAATCCCGTGTTTGCCACAGCTTTGTGATCACGGCACGTGTTCTAGCGATGTTGGAAATCGTCGAATCCGCCATTGTCGCCAAAGCGCGCAACACAACCGCTCGTCCAGAACCCGAGTCTGTCTCGGAATCCGGATTAAGCTCATCATCAGAGGGATCAAGCTCAACAGAGGCCACAAACACTGGCCATGCAACGTTGGCAGTCGACTGGCGATCAAGAAGATCTAATATGAGGCGTAAGATCTGTCGAACATAGCTCTTCACCAGAGGTGTGGTGGGATCGGACCCATAAAGAGCACAGTGCAGATACAACATCGCCGCTAGGCGTTTGGAATCTGCAACAATTGCAAGAACCTCATCCTCTCCCTCCCCCACCTCTTGGACCAGGCTCTCTAACTGTCTTTCGAGAGAGGCAGCACGCAGGAAGTAGGTCGACTTGTCTTCTTCAGACGTATGTTGTCGTCTCGTTCGGCTCATGTCTGTAATCTTGGCCAAGATTGAGACTAATTCAGGGCTACACCCCATCCAAAGATCGATGTTGCGTTCGTCGGGCTTCCAGTAGTCGGTGCCGAACAATACCTCTTTGGCACAAGCAGTGCGACCCATGACATCCTGGAAGGCGAAGAATTGCTCTGCAAAGCTCGTGACAGGATCTGATGGAACTGTGGATTTGGACAGCGCAGCTTGCTGTTTTCTCCGAAGCCGGATTAAATCGTTGGCACCTTTCAGGTGAATAGTCCACTGTGTATCGCATTTGTCTACTATCTCATAGAGACAGAGCATTATCATGATCACGAGCACTTCGGGATCCATCGAACATGTCAGAGTTCCCTCGGACGAAAGACGTTGGCGAAGGTCCCTCAGAGCTTCCGATTTATAGCGCAGGCCGATGGCGCCATAGCTCGAATTGAGCCTTGACCAGTGACATGCCCCGAGTGCCTGGATCGCTTTGAAAAGGGTGGGAGAGGCAGATAGGCAGAAGGGTAAGATCACCGATGCGAATGGCGACGAACTCGTAGAACTGGCGGCAGTACGGGGGCAGACTTGCTGGAGATAATAATCGAATAGCTCCCCATGGCCCGATTGCGAAAGCTCAGGGAACAATGCAAGAGAAGGTGGAAGAGTGAGGTTGTAGCTCGCAGTGATTTCAGCGAGATGTGGGAAATGTTGTAACCACGACCATAGTTGGTCTGTGGTGTCCTGGGAGCTTTGCGTCACCGATATCAACTCATTCAGCTCGTTGAAATCGACATCCACCTCATCCGGGCGTTCGAACGTCGCAAGACTGCTGTTAATGAACCCCCAGGGGCTGACCGCCGGCAACGGGCGCCACTCATGTACTTCATCCGAAGAGAGGGAGCCAGGCGTGGGCTGATTGCCTCCTGCTTTGCTCCACACACCGGCACGTCCGAAGGCTACCCCCCGACTCGCAAATTCCGACTCCCATTTCAGGACTAGATGTTTGGTGCATGGTAAGCCTTTTTCCCAGCAGCGTGTGCAGATGGGCTTTTTCGTATCGCATCGGACACGGCTCGTCCGGCATTCTTTGCAACCATCGCGAGATCGAGTCTTAATGGGACCCGTCCGGTCTGCGGCTTTTCTTCGCGGCATGGTGTCTACTTCACATGATTAAAGCATATAGTATAGACACAGAGAAGCCAGAGACGGGAAGTTGAAGAAGCAAGAAAAAAAAAGTGGTCCCCGCAAGTGGCGATAAGGGGTCTATCGGCACCCCGCAAAAACTCCAGTCCACTGGAGGGCTGTCAGGTCTGCATTCTTGGGTTTGCTCGTTGTGTTCCTTACATGTTCAAATGTTGTTGATATGAAGGCGTTTTCTGATGAAATAGGCACAAATCATGTTCGAGTACTGAGTAGCATGTGTACATACTGACTTTCGACGTGCTGGAGACACAATGGCAATCCCTCTACAAGGCTGAGTATGGGTCTCCAGCTGTTCATTGCTTTTGTATAGAGACGAGACGGGATCTATCAGCATGTCTGATTCTCTTTCCAGCTCGCTGCGCAGTCCCCAAATGTAACGAATTCAACCCCCTCCCCCTGCTGCTTCAGCCAAGTGATCATCCGGTCAATCATTCCAACTACATGGGCCATTCCACTAGTGTCTGGATGTAGAACCAGAGGGAAGACAAATCCTTGCTCGCAACCCTCCTCGATGGATTTTTCGACAGCCTCACTGTAAAGGAACTCGAATCGTGACTTCCAGTTGTGTTCAATGGTGACTGGACTCACAAACCCATGCGAGTTCTCGGCAGCCGGAAGGAATTGCATTGGGGTCATGTCCTCCATGTACCAATTGCAAGGAATTTCCACTAGAGTTTGAGAAGTTCTTGGTTCAGGAGCAGGGAGAGGCTTCATCCAAGTAGCAGCAGAGTTGGATGGGGAGAAGTCAATCGGCTGGGGCTCAGACATCCGAGGCACAAAGTACAATGATGAATCATGGTGCGTGAGAGAAGAGTCTGCTCCTTGAATTAGACATCACATGATCAGGAAGAAAGAGGATAAAGTGACATACCGTAAAGGAACCCATGTTCCTCCAAAACTTGAATGGTGTGGGCTCGCAGTTGATACAGAGGAGCTCTCCAACCCCGGGGCTTTTCCCCTACCAAATCGGTTGCCAACTGCACACATTTGGTAATCACTTCTCTTTCTTGAGCTTCCGTCATTTGGCTTGACCCCTCATGTGCATATCCATGACACCCGATCTCGGCACCCGAATCCACAATTGCCTTGGTCTCTTCGGGGAATGATTCCATCGAATGCCCGGGCACAAACCAGGTCACCGACGAAGAGATTCCATGTTTCTTGAAAAGTCGTAGCAAACGGGGGACCCCGACTTGAGCGGCAAAGAAACCACTGCTGTAATCAGCTAAATTGGTGGTGGCCGACGCACCCGTTCCCAGAAAGCCAGACACGGCATCGAAATCCACGGAGAGTAAGATTTGGACCTTGGGTCTTGAGATTGAGGATTTGTTTGCCATGTTTGAGCGAATCAGGCGACGGAGATTGGGGATAGAAGAGAAAGGGTCCTTGCGAAGGGGAACCGACACTTTTGCGGGTCACCCCGCCCTAGTCGAGTTTATACACAATCATCACGGGGAATCTTGACTGAACACGGCTTTTCAGTATGTAGACAGATATTCGAGCCATTCGAGAGGTATCTGGTATCTCTTAAGCATTCCAGGGGGTTTTGACTTTTCGCTGCACAGTTTGCTGATCAACCAAATTGCACCTGCTGCACCGGAAATGATCACCGGCGAACTTGGGGACCACACTGAGAACCCGTTAGCAAACCGAACATAGTTCTAGATACAACCTTGGAAGCTAGGCCTACTAGAAGACAACGAGCGAAACGCTCTTACCAGGGAGTTTCCATGAAACCCCAGGCGGGGCCAATCGCTAAAAAGAGCGAAGCGCTCTACTCGGTATGTGAGCGTGGATACACAACTTGCTGTCCTGACAGGTGTTCAGCCATATGCCAGCTTTGAGAATTGCTTAGTTACTGTACATCTCCATCACCGAAGGTCGAAGGTGTATGCAAAAAGGATGGCTGTTCGTAAATTCGTTGCTCTTGAGTTGTGATTCCTGACAGGACAAGAAATCTGCCATGTCCGCACTCGACCAAGTCTGCAAGGCACACAATGACATGCTCGATGCAATCCCTTGCCAACACTATATCGTGCTCCATAGATGATCACTCGAAGACTGTCATAAGATAGATGTTCTCGCGACGATGCGCTGTTGTGGGCTTTACCCGCCTTTCCCCACTTCCAACTTCCACTTCTTGACCCGTCCGCAACATGACTGCAGCTCGCACAGTGCTGGCTTTCCAGCATGATGCCAATCTCCACACACTCCAAACTAGCGTGATATCGGTTTCAACGTTCAATTCTCTGGAAGAATCCAAGCGCCAGCTCTTCAAAGATGCCGATGAGAAGCATCACGTCATTGTCACCGAGCAAACCATCTTCCACCCCCAAGGAGGTGGTCAGCCCTCGGATACAGGCACACTGAAAGGCTCCTCGGGAAATTTCGCTGTCACAGCTGTTCGTATGGATGGCACTGGACAAGTGCTCCACCTCGGCCTGTTTGACGATGGCCCCTCAATTTCCCCAGGTGAGACAATTGAGCAAGCAATCGACGTCGAAAAGCGCTTGCTATACTCCCGTCTGCATACCGCGGGCCATGTGCTAGGCTCAGCCGTCCGACATCTGTTGGAAAAGGAGATCGAGAACTTTGACGAGTTGAAAGCCTCTCACTTCCCCGACTCAGCAGCTTGTGAGTTCCAAGGCTCCATCGAAGGCAAATGGAAGGATCCAATCCAGAAAAAGTTGGATGAATTCCTCGCTGCCAAAATGCCAGTTCAAATCGAGTGGTGGGGCGAAGATGATTTCCGCTCACGCGGACTCGAGCGATTGATTCCTGATCGCAGCCTTGTGCCAGCTGGTGAAAAATCTCGAGTTGTGAACATTGTTGGCGCTGAAGTTTATCCCTGTGGCGGGACACACGTTGAGACGACGGATTTGTGTGGACCGGTCGCCGTGAAGAAGATTTCCAGAAAAACCGGAAACTCTCGAGTCAGCTATATAGTGACTTGATTGAAGCTGGGAACGCGAAAGGGCTCTCCGGAGACGCCAGTTTGATAGAAGAACCCCGACAAAGCTGTGTCAACAGATAAAAAGAATCACTTGACTGTGGTGATCTCCCAATATTCGTCACAACTCAATACGTGGAATCATATGGGCTTCAACCCTATGCTACGAAAACATTTGCCCTTGAAGCTGTGCAATTGTAATGGCTGGTTCAGGATGTGGGCTATCTATATGACTTGCGGATTTTAACGAGAGGATTCCGTGTCCTGAAGCTGGTAGGTCTCCCCTGAAGGGCCACCACGCGAGAGGAAGGGCCGCACGAGACCCTGCTCTTCATCATCCAGTTTGGCAAAGCCGTCTGGCCCAGCAAGATCCGCCTTGTCGTAGGGAACATCGCAGATAGCCGATCGCAGAGGCGGATAATAGCGGCGGTACGAGAACCATGCTATCAACATACCTAAAAGCCCTCCACAGGTCACATCGTAGACGTCATGTCGGTAATCATCCAAACGCGAGATTGCAACCATCAGAGCACACAGGAGTGGAAAGAATGCCAATAGACAGCGGCCCAAATCAGTTCGGGGTCGGAACACATGCATTTGGCCACAAAAGAAGCTGTAATTTCGCCGGAGTCAGTCTTGTGCTGTGTGTTTTGACAAGACGGATTATAGACACAACTAGACACAACTCACAGGTATAGATAACCAAGGCCGCCAAATGAAAAGCTGCTATGCCCACTGGGGAAACTCCGCCATCCCTCTTGCAGGATGTGCTGATTCGACTCCGTACAGACCGTCCATGCGACCAGCGCATTGTTCGGTGTACCACGCGCTGGCTTACAGCGTGACAACAAGTCTGGCCGAGGCCTCCCAACCGAATTCTTGACAATGTCCGTCAACAGTGAGGTCAACATCAAAGCCACGAACAGGCCGAGTACGGTCACCTGCGTTTTTTGGACGCCAGCGCGAACCATCGCGGACCACGCCAGAATGACGAGGAAAGGAATGACCCCCGCGATAATGACAGACCACACTGTCGCCGATTAAAATCATGTGAAGTCTTCACCGTTGCAACGTGACTTACAAACAGGGACTCGTTCGTGGACGGCGAATGGGTATTGGATGGATTTGTTATCGAGCGAGAACATGCGATGGAATGGGTTCACAAAAAGCTGGATCTGTTCGTTTGTCAAAAAAAAAAGAAGATCTTGCACGTTGGTGTTGGGAACCTACTAGCACCCATCCCATCACCAGAAACCCCAATGCGATGTAGTCGGGGCCATATGAGTGTTGCGCAAAACGCGCTGCAGCCCCAGCGAGCCCAACACGGTGTATCATCGATGTCGAAGTATGCCCCGAGCCATTGTGAGACATCCTGAGGAACCTCTGAAGTCGTCAGAGAGAGAGCTTCAGGAAATGTAGTTGCTGAGGTCGGTGTCGCGGAAATTAAGGATACGCACGGGCCACACGGCCAACTCAACCTTGACCTTTCTCCAGTCTCTCAACTGCACTCCACCAAAATGGCCGACGATAACCAACAAAGAGCCGTGAACACGGCATTTGCACCCCCTCCGCCATTATGGAAGCACTTTACGCCCGAGAACACCGAGAAGCTAGACCAGATCAAGACCGAGGCATCCAAGGACGAGAATGGACGGCCAAACAAGAAGAAGGAATGGTCTGCGCCAGAGTTGCGCGCCCTCGAGCTACCTTCAGAGCTCCGCTACCTTGTCCCACCTGATGTTCCTGAAGGACAGTACAGCGTTTTTGGCGAATTGCAGGCTGTTGGTCACCCCCGAATTCGGCGCCAATACCAATGAGACTGACCACATTATAGCTATCAACTGCACTGCCATCGCTCCAAGAACAAGGCATCGACCAACTATACCCAGAACCTGCCGCAAGCACAAACGAACAAGACTCGCAACCCGCCCCTCTCAACCACGCGTACTACCTCCTCAAGATCAGCAAGTCTCTACTCCTCAACTTCCTGGAGTTCGTCGGCACTCTATCAGTATCCCCAGAACAATTTGAATCCAAAGTACAAGATTTGCGCAACCTGTTTATCAACGCGCATCACCTTCTCAATCTTTACCGCCCCCATCAAGCCCGTGAATCGCTCATTATGATGATGGAAGAGCAACTCAAACACAGCCGCGAGGAGATCAAACAGATGGACAAGGTCAAAGCAGACATTGAAGGCATCCTGGAGCAGCTCCAGGCGGAGAGCCGCAGCATGGCGACGAACGAGTCGGGAGATACCAACGACCAGACCAATACTTCGAAAGTGAAGGCTGATGCACACTCCCAGTTGATCTGGGAACTGTTGGACAAGGAGAATTGAGCGGTTCAATCTTCTCATTAAGTTCTCAATCTATCACGGAACCCTGCGATTCGACTACAGAAATGGATACCGGCTGATCCGGCACTTGGGACCGGGTATGACCAGGTGATACGTCGGTCTCAAATGAGACTCGCGCGCTCGAAAAGCTGAACCGGGCGGAGCCTTGTGTCTATGACCAGAAGACCCTTCAACAAGATCCAAAGGGTAACAAATGTTGACCGACAAACCCCCGTCAAGCTCATGGTTCCAGTGTGCCAAATGCATCAGGGAAGAAGCCACACAGGCTCGAACCCAGGCTTCACATCAGTCCAGTGAACTTGAGCTGGTGTGCCAATAAATGACTACCACCAAAATTGTCTATGGCACGACCGACCATCTCTGTTCAGCAGAATACAAGCGAAGACTGTGTTACAATTTCCCTTGGGTCTCATCGGGACTCTTCCAGTGTGGGCTTTCACCAAAGTCTCGAGGCCGGAAATATGAATCTATCGAACGTTTCCAACCTGTTGGCTTGCTTTTCTATCTAGACTAGCCAAATAAAATGACAACCTTGGAAGCAATATCTATTTAATATACATATGTTCGCTAATCCCTTATTACCATTACCTAAAATACCACCAAGGAGCACCGCAGTGCGCTAAACAGAGAAAAATAAAAACAAATCATTCACTGGCCAGCACGCTGCTCGGCCCAGGCTTTATCAATGGCACACTCAGCCAGTCGCTTCAGTTCCAGTATGAAATCAGCAACGAGCTTGAAGTGCTCAACTTCAGATTCAGGCAATTTCCGAGAAAAGATACGATCGATCATGACCGTGGCAACATTCAATCGGTCCAAGTCTTCCCGCGAGTGTGGATCTAATGGGTTCTGCAGGATACTGCAAAAGATAGTGAGCAGTGCAGACATCGGGTAGAAGATCAAGGTCCTGAGACGATTAGCTTGGCAAACCAAATCAAATGGTGAATCGAAATACACACCAGAAAACACCATCAACCACCACATGCTCTGCTGCCTCGAGGTAGCATAGACTTGATCGGCTGGCTTCAACCGAAAGAGCCATACTGGAGCTCACTCCATCCATCATGCCGCTCTGGCCTTGTACCCATGCCTTGCACCGCCCGCTCGCCTGGTGAATGATAGTCATGCAGAGGTGATAATTCAACCGCAACATGACAGAGTGCATGCTCATATTGGTATCCGAAGTCTCGGAGGAGAAAGACATCGTGGGACGCCATTTTGGAGGTACTGAGAGTCGCCACTCCTCTAGCCCGTCGTCGAGTTCGCGGATCGACTTCAGAAGCTCGGCGTCTGATTTCTGAAAACTGCTGACGGAGTAGAGCTCGCGATGCGCTCGTGCCTTTATCATGCTGAGGCGGAGATCGAATGGGAATACCGGGCCGTGGAATGGTGCGTCATCGTCTTCTATATCCAGGAATGCGCGATCGAGATACCCAGCTGGGAGGGTAAGATCGCAGTTCTCGTCGGTGATGGTGGGTGGTTGGCCGGTTCTCAGAGCCAGATCCTTATCGATGGTGTAGCAAATCCAGAAAAGATTGCGTAGCTGCTCCTGCTTTTGGCGGCCCCGTGGATCTTTGATGAAGGTTTGGTCGCTGTTGAGATTGCCTCCGAGCATGAAAATCAGACGGGCTGATACTGCAGCATAATAGTTCAGTGCCCGCATGTTTCCTGATGATAGCTCGAAGAGAGTCTAGATACGGTCAGCCTGCAGTGGACTAGTCAATCAGCAGTCTACTAACTCACCAACATAGTCATGGCCTGGACAGAGTCTAGACTAGCGGTCTCTTGTAATACTTGTGGCATCAAGAACATGACCCTAGTGGCAAGCATGTTGTGGTCGATTGGGGCGATGGGAAAGTCGCCAACGATCTCGTTGACGGGAGGCAATCGTGAGACAAACGTAAGAAATGCCATCACACATACCCGAGCGCTAGCTTGACCATATGTGAACGACGATAGTGACTGCTTGTACGCAGTACTGACTGTCTCCTCGAAGAGTTCCGTATCAACCACAGGAAAGATACGGCGCATGACCTTGGAGCGCTTATAAGCTTCGATATAAACTCGCACAGTTCCCAAGTCGGGTAGCTCGAGGGGATTGAGGGCTTCCATGTTCATTAGCAAAGCATTTAAGTTTTCCCCACGCTGTTTTTCCCATGGTGCTCGTGCCGGAGATAGTTTATCGATTGAAACGACTTGCCCGGTGCGAGCAGTGATCCATTCCTGTCCCTCGGGAAACAAAAAAGGTGTGCCAGTCAACAGACTGATTACGCCCAGCTCTTTGCCAGCAAAATGGACCCGGACCGATGACGAGTCTGGGGGCTGGTTGGTGTTGGGTGAATTGCTCACAGCTGTGGGAATATCCACTGATTGAGGAGATGCAGGCACTGACAATCATCAGCCATGGAATGAAGACTCTGGCATGGTTCACTTTACAAGACATTTGGTCTCCCCTTAGATTCTCTGCGAGAAGTTGCTCGATGCGACTGATTCGTTCTGAAAGCCGTGATACTTTCGGACGTCTATGCCCATGAGTACAAGATTACGAGCGAGTAGAGATAGACTCACTCTTGAGTTTCAGGACCTTTCCTTTTTCTCTGGATCACTCTGTCGAATGTGCACGGCATATTGTGGTGGCTACACCAATTACATTGCGGAACTGCGGCATCACATTTGATCTAGTGCGGATTAGCGATGTTTCTCCAACCCCAGAGGATGAAAAATACCTTTCGTCTGTAGCATGAGTCACAGGCCCGGGCAGTCCGCCTCCGTGAGTCTCCATCAGAAGCAGGCTGCATTGTATGCTCGTCGATGAAGCAGTGTGAAATGTCGGACCGTAATGAGATCCCCCGAGACCCGCTGACACACACCCGCTGACTCATCATGATCGGGGCCCAACTGGGGGTCAACGTTGTGAATGGTTTCAGAGTATGCAGAGCATACGGAGAAATACGAGTACCGGAATTATATTGGGTATGAGCTGATTCCAATTGAAAGTCTGAATATGAAGTGTGTTTCCAAAAGTCCATCGTAACCCAAATTCCAATCATAGACGCATAGTTCCCGAAAGCGATATTAGATTAAACGCAGTGTACGAAGTACTTCGTGCCCATCTCGCATCTGTGCACGAAGTCTTTCCATGATGTTCCCCTCTTTGATCCGGCGCCCCTGAACAGACCAGTGTCCAATGCTGCGAAAAAGGTGGAGATTGCGGCAGATCGAAGGAGATCAAGGTCGATCATGGGGAGTAGCTCACATCACCGTACAGATGCAGCAATCACACTCTTCATCGCCACAATCGCATCCAAAACATGGTTTGGTCACTGGCTTGATGGGCTTTGTGATGGAGCTACTGGCGCTAGAGGGGAGGGCGCAGTCGACCGGAGCCGAGGTAGAGGTGACGGCCATGACGAGTAGATCTATGAAACGATTAGGCGGGAAAAGACTCCCAAGGGAGAAGGGAACGAACTGAGTCCAGAGACAACGAAAGTCGTAGGGCTGAAAACAAGCGGGGTTTGGAGAGAAGAAAAGGGAAAGTCAGGGCCAGGCAGCCATATATTGTTCCCACTTGAAACTGCCGAGAAATCAACAAATTGGGGCAGTTCTGAAAGGTCGATTTAGAAGCTCTTGACGGTGGACGGAATTATGCCCATCGGTATGAGCTCGCCACGTCAGAGTCCAGACACCTGGATGCCTGAGCTTACCGGCGACCTCGAGTCTTTGCACATGTGAGCTGGACCTCAAGTGCTGCTACGGAGTACCGGGAGACCAACTACGTGACAGCTACAATTTTACCAGGGAATTTCGTATATAGAATCAAAGTATGCAGTCATTGACAGTATGTACAGCAGCAACTTTTGAGGGGTTCATCAATCATCGCCACAGTGACTGGGGTATCATCTAGTCATGGGCGTCCAAGCCATCCGTCTATCCATTAAAATCCTTTTTTTGGTTCATCATCAATCAATCATGCAGATTACAGCTGCTCCACCCAGGGGGCGGCACCAGCTTGCATCTGGTTGAGCCACTTGACGAGCTCAATGAGCTCCGCCCGGCGCTCGTCCTCCAACTGGTCCTCGTCACCGGTCAGGACGGCTTGGAAGACAGGAAGGAGGGAAGGAGTGAGCTCGCGGATGGTAGCATCCTCCCACTTGTACATCTGGCAGATCATGCGGTACAGGGGCTCATTCTCCTCGAAGTCGTTCTTCAGGGGAAGAATGTTGACAAGGGCGGGAAGAACGTCCTTGACGGGGACACTGTCGCGGTAGCGCAAGATCATGCGGCTGACGCAGCCAGTGGCGTTGTCCTGGAGACGGGAGACGTTCATCTGGAGGGAAGACTCGAGACGGCTGAGGATAGTGGGGATCTCCTTGGAGATCTCAGCCTCGGCGTTCGAGTGTTGGATCAAGCGACCAACGGCGTAGGCAGCGTTGGACTTGGTCTGGGGGTCCTCATCCGCAAGACGGTGAAGAAGAAGCTTCAGGAAGACTCCGGTGAAGGGAGTCACGGAAGCACCCATACCGTTGATGCACTCGGCAAGGACACCAACGGCAGTGGCACGCTCCAGAGACTCGGTGCTACCGGCGTAGCGGAGGATAGTCTTCTCAAAAACCTTCCAGAGCTCAGCGAAGCTCTGGCCAAGGGCAGCAGCCATGCCGGAAACAACGTCCAAGGCGGTGTCAACGACAACCCAGTCGAACTCGGAAGTCTCTTCACCGGCCTCAAGGGCCTCATCCTCAGGGCCGAACTCCACCTGGCAGATGTGCTGCTTGGTGATGATGTCGGTGACCATCGTGATGACGTTGTGAAGCATGGTCTCGTTGGAGATCAGGGCGGGACCGCAGAAGCGCAGGTTCTCGGCCATGTTGCGGTTGATATCCGCGACGGTAGAACTATTGATCAGGTCAGCAATCGAATCTCTTGAATCGATGAGTGATAAATGATCAGGCAGTAAGAAGTTTTCTCAGAGTGTAGACTTCGCCGTTTACATCAAGTGTGCTTTTTGCACATCAAAGTGAGCTGGGTTAAGCGGAAAAAATCATCATAGAAATCAAGGGCAGGTGTTGAAAGTGAAGGAAATGATAAAACATACCGGTCGTCTTCCTCGGTCCACATCTTGACAGTAGCGGTCATAAGGATCTCACCGAACTTCTGGACCTCCTTAGCAGGCTGGACCTGGAGGGGAAGGCCAGGCTGCCACTTGGCCATCTGGCCAGTCTCCTCAGCAATAGTGAAGAGCATGGCGTAAGAGCGGTGCAAAGTGCTGATAGTGCTCTTGCGAACACCTTCGTAAGGGTGCTCACAGAGGGGCATCACGTGCTCAATGGTCTTCTCGAAGTAGGGCAGGAAAGAGCTGCGGGTGTGGGTGACAAGGTCACCGATGACCTCAACAGCGATCTCCTTCTCGAGGGAGAGAGGAGTAGTGGCGGTGATGTCATCCCAATCATCCTCATCCTCCAGGTCAACATCTTCGATGTTGTCATCATCCTCATCTTCGGCGCTCGCGACCTTGACCTTGCGACCGTTGAAGGTGACTTCTTGGCCGACAAGATCCTTAGCAGCGCTGCCAAGATCGACGTCGAGGTCGGTCTCGTCCTGCTCAATGCAGTCAAAGAGACCCTTAACGACACCGTCAAGGAAGGGAGTGAAGTGCTCGCCGTAAACCTTAGCCATGGCACCCCAGAAGATGTAGGTGCTCTCCTTGAGACGAGAGTGGCCAAGGTGGAGCGCCTCCTCGGTAGCGCGCATGAGAGGCTCAACGTACTGCTGGTAACGCTCGGGACCAGCGGCAGCAGCCATCTCACCCATGGAGTCAGTGACGCTAGCGCGGAGGTCGAGCTCATCCTCGGTGTCCTTGACGGCAGCGTACTCCTGGAGAAGGTGCATAGAGTCGTCGAAGAAGGACAGGAAAGAGTCACCGGCAGATGAGGCGAGGGAGCCAAGGGCACCGGCAGCAAGAGCCTTGATCTTGAAGTCGGGGTGCTTGAAGAGGTTGTGCAGGATAGGCACGAGCTCAGCCTGGTAAGGAGCAACATCCTTCTCATCGAGACCATCAACAACAGCATCGATAGCGCTGATGCCGGCCTTGATAATATCAAGGATGGGGCCTTCCTCCTCACCCTTGTACTCTTGCATGGCACTGGCCAAGTTCTGGAACAAAAGGGGCATCAGACGAGCGTGCTCAGCGGCAAGATCCTCAACGAGGTCCTCAGCGAGACGAGCAACGGAGTGCAAGGAAGCCTGGCGGACCTTGGGATCCTGATCCGCAAGAAGCTGGAGAACCATGGGGAAGATATCCTTCATCTGAGTGCTGATGAAGTCAGGAGCACCCTCAACACACATGCCGAGAGCCATGATACCGGCGCGACGGTAGTCAGGGTTCGCGCTGTTGAAGTACTGGCCCAGAGAGTGGAGCAGAGGAACAACAACCTGGCTGGGGGGCAAGCTCTGGGAGAGGATGTCAAGGAGACCAAGAGCAGAGCGGGCAGGGGTGATATCATCATCACCGATGGCAACATCGCCGAGCTCAGTGACGATCTGAAGAGCAGTGCGGGTGAGGTCCTCACCGATGCGCATACCCTGGACCTTGAGCTTACGGTATTGGACAGTCTGCATCAAGAAGCTGATAGCTTGTGTGCGAACATCCTCATCGACATCAGTGTTGGCGGCGATCTGGTTCATAAGAATCACCAAGTCCTTGAGGTGGACGGTAAGCAGAGCAGGGTCGAAACCGAGGAGGTTCTGGAAGACCTCGAAGCACTGGAGGATGTGGTCCTCTTCGTTCTTCTCGATGGAATCCTTGAGGATGGCAACGGCAGAGGGAACGAGTTCCTGGAAAGCCTTGACGGGGGCCTCATCTTCCTCAGAGTCAAGATGGCTAGCGAGCTTGCCCAATGACATGAGAGTGTTGATGCGGACTTCGGCACTTTCGGGATCGCGGATAGTCTTGTTGAAGAGAGCGAAAAGCTCACCGAACTTCTCCTCAAAGCCTTCACCAATAGTGTCCAAGATAGTGCAGAGAATGTAGATAGCGACCGCACGCTCGGCGGCGTTACCGCTGTTGCCAGCCTGCAGGAGAATGTTGGGCAGATCAGCCCACTCGCCATCGACAAGATCAATCTTCGCAATAGCGGAGATGATCTGAGCGATGGAGTGCTGAACCATGATAGAGCTCTCGCTCATAGTAGAGCGAAGCAGCTGTTCCCGAATCTGGGGCTTCTGGTCGGCGGCAACCTTCAACCAGAGCTTGGAGACAAGGGTGCGAGACTCCACGGAAGCGAGCTGACGCAGGTTTGAATCATCGTGGGTGGTGCAAATCTGAACCAGGAAAACAAGAGCCTCGGGCTTGTTGTAGAACTCCTTCTGCAGAACTCCGGTCGCCTCCTTCAGGTTTCCCAGAGAGGCTGGTCAGACAGTTAGCAATGGCTTTGAGATGCTTTCAATGGTGTCACTTACGATCCAGAATGATCTGCAGCTGCTGCAAGAATCGCTGTTGATCCATGATGGAAGAATGTGTAGGTGTTTTTTCAACTTTCTTTTTGAGCAACCTAGGTCTCAAAGAGACTCAGGCAAAAGGAACAAAGATTGAGCAGTCTGTCTCAAGACAAACAGCTCAAATGAGGGGGTATCACAAAGCAAGTATGGACAAGGAAGAAAAGAAAAAGGAAAAGAAAGATGGAGGAAAAAAAAGGAGGGTGGTGGGGGAGAAGAAGGAAGAAGAAGAAAAAAAAAAAGTTAGGGAGTGGGTTATGTCCCGAAAGAAGACTAGCGCGGGAATGGATGTCAACACGAGGGATTTGGGCATCGAGTCTCTCATGACTTCATGTCTGTACTATCATACTGTGTGGTTGATCTCCGTTTCTATGCCAGAGCTCTCATTGCGAGTCCAATCTGGAAATTTACTAGTACAGTATAAGTACGTCTTTGTTCAACTTGAACCTCCCTGATCCCAAAGTTCCCGTCCGAAAACTCCGTCAATAATTGCTATGGGCCCAGGGGAGAACCCACCAGTAATGTGACACCGAGTGCCCGCGCAAAAAATAGAAGAAAAAAGAACCTCGCCCCTGGCGAGTAAGAACTGCTTTAACGATAAAGTAGTACTACTAGTACATACCATGGTATAATCACTGAGTGCCTCCAGGGCTGGGTATGATCCGGAGTAATGTAAAGGCCGGGGTGCGTTGACGAGGCATACTAGGCATCTGGGACCTGGATACCTACCTATGTAGCTAGGTGTTGGTGCAAGGACTGTACTTCCAAGTTATCCATGCCAGCCCAAGTGGATGATCAGTCATGGATAGGTAACGGGCTGGTTTTACATTTAAGTATGGAATTCGTTCAAGAACAGGGCAACATATAAACAGACACAATGGTAGCATTTCCTTCACATTTTCCGATGCCGGGTCTCCAAAGGTTCAAGGTTGCAGTTCCATGTACCTGCCACAGGTGCCCAGGTGAATATCCAACTTATATATTGGAATGATCTAGCTTGAGTATTCGCGTCGTACAGCCAACCACTTGACCCAAACTGTTCCCGAGGCCACTTTGGCTCGTGTTCCAAGGTATTCCCGTTGGCAGAACCTGGCCATGGGGTACATGCCTTGCGGATAAAAGGAGAGAGCATTGGAACCCTGGAAGTAAAAGAGCGGGACCAAACCTTGGAAGGTGACCAGGTGGGCTTGGAGGAAATCTTTCAAGGTCAATTATGAAGGGCTGCGATGGGAATTTGTTTTCTAGATCGTTATAACCCCGAGACCTGATTCAAATTTAGGTACATCCGTGGACATCCATGGATGTACTGTAGTTACTCCGTTTTCCCATGGCGATCATGTACTCCCACCAGTGAACCTTGGAATGGATGCGGGGCATATTGTTTCCACCCCTGAATTAACATCCAGAACCACCCAATTCCCCAAACGAGACGGTTAATATTCGTCGGAATCGTAATCATCATGAAGCAAAGAGGCACGGTAGCCACGCGAGGCAAGGTTCGCCTCAAGGCCACCGTCAGAGGCAGGGTCAAAGTAGCCTAGATAGTCAAGTCAGTCAAAGTAGCAGGGAATTCATAGAGGACACATACCACCCCCACCGAAGTAGCTGAGGGCTACTGGCAAGAAGATCAGAGCGTGGATTGCGGCAAATATCACTAGGGCGAGCCACACCCGGAAGTAGTAAATCTCAAAGATCTTGCTGCGCGTAAATGCTAGAACGCAAACCCCGAGAAGTTTGGTGACGGTGATGCCACTGAAGACACTCCCACCGACATTGACCAACGCCGTCCATGCTCGAGCGTCCTTCCCACGGAATTGGGCAGGGACCTTATCCATGGTAGGGCGGGCGGGGAACATGAAGGCGCGAGCAATGTGAGCACAGAACTCGACACCGATGCCAACGCAAATGACCAAATTGACGAGAGAGACGGCGTTCAGCGAGACACCGGCAATAGCCATGGTGCCAATGATGTCAACCACGATCATGACGACAGTGGTGGTGACCACAGCGCCAGTGGCGATCGATCCCAAAATCACGGAAGTGAGAAAGAAGATGATAGCAACGGCCGACCCAAGAAGAGTGCCAGTGAGTCGAACAATAGAGACATACTGATCGAAGAAGATGTAGAACTTGGAGTACGGGAAGACATCAATGTTGTGCTCGTGAGAGATATCGTCAGCAATGCGACGAGCTGCGATATAGGACTGGATGAAATCGTCCTGACTGTGGAGAGGTGTGTGGCTTGTGCGGAAATGGCTAGCATTGATTGTTTTGTGGGCCCCGTCAATGACCAAAGCATTGCTGTAAGGGGCCTTTCCACCCAGAGGACACGAGGCATCGGTAGGGGCATCAATCCACTTCTTGACGTAGTGGATGAACTCGGATCCTTCTGGCATTCCGGAAAGCGAGATGTTCCATGCAGGGACTCGGTCCTCAAAGCACATCTTGCCGTTTTCTCGGCAGCAATCTTGCTGTGGATTCAGCCAATAGAAGAAATCATCGATCCAGCTGGCGGCAGAGCCTGTAAGGTAAGAGACGTCGGGTCGCTTTGATTCTTGTTCAAGGATGAATGGCAGGGAGTACTCTTCGCATGTGGTGAATCGCCCGCAGAGCTGTTGCTGATGTTCTCGCTCGGTGACATTCACATGGCGGGTCACGAAATAAACCGGGGGACCCGCACCGAAATATTGATCCAAATCGTTGAAGTATTGGATCAGATACGAGTCGCTCGGAAGCGCAATACGTTGATCCAACCCGAGAGGGACCTCTGAAATGAACGCTATACCGGCGGTCAAAAGACCCAAAAAGAAGATGATAACACCAGCTTTGACACGACGATCGAGAAGGAAAGGGGCATAAATGCGGCGGATGAAGGACTGAAGAGTGCTCTCTGCTTCCTGGTCATCATATTGCTCGTCGGGGAAGCCAAATGAATTCGCCTTGCGCACAGTAAGACAAGGGATACAGTCTGCACGGAGGCTCTGTACTCGTCGTTGGTTGAGAGCGAGCACAGATATGAACATAGTGACTTGCAGAATCGCGTTGATGAAGACAGCACCAGCGGCGTATGCAGCAAAGTTCTTAACTGCGGGCATGCCAACGAACACTCCAAGAGCAAAGGCCACGGTCTCTGTCAAAGCAGACAAAAAGATACTAGGGCCAATTCGACTGACAGCTCTGGCAACTCGCTCATCAATCTCCTCATCGGGGTGGCTAATATTGACTCGCTCGAACTCGTGCACTATGAGGAAGATGTTATCAACTCCAACGGCCAGAACCAAGAAAGGAATGACCTCGGCAATGATCAATGTGACTTTGACACCGGCGGCTGAGAAAATTCCGACGGACGCGGAAACAGACATCAGAACGATGACAATGCCCACGATTCCCAGGGTGAACTTGGACTGCACCAGCGCATTGGATGGGTTGGTAAGGAGTGATCTCCAGGTAACAGTTGCCGACCCCAAGGCAATTGAGGCGTAGAAGAACATGATCAAATAGCTGATCACAATAATCTTCGCGTCTGTGTTTGTAGACTTGTTCAGTTCCTGTTCCAAACTGACTTCGGAGTTGAATGATACACGAAGGCCTCGCTGAGCAGCCTCCTCCTGGGCATTCTTGAGTAGATTTTGGAAGCTGTCCTCCCATTCCATGGCCTTGTCCTCTTCTTCAGATCCCTGGGCATGGTTATTCACTACCCAAGTCACAACGAGAGCCTTGGCATCCAGCACATTGCCGGTGTCTTCGTAGCCACCTAGGATCATCTCGGGCTTGAGTGGCTGCGAGAAATCGGGGAGACAGCTTGGGTCACCCGGGGATTCGGTACATTGCGTCAAGCGGTCTTTCCAAGTATCTGGGTCAAGATTTGAGACATCGCCCCCGAAATACCCGGTGATTGACTGCACAACGCAGGCGTCCCCGGTAGGCTTGAAACAGACATCATGTAGGTTGAGACCCCGGTCAAGAGAGATCATTCGCCTCACACTCGTCTCGACTCCGAACCACCAGACAAGGGTTTCATAATCCAAGAGCGGACGGGAATCATTTGAGGGGCGATCGTTTACCAGGAAAACCTGCTCCGCTCGGAAGAATGGACCGAAGTTTTGATCGAAAAAGTCTTTCTCCTGGGCAGCCGCAGAGGATGGACTCACCCAGAGGCGTACCGGGTCCGTTTCAACGGCAAAGCGTAGCCAGCCCAAGCTCATGAGAGCCACGACAACGACGCTTGATGAAATTGTGATGGCTGGGAACCGCGCACAAACACCACCAATTCGATGGAACAAGGCCGATAAGACCGAGTTGAGCTTATAGACCCCTTGTGGCTTCTCCATATACCCAGCGCGCCGCACAACCTCTCCTTCATCTTCGTCATCGCTCAGCGTAGGGTCTTGCAGCAGGCGCACCCGCTCTGGTTTGCGGAACCGGCGCTCTTTGTATGTGACATAGCTCGCAAGAGCCATGACAAACATCAAAAACGTCGAGTACACGATAATCACGGCAAATGACAAGCATGGCAAAAGCCCTACATGGCATGCCTTAGGAGGAGAGATGGCAGGCAACTCGGGGCAGACATCGGGGCAATCGACACAGGAACAACGGAAGTTCTTGTCTGGATCATTGCAGGCCTTTGGACTCATTGGCAGAGCCTCCATGCCTTGCGGATCGGGGCCAGTGGGCTCTGTGTGGTAGTTAATTTGGAACGGACTTCCAAGGAACTTCTTATCGCCCAAGAACTTCATAAACTGTGTGTAGTCTTTTGCGCCACCACCAATGAAGTCTATAGCTTTACCACCCGATGCACCGTTCTTGACATTTTTGCAACTGTCGTAGAATCCGCTTTGATATTCCTCAGACCAGATGTTGTCAATTTCGGTCACCAATCGCTTGCCAGAGCTGTTCTCTTCCGTTTTCGTGACATTGACAAATAACGATTGATCCGGCGAGCATGTGAATGTACAAAATATGTTGAAGAAGTTGTCTCGGCAGGCAGGACATGACGCGATGATTCCTTCGGCAAGTTTGAGGTTCCGCCCAAGCGCATCGATCTATACAGGGATGATTAGGATTTCGATGAGACAGAAGCGGCAAGTCTGTGGTGCTAGCTGGAAGATTCTTACCTGTTCATCGCGACAGCAGATCGGGCCTTCATTCCATTTGCTCCCGCACAGGTTTACCAATTTCTCGCGTACGGAGTCCTCGGGTTGCTGCGCTAGGTCGTTGTCGGGGCAGGGAAGCTCTCCACCGAAAATAGATTGCTTCCCACAATGACCACGAATGGCGCAGCGACCCTTCTCGTGGATCTTGGTCTCTCCCTGTGCTCCCGCGAGCGTGGGTGCAAGCGAGCCGAGCCCAACGACCACAGCAATGGCCCTTGGCAGTCGCATCTTGCCGAAAGAAAAAGAACCAACAGGAGCTTATTCTTCAGAGATCTCAATCGAGACGTCTGGGAGGATGATGCTCCACTAGTGGTTGATGGCCATGCACCTTTCGTTCGGTCCGTGTGGGGAAATGGGACCGGTCTGATTCAGGAGCTGGATAAAGGAGATACGACGTATGGGTTGAATTAAGAGGACAATAAATGTCGAATAAACTAGTGTCAACTTGATATCTCGAGTGGTGGTTATGGTAGAAAATGTAGAATGAAGGAGGAAAAGCAAGCTTTCGATGAGTGACGTGAAGGCGGAGACCTGGATGGCACTACATCCGTCCCCGCACGGTCGCCGTACTAACGAAATGCTGCACTAACGTAAGGCCCCGGGGTACCCGTGGACAACAACCTTGCAATGCTGACGATCCCAGGGGACTTCGTGGCTCTAATCACATTCTGCTCGTCTTGGCACTTGAAAGCCCAAGGATCAGATATGTGACTTGAGCACGGAGTACTCTATACTATACTAGTACTCCGCAGGCACGAGCAATTACTACGGCCTGATTTACACCGGGGTTGCGCACATCCATACAGTCAATACACATGTCAGCCCAAGAGAATGTTTCATTTTGGGATACTTGTTGTTATTTTATTCAGAGATAAAGTATGAAATGCGGACATAGTAGGCTCCGTACATCTGAATCCAAGTCATAGCGCGTTCTATGAACAAGAACACCGAGGCTCTAGATAAAGAGACAGATATGGATGTAGTATCTGCATCGCCAATCATTCAGTCAGCGATGAGAACAAATGTGAAGAGTGAAAACAACCGAGAGGTATCAATGAAGGAAAATGCGAGAAAATGACATAGCCATTGCCCTGATCGAGGACATCACAATCGGGCTTGACGACCTGATTGCAGCCTAGTAGCCTTCATCTTCCACTTGTTGGTAAATGTGACGAGACCGAGTGGGATCCTTGCGCATGGTTTGACCGGAGCCCGTGAAACCGACTAATTTAAGAAGAAGTTAGCCTTGTCATTTGAGTTCCATGGCAACGCCTATAACATACCTCGTGCATTGACACCTTCACCGGTTCTGAACATGCTTTCCTTCTTGCCGAATTTGCCTTTGCCCTTGGCCTTGGCCGAAAAGTCCTGCCACTTATTCTTGCCTTCCTCCAGCTCCTTTTTCGCCTTCACTTTGCGAGGAACCTTGGGTGGTCGAGGAGGTCCATCACTAGCCAGGCTTGGTTCATTGCGAGCCTGAGTAGCCAGCGCGGGGTTAATGTCTGCTGCGGCGGAGATCACACCGGGGGGCGCGGGCGAGGGAGACGCCGAACTGCCTGGGTTTCCATCAGCCTTGCGCTTGCGTGAGTCAGATCCGGAAATGGGTCGGAGGTCCTTGGCTGTCAGGTTTTCCACTGTCGAATATGACTTGAATGACACCAGATACATTGGGTTGGCCGATGAGCCCGTTATGGAGGTAACCTTGGCCGGGTAGAAGGCATTGTCGCCAGAAACCCATCGCGCGAGGACATTATCGTTGACCGCGAATGAAGCGGGGGCTGCAGGTGTGGGGGCTTCATCCTTATCGGCCTTTTGGAAGCTGTTATTCTTGAAACGGCCATCCTTAGGCGCTTTCTTTTGAGCTGCAGCTTGTGCGGCCTTTTGTTCGGCGATAGCGATTTCAGACAGGCTGATCAGTTCTCCGATCTCAGACAGGAGGGCCGCAAGCTCTGTATTATCGGGGTCACTCTGTAGGCCGGCCTGACATGTGTCATACTGTATGCATGTTAGTGGCGACATCACGCGTGAGGGTATTGATGGCGAACCTGATCCCTGAACTCCTTCAGCTCTTCTTCCTGAGTAGCAATGTCAGCCATGGTGTAAGCAGGGTTGACTTATGCACGCGCAAAGGTGGTAGATGTAGATTCCCAGACGCGTGGTGTTGATCGGGGAATGACATCGGAGATCGAAGATGCCGCAAATTCATACTGCCGTTCGCGGGTAGTCACGTGTTTCTTCACCGCCCATAAGCATCTAAATGGCCATCCATGGATGGGCTCTATGGGGCGAATGTACTGTTTCCAAGGTTCCCGAGGTTATTTCCACGGTCGTTGTGAAGTGCTTGGTTGTCTATATACATAGGTGGCCAGGGAACGATGAGATATACTCGAATTTCCTAGTATCATCAGAATAAATCACCACTGGCACATGGATGGTGTGCTGTATGCATGTTGTACCGCCTGGGTGCACACTTCCCTGCCTTATACCTAGGTATATCATAGTACTACCTAGCATATACTACTGGTAGTAATAGTGTATGCAGCATTGCCGGGTTAGGGATATGACAAGGACAAAAGTCCAAACCCAGTACTCCGTACGGAGTAATCCACTTTGGATCGGCGTGATATGCGATATGCAGGCTAAAACGGGGCCTAGTTACCCCGGAGCCCGTCTTAAGCGGACGAACAATGTCTACTGCCAGATTCCCCAACTCCAAGTCCGCATTTGGCCAGCGGTAGTAACGTCATCGAATGGTCTGATATCTAGCACATCTCGGACCGGGGACCACAACGTGGGGCCCCGAAAGTCGGAGAGCTACTCGTATAATGAACGGTGTAGTTTAGTACCTAGTGAGTCATCTGCAGAAATAAAATAAAAAATTATGTAGTACTCTGTAGAAACCTTAAACTAGGCAAAGATCCACACGAGGAGGGAAAAAAAAAGACCTGAAGAAGCATGGAGAGCCAATCATGATGGTCAAAGTGGGAGCCAGAAAGTAGAAGAGAAAAAAAAAAAATGCCGGCCAAGGAGATTCTAGAAGCAACCCTCTTATAATCCGTAGAATGGTACTCTGCGAACCCTGAAGGGGCTTTGGTCGGGCCGCGAAGTACATTTCTAAGCAACGAAACCGGCAAAATAATCTGTCCGAAACGCCGCGATCTGCATCCAATCATTATCGCAGGATAATCACCGCCTGTCTGTGATCGCCTCCCCCCCTCCTCCAGTCATACACTCTCTTTCATCATTTCTCTTAATTAACTCACTTGGCCTTTGTTTCGATTTCGGTCTGCCTGGCTGCGGTTTAGTCCATCGTGCAACCGGGTTGAGCCACATTATACCGCAATTTGACTAGTGGGCTTTTGGATTCTCGCCTCAGGCCCCTCTTGCGAGCCTCTTGTAACCTTTCTTCCCCCTCCTTCTACATCACCTTGACTTTCATACTATACATCCGGGCTCCCGGTCCCTCGTACTAACCAATTGTATCACTGGGATCCTGTGACTGGCCATCCTTGACTTGTCAAGCTTACGTCCATCACTCACCGTTTCCATACCTCGATATTTGTCACGGGCCTGAAGGCCCGTCTGATTGCGTTTGTTGAAATCGATCTGATCTCGTTGCATCTCCGATATTTTTTTGCCGCTACCCTCTCGCTTCTTTTGGATCGGATTCCATCATGGGTGACTACGAGCAACGATACCAGCAGGGTCTCTACCTGTCTCCAAACCAACAAGATCTTCTCCTTGCTGCTCTGTCTTCCAACAACCCAAACGCGAAACGACAGAATGGCACTCCTCCAATCAAAACCGACCAAAGTCCCGATCAGTCTTTGAACAGCCTCAGTGCCCCGCCATCGGGGGGCTTCGATAACGGTCACAATTTTGGATATGGAGAGAACGATAGCCCTTACTTGGATTTCCCACCCGATTTGGACTTCGAATTTCCCGGCTCTGCAGACCTGATTGGGGATCTACCAGGTTCGACATACGATATCGGAGAAAAGCGGAAGTCTCTGGACGGAAAGTCAGACATCGAAAGCGAGGAGACTGGGAAGAAACGCAGGGAAAGCGAGGCTAAAAAGCCCGGCAGAAAGCCACTCACTTCAGAGCCGACTACAGTATGCGCCTCTCGAATGTGTTCTGTGGCACTGAGCCATGAGCTGACCTGTTTAACAGAAGCGTAAGGCCCAAAATCGGGCTGCCCAGCGGGCATTCCGTGAGCGCAAGGAGAAACATTTGAAGGATTTGGAAGACACAGTCGAGTCACTGCAGCAGAGATCGGACACAGCCGACCAGGAGAATGGCCTGCTGCGTGCTCAAGTTGAGCGATTGCAGGTTGAGCTTCGCGAATATCGGAAGCGTCTTTCATGGTTGGCTTCGGGGTCTGGCAATGGAATGTCGGCCTTGAGCTCGAGCTCCATCCCAAATGCTCACTCCAAGGGAGCTTATGGGCTTCAGAACAACGATTTCCTGTTCGATTTCCCCAAGTTTGGTGACCTGCCTGGTGGCCACCTCTTCAGCGGCCAGGCCAAGAATGACCAATCAAAGCCCAACGATAGCCCCCGACCCCCTGGCGTCTTGGCTCGTCACAACTCGAACGGCCCTTCATCGCGATCCAACTCCGCTGGAGCAGGCTATGCTAGGTCAGACAACTCGAAGTCCTATAGCACTCCCAACAGCGCCACCTCTGCCAAGGCACCGGATTCTGGGTACAGGTCTTCCACGCACACACATGATAATTCGACTTCGCAGGATTCACCATCCTCTTCCTCCGACTCTCACCAAAGCCAGTTGCTATCGTCCAATGGGACTTCTCCGGAGCCAAGCCTTAGCTCACCGGCTGGAAAATACCGCGAGCTAGGACCTGGTGACGCCTGCGGCGGCCACATCACTACTGATGGTGAAAAGTCTTTCTGCGAGCAACTCGGCATGGCCTGCGGCAACATTCGAAACCCCATCCCCGCGGTTCGGGACGGAAAATCACAGAGTGTTTCAAGCAACCAGCCTACGCCAACCGATAATGTTGCTGCTGGTGATGATTCCCAGGATCTTGGAATCGATTGGCTGGCTCACCAGAATGGAGGTCAATTTGATCCAGTGCTCTTTGGTGACTGGCGAGAGCCTCAAGATGCCGTTCTGTCTCAGGACTTTGGCTCTTTCTTCAATGATGCATTCCCATTGCCGGACCTTGGCAGTCCATCTCACAACCTGAGCGAGGCCGCCACCGATGCCCAGCCCAAGAAGAACCTCATTGCTCAGATTGACCACAAGGCGGAGGAGGACGAGGTTGTCCCCGGTGAGGATCAGTCGCAGATGCTGTCGTGCACAAAGATCTGGTATGCTTACTTTTACTCGCAAACTCACCTCGCACAAACTGACCTTTTACTTTTTAGGGATCGCCTTCAATCGATGGAAAGATTCCGCAACGGCGAGATTGACGTCGACAATCTTTGCTCCGAACTCCGCACCAAGGCACGCTGCTCCGAGGGAGGTGTTGTCGTCAACCAGAACGACGTTGACGACATCATGGGCCGGGCCAAATAGTCATTACTTACGACCGATGCCTTACCTCGCCCCAGGCTCATTTCACGATTCACGGACTCCATTCATCTTTGCGCTTTTGTTTATTACGCATACCCACCATCGATATGTCATTTATGGAAGGACTTCTGCTCGGCGTCATCAAGACAACTCGGATACAAAGAGGCCACACAACCACAACCGGCAAAGGAGACAGCTCTCCTAAGATATACCGTTTAACAGAAACGAATTTCTCCGACGGAGAAAAAAAACAAAAAAAAAAAAAAAAAAAAACCCCAAAACATGTCATGTTCATAATGGCCATCACTCTTTTCCGGGAGGACATCATCTTGACTTTCCACTTTCTTTTACCAATCTTCTCTTTCTATGCTGTGTCTGAATGATTTAAAGTTGCGACTTAATTCCTTTTCATTGTTTTTCAACGCACTAAGCTTGGCGAATGGAGATCGACCATATGGTGGTCGGATACTTAAACACGGTATGGGAAGGCCGACTGGAACTTGCGCGACAGGATGACTTGCACTGTTTAGCAATGTCTGTAAACTCTTATTGTTATCTTTATTTGTATACAATTCACATCTCGAAGTTTTCTCAACGCATAATTAATGATATGAGCGCATACAATGTATATCAATTGATCTTCAAGGTTCCAACCTTGGAAGGTTGCGACATACCTACATAGGTACTACTGCCCAGGTGTCGCCCTGCCCACGGGTGCCAAATTCGACTTGCAGTCATGGATCAAACACAATCTGGTGTAGGGATAATACGCAGTCTACAGGATCCGAAAGAATGAGACGAAGCTGTAAGGGTATCGATATGGTGTCCACGTAAAAAAAACTAAAGTACACAAAATGAAAGGGGGTAATCTTTTGGTTTTTTCTTTCTTGCGATGTCCTCTGCATCTTGTCTGCCTTCAACGAATACTCCCCAAGGGTTCACCATAAGCCTCAAATCCGAAGTCCAGATGAGCACAAAGATTTGTCCTGCGATCCTGCCATGCCATGCATCAGGTGAAGCAAATCCAGTGTGACCGAACTCCATAAATGAAAAAAGAAAAAGAAAAGTTGAGGCAGATGACGAGATAATAGAAGACACAAAGAATTAGAGTATCAAGGGGTGAACGTGGGATGGGTGAAATCAAGGCCGTCGAAAATGTGCGAGAGCCGGAAAAATATGAGACGAAGAAAATCCAGTGTCACCAATTAGGCGTCACCAGAGGCAGCAGGCTTCTCAGAAGGGGCAGGGGAATCAGCTGAGCCACCGCTCTTGAAACCACCGCGACCACCACCGCGTCCGCCACGACCGCGCTCACCACCACCACGGCCACGGCCGCCGCGACCGCCGAATCCACCACGACGAGCGCCTTCGCTGTCACTGGCGCTGGTGTATCCGCGCTGGCCGGTATTGCCACCACCGCGGGTGCTAGCTTGCCAGGTGCCAGCGTTACCAACTCCACGGTTAGTGTTGGTACGCTCTTCGAAGTACTTGAAGTTGGTCTTGCGGGGTTGGCCGGGAATGGCAGCCTTCTTGTTCTCGGCGGGCAAACGATCCATAGCACCCTTAGCATCCTCAATAGAAGCGAAGGTCACAATGTGATTGTACTTTCCGTACTTATCGATCTTCAGGACCTTGGAGTTGTCCTCTTCCGTAAGAATATCGCGGATGGATTGCTCGTTATCGGCGTTAGAGACGAAGAAAGCAGTGCTTGGCTTCTTCTCACGAGGAGCAGGAGATTCGGTCTTCTCGTGCGGACCAGTACCGTTGGTATCGGCGGCAACCTTTTCTTCACCGGCGGGTGGACCGGCAGCAGTAGCAGGAAGCGCCGGGCTAGCGGACTTTGGGATGACGGGAATAGGCGATGCGCGGGGTCCCTTTTGACCCTGGGGGATGGGGGCGCGGGCAGGTGGAGCTTGACCAAATTGAGGAGCCACGACGGGGGGACGAGCAGCACCAGTAGGAGCAGGAGAAGCAGTGGTAGCTGGAAGACCGCTGGACACAGGCTGAGGGGCACCACCTGGCTGGGGCTTGCCCGTGCGGTGGGCAAAGTTGAATCCCTGAGCCCGCATCTCTGTTGCAATGCGGCCACCCTCCACCTCCAAGACCAGATATCCGAAAGCAGCGTCAGCCAGGTTGAAGTTCCACATGTTCTTGAAAGCACTTTCGTCGACCTGACCGGCCGCGTTGCCGGCGGCAACGGGGCCACCGAAGGGGTTTCCACCATTGGCGATGGAAGGCATCTTGGTCACAACATCCAACGCATTTTCCAACAATGTCTTTTGTCCATCATTAGAAGAGATGGCAGACTCGACCTCGCCACGAACAGTCTCCCACACATCAGTGAAGGAAGCCTTAGAGGCAGCAAGCTTGCCACGGTAGTGGTCAAGAGATGGGTTGACGGAGAACTCGTTGTATGAAGAGCCGTAACGGAAGTGGAGACCCGCAGAGACCGAGAAATCAGCCTTCAATGTGACTGAGAGCTGGTTCAGCATACCCTCACGCGCGGGAGATGCATGGGTGACGAAGACGCGGGTTTCGGAGGGGTCATAAACCCGATTGGCGGTATCGATCAGCTCGCCCATCTGCAGGAGAGTCGTCCACATGGTACCCTGGCCACCGGCGATCGTCGTCTTTCCTTCACCATTATCGAATAGCTTGTGCATCACCACAGCACCTCCAAGACCCAGCAAACGCAGTTTAACCCCACCGATATCGAGAAGACGTGAGTTGGCTTCGTCGATAATGTGCAGCTTGTCCACCTTGTACTCTCCGGAGCGGAACTTCTCTAACACGCGGACATCTTCGCAGGCACCCCAGACTGTGTAAACCGGAACATCAAGAGTAATGCGCTTGTCAAGTAGCATAGAAAGTTCGGAGAGGGGCAGTTGCTCGGGAGCGAAGCGTTGCTTAATGGATTGCTGGGGAGGGACTTGTGCGATGGAGCGCTTCACATTCTCGGGAAGCAGTGGCGAGTATTGTGCGACGTGCTTAAGAGTCCTAAACGAAGATCACAGGTTAGTGAAAACTGCCTTGGAGACTTCGGTGCCCGGTGAGACAAAGTCGCGTTGGGCAGCAAAGACGCGCCGGGGTGGTGAAAAGGTGCACTCACTTATCCGCAATTCGCTCGAGAGAAGTGTCGTCGTAGAAGCCAAAGTCACCAGTGTGGATGATGTGGTCTGCGCGGGCTTGCTTGGCCAGCTCATTCAGAGACTTCAGGTTTCCTGTGAAACGGACGCGGTTAGCATACACAGACCAGTGAAGCTGACACCAGAAGATCCGTACCTCGCACATCCGCAATGCATAGAATTCGAGTAGGTCCATTCTGAATCACTCGGCCATTGTTAGGAAGAAGCGGCGTGGCACCGGGGACGGGGCCCGCGGCCGCACCGTTCTGCAGAGGATATCCTTGAGGACCGAAGTTGGGGCGGGGCTGTGAATAACACAAAAGTGGTAACGTTAGCCTGGTATTCAGTGTAATGACAACATATGGTTATCTGGCGCATCCACAGCTTGGGCAAAAGCGATGGGAGACAATCAGGGAGCAACTTACAGAAGCCATGGAGGTGTCTGGAATTTGGTCGAGGATGGTGGAGGAGATGGAGAAAAGAGATCGAGGGAGATGAATGAGATATTAAGGAGGGGCGGTAAGACCAGGAAGGAAAAAGGAGAAAGATGACCGAGATGAGAACGAAGAATCGCTCTTTCCTGGCGATGAAGCAACAGGCGTGACATACTTATGTAAGCGATGTGGCCCCTGGCCCCACACTCTATACTCTTCACTCTGCTCTTGATTACTTTTTGACTATTCAATCTATTTGATATTTGAAGTAGATCTGATATATTGGATGAACTTGAGACCTGATTTGATCGAAAATACTTCGCGCTTCTCAGTTACGGTCTTCCTTGGTGACCAGAGGAGCATGGCCGTAAGACATACCGCCACAGATGTTCTCCGTGTAGCTAACTAGTGTTCAATATGGTATCTGAAGGGATCCCCAGAAGAGGCCCGAAAAGTTAATCTCTCACTGAGAAACACTCGAAAATGGTTGATGGGAGACAGGGAAGCATCCAAAACGACCTTGAGATTGTGGGTCCTAGCAGTTAAAAGATAGATCAATTTCATTTCAGATCCCGGCTAGAGCTTGGGGGAAATGGGTACGTCAAATACGTGGTACAAGCTGGCTTAGTCTAGGAATAAAGCTTGTAGTGACCTTTCGTGGATACTCAGAGTTCAGTCTTGTAGAAAAGTCTTGCGTTGCAACAATGTGCAAGTTTAGGTAGCATCATACGACCGTGTCAAGGAAACACAAGGTCAGTCCCAAGCACAGAAGAAACCAATGTACCATCTGTCAATTGCGGACAGATATCAAAGCTCCTCTGTATGCTTTCCAGTCAGGGGATGCAATTTGTCTCCATGCCCCAAGGATTCCGACCCAACCCCACGGCAACAAGATATAGATCCCATAGACCGTGGCCCCGCAAGCGCAAGAAGAGCAAAGTGACCTCCAACAGTAGGGCGTGCTCGACACAAGATAGGAACCCCGGGCTCATTGCCATGTTCTGAACTTGCAACGTACCGGTCAGAGAATGGCCAGTTGTGTTTTCCATTGGTCATAAAGGCCCAGAGGTCTTCGACAAACTCGTCCCGCGTGCTCGTCTCGAAAGTTCCAGCCAACCACATATTCCAGTCTGATTTGGCCCAATCTTGGCGATTGTCAAGTGGAACGCCATAATCGCCACGCACGGTTCTAAAGAAGTCACTTCCCATTCGATAAGCAGCGTCGGGGAATGTTTTCAAGCCCAGCAGGACATCAGGGAACATATTGTATGGTGTTTTCCAGGTTTCTGGCCAGTCAGGGTATTGCAGCGCAAAGTGCGTCTGATTGAGATCAGTTCCTAAGCCTTGTTGGAATATGATGCTGGCATGCTCGTCCCCAATGAGGGAATAATAGTTTTCCCCCCTCATCTGTCCAAAAGCTTTGATGCCAACTGCAGCCTTGATTGCAAGGTTTGTCTCATTTGTGAGAGGACCAGCTGCATCATTGGATGACAGTTGATTGGCGATGTCAATGCCATTTTCTACCAAATAGTCGGCATACCCCCGGAAGATGTTAGTGTACCGTGACGTCCAGTTTGTGTCACCTATTGCGTGAGAGTATGTGGCAGCTAGAATAAGCAAGTTACCGGATTCCTCGATAGGCATAGGCTCAGCCTTTTGATCATCATGGCCGATAGCGTGAGGATAATGAGTACCGATATCGTGGATTGTATATGGCAAATGCCAACGACCAGCAGCAAGATATTTCATCGCGGGCTCCAAAAGCAGACGAATGTAGTCCGGATCCATGACATAGAATATAGGAAAAGCGGGCATAATCACATCGATGGTATTAACATTCCCGTCGCTAGAAAGCTCTTTGATGAAAGCTAACACGTCGTCCGTGTCAAGTGAGCCATTGGGAATAGTCAAATCAATGCCTCCATACACTTGCCGTGTTGACAGAGCAAGGATATCAGCGTACTTGGAGCCCGCAGCGGCCGCAGATGAAGTGGTGAGCTCCTGGTCCAGCTTCAGAGACTCCAGCAAGGCATTAGCGTAGTCATCCAAGAAGAACGAAAGTGCGCTCGACGTAGTCGGATACTTTGCTCGATAGTAACCCGTATATGGTTGTCCCAAGTAATTAATTGCGGCCTCTCTTTCGTACCCGACTGCGAAGTTCACAGAAAGCCCTCCTGTGACTTCACCGAGATCGTGAGCGAGTGCGACCACATTCCCACCACTCCAGCTCCCTTCACCGGAAAGCTTGCCTTCTTCAATAAAATTTCGCCTGACGTCTTCTGGGCTGCCCGAATGAGCGGACAAAGTCGTGAAGTTCGACGGCCGGGAGGCAAAGATGGCCGATCCCCAAAGCGCCATGTCATCGGCCTCTTCGTACAGTGTCGCATCTCCAACTGTAAGAGAATAAAAAGCGAGACCGTCATTTTCTTCAAATTCACACTCTGAGCGACTCTCTCGACCAGTCCATCTGGCATCAATATCAGAATAAACTTGGATGTCATAGCCGTGCGAACCAGACACAAGTACTGTCAAATAACCTGCGAGCCAGATCAACAAACTGTGCAGAGTCGCATACTCGTCACGACCTACTGAAAGGAAGCGACTGCCTCAAATAATCCGAGGGCGAAACTGGCGACAAGAAGTCCAATGTGACCGCAACAGGTCCGGCGACAAGATCAAAGATCGTATGAGTAGCCGTGAACTCCGCACGTCGTACCTCGGCAGGGCGAATGAATTTACCGTCGGTGTCAGGCATGCCCATCAGACTGTACGCCTGTCCATTGACACGGATAATCACAGACCATCCCAATTTTTGGCCCGCCCAGAACTGAGGCTCGGAAAATGGCAGCTGAGGGACTTGGTCGCTGGGCATCCATGCTGATAGGTAGGGATTGCGAACTGCTAATGGATAAGAGGGTGGAAGTACGGGATGGTGCGTAATAGAGGATGACTCTCTGCCGAAGAGCTGGAGTAATGATGCAAAGAGGGAACCTACTCCCAGGCTGCCTAGACCGAGCATTTGGTGACTCGTATATTAAGAGGTGAGTAAGTGTGTCTGTATGCCCAGGTGCGATGGTATGCGTGGATCAATGGGATGTATTGCTCATCGCAAGGTTGGAAGTTGTCAGAAAACAAAAACAGCCGTGAAGATTATCAGATGGCCCCCTTCGCCGATCATTCACGTCATTAGTACCCACTGCTCTACAACACCGGCGCTCAGACAATGAGGGGGTCAATTGTTGTTTTTGTCCTCGCAATACTTTATTGGATTCAATTCATATACGCCATTTCTGCTGTTAAAAGACCATTATCTGGCAGTGAACATAAATACTATAGTTAACCTTGGAACCTTGGAAGTGTTCTGCGCAGTCGTGAATAATCATAGTATTGATCTATTTGTTTCCATATATTGATTTTATAAAGCCTACAGCTGGGCCTTCTCGATGCGTCGACCAATCTCATCGAAATGGATCTGCTTTCCTGAAACCAGGGCCTCCTGGAGGTAAGAACCAATCTCAACCGCCTTGACAGCGTTGGTCAGCTTCATGGGAAGAGGTGTGTTGTCCAGACAGGCAGCAGTGAAGTCGTTCGCCTCCTGCACGAAAGCAGGACTGAAACGACCCATGAAGTTGTGGGGAATTTCGCGGGTGATGCCACCGTTGTGGTAGAGGTTCACAAAGTTGCGCTGTGGGTTTCCGTTGACAGTCAACTTGCCCTCGGTGCCAATGATCTCAGTGGTGTCTTCTTGACCGGCGGCCATCATCCGCGAGCAGTAGTAGTACGCGATCTTGCCGTTCCAGAATTCCACAATGCCCACGGCATTGTCGTAGTCGTTGTATTTCTTGAGCTCTGGCTGCACGGCGGTGATACCATGGGCGGAGATGCTCTTGGGAAGAATTTCATCTCCGAAGAACCAGAGACTGAGATCAATGTCGTGGACTGACATGTCGACAAACACACCACCAGACCAGGCAGCGTAATCGACGTAGAAGCCGGAAGGGTCGAATTTGTCGCAGGTCTGACTGCGGATAATGGCTGGACGTCCGATGAGGCCCTGCTCCATCTTCGAATAGGCATCGCGGTACGAGTCGTCGAAACGTCGGGAGAAACCGCACATCACCTTCAAGTGAGGCTTCTTCTTAGCGGCATTGACCACGTCTCGGCACTAAATCCAACATTGTAAGCATTGTTTTCATGGTAATAGCCTGGGCATGGCGTTCATACCACTTGGACGTCCGTGGACAGGGGCTTTTCGCAGAGCACATGAAGATCTGACTCAATGGCCTTGATAGCTTCTTCCGCATGAACAGAGGTAGCCGTGCCAATAGCGACAGCCTGCAGACCGGGATGCTTGAGCATCTCATCGTAGTCGGTGTACAGAGTCACACCGTGGGGCTCCAGGTTCACTCTTCCCCAGGCAATTTCCCCGGCATCGGGGGTGAAGGCCGCGACAAGCTCAGCGCGAGGGGTCTTTTGGAGGAAGTTGATGGCATGGAGCTTGCCAACACGACCAAGGCCGGCCATGCCGACTTGAAGCTTTTGAACGGGCATTTTGGATGTGGAATTGAAAGACACTTGTGATTCTCTGGATTGATTGCTGGGCCCTCAGGAGGGTTTAAATATGCGAGCAGGCAGTCTCGCCTGCATCTTCACGATGGCCATGAAGCTCAAAGGCAAAAATTCCCGTACATGCAAGTTGTGGGTTGGACGGAGAGAATGTCCTGTTGGGACGGAAAAGGAAAAGACTGGGGAACGGGGGATCGGCTCTTCCCCGCACTCCACGGAGAGAATTTCCCCTCGACACACAACTGGAATGTCAGGAAGAAGAAGTCGTCTGCGGGCAGGCTGGTAAGTTTCTCCGTGCATCTCGAGATCGCCGCTAATTGAATTCAGCCAACGATGTCGAGGTATGTTGCGCCCCCCAATAGAATTGACCAATGGCTGATTGCGCAGTGCGGCATCTCAAATGTAAGTCCGCCGAGCATCACCCGAAGAAAGACACCTCACCGAAAAAGGCGATGAGAACGAGTCGGGATGCGGGCTTTGTCAACAGGCTGGTATCGCATGCGACCGAAGCAACATCCGATTCCGCAATGGTCTTTCTGTCCCCAAAGAGCCCAGGCTTGCGTTTCCCGAACTAGACTCTTGGCCCCAAGTGTTCGGCAGAGGTTGGATCTGAGATCCTTTTCGACTAGAAGCTGGCTCTGACCATCTACCCTAGTGCGATTTCACGATGAAACTGCCGATATCACAAATCTGTATTCCGTGGAAGGCCATTCGGCTTTCATAGACGAAACACCCGACAATGTCGGTGCTTTGCTGGCGGATAAAGGCGTAGCCAATGAGCCCGATCAACATCAAAATATTGCAGCAAGTCACTCACCATCTACTGCGTCGTCTTCTCTATCTACCCAATTAAGATCATCTAGAGTCAGACACCCTCTATCTGAAAGGGAAGCCATCTTGATGAGAAATTTTGTCGAGAACATGGCATTATGGGTGTGTATCACGGCATCTCTGTCCTAATATCAGTTACTGAATCAATGTCTAGGCTGATATAACAGATCCTCAGCGGCATTTTGAGACAGAAGTCTCCGTCCGAGCCTTCAAGGAGCCAGTCTTACGTTACGCTATATTCGCCTTTTCTTCCCGCCACATGAACCGGAAAGACAACAGCGATGCAACTGAGGCACTTCAGCATCACAATTGTTGCGTTCAGTTGCTGATACCGGCGCTTTCCGGACCTCGCGATAGTATTACGGAGGACATACTCGCTGCAGTGGCCATTCTCCGCCAGCATGAGGAGATGGATGGTGAGGCATTAATATCAATCAAAGATGGGAAACCAAGTTGACGATATCCAGGGGAGGACAACCTTTTCCACCTGACCGGTACAACCCATATTCTCAACACGGTATCCACGTTTGGATCCTCGGGTGGTCTGGGGGAGGCTGCAGCCTGGCTTTGTCTGCGCCAGGATATCTACATCTCGCTGACCAACCAACAACCCCTGCGAACTAATCTGCACAGTTTCCACCATTCGGACGTATTTCAAAGAACCGATGACTTTGCATGGTCGAGCCGAATGGTCTTCCTACTCGCAAAAGTTGTCCAGAGCGCTTTTACCGACTCCGCCCTGGCACACGGCGTCCAGCAAGAGATAGAGGAGTGGAATTCTAACAAACCCGACACCTTTCATCCCGTTCGATCGGCTCCGCGAGGTCCAGAACTGGACCGGCGCTTCCCGACGATTTGGATGTTGCTACCCGTGCACGGTACAATACACCCGTCCACCCCCCCCCCCCCCGAGCATACGCAGACTGACATGAGCCCCGACACCCGACAGTCATTGGCATCCAATACTATCACATTGCCAAGATACTCTTGGCGCTCTCCGAGGCACCGCGGGCGCATTCAGCCTATGAGAGCTTGCGCCACTCTCGGCTAGTGGAGGTTCGTTGAACAGCCCCCGTCTTCAATGCCCCGCAATTCAAGCCGCTCACACGACCTAGAAACATGTTCGCCATCACCTGCTCACGGTGCTGGGGCTGGCGCAGTCAAACAGTAAAGCCGAGAACACGTTGTTTACTGCACGACATAGCCTAGTGGCATGTGAGTTGTCGATGATCCCCCGGGTTTAGGTTGGGCAATGTATTAACTTGGCAGGGGGTTGGGTCCTTCGGGATCCCCTGGATCAAAGCGCCGCCGAGTTACTATTGCAAGCCATGGATGCAAGGACAGGATGGAATATGGACACATTAATTCAGTCTTTGCGCGCGCAATGGCAGGAGATGGAGGGGGACAACTGAATGTCCATTGACATTTCGTCCGTTGTACTACGGGATTGCCGAGAGAGCCAGCCCTGGAGCCGAGCGCGATTAGGCGAGGCACATGACATGAAAGCAAAAAACAAAAGATGCAAAGACAGGCGAGCAGAAATGCAAAGGGGAGCATAGCGATCCCTATGTCATAGGGGAAATGGACTACGTAGGCCCGCCCCACCACTTCCTCATTCGGTGCCGGGCCCCTGGAGATCGTCATTGCATTGTACTGAGAACCTATATGTGCTGGTCTTCGCAGCTGTCTACTCTGATTCCATTCTGGATACAACCAGCATTCACGGTTATATTCTGTACTCCCTACTGTACAGTCTGTACGAGTCCACCCGCACGTCACGCTAGCACAAGCGGGACCCTCTTCCCCAGACTTTTGGATTAGCGTATCACGCGCGACTTTTTGCCTTTCGAATTCCATAAAGTCGCACTTCTGAGGACTTTCCACTTCTCATTCCATACCCGTGGACTATATACCATGGAGAGCCAACGGATCGCAAAGGAGCGCGAAAGCATAGCTTACGCACCAGTTCCACTGTCCGAACCCTACGATATGCTCTACGCTATTCCCTTTCCCGACACTTCGTCCAAATCCGCAGCTCCCGTTCCACCCTCCTACAACGACGTCAGCGGACCTGTCGTCATCGACAAGGACGGGAAACCACAGTTCCTCACGCCAGAGCAAGAAGTCGAGCGTGAACAACGACTGCAAACCGCCGTCCGTGAGAAGATGCTGGGGTTACCACGGACAACAACGTTTGAGTGGCACTCAGGCCCTTCGACGGAAGAAATACAGCTACCACCCTACACACCGAAAGAGAAGGACTGTTAACTACATGATCTTGCATTCTGGACTTTGGATTTGGGAGTTTGGGAATTGCGTTGGATTGCTTTTTGGACTGTTGAATACCCACCGTACACGGAATGTGTACGCCGCCTGAGGCAGAATTGTAGCGTGTACTATTGTCAATGCATCGAGCTCGCCTGTTGATTTTTTGGAAAAAGTGGTCGTAACTACCTAAATTTTTGTACAATGCGTATATACACTAGCTGCGGAAGAGTCTCAGGCCGCCTTCTTCGCGATCGACATCCTCCTCGTCACTGCCACTGTCATCCCCTTCGCCCAGGAGACCACTGGCAGATCGGCCAAGCAAGGAGGCGAAGAGTTCGTCGCGTGCGCGCATGCTCCACGACCCACGGTCTTCGGGGGCCATGAAGTTCTGCAGTTTCTCATGCACGGTGTACTTCATCTTGCGGCCCTTGGACGCACGGGTATCAATATCTCGCTTCACCTTGTCGTTGCGCATTCCAGTCACCGGGTGGATGGGCAGACGGGTGGGCAATTGGTGGAGGTTGTCAAAGCCACTGCTTGCGCCGTCGGATCCAGCCATGCGCTGCTCGACCAGATCGCGAAGAAGGGACTGGTAGAACAGGCTGTCGTCGAAGAAGGAGTCGGGCTGGTCGGCGCGTGAGCGCTTGGAGGGTCGTTCACCGACTTCCGATGCGACCTGGGCGTCTAGGACGGCTGTGATGGTTTGTTGGCGACTGGCGGATCCGAGCAATTTACCCCTGTTGTTAGGGAGGGCGGCGGAACTGCCCCGAACCTTGGAGGACCACTTGTCGAGAATGGAACGACGGTGAGGAAGGGATTCGGATTCCACTTCATTCATACGCTCCCACAGGGAGGCAGTAGGGGTAGTGGGAGAGACAGGGGAAGGTCGCTTGCGCTTTTTGCTTCCTTCTTTCGCAGTAGCGTCCGCTAGGGCAGTGCGCAATTCCTCAAGAGTAGACCATAAGGCCATTGCTGCCGTCTCAGCGGACTTGATTGCTTCTTCATCGACCTCTTCCTGATCGGCCGCATTCTCTCCCTCGTTGTTCGCCCCCAAGACAGCGTGAATACCATTCACAGACGTCAATCCGCTCTGCAGCTTTATACGGGCGTTCAGAAGGGCATCGAAAGTGGTACGTTGTTGCTTAACAGCTTTTCCCTTGGTGGCATCGGCCTTGGCCGCGGAGGAGATGGTCGCAGCAATGGTTTTCTGATCCGTCGCCATTAGTCTTCGAATCTCGTCACGATCTCCGGAAGCCTCGCCATGTTTGACAGCTGGAGACTTCTTGTTGGATTTCTTCCGTGGCAGATCCTCGTCGGACTCCTCGCTCTCGTCGTCTTCTTCGCCCTCTTCGTCCTCGTCGGAGTCCTCCTGAGCCAGTGCATTCTCATCAATGGCGGAATCGTCGGAGTCGAACCCGGAGACTGCGTCTGAGCCTTCATCTTCTTCCTCCTGTTCCGACCCGCTCACAGAGCTTTCGTCGTCGTCACGCGCAGCGAAAGGATCATCGTCGCTGTCCGCGCCCAAGGCATCTCGGCTGACGCGGGCGCCATCATACTGTTTCCCCAGGTTCACGGGATCATCGTTGCGGAGTTTTGCTTTTCTGTTCCATGATCGTAATTAGCGCCTTTGATACCAATATGCGAATATACCCATTTTACATACCCGACTTTCTCGTAATGCTCCCGTCCCGTGTTTACTTCATCGTCATCTCCACTTTCTTCGTCGCTTGATTGCGCACCATTGTCAATGTCTTCGGGATCAAAGTCTAAGTGTAGATCGCGAGTCAGCAGGATGTCTCGGGGAAGGAGGATGCAGTATAAGGGTACCTTTAGGAGTGGGGTCTTCGAAATCAGCAAGCTGATCAGCCAGCGAGCGAGCTCCGCGCGGTTTACCCATGATGTTGTTGCTTAAGAGAAGAGCCAGGCGAGCAACTTTTTTTTGTTGGTTTTTCCGGATAACGGATCAATTGTCCTATCTAGGATTAGTCGCTGTAAGCGGTCTCGAATGGGGGGCTGATCTGATGGGCGGTCAGTATTAAAAACGGCAGTATTTGCATCGCAGCATCGAACTACCGAGCTGCTCTCGTTTGATACTCACATTATCCTTGCGTGGTTGTTGAAAATGCTTCTCTCGCCAATCAAGGCCAGTGTGCCTCGCGTGAGACTGTTTTCTACATGTCGAATATTGCAACATGACAATCCTTTGGTTAGTGATTCCAGTTTTGGAGCTTTGCGCATAGCTTCAATCCAAGGAGAATAAAGGCTATCGCTGGCAGCCCTATAGCCCAACAATTTGGAGAGTTTTTTTGCTGATAATAATCAGGGACTGCCCAAGTCTGGTACCCCTCCCGCATTCCGTTCGCGCCGTGGGATGCCTCAAAAGCGCAAGATTCGAGACGTCAAGAAAGTTGTGGCAGTGTCATCAGCGAAGGGTGGAGTGGGAAAGTCAACAATAGCAGGTAAATGAAAGCCAAACAAACATCGACTCTCTTTTTCAAATTTGAGGCTGCATTGCTCGGTTGTTTGGACGCGCTAGTCGAGCAAATGCTGATATCATTCCTACCAGTCAATCTCGCACTCTCATTTGCCCGCCGTGGCATCAAGGCTGGTATTCTCGACACTGATATATTTGGCCCTTCAATCCCGACTCTGCTCAATCTCTCCGGCGAACCCCGGCTAGATGAAAGTAAGCTTGCCCCAGCCCGTCATATAAACGCCATGGCAACAAGTACTCACAAACTCCCCCAGACAACTGTCTTGTGCCTCTCACAAACTATGGGCTGAAGTCCATGTCAATGGGCTATCTTCTTCCTCAGACGCAATCAGACAGTACAACAGGCGAGGTCCCAATGGACTCAACACCCATTTCCTGGCGCGGACTCATGGTGACAAAAGCCATGCAACAGCTCCTCCACTCCGTCTCATGGGGTCCATTGGACGTCCTAATCCTCGATCTGCCCCCAGGAACTGGAGACGTACAGTTAACAATTAATCAAGAAGTCATCATTGACGGGGCGGTAATCGTCTCAACCCCCCAAGACATTGCCCTTCGCGATGCAGTTCGCGGAATCGGCATGTTCCAGCGTATGGAAGTACCTGTCCTCGGAATGGTCCGCAACATGGCCTTCTTCGCTTGCCCTCAGTGTGGGCACCAGACTCGCATCTTCTCACATGGTGACAGCCACCATCATGAGCATGGCGAGAACCACGGAGTCGTGGCCGAATGTAAGCGCCTTGGGGTCGACTTCTTGGGCGATGTCCCTCTCGATGCTCGTGTATGCGAAGACGCAGACAGGGGTATGCCTACCGTTGTGGCCGAAGAGAGTGCTGAGCGTAGTGCTAGACGTGAAGCTTTCATGGGTGTCGCTGAGCAGGTAGCTAAGAAGATCGGTCTGGACTGGCGCTGAATTTTCATGTACTATATCCACCTAGGCATGGATGTGCCATACAACTTATGCAACATGTATTATATTAGAACCAAGGTTCCAAGGTTCGCATAGCTGGTCACCACTGAGATGTCAGACTCGGTCGTCGCTGGGGGTCACCTCTTGAGACAAGCCAGTAGAAGCTGGCTCCGGGTATGTAAGGATAAAATAACTCGATTTCAAAATTGGGGTATAACTCGTATATATTGTTAGGCATAGATGGCCAGCAGTGGGCTCTTGGGTCACAATCGACCCAGAAGATCGGGTATATCAGATAAGAAGAAAGTCCTGGGGCGAGGACGGGACAAAAAACACAAAAGGAAAAGAGAAAGAAAACAAAAGAAAACAAAACAGATAAATGAAAATAACTCCTGGAACGGAGCTGCGTCGAGGACAGAGCTGTAGACAGCCCAGAGATCAATGAAGGAAATGAGGTGGTCAGAAACGATAGATAGAGTAAAATGGAGGCCAAAAATATCAATAGACCAGAAAGGAAGTTGTGACAAATTATTACAGTACTTCCTCGGCTGTCTTGAAAACATCCCTGTCGGGCATCTCGGGGCGATGCGATGTTGAATCACGACCAGCCGCGGAGAACACGGAAAGAGTGTCTGTGGAGCGACGGCCGCTCTCACCAGCCATGACATGGGCGGAGATGCCTCTCGCCCCCATGACAGCACGAGTACTAGCTGAATCAGATGCCATGTTCGTGTACGCGACAGAGTCTTTGTCGCCTCCAACTGTACTGGCTGTGTCAGACACGAGTTCGCTTCGACCCGTGAGAGAGCCTGCGGCTGATGATGGCCGGTATCTGCTTTGAGCAAGAGAAATGTCCGACTTCATTGGCAGAGAACCCGCGGCATGGAAGAGGGCTCTTGTGCTGGCATTGTCGTCCCTCAGTTTGTGGTTGTTTACTTCGGGTAGTATAAGAATGGGAGCGGAGTTGGTTTGCTCTGATGCTCGCGAGGGCGCCTCTAGAGATGCGCGCCCATCGGAGGAGTCACCCGCATTGGGGTGGCCCTTTTCGTCCCAGGTTATGCCGGAGGGACCGGCATGCTGGTTGGCTTTGATGCTACCTTTCTCTGCAATTCCATTTTGTGAGTTAAGCGCGGGCGTGCTCGACCATGCACCGGCTTGGCTGGCATCGACGCTAGCACGAGTAGAACGTCGGCCAGACTGCTGCGCCTGTGACTGCTTTTCGATTTCACGCTCATCATGCTTGCTTCCCCAGCCACTCCACATCATCATGCCATAATTCTTCTTGGCGCGAGGCTTGGGGAGTACACCAGGGGCGGATCGACGGGCCGCAAGTGAGCTTGGGGGAGGAACTTCCCCATCGAAGTCTTGGAAGCCGTGAGCAAGCTCTTTCATTCGCCGACTTTGAACACGAAGCTTCTCTTTGGAGAACCTGATGTCCCATTCTTGCTTTGCTTCAAGCCACTTGCGGATGAGTTCCGGGTTGATCGCACCAACTTGCGAGGCTGGAATATCCAAAACAGGGTATGATGATGGGGGGTCGAGTGGGAACGCTTGACCTTGTTTGTCAATTCGTTGACGAATCATATGGTCTTGGAATGCTGGAAGGGGGTCCCCGGCTCTACCAACAGACTCTGGGCCTGGGCCTGTAGCTGGCTTGTTCAAGGCAGTCTCGGGCCCCAATGATTGATCACCTTCGGAGCTACTCGACGAGACCGGGGACAAGGGGATGTCTTCTTCAATCTCTATTTGACCATTCTGCGCACGAGCCAGCGCCCAAGATCCAAATTGAGCAATTGAACGGAACATGTACTTGGCCGGTTGAGTGAAGCTCAAGGTTGGTGCCACATGGCACAAATGATCCCAGACTTGAAGTTGCACATAGGTTGGCTTATATTTCTTCAAGGTCTCCCTGGTTGGATCATGCTCGTCAAGATATACATCACCAGGCGGGTACGCTGTTGGGTTTGCAGCCTTGTGGGCGATGTAGAACTGCTCATCGCGAAGCATCTCACCACCACCGCTCAATATTTGCAGTGGAGGCAGCCCACCCAGAGATGGCTGAAGAACTGGAGAAACAAGTGGATGGGACATGAGTTGGTTCGTCGTATACATCTGAATTTGGTCTTTCAGTTCAACAGTCTTCCCATCTAAAACGACATGGATATTGTCAGGCTCGGCATGCAATGAGCCGGGGTTAGGGGTTTGCTGCTGACCGGGGTATGCAGGATCAGCTGGTGGAGGAGTATTCTCGTGGACAGTGTAACCCCGGACAGCAGTTTCTTCAGCAGAACTATTTGGTGCAGGGATGGCATTGTTCACGTCTTCATGGGTGACCTTTTCCTGCTGGGCCAGTTTCTTCATCTTCAAAACATCATCTGCATTGGGAGGAGGCCATGCGGTTGAGGGTTTATGACGGAACCCATAGGGCGGAATATAATCTCCTGGGTTATCCTCGACAATACTAGGGAAAGAGTGTGTCAAGTCAACCCAAGGAGATATGAGAATGGCCCCTGCAGGCAGAGGAATTCCTTGGTCTCGCATGATGACCAGCATTGACAGCGCCAGACCTCCACCCGCAGAGTCGCCAGCGATGATTATTTCCTTGGGTTCATGAGACTTCAAGAGCCAGAGGTACGCTGCCAAGCAGTCATGTAGGCCACACGGGAATGGGAATTGCGGTGATAGTCGGTATTCCGGCGCAAACAATCGAGCCTTGAGCTTTCGCGCATGCCGTTGCATCATATACCGATGAGTATCCACGCTTCCGAAGAAGTAGGCTCCTCCGTGGATATACAACATCACGCGATTGCACCGCTTATTGGCCTTCTTCGTCTCGTTATAGTGGTTTCGCATTTCAATCCACTCCCCCTTCAGGTCTTCCGCTGGCCCACGCCATTGCCACCATTTCTCTCCTCCAACCCGTATGATACCTTTCGGACCAAGCTGTTTGGTGACTGCGTCTGCGGCGGACGACACGACATCGGAGGGGATTGTGACCGCTTCGGTTCTCACCCAATGGGGGCTTGGCACCCATTGTCGAGTGAAAGCCTGGAGATCTTCGACGGGGTGCTTGGACGCATATTGCAAGAATGACCGGACAATTTGGATACCTTCATCATATGTGATATGCACGGAAGGTTTGTTGTGCAACGACTTGCGGTTCAGGTACTAAGACACGCGCTCTTAGCAAAGAAATCACAGCGCTCTCGAATCATGACTTACATGACTGACTAGAGTATGAAGAACCGTCGGAGTTAGGGCCGCACCTAGTGCGACCGTATGCAATGGCATAATGGTCTTCGAGTCGCGGGGCGATCAATTGAGCCAAGGAATAAGCAAATATAAGAGAGCGCCTAAACCGATTAAAGAGAGAAGAGCAGGTCGGAGCGAGGTGACATCAGTGGATTTCTCACAGACACGAAAGACACACGAGAAGCGAAAGAGAGAAAAACGACGAAGGAACCGAAAAGCGACAGGGGCATTCCCCCAGATGACGTCACTGCTGAAGCCATCGCCGATCTGTTGTTTCTCTTCAGTCGCCCTCTCCCTCTCGCGCGCGCTACTGCATAGTCCTTGCTCTGGGGCTCTGTCGACGCTATCCATTCTATGCGAGATGCCTCCTTGGTCTGCCAACCCAGCTAACAACCGCAATGTAAAATATCCCAATGATCCCGGCGACAACGCTGGTTGCAATGATAGCCCCACGGGGCCCTTGCGCAAGCTTGAAGCCAAGGCCAGCATTGATCACCCCCAATATTATCATCGTCCTTCCAAACCATCGGTGCGTGTACGCAAAGACGCCCTTTCCGCCTGTTTTCCGGAAATACCGATGCTGCAAAACGCCCATGGCCGGCTGGAAAAGCACCAGACTCGCGACCACAATCATGCCAATGATTGCGTGGTAAGAGTCGACCAGCATTATCTGCCGTGCCATTGAGACACCTACCCCGAGACCAGCAATAGCCACTGCCAGTGTGAGCAACTGGAAGGTCCCATGGATGTTCACTGTCCATTTCGACGGGAAGACATGAAGTCCCAGAGCGAAGAAAGGGAACATGATCACAAAAGCCAAGACCATGAGCACAGCATGCGCTGTTTTCTTCCGATTGATGGTGTCTCGGATAGCCGCAGAAGTCGGGTCTTCCTCGGCGGAGGACACAGAGGTTTGGGCCAATTGAGCGAAAGGGTTGTCAGAGCTACCGCCAGTTGCTTTTGTCAAATCGATGGATGCAACGCCCCGATCATCGTGGTGTGTGATATGCTCGGACACGCTGGAGGAGCTGAGGGAATCTCCGTCCTTCATTGCCCATATCCACGAACTGGAAGTGCTCTTCACATCCTCTGATCCGCCATTCCATTTGATGCAACTATCACACCGGAAGCTGGCAGTCGTAACCCCGTCATGCACACCGCTGCCATTGAGAATTGTGATCTGGGCGTCCTTGTTATACAATGGTTGAATTTCACCAACGCCCGACCGCGGAGACACAGTCACATTGTTGCCCGATGTGTAGACTACAAACATATTGGCGCCAGCCATTTGTCTTCCTTGGCCCAGTGCAAGCCACTGTACCCGGCGCGTACTGTTCATCTGAATAAATATAGGGCCAGATCCCGATTTGGACGTGTCGTCAGGAACATTGATGCTGTATGTGATGTAGTCATGGTCACTGGGATGGAAGCTGTGTACTTGGGCCAGCACGGGGATGGCCCAAAGCCAAGCGAAATCATACCGGACCATGGTGCTATGTTGAGAATACTCTTTTTTCCGCATCATCTACCGGGGAATCAACTACTCAATAAATAAGCATGACAATTCTGCTGATTGTTGCACGGCTGGTATCTCAACTGGGCTGGGTAGGCCAAGCCCTTGTTACGGCGGATCGTCGTCACGCTTATACTCATGGGCGTTAGGAATTTGGTGCCACCTGTCAACTGCTTTGAAATGAAACTTTTGCGAATTGCCTATTGGAGAAAACACGTTTGCCTACATTCGTTCTCGTTCTCGCTGGCCACTGAACAGCCAACGTTGATCCGGGTAGATGCTGCGCCTCCACGTTCTGGAACCCCAACCGATCACCCGTGGCGTCGGGCTAGCCTGAAAAGTCGGAGTGACCTGAAAGGAATAGCTTGGTTAACTTGACACGAGGCATTCGAGGACTTTTGTCGACATGCCTATGTGGAGTGTCCATATACTTCAGGGCCAATGTGGTCATTGACCACGATACTTAAGCTTTTGGCACATTAACTATATGGAGTATAGGTAGTGAACCAATATTCTCCAATAGGGTTTGGTGTCTTGTCTAGCCTGTGGCTATGTTCTCAATGTTTTCGTGTATCGATTCGCAGCTTGGATACACTCTGGCAAAGTCCGTAGGTGGTATGAGAAAGCTATAAAGTAGGCTTGGGTAAAAGCCAAAGCAAGAGGCTTTGTCTAACTTAACCCAGTACACAGCTATTTTGAATTGCATCATGAACGCGATTCACATTTTTCTTGCAGGACTGCCACTCGTCAATCCCCAGGATGGGGATTCGAACGACGCTGGTATGAAATCTACCGCACCTCTCGCATCTCCCCCCGCGGCATCAGCGTCGCCATCGACCCACAAAGTCGACGTTGGTGAACATAGCTTTACATTTGATCCCGAAACATTGATTATTGCTCCAGGGGAAACGGTCGAGTTTCATTTCTACCCGCAGAACCATTCGGTAGCCCAGACCTCCTTCGATAATCCCTGCCACCTCGCCAATGCATTCGACTTCTTCAGTCAATCTTTGCTGACTTGCCAAGATTATGTGAGTATTTTTACCACCTCATATGCCTAGATTGGTTTCTGAGTTCAAAGAACCCCGTCTTCACTGTGATCATCAATGACACGACGCCGATTTGGTACCACCTTGGTCAGGTTGATCATTGCCAAGCTGGCATGGTCGGGGTCAACGATGCATCGTAAGCATATCCCCGTGTCTGTGATTCGTTTGTCCATTCCAAAATTGACATTCAGCTTCAGTGGCCAGGAGATCCTTGGTACTTCCAAGCAGGCCACGGCTAGAGCAAAGTCACCAAGTAGCACCATGTCTGCAACAGTACAAGGCGGCTTGCTTGGCGAAACTGAGAAACCCTCAACAGATATGGTGGGCGAATCCACAAGTCAGATAACGAAGCCTACCTCTAGTTTTACAGATTCAGGACGCAGCAAGGGAAATGCTGTAGGCATGGCAATTGTCCTGGTACTCTCATGCTTTCTCTCGTTGTCTATGATATGATGTAGAACCTTGGAAAATTTGCGCCTTTCATTTGACAATAGCCTGATATCAAGATAATAAGACTCGTCGAGCAAAATTAACACTTCTTTAATCAGGCGAAAACCTTAAGCGAGAGATGATATCAGATTTTACCTGTCCAGTCCACTGGTGTGAAGGAAAGACCCTGGGGGAAAAATAAATAGCCAGTGTTTCAATGTCAAAGACCAGAGTCTATAGCTCACGCATACCGGACTAAGTCAGGCACTGCGGGCAGGACGGGTTTAACCGTCATTCAGAGGGGCCATGTGTAAATTTCATGGGGTTTCGTCTATGAGATCTGTGACCTCGGGATGGACCTATGACCAGACTCCGACAATGTGAAAATTGCTGGATCCATATTCCCCTATCTAAGGGAACAATGGATTACCTACCCTAGTGACCCCAATTTGGAGCTTGACGTAACATCATCAACTCCAGGGCTTGTCTGAGCTTTGGGGATGTAAGCTTCTGACGATCACCGCAAGAAGTTCTTCATTGGCAGCAACTTCACGCAAATCTCAACCTTTTAGAGCACTCCGGCCTTGGCATTCCACGCGGTACTCAACTTTCAATGGAAATTTTCGGATCACTGGCCTCGAAACCCACTCTAGAAGGCCCGGGAGTTGCTCCAAAGGTACAGCGGGATGGTGTCGATCTGATTGTGCCTTTCTTGGCACCGCCGAAGGTCCCCGGATATGGATCGGATGTATGAAAAGCTTGGGTATAAATATTTCCAACAATGTGCGAATTGCGAGCGATTATACCAGCTAAGTGATAATGCTCAACAAATCGCTTCTTTCCGTCGCGGCACTGGTCGTTGCCCAGAGTCTCCCAGGACTCGGGAGAGCAATTGATGAACAGCAAACAGTGCGAGTGACAACATCGGAAATCATTCGACCTGGCGAGCTGGCCAACATTCATCTAGACTGGCACGAGCAACCACCGAGCAGCATCAAAGCCATCTACACGTCGTGTGATGGGCAGAACTCGACCAAAAGCGTGCAAACCATTGGCCGCTATTCAAGTGACGGCGAGCCTCCTCAAAGACTAGCCTGGGCAGTGCCAGATCATGCCCCGACACAACAATGCATCTACATCATTGCAGTGGATGACACGTTGGAATCGCCCAAAGTCTTGGGGAAAAGCGACCCCATCTCCCTTCAAAAGCCACTCCGAAAAAGATCGACAGCAGACGCCAATATTCCGCTTTTGAAGGATTTCGATTCCTTGGGAACATGGTTCGACGGAGTGGCCAAAATCGAAGAGAAAGTGAAGCAAGGGGGTGGGGTGACTTCGAAGAGCTCCACTAAAAATACCTCAATCGCCATTGTTGGGGGTGGGATTTCCGGGCTCGCGACGGGTCTGATGCTGGACAGTGTTGGCGTGCACAACTGGGAAATCATCGAAGCTAGTGATCGTGTGGGAGGCAGGTTCCGAACCAAATATGTCGCAGACACGCAGGAATGGGCTGAGATGGGCCCGATGCGACTTCCCTACTCGGTCACTTACAAGAGTGACAATGATACTCTGCTGTACACAGATCATCAGTTGACCTTCCAAATGGCCGAGATCCTGAACAACATGAACAAGAACGAGTCAAAGTGGAAGATCGATTTCATCCCCTGGGTCCAGCACAGCCCCAATGAGATGATTGCCCAAGGGACTCGCCGACATCCAGACGGAAGAATCCCAACACGCGCTGAGATCGAAGATGACTCGGGGTTAGAAGATGCACCGGCAATGACGACTGCGGAGTACAAGAGCACCGAAAACCAGATGGACAAGATCCTCAAGGATGAGGCAACGCTCAAATCGATCCAAAAAGACGTTTGGAGAGCCCACAAGACCGCCATGGAACAGGGACTCGACGACTGGAGCGAGCAAGCGATGATGCGTCACGTCTTCAAGGCTAGTGAGAATGTCACCGACGAGATCTGGACATCATCCGACTACGATGTGTTCTGGGATGAGCTGCATCATAATTCCAATCTCGGGTTGGATGGAAGCAAAGGCAGCTTGGGAGAGACAAACTGGGTGTGCATCGACGGAGGGTTCAATCGATTATCGGATGCCTTCCTTCCTCACGTCCAAGACAGACTTACCCTGAACCGAAAAGTCAGGAAATTGGAATCTGTCCAAGGCAAAGATGGAAACACCCGAACTCGACTATCTTGGTATCCCAGTGTCTCAAATCGAACATACGAATCGAAAGAATACGACTATACCATCATGGCTGCACCATTTACCATGACCCGATTCATGGACCTACCCAAGTTCTCCTCCGTCCTGGACCGAGCAATCAGCGAAGCAGGTCTGCGCTTCAAGTCCGCGTGCAAAGTTGCACTGCTGTTCTCCGAACGGTTCTGGGAAAAGGGCGACCGGCCCATTTTCGGTGGCTACTCCAAACCAGAAAGCAACTCCGTCGGCGCATTGTATTACCCAGTCTATGGACTCAACGAATCACGCCCGGGGTTGATAATGCATTACCGAGGCGGCGACTGGAGCGATCGTTTGGTGAGTTTCTCCGACGAGGAGCACGTACAGACTGTACTGGATGCCGTCGTCAGTCTGCATGGTGAACAGGCACGCGATTTGTATACTGGTGACTACGAGCGTCTCTGCTGGCTTCAGGATGAGCATACTGCGACTTCTTGGTGCCGACCGGATGTTGAGCAGCATAAGCTCTACATTCCGGCGTATCATCAGACGGAGCACAACACTATCTTTATTGGAGAGCATACTGCCCCCACACATGCTTGGGTTAGTTCTTCCCTGCATTCCTCGGTCAGAGGATCTATTCAGTTGCTTTTAGAGCTTGGCTTGGTTGATGAAGCGAAGGAGCTCAATCAGAAATGGATGGGTAGATGGATAAAGCTGTGATCATGACCTTGGGACCAAAAGCGGAGCTTTTTTATTGTGTCAAAATACTTAGAGATTACAGAGACTATTCACATAGCTCCCCAGGTCTTTGAGACGAATCATTCCATTGCCACAGGTATAATACCATGTGATGTTTCTACCAAGGCACGACCTGTCCATTGTATGCGAAAAGTTTGCCCGAGGTAGTCTCTCGCGTAGCGTTGTCAATGACTTGAAGAGATCCTGTAACACTTTCCTCGACAGTCATGGGCGGGTCACCGGGATAGTCCCATTGCTTCGCCGAATAATGACCAGCGCGGGTCTGTACCCAGCCAGGGTGCAAACTGTAGGCAATCAACCCATCCGACTCATGCTGCATGTGGATGGCTTTGGTAAGCCAGTTCAGCGCTGCCTTGCTGGCGCCGTAACTACCCCCGGGGAATGGCTCTTGGGCGGCAATGGAGCCGACTGAAGACGAGACAGCGACGTATTGAGGCGCAGACGACTTCTGCAAGTATTGCCAGAGAGCTTGGAATAAAAGAAGGGGGGCAATTGCGTTCACTTCGAAGGAGGTGCGTAGATCTTCAGCCGTGATGAAAAGGGCTGGAGTCAATGGAACGACGACAGCGGCGTTGCAGATGAGAACGTCGACGTGGGTGACTTCGATTGTTGACTCATCGAAGATCTGACGGATCTTCTCTGGGGCAATGGCGGATGAAAAGTCCAGTTCGATTATATGAAGATTGCTGTTCTCGCCCACTGTGGTACTTTGTGTCTCTGCCCTGAGGCTTGTGGCTGCCTCGGAGTTGCGCACCGAGGCAATAATTGTAGTGTTGGGTCTTTGAAGCAGTTTCTGGGTGAGGCCAAGACCGATGCCTCTGTTCGCGCCTGTGATGACGAATACCTTGTTGGAGGACATTGCGGATAGGCGGGGTGACTTCTGTGGACTGTGATGAGATTCAGACCAAAATGATATTGAGGTAAGGTTTTTGTTCTACTTCGAATGGGAACAGATTGACCTTTCTCGGAGATGGAGAGAGATAGAGAGAGAAAACAAAAGACGGAGGGTCGCCTTTTATACTTAGGGCTGACACTGTCAGACTTTTGGTTGGAGCGAACCGTGCGGCGCAAAGCGGGTCGAATTGGGGGCGAACAGTCCTTCAATGTTGTCACCCCATTGGACTTCATCAGGTATATTTCCAAGCAATGATCAAATTGGTGAACTTTGTTTCTTGAGAATATTCTCAATCCCGCTGGAGCTGCGGTGAAGAGTAATTTTCACCTGGAGTCAAGGAGTCAAGGGACAGATGGCGCGATGAAAAAGGCCACATAGGTGTTCTTTTTCATGCCGCCTCTTCTATGACCTTATGACCAGTCTTGTAGAGAATCTCATATCTCGTCATTGAGTTCGATTTGCTGATGATGTTGACATTTTCAGGTGCTGCCCAGGTGAAGCGGTTTGCTTCCATGTCAACAGCCTACCCCACGCGGGTACACACGTGTAACAGAAGCCCAGAATACTCGCATGGCCGACCTACTCGTAATAGGTGTACTGATCTGCTATTTATCAAAACAGATCGCATTCATGATGTGTTTGAAGAAGTCAAAAATGACTTTGTCTCCATGCACACCAATCGATCAGGCACGGTGCGACAAGAATAGCTTCGAATTGTGGTTCTTTAGTCGTGATGTGATACCAAGAGGGCTGTACACGACGAATCTGAAGCTCATGAGGAACGGTGGGCATACGTCCTTTCCAAGTACTTGAAAGAGCGCCTCCTGGTCACAGTGTTCAATGATTGTGAAGCCTTGTGGGCCCGCGCGGAAGTTTGCATTCTCTGGGCATTTGCGATCGAATGTCTTCCTGGTGTGCGGTTGCCTCAAAAGCATTTCCATCGGAGATATCAACGCGTTTTCTAGATCCAGAGCCGGGTATGCCATTGGATTGAAGCACCTGTCGATGTGGTAGTTCGCAGTTGATATGATGTTCGTGCCTCCCACCTAAGGTTCTTCGGGTCCTCTTCACGCAGTCAACAAAGCCAGAGGCAAGGCTCCATCTGATGACTTTCGGGGTTGATCTGCTCTGATGCATCGAATTTGAAGGTTGGTCTGACCGTATTGGTCCTGACTCCCATTAGCAATTTCCAGATTCCTTCCAATTTTTCCTCTGTACATGATCATCGTATAATCCTTTATCTTTCCAGAAAAAAATAGCCTATCAAATCTTCAATAAGCTCAGTGAGAATCAATCATCTGGCTTGCAAGGTTAGAGCTCCAGGGCTATGTGGTGGACCACCATTTATTGGTGCCTGAGGCATGATTGAAGCTCCCTCTTCCCGAGGTCTTCCCTCAAGCTTCCCTCCCACGTCTCTCTCTCTCTCTCTCTGGGGAATCAATTGCTTTTTCCCAGTGGTGCTGGTTCGAAGCTCCCAGTATTCAGCATCGTTGGTATTTTGGGCTGCCATTTCGATGCCCATTGGAACAAAAACCTGCGCGCAGTCTCAGTTGATTGGTCAAAAATGGACTCTGGCCGTCCTATTGGCTCTCATAGCTCCCGAGGTCTGTTTGACATATGTAGCGTTGTCCGACACCTCAAGCTCAAGTGCTGGGCATACTCAAATTTGACTGCCCGTTTTTAGGCAGGCGAAACAATACTATGTATTACCTTCTCCCTTTTGGTCCCTCGGGATCGAAATGCATTGAGATGATCTCACCACTAAAGCCAACATTGAGGCTGATGAGGACCCGTGGACGGCTAACCACCTGATGGAACCGAGACCCTTTTAATACCCCTTTTCCCAGGCCTGGAGCAACTTACCACGGAACCTGGGGGTTTTCCGGCGCATAATTGCACAATGTGACAATCATTTGGCAAAAGATACAGTCATTACCAATCACCGTGCCCCCACGCCGCTAAATTTCATCCCAGATTTCCTCAATTGTCAACAAGCCGAGTCTACAACAGATATTCTCTACACCACAATAGTATCCTAAGTCCGATAAGTTCCGCGAGGTCCACTGCCAAGCCCATTTGGAGAACATCTGCAACCCCAAAAGAGGGGTTGACAGGCCCTTATCTTTTGATTTGGGGCTTAGGGCGTTGGTAAACGATACCGGAGCGATAGGAACCTTGGGGGCTCCACAGCTAAGAGATTCCCAGGCACAATTTCTTGGCTATTGTTATTCGGGCCATCTATAAAGCCTACAGGTCCTGTAGCTTTTTGTTTGGTTGTTCGCATTGGCATTATGGCTGCTCGCAACGTCGGTTCCCGGCTATTGGGCCTCTCTGCATTTTTTTTCTCCATCCCAACCGTTTTCTCTACTCCTACTTTGGACAATGGCAAGCTACTCTCGGTGAATGGCATCGACTACTATAGCGGCGGTGATGCAGTGTCGACGTTCATTACTTCGGCGAATTTTAATTCCACGCAATTCGAAGATGTTGTGCCTATAACAGTGATTCGGACAGACCAGTCGGTCTTCACAAAAGAGGTCTTGAGCGAAATTATCTCGAATTATGCCGCTACGGACGATGTTTTTCAGTCCGGCTTCCTTGAAAGTAGGTTATCTGTTTCCCACGGTGATGTGGCTAAATTCTCACCGCGCCATAGCTGTTTTCCTTCTCTATGAGGGACATGGCCGAAGCCAAGTTGACTCCACCGTCAAGCAGGCCTTCAAGGACCTTGGGAACAGTCTTGTCATGGCCTCTTCCGCCTATCGCCCTGAAGCACACCTCATGCCGGCCAAGCTTCGCCGTGATTTGCCCAAGGGACCATACTTCTACTCACCAAAGACAGGGGAATTGTATCAGGCCTTCCGTCTGTATTCCGATCACCAACTAGCATTCACGGAAGCTGCCCTGAGTGATGGAGCCGGAGGCTTTAGGTCCCTTCCTGCGGCCGTATCGGTGAGTAAATCGAGGTAAGTGGGTTCTATCTCGGCGTGATGCTGACAACCTAAAGGGCGCAATGACCAAAAGTGTTGCTGTACCATCGAGGCTTTATTATACCCCGACATCAGAAAAGCCTCTTGCGGGTGTAAGTTCAATTGCCCGAATCAAAAGAATAAAATAGCTGACCCCCTATAGTTGCGCGTGGGAATCAAAGACATCTTTGACCTGAAGGGACTGCGGACCAGCGGTGGCAATCGGGCGTACTATGACTTATATCCTCCGCGCAACACCACCGGCCCGGCACTTCAAAGACTAATTGACGCCGGTGCTGTGGTCGTCGGCAAAATGGGAACAGTCCAATTTGCCAATGGTGATAATCCCACGGCCGATTGGGTCGACTTCCACTGCCCATTCAACCCACGGGTATGTATTGTGGCCACTTTCCAGAATGCCAACTGACTTGCTTTCAGGGTGATGGCTACCAAGCACCTGGGGGCTCTTCTTCAGGTCCTGGTGCCGGTATGGCTTCCTACGATTGGCTCGATATTGCGATAGGAAGTGACACCGGCGGCTCAATGCGTAGCCCGGGAGGAATGCAAGGCCTTTTCGCCAACAGACCATCTACCGGGGCTGTGAATCTCGACAACGTGATCCCGCTGTGTCATGCTTTGGATACAGCTGGTGTTTTCGCGCGCAACGCAGCGACGTGGTCGAAGGTTATGCATGCCTGGTATGAGAATTTCACTGATTATACGGAATATCCGAAGAAGCTGTTCTATCAGAACTCTTCGTTCCCGAGTGCCGACACACCCGCCGGTGCACTCATTGAAGACCTTGTACGGAAGGTTGAAAAATTCCTTGGTACCAAGAGGGAGCTCGTCAACATCACCTCGCATTGGGAAAAGACTCAATCTCCTGAAATACCTGCTATCTCGAGCTTGTTGAACACAGTGAGTTCCTACGATGACGATTTCAACATTCGAGTGTTGACTTTTCCAGACATATGCTATCCTAACATCCGTTGACCAATATCGCTCCTTGAGCGTGCCATTTTATGCGGACTACGCAGAGAAGCACGATGGCCGTCGGCCTTTCATCAACCCAGGTCCGTTAGCAAGATGGACTTGGGGCCAGAATAACGGAGGCAACGTTGCCTATGACGAGGCAATCCAGAACAAGACAATCTTCAAGAACTGGTGGGAGACGAAGGGATACGGAAAGGCCGACGAGCGCACTTGCTCTGAGGGCATCTACATATATCCCTATACCAAGGGCGAGACACAGTACCGGAATGCCTATTTCAGGTGAGACAATGACGCTTATGTCTTGAAAAAGCCGTTACTAACATAACTAGTGCCCCAACCGCACCTCCCATGGGCTTCTCAGACGGTCGCATTGCTGTCTTGGCCGGAGTACCGGACTTGGTGGTCCCCGTTGGTGAAATTCCCTACAACTCCACTGTTTCGCTCAAGACCGAGTACATGCCTGTCACAATGAGCTTCGTCGCGGCCAGAGGATGCGATCTCATGTTGGTAAATCTCATCGAGGACATGGAAAAGGCAGGAATTTTGAAGCCTGTCAGTACAGGGCCAAGGATGTATCCCGAGTGAGCAACTTTGGCGACAACCTTGAACCTATTGAAAGGTTGTCAATGATACCCAATCATAAACGAAATTTACTCAATACATTCATAAATTAATCCAACAAATATAAACCAAGGCTCTCTGCTCGGAAATGATTGATCCTTAGGCGTGGCCAATATCTCGCGGTCCACCGGGCCCTTCTTCCAGGCCATTTCTCCGGGGTGCGTCGGGGCGCCAGCGCCAGAACGGGCGCATAAAAGATGAGCTCTTGTCACCATTTTCAAGAATGTCTGCTGCGTGCTGAAAAGGGAAGATTTGTGAGCTATTGTTATACATTCTGAACATTTTCACATACCCGTCCCAAAATCGGCAAAAACTTTGCGCCGTGACCGCTGCCACCAGTGCAAACAAATACGGAATTCTCAGCATATGTTGGAACATAGTCAATCTGGGATCATTTAGTTTTGGGAACCAATCTCAGGCTTGACAGGCAGCTCATACCACGAAGGAATTATCCAAGGAATCGGTATACCAGCAAAGTTTCGTAGAATAAAACGGGGCATTCACGAATTCGGGCATGAAAATAGACACAAACTGGCTGACTGCATGTAAGGCCGGCTCTGGGAGAATTGAGCACTCATCCAAGGGAAGAGGCGTCGACCATTGGCCGTCCTGGGAGAATGGTGCATCACTGGGAGCCGGGTGGAAATTCGTCCACTACAAGAAGTCAGTAGATGACACTGGAAGTTTGAAAATACCTACTTTGATTCCACGGTATCCAATCTTTACCAGACCTTCAGGGGTTCGTGGTAGAACATATATACTTCCTGTATCTTTTCCTGACTTATCCCGTGGAGTGCTCTTCCAAGTCATGACAGGGAAACGCTCGGGTGAATACTTTTCCCATAGGTCAGTAATTCCTGGATCTATCTTGAATGTTGCAAGACTTCCGGCAGATGATTCAAGGTGGTAACTCAAGTCAGGAAGTATTTGTGTTGAGAATGACCCAGCTGAAAAAGAGTTAGCAAGGCGGATTGAAGGTGGATTTCAGGCTTACCAGCGACAACAACAGTATCGGCTTCATGGATCACTCCGTCCTTTGTTTTGAGTCCTGTTACCTTCATCTTCTTCGGATCGATGCTGCTAGCAACTTTGATTAATGTCTCAACGGCTCCACGCTCCGATCCGAGGTGAAATTTGACGCCTTTAGCAACGGCCACCTCCCGATAGTGAGCGCAGGCATTGCTGCATCGTAAGAAGCCGGCCAATGAGTCCAGGACTGCTTCATAGCTTTTGCCAGGGGATTCGGGAATCTCGAAATCGAGAAGTTTGTTTTTCCAGCCCAGGTTTTCGGCGCGCTCGCAGTCCGTCAAATTACTCTTCACGAATTGCGTGTCTCGCAATCCGTCTCGCTGCATGCTGTCCAACGTCTCTTTTTCGAGTTTGGCCAGATGGTCAGAGGGTTGAACTCGAAGCATTCCACTGTTAACAAACAGCCGTCGGTCATTCATATCGTCATGAGAGGTTCGCCTATTTTCCTCCTCCAGTATCCACGCCTCGCGACTCTCTAATGCGAGACGCTGGTAATGTATTTCGCTCCCATATGAGGCACGAAACTAAGATTGATCAGCCAAGCGTCTCTCCAGGACTTGGGCACCAGTGTTCTGCCGAGGATATTCTGGCTCACATACTATCTTGTTGTGGTCCGCGGATGCAGCCTGCACATCGTCGGCTGCGGGGTCATACCCATTCGCATCGTATTGGCTCCGATCGAATACGGTCACTTCATAACCTGAATAGTAAGTTAGCTCCTGATTCTGGTTTTTTCATTGTCGCCTTACCTCTTTCACGCAATGCAATGGCCAAAGAAAGACCAAAGATTCCAGCTACCATGTTGATCAGTGACTGCTTGGCTGGCCAGCGGCATTTTATCAGCGGTCCTACCTCCAATGATGGCAACAGATTTTGGGGGTGTCATATTTGATGATTTGTTGTTCAACTGAAAGTTTCACAAGTTTGAGTGTTGGGGAAGTATTCGGGGTGAGGTGAGGACCCCCTCGGCTTCCCCCACGCCCCCGCTTGCGCAATCTCTCAAATGATTAGAATCAATTCATTCAAGATATCGGTAGACTTCCGTTCCTACATCTTCTTCCTTTGGAATTGAAATGTCTGCCTGGTATCACTAGCCCAGCTTGATCTCTGCCCAAACATCATCCCCAATCGCCGCCTGGAAGACTTTCCCCAAGCCTGCCCTCTCCCAAAGGCCACGCTCTTCATTTCTCTCCAAAAGCAACACATAGTACAGGTCCCACTCAGACTCATCTCGCTTCTTGGGAATGTAAGAGGTCCACCTGGGGCATTCCTCCGCGGTGAATCGCTTTGCTTCCGAGATGGCAATGAACGTGCACTTATACCCCTGCCGCTTCTCAATATAGCTTTCATCTAGAGCAATGCTACCGCACCAGTCCTCTTTATCGTCGATGATATCACACCAGCGCAGTCCCTTGCCCAAATTCTTGTTTCCATATATGTCATGGGGTCTGCCATGGGGTCCAGGCTCGCGAGCCATCACGTAAAGCTCGCCTAGCCACGTGCAGAATTGCAAGATCGGCATGAATCGCAAGGTCTCCGATGACTTCTTGTTGCGAGCCACCGTTCTTCGAATGACTCCAAAGGGACTATCAGGTAAGATGGCATCGAGTGTTGCGCCCTTCTCATGTATTTTGTCTGAAATCTGGCGCCCATACTCATCTGTTTGAAGATTGGCATGGTGCCAGGGATCGGGCTGATCAGTTGTTTCATTGGCTTCCCGTTCAAACTTGGGACTTGAATCAGAATCCTGCTGTGCCTGCGTCCTTCTTGAACGCTTTCTGTTGTAGTATTCGTTGGTCATGCGCTCATAGCCGGTGTTTGACTCGCTTGATCCCGTCGAAAGGGTACTTGCACTTGGTCTCTCCCCTGGTTGCGTGAGCATGTCGAAATTTCACGAAATGCCGTTCTATTCACTCACCATTTTCAGGTTCTCCCGTTTCATGGGCTTGGTTCCCACTCGGATGACCGGGTGAAACTGCGTCACTTGCAGTGCCTTTCACTGGATAACCACCCCAGACACTTTCAACTTTGGACTGTGAATAGCGATTTGTATCAGCTGATTCTCCAGATATGACATCCCAAAGTGGTTGCAAGTGTCCCTTCTCGTCGCGAATGTGCCATTTTATCCAAGTGTGAGAAACCAGCCATTCCCGGACATTATCTGAGCAACCCTCCAACATACTCGATTGATACTCGATTTTTCCTCCCATCCACCCTGCCCAAGCCCAAGTGGGGAATTCCTTGCTTCCAAAAGATTCCTCTTCCGCTCGACATGTACAGTTGCCAAGCTTGTCAACTGTGCAGGTCTGTTGCCCCACTTGGGCTCTGTGGGCTGGTCTTCTCAGGGTCGAGGCCTCCGTCGGTCCCCACAGGAGGGCGAGATCGAAATGGGAGGCCGGCAAGCCGAAGAGAAATGATGTGTCCATATATCTCTCTAGCAGCCACGAGATGCCCCGGAACGCAGCAAGTGCATCACGTTGCTTTGTCAGAAGGCGTCCAGTATACATGCCAACGAACGACATATAGGACTGAAAGGGTCTTCTCTGCAGCTTTTGGAGTGTTTGAAGCGGCGAAGTAATTGGCTCGAGCTCTTTGCTACTTCCATCCGTATGTATGTCCTGTGAGATGCCAACAGCGCGACATTGCCAGTATACCCGACCTTCGGCGAAAATAAGACACCGTCGGGATAAGATACGTTCTTGGAAGGTCCAAGCACGCTTGCTCCAGGTCGAATCTTCAATAACAGCTTCCAGCGGTCTCGTTACCATAAGCCGAACACCAGGAGCACATTCGGCATTCATGGGCTGGGTGTCAATGTCATCGAGATCTTCAGGATCACACGTCAAACTCGTTCCATCGACCATATTCGTCATCGACTTAACTGCGCGAAGACCAACTGATGAGTCTTCGCCATCTGCGGCACATATAGTGAACTGTGCATTGCCATAGACAAGATGCATTGCACTAGCATTTAGTTGCCATGAGCTCTTGCTGTCCTGTACAATGCAGAGTGAATCGATCCAGAGGTAACGGTAGCCCAGTTTGCCGACAATCAGTATGGCATCTTGTATTGTTCGCGGCAGCTGGCTCCAGTGAGTTTGAAGACCCCCGTGACGAATATGCATCATGACCGTTCGGCGATTGGTCATGTAGGGAAGCTCGTCCTGCACCTTCTGTCCCCAGACATAGCTGAGAGCTACATAGGGCTCGAGTGAACCATTTTCTTTCCTAGGCAGTGACTTCAGCTGCATGTCTCTCACGTCAATCACACCGAAGTATGATTGCTCAACGAGATCTTCAAAGGCCTTTTCGGTATCGTGATTTTCCCGGCACAGTTTGTGGTCCTTCAAGCACCGATGAATCCAACTCTTGATAAGAGCAATCTTCTCTTTCTTATCCCCAAGTCCCCGACCCAGGAAATGTTTTTCCCTGAGCGATCCGCCCGACGCATCCGTTTTAGATCGCAGCGCGTCCTGTGGTGCCACCAGCATCAGATAGACCTCTTGAGGGCTTCTCATGCTCTCGTCCCAACTGAGTTTGATCCACCGAGTCCTGTTGGTGAATCCATTCCCACTTGTCCGAGACTCTCGCCCATGGATTTCCCAGGTGAGAGAGCACCGCGTCGAATCATCGAAACTCTTCCCATACCGGGTGATCGCCCGATATATTAGATCGCAGAGCTGGCAGGTATGGCTTTGCTTACGTAGATCTTTAACGAAACTGAAACTTATCCAGCTTCCACCGGATTTGGGCGAAAGGTTCCCTCGGGCTTTCGTTGGTTGGTAACGTTGGGAGTTGACGATTTTCTCGATGGCTGAGGCGATGGCTGAGGGCCCTGCTCCTATTATGAATTTGTCGACAGTGAGGTCAAGTCCCTGGCATCGGTTACATAGCAAAATCTGACACGAGTCAGTATTCGAAGGTCTTTCTTGTTCTTCTTTTGATTACCTTTGGTTTGTCTTTGCTATCTGAAACAAGGGTAGTACTGGTCGCATCCTCGAATCCAAGAAACTCCTCGGTCATGTTTTGATTTTGATTTATCTTGATGATGGTGAGGGGGGTACGAGGGTCAGTCGGAAAAGTACCTCCCCTGCGGCTATCAGCACCAGTTCTGATATTTGCTCAGCTGTGGCGGAGTTGCGAGATACATGATTGGACTATTTGACAGCCGGCTGTGAGGCGGTGCTTTCCGACATTGTTCACGAGCTCGTGGTCAAAAAGTGTTCTTCCTAGTACGAATCGCAGATTCATTGATATAGTAAGGATATCGTGATGATGGTATTCTTGCTGCCCAGGTATTCACATGTAGAATGTAAGACTGGTGTTCCATCCATAGATGCATGAAGGAAGATAATGGCATTTGCCTGGCTCCTCAGGCAAATGATCCCGCTGTCATGTGACGGGCCCGGCAAAAGGATTAGGTACCTCCTTTCATGTTGAAGCCCTGGAGGTCAGCTAGGCGCGTGCGGTGCATGGATACTATCAGTGTAGTGTTGCCGTGGAGATGCGGGTTCACTTGCGCCTCACTTGCAATGACATCATTTGGCACACTGGCACCTGGCAGCAGCTAACCATGATACAATGCATTGGTAGTAGCCTGCGCAGCGATTTTTACTTTGTACCGGATTTCAGCCCGGGAATATGGTCGCGTTTTGGTGAGTATCCTCTTCGTAGCTCGCATCTTCCGAGGTCGTGGGTATGAAGACGACGGTAAATCCCGAGACCTGTTTGCCTCGACCTCGAAGACATGTTGATGCCCGTCTTCAGTCATTTTCAGAATGTAGAAATCAGCGCTCTCCGGGTTCTGTAAAAGAAAGTAAGTTTTGAATTCAAAGATGTTGTGATCCCGGTCGGTATAAACGTCCGCTACACATATACCTCGAACCTCGGGAAGAACCAAGGCCTTACGAGCGAGATCTAGACCAAAGCTTCCATGCCAAAATTTCACGTTTCGAAGGAATTGACTCTCTTTGGTCGGTCCTTCGAATCAATGTCACCGCGAGAATTCCACGGGTGACAATCCAAAGAATCAACCATGGAAGTTGATTGAGTACGCAATATGGCCCTACTGAACATGACGATTAGGGAGAAAATATACATGGTTTGAATGCAACCACCCGCACTAGCGGACGATCGAAAATAGCCCCTATGGATCTTCGCCTTCACATGGAAAATCCAGAATCCTACGCATGCGTCTCTGGGATAATGTACGGAGTACACACCTGCCCCAGGATGGGCAGTAGAGTACGATAATACAAATTACCACTCCAAGATCTCCTCGACTCTTCAACCCCATATTAACATACTTTCTTGTTGCATATTTCAACGTTCTGCCCTGAAGACGAGTGGCTCTCTCAATATGAACTGACGACACCATAGTGGGTCACGGTCGCCCGCCGAAATGAAGCTCCACCAGGGGCAGCCCCCAAACGCTCAGATCGCTTGGCTACAGTCCATAACTCGATTCGACGGAACTCCACCCATCCACCTGCTAAGCACTCACTATTTGCAACCAAGCCGGAAAGTGGAACTCGGTGGTGAATTTGGTTCTGGAACCGTCACTCCTTTCCTCTCGAGGTTGAACTTGAGTTTACGAACCACTTTGCATCGCACTAAATAATGCTTGGTTCGTCGAGATGGTTCAACCGTGGCTTCGGGTCAGGGGCTGGATGAACTTCTGGATCTGCTCCACTGCGGCTGATCCCATGCGTTCGCAGATACGAGCTTTGGAACAGTGGCGTTACGGTACTGAAGACTTCTAATATGGTTTGTTGTGTGGGAGAAGTGGTTTGAAAAACGGTCATAAATGGTGACATATGAATTAAGGAATGGTGGAGGGGCAGAGTGTCATCCGCTGAAATGTACATAAAAGGTCTGGGATATACAAAGATAGTGAGATGAAAAGAGGGTAGAAGAAATCAAGAGTCGTCAAGGCCTCCAATCTAAGAGGACCGGCTGTCATGTGCATGCACCTGCACCCCATTGGGCTCAGGGTGCTCATCATATTCATATGCAGAGACGGGCTCGTGCGAAATCTCAATCGTGGTTTCTTGATGCACACCACCAAAGTTCGACATTTCCATATCGTTCTTATTGACAATGTCATCGGTCGAATCGTCGAACGGGCTGGTTGCCTTGACATCGACATGGTTTCCGCTCTTTTGGAATCGAGAGCCGAGCCGAGATCCTTTGCTGCGGAACTTGCGCGGCTTAGAACCACCTTCAGTCGTGATGTTGGTTTGCCATTGTGAGTCGGTGTTGTTGTCGTAGTTGTGGTCGGTAGTGCTGTGTTCGGTGTCGAGTAGCAAATGACGGCGTGTCAATGTATAGACCATCACATCAAAGAAACCAGATAACGCCATCAGGCAACCAGCAACGCCGAAGTAGGTTTTGCTGGGCGCATCACCCCTGGCTGTGGCCATGCGACCAGCGGCGAGAGGGAGCGACAGGATCAGATATAGCAGCGGATAGACAACCATGTAGATGACAACACGGTTAAGACGCTGTAAACTTTCTTGTTGGCCACGGCGGAGGATCTTCGCTTGGTTCATACGCTGGCGGAGATAGAAGAACATAATGGCGTAGAGCGCAACGGTGCCGAATTCGGATAAGAAGATCCAAATGTAGTGGCCCCAAAGGCGCTCATCTTCATATTGAGGGCTCAGCCAGCACTGTGCAGTACGGTTAGTTGGGAAATGACAAGCACAGGTCATAGGAATGCGACATACCCAATTGGCCTCAGAAACCACGAACACTTTCTCGCCATAGAGACCGACAGGAATGAATCCCAAAATGAGAATGAATGCCCACAGTGCAACGACGCACCAAGCGAAGACACGGAATGATAGTTGGCGACCACGCATGACGATTGCACCCGTGTGCAAGGCAATGGCTAAAACGAATAATCCACTCCCGGGATCAGCTGTCATGATCCACCATCCTTGTAAATAGCACGCTGCCTCGCCGTAGTGGACGCTGCCCCGTGAGACCCAGTAGAGACAAATAAGGAAAGCGATGGCTTGTTGTAAATCGACGAGTAGCAAGTTGTAAATGAGAACGACGTATTGATTCTTCGCGAGAGGGTTTTTGTAGTAGCGTTGCCAGTATACGAATCGATAGGTCAAAAAGCTGAGTAGGAAAAGAGAGGACACCATCGAGATCAGGGCAATGATCCCCATAGCAATAAAGAGCGACCGGTCAGACCCTCGCAGAGGGACCTCTTCGTGGAATTCCCACTTGCGGCGAGCGAGAGAGGCATTATCTTCGAATGTAAGGGAGCGTAAGACGTGGAAAAGCATGGCGAAGGGGCCGTGATTGTCGGACAATCGTCGAGCGGTAAAATGAGGGGCGCCAACAGTATATAAGAATCTGTGTCGGGGAGCAGGACGCTGGAGCCAGCGGAGTACATAGCGGACATACTTCCCCGATGTTCTCCACTCAGGCCGTGCGAAAAGGCTTCGCGATTCTTAGCAGTCAAGTCCCATGGTACACGGTATGAACTAACACACTAGTGTTATTACCAGTTCATGTGGAGTGAAGAACCGCACATGAAGGATGTACGCGAATAAACTCTATGCCAATGTAGAGGGAGAAAAAGGGTACGATACACGCGTTGCACGAATGCCCTGCGTAAGACCCAGATTTCCAAATGGGGAGAATAACCGGTAACCGGTCACTACTAGCACGTTCCACCGACGTACATTGTAGTCGTATTAGATCGCTTCGGCTTCCGCAAAGCGGCTCTGATCGACATCGGAGATATCAACCGTGACCCTCAGTGTTGCGTGAGGACGAATAACATGCTCGTGGTTGGTGAGTGGCAGTGCCATTGACGAGGTGGGTTTTCCTGGTTCGTATTGGAGCCACACTCTCCGTATGTAGATCCACAATTGGCGATCGGGTGTTTGAGAATAATCAGATTGCACTTCGGTGCACAATCATCCATATGGTGAGTGGTCCAGGCAAACGTGGGGCCCAAAAAAAGACCTGCCCCTGGACAATGACGAAGCATTGGAAATTGAATTTGATACCTCGATGCAGAAAGCTCCGAAATGATGACAGGCTTGGAAATCGCCCCAGATCTGCCAACGTGTGAGCGGGTCAGCGAATCGCAATGAAGCCATTGGAAGTTTATATGCACTCATTTTTGAGTGATGTCCGTGTTGATGCCCCACCCTGGCAGGAAAGATACCTAAATCATTGCATGATTCAGGGATGCGCCGGTGATCAGGGTCAAAGTGTACCAAGTAGTCGATGATAATCGTATGAAGTGGATGAGGGTCACAGCTTGATCGGAGGGAAAGTTACCGCCCGCAGGTAGTTTCGAATCAACAGAGGTGAGCACGAGAAGTCTTCACTTCACCCGGTGATGATTATTTGCTGTGGCTCAACACAGCTGGCTTAAGTAGCATTCACACCCAAAGTTCTTCAACAAACACGTCTCCGTGGCGCAATTGGTTAGCGCGTCTGACTGTTAATCAGGAGGTTGGAAGTTCGAGCCTTCCCGGGGACGTTTCTTTTTGCTTTTGTTTTTTTTTTCCCTCAACACAATCACAACATTGGAACTATGAAATGAAGAGTACTATGGCTGATTTCACACTTCTTTTTCCTTGGATTATTTATTCCCATCAATTTTACGTCCTAATATTGAATTGCAATTGAGGCTCTCATAATATTACCAAGGGGGCTGAGCCAATGCAACCTGAAATGCAGTGGCCCATGTACTCTGGACTGGTGATAGTTGGGTAGGTCAGGTAGTCGACAGCTACAGAATATACGGTAGCATCGCATCTCGCGTCGACTGCGCATCTAGTAACTTCGTCTGCAGATCGCATGAAAATAGAAGCCAAGATATGCCATGTCTCACTGCATAGTCCATTCCCAGTCAACCCCACATTAACAGCCTGGTCCTATTGCACCGGTTTTGCGACTTGGTGATGGCGGATGTATCGGCTGATGGTGGACCAGAACGAAGACTTCCGATTTGGATAGTATCGCCTGAGCATATGAGACCTAAATGCAGTGAGGGATGTCGAAAAATAGATCTCTTGGCTGGAGGCCTGTTGAACAGAAATATATAAACCTCGTCCGATGAGCGACTGGAATGTATCAATCCAAACAAACATTCCACAACAATAAAACCACTTCACAAATTCTCTTTTCCACTTCAATCAATTTCAAAATGAAGTCTGTCATCGCATTCACCTCCGCCTTCCTGGCAACCTTGAACCTGGTCACCGCTGCTCCCGCTCCGGCCGCAGCCCAGGCTGTCTCCGTCTCTTACGACCCCAAGTTCGACATTGGCACCACTTCCTTGAGCACCGTCACCTGCTCCGACGGTAGCAACGGCCTGCTCACAGCAGGATATACTGATTTCGCGTCCCTCCCAATCGCCCGCATTGGCGGTGCCCCCACCGTTGCGATCTGGAACAGCCCGAACTGCGGTGCCTGCTACAAGCTTCACTACTCGAATGGCAAGGTCGACGAGTCCATTACTGTCATTGCGATCGATTCTGCCCCCGGTGGCTTCAACATCGGGAAGGGGGCCATGGACCTGTTGACCAACAACCAGGCTGAACAGCTCGGCCGCATTGACGCTACCTACGAGTTGGTGGCCGACAGCGAGTGCGGCCTGTAAAGGTTGCAACACATATATGTGATTACGAAGGATTGACTCTGTACACGAAAGTCCTAATAATAATACGTTGAGAGAGTGAACCGGTCTAATGTTTTTTTTTTCGAGTTATACTTCAGAGATCAACACCTTGAGATATGAGGGGGATGAGATCCTAGAGACAAAGAGAATTTGATACCTACCGCTCTATTCTAGCTTCAGAAATTGTACAACGATAGTAACGCGTAGGCAGCTCATGAATGGAAAAATTCTGTGCGGTGTACGGAGTACTCCCGAGGTCCCTGCTACCCACGGAGCCCGCGTGCTGAGGTGCCAGGTGCCAGGTGGGAGTCTGTGACTTCCATTCCAAGGCTGGCCGCAGGCCATTCCGATGGGGCTTGGCTTGATGCAAGGGACGAGCCCACACAGCTTCGTACTTGGCAATATTGCTGGAGCTAGCCGTCTCTGCAGTCATGGAAATGATACATGATGGATGCTACTTTGAAATCCTACACCGACGGGGTTTATAACTGGGAGAAAAAGAAATGTGCCGGTGCTTTTTGAAGGCTCTCATGCAGGGCTGCAGGAACGCAGCATCCAAAGACACCAGTATGCTCTACAAATGGCTAGTGAAAGATTATACCCCCGCCAATTATTTCGTGGAAGATGTTAGTATCCCACGTGTCAAGTTTGACTCGAGGCTTGCCCACAAGTCCACCGAGTCTCTTTTCCTCATTGTCGATCCGCAACCAGTCCTCCCAGGAAGTCGGACGCAAGCCAAGGCGCTGGGCCTCGGCCTTCACACCGTCCCAACCTAGCCCACTACTTTGGTTAGGCGAATGAAGTAGGGACTTGGAATCGCCATTTTTGGCAAGGTCCTGCACAATGCTGTCCGCAGTGGTGAACGCATCTGTCATCGTCGAGGCAATGACACCAGTCGGGCCCCGCTTGACCCAACCAGCGCAGTACAGTCCAGGCAAATGGGAAATGAGAGACCCATCTGGTAAATCTTCGGGTTTGCCCTTGTTTGTGAGACTTGTGATACGACCGAAGCCGTCATTTGGAAGAATTCCGCGCTGGGTGTCGAAATCAATGCCGAGATCTTCGATCCCGGGAAGAGGAAGGGATTTGTAACCAACGCTACGGAAGAAAACACTAGCCGGGATATCGACATGGTCCCGCTGGCCATCGAAAGAAGTCTTGGGGATAACCTTGGAGCTGGGACTGTGGGGATCTGAGGGGTCGAGTTCATTACAGGAGAACTTAACACTTGAGACATGGTCCGGGTGCTCGGGTGACCCGTGAAGAGAGTCGGGCGCGAGCAAGAAATCCAATGACCACGACTTTGGAGATGTTTTAGGGTCATTGCTTGATCCCTTGCCTAGCAGTTGCATGATACGCTTCTGTGCTCGGGGCAATCCCGAGATCACACTGTCTGGTGGGAAGACATCCTTGGGAATCTGATCAAATGAGACCCCCGGAAGCTGGAGCATTTCCCGTAGTTCTTTGATTGTGAATGCAGCCTGTGCGAAGTTAGTTAGAAATTGGAAATCCAGATAAGCCGTGTGCAAATTACCTGCAGGGGTCCACGGCGACCAACAACGTGAACCCGTTTGATGCGGCTCTGGGAAAGCTTCTCTATAGCGTATTCTGTGATATCAGTCTTTGAAAGAGTACTGACATCGGAGAGAAGGATTCGAGCAACATCAAGTGCAACATTCCCTTGTCCGACAATCACAGCAGTCTCCCCGCTCAGGTCCGGGTCAAGGTTCCTGTGCTCGGGGTGGCCATTGTACCACCCAACAAAGGCACGTGCTGCGTGCACATTATCCAAGGTATTTTCGCCTGGGATTCCGAGCTCTTTATCTTTTGTGGCTCCATATGCGAATAGGATGGCATCGTAGTGAGGTTTGAGTGCGGCAAGCGGCAGATCGTTTCCGACGTCAACATTTCCAACAAAGTTGAGGTTCAGCGATGAAGCGACCTCCATAAACTTGTCTTCACAATTCTATTTGCAAGAGCGCATTAGCTGACATTTTCAATTGCTGATGACACGGCTACATCGTGGTTGATCGTGACTCACCTTAACCTCGGGATGATCCGGGGCAACGCCATATCTCGATAGTCCAAATGGAGTGGGAAACTTCTCATACATGTCAATCAGCATATCCTCGCGCTTAGCCAAGAGGCGATAGGCTGAATAGAAGCCTGCTGGGCCGGAGCCAATGATGGCCACACGGGGCGGGCGATTGCTTTGCGCAACATGACTGTTGAACCGCTTAGATGGGTATCGAGACAAAAGACATTTCACATGTAGAGCTGGTCTATGAGAGAGTCTCACAGTGCATTGCGCACGTACAACAAGCTGATGCGAGCGCATTGTGCATGGTCATAAAGATGCGGAGATGATCGGAGAAGATCAGATAGTGCACGTGACCTGTTATCGACAGTTGCCGTGACAACAATCTTGTTTGCTGTAGGCGCTCACTTAGGCACGCCCTAGACTGCCGGGCTGACAGTCGCATTCCAGCATCCGACATTCCTCTCCTTTGCTTCGCGTGGATGCCACGATCCTTCAGTCGCTACAATGGGGACCTCGTCACCTCCATTCCTTTATGATCGCCCGGGTAATTACAGTTTCAAGGGCCCGACCGATCGCGGGTTCAACCCGAGGGCCGCAACCGAGGCAAGCTGGGCTCAACCAGTCGAAAAGCCCAAACAGAAAGGGCCCTTGGTGAATTTCAACCGGCACCCCGATACGGTATGCTTGATGATGTGGCTATTGTGGATTTTTGGCTAATGGTGGGTGCAGTGGGGTTCTTTTAATACGGCCACTTCATTTACGCCGATGAACCCAAGAACCAAGGATCGGGTGAAATATGCACGGACAACTCAATTGGCTCTCCGTGTGGTCACTCTTTTGGGCGCTCTAGGCTCTTTGTTCTGCGCGGTTGTTATCAAAGGAGCCGCTGCGACTATTATTTGGATCATACGCGCCGGCGTAAGTCGAAATTTCGCGCAGCAAGTTGATTTTCACTGACCTGTACTACAGCCAATTGTCGCGATCCTCCATACAATCTATGGTATTGTACACAATTCTCGATCTGTGATCAACAGACCCGCCGGATCCCAAGCCAGCTATGGCGTGTTTGCATCGACTCTTGACTTTGGACTCGTCCCCTTCTACGTCTTCACTGCATACATCGCGTATGAAGAATGGATCAACAATGCATACAACTGGGGGACTCTTTTCAACAACAGTGATATTACACCTACACTGACCGAAGCTACGTTCATTCTGGCCCTCGCAAATGGTGCTTTTCACCTCGTGTCTCTCGCCATCTCTATCTTCTTGGCTGTAACGTTCCGCAAGATCGGCCAACTGCCGCCTGACATGAACCCCCTCGAGGATAATCTGACTGCACGCCCCCGTAAGAGTCGCAAGGACGCCGACGTGGATGAAAAACACCTTAGCCAGTCGACTATGAACTCTTCATTCGAGGACCCGCTCATTGGATCTCCTCGGAGTGTGCCATTCTTCCATACACGCGACCAATCTCTAGGCGACTCTAACCATGGATCAATGACTATGGCAGAGGAGCAACGGCAATCCTACCCCCCAGTCCTTCATCATCGCCTCTCTCACTTGGAATCCCCCACAGAACCCTCAAGTCCAGAAATGCTTTTCCATCACCCTGCCAGTCAGCCATTTGACTTGACATCGACATCACCAACCCCCACTCCGGAGTACAGGAAGGTTGCCTCCCATGCTCCAGAAATTATCAATGCCACTGCTCAAATGCGTCATCTGTCATCTCGCACTGCCGACCGATCGGATACCGTCAGCCCGTTGTCTGACAATTGGGTCGCTTACTCGGAGCGATCGTTGTCTCCGGAAGCGCAGAACATGAATGAAAACACTCTCCACCAGTCCTCCTCCGTTTACAGCCGCCAGACCGAAAAAACTTCGAATTCGACCGGCAGCGGCATTCGAGATTGGTTTGCCTATGGGTCCAAACCTACGCCCAGCATTGGAAGTGCTATTCCAGAGGATGTTCGCGGAGAGTATTCTTCGCTCGCCATGCACGAGTACTACGGTATTGATGATCGCGATTACGAGCAAGATGTTGGCGACCAGCGCATGGATATTTTCCCTGACCCGGAGGAGCATAACGATGACTTTGCTGACAATCGTGATGACTCTATTCCATTCAACCCTCTTATGCTTAATCCACCGACCCCTCAGCCTATTTTGACTGAGATCTCCGAGAACACCGACCCTGTTCGACGTGTCGCCTTGAGCGACCATCCCAATCTTTCATACAACGAAAACTCCCAACCCGTCTCCGTTCCACACGAGAGCCCTAAACTTTCTTCGCCCAAGACTCGCTTCTATGGTGAGCTTGACGTAGATGGAAAGCCAGGACTCGGTCTGGATCGTGAGCCTAGTGTCCAGCTAGCCCGAAAGCCCACCAAGTTGACGAAGAAGCAAAGCAAGAAGATGTCTGCCTACGCTGCCCTCAAGAAGGACGACAGCGGCGACGAAGCTGGATACCTCTCTCCCAAGATTCCTACTTCCCCTCGTGCTATCGAGGGTGATCGCAAGGGCCGCGTTGTGAGCAACACTGGTGCAGACACGGCCAGACCTGGTATTGCCGCTGGCGTCGGGGCCTCTTTGTCCTCGTATGGCAGCTACATTGCCGGTTTGGGCGTTGGACGTCGCCGTGATGTGAGCGGTAAAGTTGCCGAGGAAGGTCGCAGTGCACCACTTGTCGAAGAACCCGTCCCGAACTTGACCCCAGCACCCTCGCCGACTCGGGCAGCGGGATGGGCTCGCTTTGCTGGACTCTAGGTGCGACATTTCATATCATCTGATATACGGAGTTTGACGGTTTGTATTCATGAACGGCATGTAGCGATTTTTTTATTTGATTCTGACTAGGACTTTGTTACCCTTTTCCCACTTTGGTTTTATGGAAATGTGTATGGATTGGACTTTGTGTGACTTTTTCTCGAACTTTGTATGTAGCTATGAATCTCAATTGAACACGCTCAGCATGATGAAATGTAGTTCTGCTGCCTGGAAAAAAGAAGCAAGTAAAGATTCCTACTTGACGAGTTTGGGGAAGTGGGCTACGTAAATACATGCATGCCGGCGTCGGGACGGAAAGCCCGTACATCTCCCGAGGTCAAAAATCTGTACTGCAAGTGTTCATAGGTAGACCATGGCAACACTTGGGTACACATCCATGGATGGACCTTGGGAGCCAAGTCAGATGAGGGCGAACCATGCACTGCGTGCAAGATCCTCATCCAAGACACTTCCAAGGTTCGTCCATATCGTCCATGGGCTGATGGTAACCTTCCAAGGTTGGAGGGTTGGAATAGTCCTAATATGAGATCGTATGGGAACACGTACTATACTCAGTACTCCAGGGCCACTGGGCAGCACCTGGGCATTCGAGATCCACGATTCGCAAGTCTACATTGGGAAATCAAAGCCGTTGCCCCACTTAAGCCTTATCAATCAGTGAAGCCCCGAGGTCTAGAGCCAATTAGGCACTAAGCTCCGTATCACCGATGGCCACGCATTTATATTTTCAATATCCCAGATGTCTCAAGAGCCCATTGCAAAACCAAAATGCAGTCAAAGTACCTATGGATGATATGCGCCGGGCTCGCATCCGCCACCGAAGACGAACCCGCCAACGCAAACCACATCTTTAACGCCATTCAATCAACACTACGACACTATGAAACAGCCCTCAATCCCTACGGCATGTCCTTCCACCTCGCGACAGCCCCAAAAGGCACCCGCTTCTACCACGGAACAGGCTCTTCAGAACCTATCACCGGAGTCGAATGGCTAGCCTTCAAACCACAACACTCACTCGGCTTCGCCCACCGCAGCGGTCACAAGGGGAAGAGATCAGACATTCAGCAGCCGCTCAACAATCCCTCAAACACCGGCGTCGACTCTAAAGCTCAAGCTGGATACTTGCACACTTATGCCGCGGCCAAGGATCTCCGCCTCCTGTATATAGACGGCATGTCCGCAGGGCCAGGCGGGGCGCTCGAATCCCAGGATCGAATCCTGTTCAACGACACAATTCATTCTCCACCCCCTGGTCCTCGTCCACCTGTTGGTGGGCCGCCCGCCGAGAAGGAACGTGCATTCCAGACATGTCGGATGGCGAAAGAGGTATGGGGGGATCGGATTGATGGGGTTGTGCGCACGGAGGGAGACTTCGAGATTCTTCTCTGTTCGTTCGAGCGGGATATGGAGGTTGTGAGGATCACTCAGACAAAGCCACAGGAGGGGCGACGGACTGGGCCTCGGGGGACTGGGCCTGGTTCTCGTTCTGGGAGTCCGAAGAAGCTGAATGGGCCTGGTAGGGGTCGTGGCCCTGGCTCTCGTGGGCCTCGTGGCCCGGTCAGGGGTGATTGCTGCTCTGTTGCTGCTAAGTATGATCAGTCATTGGGACGCAAGGTTCACTTGGATTTCGATCATTTTGTTTCGGCTTTTGCGTACGGCTTGGATCTGTTTCCTGACGACTCTGGCCGTCCTGTCTTGAGTCATATCCCAACCGAGCTGCTGGAGCCTGTGAGACGGGATATCAATTCCATGATTGAAACCAGGGAACCATCGTTAGGTTCTTTTGACTGGCAGCTCGTTGCTGATATGATTGTTTACCGGTACTCGGAGGAGTTGCAGATTCTTGCCGCTGGTGACTTCACTTCCGTCGATGCAATTCGTGAAAGAATCGAGGCGATTCTGGAGCCTTTCATTGATTATAGGGAGTCTGGCGCGAGGAATGATGTCGTTGAACTCTGTCAGAATGAATTCATTCCGGCCTCTGCGCCCACCGAGTCGGTTGGCGGACGTGTCATTGCTTCAATTTCGAGGACCGTCTGCTCCACTTTAGTGTCGGGACTGCTTGATGAAAAGGATCTCAATAACACGGTGGAGACCTTCAAGCAGTTGTCTGAGTATCTGAACTGGACTACATGGAAGGCCAAATAATTACGCGGGTCTTTGCTGGCATCATTGACTGTTATGCTTGCCATGTTTTGATGCCCATAAGCACTGGTGGTCTCAGCGGCTGAGCCGCTTGACCCAGGCTACATGTACATATTGCCTACAATGTTAGAATGTGGAGTTGTTGAGATTTCCCGAGGTCACTGAGTTCGCTTATTATGCTACTGTATATGTACATAGTCACAAGGGTGGACTGGATTGTCGATGCCAGGAGGTTGGACATATCAAGCGGAAGAGAATCTTGTTCAACATGCCAAGGGTACCAGTCAAAGGTAGCAATCGCGACCAGGGGCAACGAGCTGCCACGACATGCGGCAAGCTTCGGAGAAGCAGACTTGCTCGTATCAGCCCTCGACGGATTGGATCAGTGCAAACGAGCGGAAGACTCGATCATCCATCACGCGGAGTCGGATGCCAAGGTTGTAAAATTGCAGGTCTTGCGGGGATTGAGGGATTTTCCGTGGAAGTTGTCCGTCACGGCATTGAATCAATAGAACAATGAGCCACCAGGTAAAAATCTACGTCGCTGCCAATCATGGCTCGGTAGTAATTCGACGAGCCGAAGTGAAGATGGGTTTTCAATCTTTACCGTCTCGCGTCGACCCCACGGCAGGCGGGTCCGCGACCTCGGGACCCGCTTGCCCCGATGCATCTGTCGATGGTGCCTGAGAAGTCGTCAATTCTCCAATTTGTCTCTCTGTGAGGAAAAGTCAGCACGCATGCTCCCAGCCATTCCACTGCTGGAGTGGAGTTTCCCTGCAAATTACAAGGTGAAACGGGGTTCTCACCTAGTTCCCGAATCCGTTGCCGAAGAAGTACGTTTTCCCGGCCTAGCGAGCTAGCCTCGGCCTGGTAAAATGCACTTTCATCCCGACTTCCCCGCCGAGACATGTTCTCCCGCAACCCCGGGAACGGCTCCACGCCCTCCGGTCCCCGCGAGTCGAGGGGTCGCAAATTCGGGGAAGTTGCCTGGCTCTCAGGTCGCGAGGGTCGGCGGTTTGAGAGCGACGACGAAATCGATAGCCTGTTGCCGGCTGGGGGTGGTGGGCCGGGGGGAAAGAATGCTGACCGCTCCGAGGAAGGAGTAGTGTCGTCGATGGCCGCGGATGACTGTGGGTTCTGTGGTGGTTGGTTCTGCTGATACTGATGAAGCTGGGCTTGCTGGCTGCGAATCATCTGCAAAAGACGATTCTACGGTTCATCGTGATTAGCCTACTCTGTTCCTTCCAATGACGGGTATTTGCAAACTCACCACCTGTGCTTCCTGCTCTTGCTCCAACTCCTGGTGTAGCTCGCCCAAAGATGGTGCCCGCTGGTGATGGGGGTCTGCTGTCGCGAAGATAGGACTTCCTCCGTGGCTGGATGGGCTGGCTGTACGGAAAGCATGCCCGATGGAGCTGCGATGATCGACCGGGGCCTCGCTATTGGCCTGCATGTCGTTCAAGTTTAGATTGATACCAGCAGCGGACCGACGCCGCTCGGATACTGACAAGCGGCCGATGCTCGAGCCCCGGGAGGGTCTGGGGGAGGTGCTCGGATTTGCGGGCACACCGTTGCCAGGTGCAGTAGCCATGTTACGGGCTTGGGCGGAGGATGAGATTGAGGATGAGCGAGATGGGGGAAGAGAGTTCAAGTCTGGTGACATCCTCCAGTGGACTTGATGCCAGAAGATGATGATCAGATTCGGGAGCTCTGTCTAAGTACGTCAGACATGCTGCAGCTCGGGAGCCGCTGGATCCATTTCGCGGGGTCGGCCACGTGACTATATACATACATGCCTCAGGTGTCAATAGCATCCCTTCCAATGTCCACTGTTCATAAGAACTATCCTCCGTGACAGGGCACAAATGCCGTGGAATGATGCAGGGACTATTCTGTAACCCTTCTTTTGTATAGGTTTACGCTCCGAGATGACTGGCATGTATGGAAAACCGAATACAGAAAACAGACCCGAACATGGTCGAGACCAGGAGTACCACAGGGTCGACTGAGCCACATGAAATCACCCCTGGTTGAGAACCAAATGCATCGCAGGTGGCGGTCTAGCATGTCGCCTCCCTGTATAGTCCTGTACCCTGTAGACGTTATAGAGATCGCCATATCGCGTGGCCATACGATCTTGTCGATCCAGCGCCATGTGCAGGAATGTAAGGTGGTATTCGGCCCCGGGTCCGGGCTGCGTTTCTGGATGTTTCCGGACGACGTACGGAGTACAAGGGGTTCCACCCTCGGCGATGTGACTTTCAAAAACTTTGTCTGGGCCTTTTTTCCGCCGAGAGGTTCTTCTGGACTAATTGCAGAAGCATCAAACCGCAAAGGATCGTGCCAACGCCACCGCAAGGGATGGCAAATTACTATGTACTGCTGGCCTGATATACCCCGAGTCTGCAGATCGAAGGATTTCGAAAAGAGAAGGAGAAAAAAAAAAGAAAAAAAAAAAAACCACAAATGTCATAAATAAGCAATGTCAGGGAAGATCCACCCACCCTGGATGGTAAGCGGAGTCCGAGCGGCACTCAGAACAAGAGTCGGGGGGCCCCTGCCATGACGATCGCGAAACGCCACGGCCGTAATCAAGCGCGCCATGGGCAGCGGTTTTGGTGCATTTAGCCGTAAGGCCAGGTCTTGGTCCCGTATGATCCACGAACACTCTGAGCGGCCTGACGTCAGTTTCTCAGGGCAAGCAAGTAATGTGCGATCTTGGCAATGTCTTGTTCCAGATTTCAGATATTGAATCCTTTGTGACTAAAGTGTTTTTTTCAAAGATAGACCATATTCGATATCCGGGGAAAGCCATGCGGCCGCACGGTCGTCAATTATATCCCAACTCCTTGCCTCGCGGGGCACCGTATGACCCCTCGATCGGGGTATAGCATCGTTTCAGCGTTGACTTGACGTTGCAGAGGACAGAGTAGGCATCCCGAAGCGGGCACTGTTATCGGCCCAGAACGGCATCTTCGGCCAAGATGCACGGGAAAAACCGTAGTCATCGCTTCTCCAGTCCCTGGTGTGGGTCGTACCCCGTTGCGGCCTCGCCGAGTTGCCGTTTCCGGAAGGTTTTCAGGTCAACCCGAACAGATGGATACCATCAAAGGATGCCTGGGTAATGTCAATTGTTCGTTGAAATGGTAGAAATCGCACCGTACTCGTACTGAACCCCGAGTCTGGGGAATTGACCGGGGATAAAAAGTGGAAAAGTGGAAAAAGTGGGTATGCATCACCCACGGGGTAACGATCAGAGCGAGTCGGCATCCCGCCGGATTACATTGTCGATACAGTAAAGTACAGATGTCAAGATACTTACGAAAAGTCTGGAGAACAGTGGATCCGGCTTCCAAGGTTTGGTACTGCATTTGGCTCTTGCCCACCGTTTTCATATTTAATCCTCTTTTCTCCCTTCTGTTTTTCTTTTTCTTCTTCTTGATCTTCATTCCCCTCTGAACCTGAGATTTTGTTTATCTGTCCTGCCGTCACCATGGCCATCGATAAACATGGAAGGGACACTGTGCAGGCAGCCGAAGCTGCCCATGCCCAAGCGGTTGTCAATGCCGCCACCGAGAAGCTGGAGGAGGACCAGTGCGAGGAGGCATTAGCCTCCCCATCGGGTCAGATCGAGCTCACGGAAGATATGTGCTATGATCAGTTGGGATACTCCTTCAGTGAAACCAAAAAATGGACCATCATCACCGTGATCTTCCTGGTGCAGGTCTCCATGAACTTCAACACATCACTCTACTCCAACGCCCTCGGAGGTATATCCGAAGAATTTGGGGTCTCCATGCAAGCCGCACGATGCGGTGCGATGATCTTTTTGGTTCTCTACGCCTTCGGATGTGAGCTCTGGGCCCCGTGGAGTGAGGAGCTGGGTCGCAAGCCCATCCTCCAGGCTTCGCTGTTCCTCGTTAACGTCTTCCAACTTCCCGTGGCCTTGGCCCCCAACTTTGCCTCTATCATGGTCGGCCGTGCCCTGGGAGGTCTCTCGTCGGCCGGCGGTTCGGTTACCCTGGGTATGATCGCTGATATGTGGGAGCCCGATTCCCAGCAATACGCTGTTGCTGCGGTGGTTTTCTCTTCCGTCGGTGGATCTGTGCTGGGCCCCGTTGTTGGTGGCTTCGTCGAGGCTTTCCTGCCGTGGCGGTGGGCTATCTGGATTCAGCTGATTTTCGGTGGATTTGTGCAAATCCTTCACTTTGTCCTTGTCCCAGAGACCAGAACCACCGTGATGATGGACCGTATTGCTAAGAAGATGCGTACGTCCGGCGAGAACCCTCAGATCTATGGTCCCACCGAGGGCATGTCCTTCCGTGAACGGTTCCCACCTTCTGAGATCATGGCGACATGGATTCGTCCCTTCAAGATGTTCCTTACCGAGCCTATTGTCTTGGTCCTTTCTCTACTCAGTGGTTTCAGTGATGCTCTGATTTTCATGTTCATCCAATCTCTTGCTCTGGTGTACGACCAGTGGGGCTTCAACACCTGGGAGAAGGGTCTTGCCTTCATTCCTATTGTCATCGGTTACTTCATCGCCTGGTTCTCATTCTTCCCGGTCATCAAGCGCAACATCAAGGAGCGCAATGATCACCCGGAAAGTGAGCGTGCGCAATACGAATCCCGTCTGTGGTGGCTACTGTACACTGCCCCTTGCCTGCCTATTGGTCTGATTGGCTTTGCCTGGACCAGTCTGCCTTCCACACACTGGATCGGATCTATGATCTTCGCTGCCATCATTGGTATTGCCAACTACGCTATCTACATGGCAACCATTGATTATATGATCTGCGCCTACGGCCCATACTCTGCTTCAGCCACTGGTGGCAATGGATGGTCTCGTGATTTCCTTGCTGGTGTCCTCACTATTCCGGCCACACCTTTCTTCGAAAACATTGGTGGCGAAAGGCACCTTGAATACGCCTCGACCATTCTCTTCTGTATTTCGGTTCCCCTGGTTGTTGCCGTCTACATCATTTACTGGAAGGGTCCCACACTTCGCAAGCGCTCTCCCTTTGCCCAGCAACTCGAGGATGCCCGTGTCCAGTTGCACACCAACATCGACAGCCGACGTGGATCCAAGGTCCCCGAAGAGTCCCGTGCAAACTCCTGGGCTCGATCCCAGCAGGACCTACGCATCCGTCCCAACGCTGGAAGCCGAGGCAATTCGCGAGTCAACTCGCGAGTCAACTCCCAAGCCAACTCGCGCGTCGCTTCCCGACGCAACAGTGCCGTCAATGCTTAAGTATGTGACTTATATTCACAATCGACTCCGGTGGAAGTCGCAAGATCACCTTGACCCGCATGGGAAAATCTGCAGTGATCCCTATCTCTTCTCTGTGCATGTTTTTGACCGCATGTGTTTTCGCTGTGCGTGGCCCGCTTTCATTTTTGCTCCCGTACTCCGGGCAGATATTCCCCACTCTATGGCTGTGTGTTTCACCCGACGCTATAAGCTGAAGTTGTTGTTTTGTTTCATTGCGGGCGGGCATTTATGAAATTAATAGTCCTTGTCTGCTTCAACCCAAAGACGTTTTGATCTGGAGGGGTGCTATGTACGCTATGAGCGCGATAAAGACTCAGTGATACCAGATACGAATAATACCCTTACTATTTGCTGTACTAAAATTTGACTGTCCAACTTTGTATAGAATTGCTACGTTCGTGAGAGTCATCCATGGAGAAAGCCCTGGAGGCATCACGAGTTGATAAGTAGTGATCTACAGTGGGGATGGATGATCAGGGGCCCAGAGGTCGACGATGATCTCAAATTCCACATGGCTTCTGTAGATCGTCATTAGACCCAACTCCGGGAAGAGGTAGCATTCTTGCTTTGTATCTGTCGGGTAGACTTCCGCTCTCGGATCAACAGACATCCAGGTCAAACAAGCCGATGGCCAATGAATCTGGGAACCACACTGCATTGTGTCGAGATCGAGGTTCTCCGGCTTTGTCAATGAGAGACATCTACCGATGTCTCGTTCCAATAGGGTTGGGGTCACATTGTGGCTTGAATTTGACTCCGGGACAACGCAGCTTAGGTGCTTAGCGCTAAGTTTAAATTGATGGACGTCTTATTCTTGCTGTTCGATATCGAAGATCGGATCATGAACTACAGATCGGAGCAATCGCTGCAGCCTGCACTGTTGCCAGCACGTCTGATAGATTCGGTATAGCTGCGGAGTATGTACCGGGCCCAGGATTCCCACTCGGCACTGTCTATATTCTAAATCGCGAAGCTAGAACTCCAATGCCCTCGAAACACAGCTAATGAAGGAACGATCACGACGCTATTAATATCGCGAAGATTGCAGTCTCAGCTAAGGATGGCCCGTGCACCGGACAGCATCTCCATCCGACGCTCTCCTCTCCAGGTCAACCATCCAGCCCAGCATGAATAGTCTGACCTCTCTTCGCCTCGGCGCACGCCCACTCCGATCCATCACACGATCGCTGCAAGCTCCCGCGTTCCGCCCCCGAATGGCGTCCAGCTTCCAATTCGCCGAGGGCGAAGATGCGCCGCAGCTTACCCGCGACGCGGAGGCGCTACTCCGACAGGGCTGGGCGCGGGACGGTGATGGAATGGGGATTACTAAGACGTTTCACTTTAAGAGCTATTTTAAGGCGGTGGTGAGTGCTGCAATGCGTGAAGCATGGAACATATGAGACCAGGCTGACCCGACTAGGCATTTGTTAATACTGTGGCTGCGGAGAGCGCGTCGAAAAAGCACCATCCGACTATGACTGTGGTAAGTATGAAGGCAAAGAGAAAGAAAAGAAAAAATAGACCAAAACAAGAAAAGGCAAATGAAAAGAGATTAAGGCTGACAACCCCATAGCGGATTGGCTCCGTCGATGTGCACTGGACGACCCATCGCCCGCGCGGATTCAGCCAAAAGGATGTGACAATGGCGCAGCATTGTGATCGTGCTGGTCTGATGGGTGCAGTTGACCCTGGCCAGGGAGCCAAGTGTGGTTGAGGACTGGACACATCTACTGTATATTAGTACACAAAATTGAGCCGTTCAAAGAAAAAAAAAAGCGTCCCAAATGAAGCTAACTGCACCTATCACTGGTAGATCTTCGTTTCCCCACTGGAACTAGTCTGGATGCGAATTCCCCTTGAAATCCTGCTTCTCTTCTCTTTTCCTTTATACCTTCCCCCAATATGGGCATTCCTCTTTAAACCCTCGTGCGACCTGCACGGCAAAACGGCGCAGGCTCACGTTCCGACGATCTTTAAACCTTGTCCTTTTCTTATTTTCTTCTCACCATGAATGAGAGTCAATCTTTTGGGGAACGTCGAGGGCATAAGTTGGCACCGCTGCAGACCAATTTTAGCCGACCAGCGACCAAGCCTCGACTGCAACGCCCTCGACCAACCGAATATCCGAGCACCAATGGATCCGAAGGCCCTGTTCCCCTCCAAAGTCCCGTCAAGCGACAATCCTCCAAATCAAGTTTGCGCAATTTATTCGGGCGTGACAAGTCGCGCGTAGAACCCAAATTAAACGAAATAGTCGAGTCGCAGTTACCAGAGCCCCAAACCGCAATATTGAACCCCATGTCGCCCTCCGTCACGACCCCCCGAACAATAGACTCGGCCCCGACCATCACCTCCCCGACGGACTCGCGATCGCGCAAACCTCGCCAACCAGATCCCCAAATCCCCACTCAGGATCAGTACGGGTGGAAGCCACCCCCGTTATTCCAGGCGTACCCTCAGTCTGCCAAGCATGATACACTGGCCGCACCCGCACTCTCGGCCGATGCAATTTTGCGCCTGCATGCGACAACCGCACGGAGCTCCGCGGAGGAAACACCGGTAAATCCACTGGAGCAGAATGAGACTGCGACTGCGGCGCGCAAGAAGCGCGAGCAAAAGCAGAGGAAGCATCTTCGGACCCTGTCCGGGACAATCAATAAGGTGGAATGGACGCAAAAGATATATGTCTTGGCCAATGTCGGGTATATCCTGCAGTATGCAGGAGACGGGAAGCATGATCGCCTTCCGGAGAGGATGCTACTTCTAGGTCCCAAGTCTGTTGCATTCGCCAGCGATGCGATCCCCGGGAAACACTGGGTGCTGCAGGTCTCCCACAATCCCGCAGACGCGGATTCTAACACCCCAGAGACTCCCAAGCCGCGATTCTCACGATTTGGCTTCCACAAGTCGAATCACCGTCGGTTGTCGCGGAGCTTCTTGATGGTTTTTGATAACCCCGAAGCGATGATTGGCTGGTTGGTCGCAGTCAGAGCCGAGATCGAGAGACGAGGAGGGCCCAAGCTCACGCAGGAGAAGCACTCGGATGAGGACACCATGCCTCAATTGCGATCCAAGTCCAGCATTCGTCAAATGGTGAAAAAGGACCCGCATCGCATCTCTAGCTTGTTCCTGCAGCCGCAAAATCTCCAGTCACCCATTGAGGATGATGGACAGTCAGTTGGCGGGGCTACTTGGCAATCGCGGCGCAGCTCATACACGTCCGTCAACCGCCGTTCGGTCATAGAGTCACGATCTGGGTCCGTTTCAACTGGGCGGACGGATGCTACGAACCCCACCAATGGCTCAATCGCATCAGACGTGCGCTCCTCCTCATTCACTTCTTCCAATGTACCGAATTCGCCGCCGACGAGCGACGGCGTGTATAGATCCGACGAGCCTCTGCCCGAAGAACTTGATCGTATCTTGGCGCGCAGTCCTCCTCCTTCCAGCCAGGGCAAGCGACAATCCTTCTTCACTTCCCCAGCAACGCAGCCTCCTCCAATTGCCGATTTCACGGAAAACCCGAATGATCCACCCCCACAGGCAATCGCTCGCTGCGCTTCACCACCAGCGCCAAACTTCAGTGTCCCCTCGTTCAGCAAGAAATTCGTCCCTCGCGGGGGACCGATCCCCATTCATGCCTCTCCTCCTTCCTCATTGAATGGATTCGTACGGCGGGGATCGGCCGATCCACAAGTGTCCACTTTTACTTCTCCCCCACAGTCTCCAACTTTCAGCGTCGCCAGCTCGCGCTATACAGAGACCTCTGAGCAAAGGCGGGTCCTGCGTCCCTCTAATTCAGAGGATGCGCTAGCGAAGGCTGCACGGTCTACGCAGGGTACCCCGAACTTTTCGCGTGCGCCTTGGACAGCACCTCCCTCCAAGCCATTACCGGATCCTCATGCCCCACGGCCACTCAGTCTGCTTGGGCGTTCTGGCATGGCTCCTCAGACGATCAATGAGAACGACGTTGATACTGCTCCAGCACCAGAGCCACCGCGCAATAAGACTCCGGCGACATCTGATCATCAGGCCTCAACCAATATGCCGCGTCGCAAGAGCATGCCTGGCCTAGGCGTCACCATTGGCCCTCCATCGGCACCACCTCCCAATTGTCCGCTCCCCAAACTACCCACTCCAGCCAACTCCACGAGTATTGCGCCTTCCGTTCCAACTCCGGCTCCAGCTTCAATTCCGGCTCCAGCTCCAGCTCCAGCCCCAGCCCCAGTCACAGTTGTCATCCCCGCTGCCGCTGCTGCCCCCGCCGGCCCTGCCACTCCTGCCACCCCGCAGACACTGTCACCCTGGTCTCCTACCTCCCCGATGGAGCGATTTTATGGGTCACCGCCCGTGCGTGACCATGTCGAAGATCGACGCACAAGTGGCAACCACGCCAACAATCCGGAAACTCAGACGAAGCCTGCTTCAAGAACAACCCGGCACTCCAAACTGGTCAAGGGACCCCCTGTATAATCATCACCTTCAATGACCACACGACTGACATCCATGACCTTCAAACACCTTTGGCATTTCACTGCAATATCTCCCATACCAATACCCCTGAGATACATTCGCTTTACTCTTCATACTAACCTTTCTCTCCTTTCTTCCTTGTGATTCTCCTTGGCATTGGTGTATCAAACACCCCTCGCATCTAATTCTTTGCATCGGGCTCGGTTATACCCGTTTATACCATATTGTTTTGGCTCGCATCTTGCATTTGTCTGTTGGCATTTGCTTCTGTATATATACCCCGTTCCTATAATATTTCATTTGGTACCTTCATTCTTGGACTTCGCGAGTCTGCATTTGGACTTCTTCTCATATCTAGTGCTTTCTCTCAGATTGGTATTCCACTGTCATGGCGTTGGGAATGTTTTTGCATTGGAGCCCGGTCTACATACTATCAAATTGCCTTGTGTATCAACATATAAATGACCGTCTTATCATTTCCAAGATTCCCTCTCAATGCACTCAAGCTAGGCCATACTAGGTATCAAATCTTTAGTAGGACGTCAAGTTGTGTAGATTTGTCAACGGAAGGTCTGAGCTGTAATCCAGACTTTTGGAATAATCTCAATTCATAGAAACAATGCATGAACGCCAGATAAATATGGGAATCAAACTCTGACAAAGAGTATCTCAAACAGGCACCCACGGACTAGCCATGGACTCGGAAAATTTGCACATTGGACTACTCAGGATCCTACTCTTCGACTTCTTCCACCTGAGCAGTCAAGTTCCGCCTCGCCGCAGAGGGAGCAGAGGCAGGTTCGGCGGAGGATGTAGTAGCGGAAGGAGCTGATGCAGGAGCGGATTCAACGGCCGACGCAGACTCAGCCTGGGCCTTGGCTTTGTTGGACTTTTTGCTCTTCTTGGTCTGGATGAATGTTAGCCTTGCTGATTCTCCACACAGGCCGGATTGAGCAGTAAATCATACCTCTTGCCAGCCCCACAGAGGCTTGAAACTGTCGAAGAATCCGACATCCTCGAACAAGTTGGGGAAAAGCCACAGACCGGGCGCAACAGTGAAGACAGTAACACAGAACAGAATCAAACGGAAGATTGCCATGGCGAAGAACAGTCCCAGCAGTCCCATCATACCAACACTCAGATACCACACTCCCTGGCGCAGCATCATGGGCCACAGTGGGAACAGGACAACGGCGAAGATACCTGCCACCACGGCGGCGGCCATCGCCTTTTGCTTCCACTGGGGTCCATCATATAGCCAGACGTAGTGCATCATTGGATCGGTCTCCTGATGCTGCTCGATCTTGACGGTCCAGAGGCCCTTGGTGCGGTTCTTGGGCTTGGCGTGGTTGTGTCCAGCATGCGGGTCGACCTTGGTCACTCGCAGTGCCAGCAGAGAAAGCGGGAGAAGCTTGAATACGTTCTCGGCAGAGGCACGGTCGGTCACGGGGGGAAGGAGGGAGTTTTTCTTTGCGGCGGCTTTTGCGTATGCGGGGGATTCAATGGCGCGAATTGCTCTTTTGACTTTGAATGGGGAAAGATGGAGGTTAGACTGGCTGGATTCCAGTAATTGGCCCGGATCACTGCTCACCTTTGAACATGTCCTTGCGCTGCCCGTCCATGATACATGTACGTGGCTTGAGGTTCTGCGACCGCAGCCAGTTGGCCACGGCAATCGCCTTGGGATCAGGAGGGTTGTTGGGGTTCACGGGAACCTGCTGTGTAGTCTGATGCTGGTGTTGCTGGGGAGCAGGCTGTTGAGGCTGCTGTTGTCCCTCGGCTTGTGCTTGTGCTTGTTGTTGTTGCTGGTGAGCTTGGTATTGTTGCTGATGAGCTTGCATTGCTCGCGCCCGCAACTGCAAAACGTATTGCTCGGGGGTCAGGCCGAGTTTGGCTGCATCGGCTGTGAGTTGCTCGCGTTGCTTCTCGGCGAACTGCTGGGGCGTCATCCCTCGTTTGGCGGCTTCTGCGGCGAACTGCTGTTGCATGGCCGCCATTTGCTGGGGGTTGGGGCCGGGCGCGGCCATGGTGAAAATAGACGATTGTATGTGATCTGATATGAAGGATAAGGAGGAATGGGAAATGGTGTTGGAAAGTGCCCAGGTGCAGATGTGAAAGAAAGAAAGAGAAGTGGCCAGATTGACTCGGCTGATTTGCGCTCCGCCCTACCGACACGGACTTCCTCTGCGGGATCACCGCTTTGCATCTGTACTCCGTACGGTCACTATGCTCTCGGTCTAGTCTTCTTTTTCTAGTTTCAACGCTCAATGTCAGTGACTTATGACTCTTCAGCTACCCTTACGAACGCTACATGGGTTGCTGTCTTGCTGGTAAGTCTTGCAGCTCACCCCTCTAGGCCTGCGCTTATCAATTCAGAGTGAGCGCGATGTGGCCGGGCAGATCCCACTCAATTTCGTGACAAACCCTGCCGTATCTCTGTCGGCTGCTTGCTTTGGCAATCGGATATATGCCAAAGACGATGCCGCACAATGCTTCTCCAATCTCCTAGCAATCGGGTATCGGCGGCTCGTGGTCGATGTATACTGGTCAGTCACTCGGAGGAGCTGGTCATTATGTCCTGTCAATGTCCCTGCAAATGCGGACGTGACTGTTTCCAGTGAAACCTCCACTGTGAGCAGTACCTCGGAGACTTCGACCGTCACAACGGCGGCGACCACAACTACAGCCATGAGTGCCGAACCCGCGACCATCACCGGATACGAAGATTCACATGGCGATACCGTCTATGAGCTGGGACAGTATAAGTGCACTGATGACCTTGATCCATTCACTCTGGCCGAGGTGCTCGTTGGATACTTCAAAGATACCAACTCTCAGTTGACCGTGTATACGTCATACCTGGTCCTCAATCTACATGTCGCGGCAAGTGATGATACGCCAGACGAGCCCGCTTCTGCGATCACCGGGGGTGACCTGCCTTCGGGATCGGAGCGCGTTGGATCTCTGCTCGGAACAGCTCTGGGCGACTTTATTTACAGCCCGGCACAGCTTGCGGAGGACCGACGAAATCTCAATGATTCTTGGTATCGGGTTGAGCAGAGCTACATGCCGATCACGGAGTACTATACAATCCATGAAAATGAAGCAGGGGAACAGAGTACTCCGGATGGATGGCCATCGTCGAAGTATATCCAATTAGCAAAACGTGATCGAGTGCTCATTGAATATGGGACTGTTGATCCCCAGCTTGCGGATTATGACCTGACCGCAGATGAGAACTCCATCTTTCCTCCGGGATATCTCACAGCTAGCTCAAAGGTTTCTGCGACCACCAACGGTACACTCACATCAGGTTGTCTTTACAAATCAGGCGCCACGGATGTGGCTCAGGCGAACTCGTCCTGGGGCGTATCTAACAACATCCCTGTTCCTGCCGGTCTTTCCGTTGAAGATACCATGGGTTCAATGACCAACGCCATCTCCGACATTACAGCTTGCGGCCTGTCACCGACACTCAACACCACATTGTTTGGGTCAACTGCCGACACTCAGATCGAACATTACCGCAACGTGTCTCTGTCATCTTCCTGGGCCTGGGCTATCGGCGAACCACATGACGCAAACTTTGCCGGTGGCGACGGAGACCCCAAGTATGATCGATGTGCAATCATGGATCTAACACTGGAGGGCCACTGGAGATCCACGAACTGCACAGAGCAGCGGCGGGCTGCATGTCGAATCGGAAATTCACCTTTTTCATGGGTCCTTTCGGATACATTCGCATACTTCTCCAATGTGTCCGATACTTGCCCGGAAGGGTCGAGTTTTGCCGTTCCACGCACTGGACTTGAGAACCAATTCCTGTACCGCCACCTGCTTTCCTTGCCCGAGTCGAAAATCGACCCGGGATCTTCAAACGCTCTTCTTCGCGAAGTATACGTGAATTTCAACTCCATTGATGTTACCTCTTGCTGGGTCTCAGGCGGCTACGGGGCTAGCTGTCCGTATGCATCTGACCCGCAACAGCTCGAGCGCAGAACCGTGCTCGTCGCTGCAGTCGCCGGTATCATCATTCTTGTTATCGCTGCCTTGACCTTCTTTGTGAAATGTAATGCTAATCGCCGGAATTCTCGGCGGAGAAAGCGTGCCATTGATGGGTGGGAGTACGAAGGTGTTCCCTCATGAGATCCCATCAAATATTTTGCTTGAGGACTTGTCATGTTGACTCTGGGCCTGCAAGCTGTCATTGCTCCACCCTTTTTCTTTCTTCATTTGATACCCAACGGGGGCATCTAATTGCCCGCCTTTCATTTTTACATTTTCGTCGACTTTTTGCTTGGGCAATCAATAGTCCAAATCGAAACACTGTTTAACATTCTCTAGCTGTGGATCTATGAGTTTATAGGTTTATCTCTACCGGTCAAGGGGCCCGATATCCAAGCAAAGCGAATGATTGGAACATCGAGAAGGGGTCCGTAGGGGATCATCTTTTGGCACCGTCAAGGATGCGCATTCATTCTGCCCTGAAAGTGAAAGGTAGCCGTAAGGCACTTCTTGGGCTGTTATTCTTCCCGCCCAGACAACATGGCGGATGGTCAGAAAGAAAGCGTAAGAAAGCCAGACTTGGACCTTGGCTGTATGTCCCTATACTCGAATGTTCTCATTTACGATGCCCATCAATGAAAATCCTCACGCCAGTGCCTTCGAAGCAAGTTGTGAAACAGTCCATAGGCTCCATGTCTCGAGGTGTCATTGACTCATCGAGCGAAATCGATAATCGTCTGAACAACTTCGCGAGAGCAATGCGAATCTCGGCGTAGGCAAGGCTTTGAAATGGCTATCAGCACGATAAAACCCAGTTGAGGCTTGGAAGGTACATACTTGATTCCTGCACAGGCTCTGGCACCCTTGGAGAATGTGACCAGGTATTTATCCAATTGCTTCGCGTCCGGATGCAACCACCTTTCGGGTCTGAAGGACCGAGCATCGGGGCCCCAGATCGACTCGTCAAAGTGGATGGAGTGCGCGGACATGCCAACCACAGTCTAAGTCAGGGATTAGCCTGGCAACGGATCGTACCTAGGTATTATTTTGGCAACTTACGCCCGGGGGAATTGGATGATTGTCGATAATCAAAGGAGGACCATTCTCAGGCACGATTCGAGGGAGACGTCCCGGAACAGGCATGGCATGTCGCAATGCCTCTTTCACACAAGCAGTCTGCCAGCTTCGTGTTAGAATTGAGCTTGTGAGTGATGAGATAGCAGTGACCTACCAAGTAAGGAAGTTGTTCCAGAATTATCAAATCCGTGTTGGTATCTTTGTCTGGGATCGCTTCATCCAATTCAGCGATCAATCTTCTCGAAATTTCGAAGTCAGCGAGAATTTGATACAGTGCAACTCCTAGCGTCATTGCCGTGGTGTCGGATCCAGCAATGATGATATCTAAGGCTTCAGCTGAGATCGCCTCGCTTGGAAGCCCCTTCAAGGAATCAAAGATAGCCGGTCTGCCAGTTGACCCAAGGCCGCATGATTGGGAGCTTTGGTACCTTTCTTTCGCACTTTGTACTGTCTAAAAACTGTCAGTCCAGGTAGTCAAGACTAGAGTCCAATATGTACTTACCCCCACCAGATCATGCCACCCTCTAGCCTTTTGACTCAAGGCTTTGAACATAGTCGCCGGGACTTGATTGATAGCCTTGCGGAACAGTGGCCAAGCTTGGAAATCCAGGACAGAGTCTGCAATTATATCGAAGGCGAGCAGGAACGGCATTTCAAAGGTCTCGTCCTTTACTCCTTTCATGAGATCAAATGAAGTATAGAAGGAGTATTCGGAAATAACATCAACAGTCAGACATCTAGATTTCGGGAATGTCAGATCCTCGACTCGGTGGTAACAAAACGGCCCAGTTCAAGGCATACCTGAATGCGTTGTGCATGTGTACCGCACCTCGAGACTCGAACTTCGAAATGGCTTGCAACACATAGTCTACCTTGCTGTCAATCAAGCTTTGCATGCTCGCAATACCTTGCTTGGAGAACTGTGGATTGATCAACTTGCGACGCTGTCGATGAAGGATTGGATCTTCTTCGGTGAAGGCAGTGTGTGGGGCATTGAATCCGGCGTAGAACACAGCATCCTTGAGAAAGCTATGTTGCTGGGAGTATATCACGTGGTAGATGGATGGATCGTTGATATGAAGTTCGTTTGGGCCAATGCGAATAGCAGCAGAGTCTAGGAATTTGAAGATGGGCACATCAGTCACTTTCACTTCTTCTCAAATGGGATTATAGATCGCCATACCATATTTCTCATGAAGCCTTTAAGTTCAAGTTCAATCTTGCGCCCTCGACTCTTAAGGTACAGCCACCATGTTGAGATGCCTGCGGTTGGCGGGCCCTTGAAATGAGCAAGTGGATGGAGGAAGGCTCGATAGATAGCACGAAGTGACCATAGGATGATAAATCCAACGATGGCAGGGAACACTGGACCAGGCATGATTGACGGGGGATAATTACTCGATTCAAGAATGGAGTTGAACATCTTGCGGCGGTGGATATGGAGCCTTAATACCGAATATAGTCGGAGACCAGAAAAACAGCGTGGGTAAGTCCATAGCTTTATACTCCTTGGTAACGCAAGATGGCTAGTGTAACTTGCGTGGTACAAAATCCCAATCTATGAAATTCTGACCTTGAAACATGGGGATATGCCAGTTCTTTTCGAAAGATATGTGGAGCCGGCTACCACACATATCAGCATTGGTCTAACCCGTGGACATTTCTTGCATGTCTGCAATTACTAGGTAATATAAGATCCCCGGTGGAGTGAGTATGTCGCAGGGTCGATCCTCGGAACGGACTCCGTTGTCCGAACCCTTTTGGAAGAGGGTCCGAGAAATCAGTGTCAACGAAAGCAACATGAGTCTGGGCATAAAGAAGGAAATGCCAGTACTATACACAGTAGTGATCTGCAACCTGCAAGGTCGAGCTTCGGTATACTTGAACGTTCTGACTTCCGTGCCGCTGACAAAGACTTACATGTCTCCAGGGCTCCAGGGCCCCGGCAGGTTCAAGGTTATATGCTCATTTAGAGAGCACCTGAGGGATCGGAATAAATCAACTCACTGTTACTCATGGAAGGCTTCAAAGTGATTGTTGTCGGAGGTGGCCTTGCCGGCCCACTTCCAACGTTCTTGTCAATGGTCTATTGAACAACAATGTTGACGCAAAACTATGAGTACGATGCCCTTGATGCTACAAGGGAAGGCTTCCTAGGTACCTATCAGATTGGACTTGGTGAGCAGTCCCTGATTCCAAGCTTGGGTTTCGGCCCTGCCTTACTCCGTACCGATGAACATACTGCAACCATCATGCAGCCACCCCCCGGTGACAAGAGAATGCTTGTCGCTTTTTCTGTGATTTTCTGAATGGGCAGGTGAATGCCAGTCTCAGTCCATATGCGATTGACTTTATTTGAAAAAAAAGGAACATGAGAATAGTCTGGAGTTATGATCCAATTTGTATACAAGATGATGTAAATACAAAAGCCCCAACCTTGGGATGGAAAGAGATTGAGTCATCTATAAAGCGCTGGACATTCCACAATAACGAAGTAAACACGGGTATATGCAAGACACTACAGCTTGGGCTTCTCGGGCTGGGCGACAAGGTCGGGCATGAGAAGGTCACGAAGCTCGGAGGCAGCCTCGTTAAGGTAGTGACTCATGCGCTCGGCACCAAGACGCTTGCAAACGATGTTGAAGTTAAGGCTAGAAGAGATAGAATTAGAAAAGATGCATCGATATCGACTGGGTAGAGACTTACCTGTTCTCATTGATCATGTACGCGATTCCGAATCCATCGTCGATAACCTGGCTCCATCCGTATCCGTTGAAGAACTCCGAGCTCAGCTGGGAGGTGGACAGGTACCAGGAAGAAGAGTAAGCGAAGGCGGGATCCTTGTAGATCTCTGGCAGCTGCTCACCGGGCTGAAGGAGCTTCTTCAGACCGAAGAGGTGGCGGTCGACACCGTGGCCGGAGCTGGCCTCTTGGGTGTACTTGGTGTGTTGGGCGAGGGCAGCGCGGAAGAGCTTGACGACCTCCTCGCGCGGGGTGTTGTGGTCCTGGTGGGCCTTGCAGAAGGCGACGCTCTCGTCGGAGACGGAGCGAGTGGTCTCTGTGCGGCCTTCTGCGTACTTACGGGTCGAGGCAGACTCGTAGGTGGGGCGGTTCTTGCCGTACATCTTGAAGTAAGCAAGCTGGATGGTCATTTGAACGAACGCGTCAGGGCTGCACTTGAACTTCTTGATGAGTCCCTTTCCATAGCCCTGGTAGGCTTGGACGACGAGCTCGTGAGAGGCGATCTGCTTGCGGTGGTATTGGGCCGCAATGTCGATGGCCTCGTTCGAGGCATCGTTCAGCTTGAAGTTGATGGGCTTGGGGTCTGCGAGTTGGGAGCGGATGGACTTGGCAGAGAGGTCGATCTTCTTGTTGAAGATGAGGTTGTTGACGTGGTCGTTCAGACGGTGGGTGGGAGTGCCGTCCATCATGCTGTGCTCACCCATGAAACCAGCGGAACCGTTGTCGTTGATGATGAACTGAAGTGGCTTGTCGAACCAGCGGTTGGAGCCATCACCGTGCCAGTATTGCTCTGCGCGCTCGGCGAGAGTGACAGGCTTGGCATCGTCCAGGCAGATCACGAACCCAGCAGACTCGATGTCCCGCAGAGCCAGCTCGTTCGCGGCATCGGCGGCGATGAGGGTCTTGCGGGCAGCGGTCCAGTGATCACGGTCAGCAACAGTCAGAACACCAACCGGTGGTGCGGGCTGTGCGATCTCGTAGATGCGCTTGAACTGCTGCTCCAGCTCGGACACATTCAGCTGCTGGCCGTCCACAACGAGAGGAACCTTGAAGAACTGGTTCTTGCGCACAACAACAACATGCTGGTTCTCAGCAGCGGCGTACTTGCGGGGGAAATCCTCGCCATCGGCGGGGATACGGCAGCAGTTAAACATGTACTGGTAAGAGCTCATGGCCTGGGGCTCCTTGCGCAGGTATTCAGGCTCCAAGGAGCCATCGTCGACCTGAGCCTTGAACTCAAGGGCAGCAGTGGTGATAGCAGCCGCGCGCTTGGCTGGGTCGCGACGCTCACGGTCGTCCCGGTAGGAGTAGAAGTAGGAGACGTAGGGAATGACGGGGTCACGGTAGCCGAGGTAGGCGGCCTGGTTCCACCACTCGGCGAGCCAGTTCTTGATCTTTGGATCGGCAGCACGCGCCTCGAGTCGCTTCTGCAGCGACTCACCCTGACCACCAGGGCGGACGAACGCCTCCACGGCGCTCTTGGTGCGTGCGTACTCGGCCTCCGAAACAACTGCGTGTACGGACTTCAGGTATCGGCGGCTGGTCTCCTCTAGGGTGGGAACAGGGAGTTGGGGGAGGGAGTCTTCGAATCGGAGCATCTTGCCCTTGGAGAGGTCCTCCTTGTATCCTGCGGTTTGGTCAGCTCTGATCTCGTGTTCGGGTCGGGTATGGCCGCTGGGTCACTCACCCTCAGGAACGGAAGATGCTGTTCGGCGGGGGGCCATTGTGAGAGTCTGTTTACATGTCAATGCGCTGTCAAAAGAGAACCACGGCCTCAAACAGGGCCAGATCTGAACGGGAGAGGTCCGTCTTACCGAGCGGGCTAGGAGAGGGTTCGTTGGAGGGAGCCGGTGCCGGGAAAAGGTGGAGAGACGGCTTCGAGCAGAAGCAGTGAACATCCCTGTGTGTGTAAGAAGTGACTTGGGTATAATTCAGAAGGAGTTGTCAAACGGACGTAGCTCGAGGACATTAAGAAGGGAGACCGAAAGAGCCTCGGCTGGCGGGGAAGCCGGTAAAACGCGGTACCGGCTGCGACGACCTCAGGTCGGTCCCGTCCGAGCTGCTGTTCCCACGGGGAACCAGCCGTAAGGGGACTATCTGTACATCTGTTGGCTTCAAGGGTTGATTGCCTTTATTGCTATAGACATATTCACGTTCTATTTGGGGTCAAGACATGTCTACACTGGTCTGGAAGGGCTCTCTGAGTACGATGTACCAAATACGGAAATACCGATACCTACTCCACACATGTGCCTCGGTCCATCGTTGATCGGTCATATGGGGTGGATCTGGACATCTGATAATATGAGACACCTGATACACTATACTGTGCAGATACATGTGTTATGTAGAATGAAATTATAGGCCTAGAGAGCACATAAGGTGTCAACCTCAAGGCCGGAAAAAAGGATTGCCAACTACGGAATACGGGGCGATCAATGGCGCTATGCGGGGAGAGCTAGCGTTAAAAGGGAGGGGAACACGCTTAACGTTATTTGTACTCTGACAGGACGAGGGTGTCAATATGAAGTTAGATTATGTATATGAGAGAAATATAATAAGCATGCCTTTCGCCCGGGTCCGTTGGTCCGACTGCTTCGATAGGACGAGAGGGAAAGGTCAAATCAGCGCCACCGTATCCGAAGTACACCAGCTCACAAGTAAAGACGAAAGTAAATAGGACGAAATAGCAAATCATGTAGTAGATTCCATACGGACGAGAACTAGTCAGGTCGCGTGGTATTAAGAGACGAGCTGCACGGCAGCCGCCTGGTCCTGGCCTTTAATCGGACGAGGAATCTGCACCCCAGTGCGGCGAAGCTCGTCCATCTTCGCCAAAGCAGGCCCGGTACAAATGCGACCGGTTTGCATCAGGGTACGAAGACGCTTGCGACGAGCTTCGCCGCCGCGTTCCTCGCCACGGCCAACACCCTCGTCGACCCAGTCCACAGCATGAACTTTGAAGCTCATGCCGTCGTGGCGACCGTCCCATTTGCGTGATTTGAGACCAAATAGGAGAGTCGAGTCATACTGGTTCACGCGAGGTAGAACAAGCAAAGTGATATGCAAATCCTTATCCGCCGGAGGTACCGGGGGAATACGCGGAGCCTTGGCTCCAGTCTCGGGCTTCTCGCCCTCGGCCTCGGGCGCGGGCGGCGCGTGCTGATAAGTATCCTTGATCTCAAGATCAAGCATCGACTCATCGACATCTTCGCCCCAGGCGCCGCGGATAAAGCCAGAGTGGATGGCGGCGGCGACGGGGTCCGAATCGTCAGTATAGACGCCCGTGCCCCAGATGGCGCGCCGCGCGCAAATCTCCTCGCGATGAGATTGATTTATGCGCCACCGGGGAACTCGAACTGTGAAGGTGCAGTTCGCTCTCTGCTCAAAACGGGGCAGAGGCTGAGGGGTTGTTGTGTATCCAAACTTGGAACTATCTGGAGAGGATTTAGCTGTAGGGGCTCCCACCCGGGGGGTGTAGAGAGTGGAGCCAAGGTGATGACGAGGTAAATGCGAGACACTGGACAGGATTGGCTCGATGATAACTGTCGTGCGAGGCTCGCGGATGGGTGATGCAGCCGGGATGGTGGCTGGTCGAGGGGCGTGGTGGTGGTGATGGTGGTGATGGTGATGATGCCCGGCAGCAGGATCGGCCGGCGAAGTTCGATGGAAGTTGGTAGGACGATGAAGGGAGCTTAGCGTGAGAGCTTCTTCGTCTGCCTTGTGGCGGTGGTGGTGGTGACTAGATGCGTGTTAGTATTCCATGCTGCACTAGAAGATCGGGTCAGACATACTGGTGATGGTGGTGGTGGGCATGGCGAGAGCGACGTGCATTACGTGCCGACAACACGCCTCGAGGATCGTTGGCCTCAATCTCCATCTGCTCCTCATCTCGTGACTTCCTTGATCGTCGACCTGACGCAGACGAAGGTCGAGCGATTCGTGCCGCTTCATCCATCGGGTCACCATTGATCGAGCGGCCGGTCAGACTATCGCGTTTGAAAGGACTAGATCCCAGAGGTGTAGATTGCCCGCTGCCACCGGTAGTGGCACCTACGCCACCCACGCCACTCCCAATGCCCGAAAAGACGCGACCAAGTTCATTCTTGATCGCTGTCTCGCCGGCGGGGCCGATGAATGGAGCCTGGGCACCTTGAACAGCTTGTGGAAGGGGAGATGCGCGACCTCCTCGTTTCCCATCAGCGCCTACAGCCAGTAGGTTGCGATGGTGAAGGAGCTCCTCGCTGCCCTTGCGGCGTCCCTCATCAGCTAGGGCAGCTAGACTCGTAGATGCAGCAACGGTGGAAGCGGTTAAAGTAGGCGTGGTACCGAGCCGTGGCAACTGAGTCTGTTGCCTACTATATGGATCGTGAGGTGGGGGAGTGGGTTGATTGTTTCGAGAATGTAGCGAGCCAGGGGGTCTGTTCCCGCCAGATTGAGATCCTAGGGATTTGGTGTAGCTCTGTATGGCACCAAACCCGAAAGCCGGGCTGTGGTCCGGGGCATGATAACGCTTATTCTCCGGGGAAGGGGGGTGTGAGCGACCGTGGTCCCAAGCTGACCCGCCCTGGTGGCGGTCAAGCGGTTCACGCTCACCGTAGTGCGAACCATATCGGAACGATCCAGGCTGGGATGGCTTGACTTCTGGCGCGTGGGCTGAAGTTCGCTCGCGATCGCGCTGTGCAGTTTCCTCCGAGCGGCGTTCACCAAATATGTTTCCAAACCGACCGTGTTGTTGTGGATCGGCAGCTCCGTACGAGCCAGACGCAGACCGTGGGCCAGACTCAAACGCACGTTCTGCAGTGACACCACCGGGCTGGGAGATTGGACTGTATCCTGGGGGACGTGTGGATGCGTCTGCCTGAGGGGGTTGGCTGCTGGGCCGGGGGATCGGTCCATTTAGACTCATGCGACGAGGTTCTGTGTAAGGCGTGTCTGCAGTGGACATTCTAGGCGAAGGATGTGTGGAGTGCGGCTTTTCAGGATATTGGGACAGCGAGGAGCGCGTCAAACCCCCAAACACCGACTGCTCTGTGCCTGACAGACTGGAACCACCACCAGACCCAGATCGATACGCGCGGGTAACTTGAGGCCTTGAGAATGATTTTTCTGGTGTTTGCGAACGTCGGAACAAAGAATTCTCCAGTGATGACGGTCTTACCGGGGCGGTGGGTGGGGACATCGCGGCGGACGAAGATGAGGGGGGCGCATTGCCGAAAATCGATGCTGGCGACGGTCGTGAGAAGAATGGCCCTGGTTCACGCACGGGCTCTCGCGCAGACCGCTCCGGCTCGGAGCCAAGCATGGCGGAAATCGACATGCTACTACCAGGGCGGTGCGCCTGACTACTGGGAGTCTCGCGCGACATCAGGGGTCCTCCGGGCGTGTGGTTGGATTGGGCAGATTGGGTTCGCGAGGAATAAGTGTGGGGAGGGGAGGGAGGAGGCATTTGACGAATACCAAAAGAAGGAGGGGCCGACTGTTCGGGATGACCTATGGAGTGGGTTTGTGTTAACATATGCCGCAAGAGAAAAGAGGAAAAAAAATAACCCAAGATGACCGCGCATGTCCGATCGGGTCGAGTGACGAAATGTTTCGCGACACAGACGGTTGCACGGGGCTCTCGGGCCCAGGTCGGTGCTCACCAGTAAGTCCAGGACTGCCACTGCTGCCCTGAGAGGTACGACGCGCCGTTTCGTGAGGCGTATGGTTCATCACGGAAGCATCCAAAAGCCCAACTGTGACGAGTAAGCAAATGAAAGATGGGAGATGCAAGGGCCAGATCGAGGAGAACCCGTGACTCCGGGAGCTCACACGCTAGGCTAAAAGGGGCAGGGGCTCCTCTGGACACGCTAAACCTGACCTGGACTAGCGCTCCCGAGCTGTCGTCCAGTCGATCTGCGCCACCGGGGAAAATCCATCAGGGGAGTTGGGCTGGAAGGGGGGGGGGGGGGAAGAGAACGAAGGCTGTCTGGATAGAGTGCTCCCGAGGTCGTCGACCTTCGTTCGCAATCCAGACACCCCCGTCTAAGTCTCCAGGGGCCAGTGACGGCACAACTCCGATCCTTGGAACTCGCGTGAATCTGGAGGATCGGACCCGATGGGCCACGCGACATGAAACAAAGATAACAAAATAAACAACTGACCTTCACGATATCGGATAGCTTGCGGCTGCGAATTATTCCTGCGATGTGTCTGGGCATGATTCCGGGATTCCAGACTCCCGTGTCGACGATGTGCCTGACTTTGTCTCGAGGGAATATATGCTCCGAGGGTATCTCCACGAAGAGCCGCGAGAGATCCCCGTGTAGCGGTTGACTGATAAATCTGCGACGGAGAGGGGGTCGAATTTGTAGAAGGGTACGCTCGAGGCTTTTCGGAATCGGTTCGACCGCGAGACTCAGGCGCAACGAACGGCCGATCGACGCGAGGTTCTGAGCTGCCCAGAGGCGAAGGCCGGGGCGGGTAGGAGTGTTGGAGTCGCCGATAATCCATCTCAGCGGTCCAACCTTGGGCGTTGGGCAGCGATTGGGATTAGAGGAAGGGGAATAATATAGAAAGATAAAAAAAAAAGAAAGATAAGATGCAGGTAAATATTAGAAAGCGAAAACGAGAGAGAATGGCGGTGGAAACTGTGTGCAAAAGAGAAAAGGGCCAGAGCTAAGGTGCAGGATCGGCTGATCGCGCGACTCAGGCCCCCGTAGCAGATAGCGCTCACGGGACGGGAATGGGAACGTGCAGGAGATTCTGAAAGAGAGGAAGCTGGGCAGTGTTTGGGGGGGAAGAAAAAAACGGTGAGCGATGACGGTGCTTTAGCGCGATGGGGCGAGCCAAGACTATCGTGCATGCGGGGACAAGTATATACTCGTTTATCTATAGATGTTGAGCCCAAAGCTAAGGTCGAGTTTGAAACCTCTCCTTCATGTTCAACCTCGGGGTGCCCATGCGCCTTTGACTAATGGGGTTTACGCGTTGTACTACCTGTTCCTTGGGCACAAGGATGTCTAGGAAGAGGCCCCGTTTAAAACGTGCATATGCAGGACATGTATGGAGTACGGAGTGGAAACCCATCTATGGATTTACATTTGGGTACAACTTGGCCATTAATTCCATACTTCCGTACACCAATCAATTTTCGGGTTTTGTGTTGGCTGGTAAATTTGGTGAAGTTCAGCTTATTTTAGAAGTCTTAATTTTCTTCTGCAGGGTTCGACAGATTTGCTCTAATTGATCAGGTAGAAAAGACAAGAAAAGACAAACAAAAGCCATGCAGAGAAAGCTGCATCGGAAGTTGAAGAGTCATGTACCCGGCGCGGCGCATTCTCACTGAGCCGCCGACACAACGAAATAGATATAGCCGCGACAACCCCTCTCGTTAATCTCCATCTCCTTGGCACTCCAAGACCACCTCCCTGCACCTTGTTTTTGCTGTGATAATACTAATCCAATGGTGTTTTAGCTCGACTTTATAGCTTGTCAAGGTGCCTCTCTTTCGTCAATGCATCAGATTATTGGAGCAAACCACCCTCATCGGTATCCTGAATGGCAACCGGGATTTAATCGGGATACTCTCCACGGAAGAGAAGACCAACTAGGATATGTGCATGCCATGCACATACGGATCTGAGCGACAATATATTTTCCCGCGCCTGAGATACTGAAACGCGGAAAGCAGGTATTTCCGGCCTAAAGGCCGAGGGCACCTCGATTTGGTCTTTGTGAAGTGCAGGAACTTCAAGATACAATGGGAAGAGATTTCGTTGGCCAGAGCCTCGGCTTTTCGGATTGAATTCCAAGGTTTCAAGCATAATCCCATCTGGGTTCCCCTGCTCTTGATCTATGTACATGCAAGACTTGGGAACTTCCAACCCATCTCCTGCCCAGGTGTTGTTGCAGGACCTCACTAAACTTCCACCACAGCCCACAACCAGTCTCCGGATGTCAGTAATATCCATCTAATCCACAGCTGAACCCTTGGTTCTAACAGACTAAGGCGAAAGATGCAAGCGACGCTTCCACTTCATTCCACTCTTGGCGAACGCGCGCTGAGTTCGCTCAAGAGGGTAGTTGACTGGGGATTCACCACCAGTGAAGATGAAGAAGTCATACAAGAAAGCGCCCATGAAACCACCGCTCAGCGCGCCAGCCCAAGGCCCATAGAACCAGTATGGGTCAGTGAACATAGTACTCGGGAAACCAACAGCAAGCAAAGCAAGACGAGGTCCGAAGTCACGACTCGGGTTGAAGGCCGCGCCAGTCTGGTAAGCAAAGCACATACTCAGACAGGTGATAACCAATCCAATAATCAACGAGTTCATACCGGCACCGGGGGGAGCGTTCTGGTCATCACCCAGGGCCAGCACCGTCACGATCAAGAAGGCCGTTCCCATGAACTCATTGAAGAATGCGGTTCCCGGACCAACCCACGTCTCGCGTGCGTTTGTCACAAAGCTGTTGATGACACCCGTGTCTGCGTTGGTGATAAGATAATGGTCGATGGCTTGGTAGTAGATACCATACGCGGCCAGCCCTGCGCAGAAGGCAGCGAGGAACTGAGCGGCAAAGTACTCGGGCATCTTGGATTTGGGGAAACCACGGAAGAACCAGAGGACCATGGTAACGACGGGGTTGAGGTGCGCACCGGAAACACCACCAGAAATGTAGATGGCCATCATGGTGGCTAGACCCCAAGCCCAGTCGGTTGTGTTGGGGTTACCCTGGTTGTTGATGGTGACGGACAAGTCAACGCAGAAGCCCATAGTCAACTGGACGAAGACACCAAGGGCCTCGGCCAATGCCTCGCGGTGGTGAGTACGAATGACAGACCAGGTGGTGTGGTTGTTGTGCACTTCATCCTCGACGAGCTCTTGGACAAGAGGGTGCAGATCCTCTGGATATCCGGCCTTTTCCAGCTCGGGGGCATCCAAGAGTTCATCCAGTCTCTCGCCCAAATCGACATTCTCGGGGATAGTATCCATGTGCTCATCACCCGCGGGCCGCTCATCTGGTTCGTCGTTGTCCTGAGAGTCACCTTCTTGCACAGTCGACAGTTGATCTTGGGGGACACCCCAGCCGGAAGGGCGTCGGCCTCGGGTCGACGAGGTGCGTGACATGCGCGAGGTCTGCCGCATAGAGGTTCCATCGCCGGTGAGAATCTTGTTCATGAAGTTGTTCTCTCGCTGCAGACGGGCGTCTTCGACCTGGGCGGCCATCTTCCGCGGGTCAGTGGTCTTGTCGATCCGACCTTGCTCAAGATCATTGGCATTGACATCCAGTCCTATTTTCTGCGAGTTCTCCGTTGGGCGTTGAGCATTGGCGAGATTCTGGAGAAGCTCTTCCTTGGTCGGAACCATGCCAGGTCGCACCACACGAGGCAATGGCTTGGCCAAAGACCACACGGGCCTGGCGTTGGATGGTTGCTCATATGAAGGATTCAGGTCTGCATAGCCGGGTTGCACGAAGGGCTCTTGCGCCAAACGAAGCTGGGGAGTCTCATCCGGCCCAGCAAGCGTGAATTTGCCCTGGGTGCGCTGGGCAAGAGTCGTACGAGGGGCCAAACTGGGCACAAGGCTGCCACTGCGCCTCGAGGCCATCGAGCTACGACGCCGAGTGCCGCTCTGACCATCATCGGCGCCCGTGGCCCTTGTCGGGGAGATATAGTCTGCGTCGCTTGCAGCGCGGTTCCGACGCGGTGACTGAGGCTGGGAATCGGACTACGAAACAAGGCCGTTAAACGTGACTTTTCCTTTGCGCTTGCTTCATACTCACCCTAGCCCGTGTGCGATTGTTGTCTTCTTCCTCCATGTTGACTACGGTATGATAAATCTAGCCAGGTAGGCCACAAGACTCAGAGTGAAAGTATAACTCACGCCAACGAACAGAGAACAATGATACGAACGGACCGAAATAATGGAAAAGAAAGGAGAATGAAAGAGATGAACTTTCCCAGGTGGATCAAGGGCAATTTCTCGCCATCGAACCGGACTATTTTCCTAGCTCCAGGCGAAATTGAGCAAGAATTGACCCAGTTACGCAATGGCGACAAGATCTTCGTGGAACTCCCCATCTGGCGTTCACGATATGGGCCCGTGGAGCCGCCGAGCAGCATATCAGAAGCGCACGATCCTGGAGTTCTCAGCCAGGTTGACATCATTCGGCAGTTCCTGTCCTGGCGCCGGCCCACATGGGCTCCGCAAAAGCTTGCCTGGTTGTCCCATTCAGTCGTGTTCAATTATAGGTGACCTGTGCCGTGATACCCGTCCGATTAGCCGTTGCACTGAAAGCACTTAAATTGCCAGTTTGGAACAGTGTGCTTGGCGTGTTCGATTTGCCATTATAGTAGTGGTACGGAGAGAAGTCGGGTAGGCTGTCGGCTTTTAAGGCTACCACTGTTACTCCGTCAGTGAGGCCTGAGTGTGGTGCAATGGGACCCAGAGCGGGTCTTAGCAGGATTCGAAGATAACCGTCCACACCCGAAGTTAATTGTAGTTTACTCGCGAATATCATCTCGATCATCTGAGATCTATGTACAAGAAAATTCATTTTGCCATCTGTCGGAGGTCGGGATATTTCCGCCTTAGTCACAACTTTTATGCCTGGATTTTATGCATGGATATTACATTGAGGCGCAAATTGTATGTACATACTGTAATTCAATTCCAAGGTTGGGCCCTGGTAGGTCTCTCAGGCTCAGAAAATGGAAATGGAAATGACAGTCCCCATACATTCGGAGTACCCATTATGATTTCATTTAGCCCATCAGAGCAAATCCCGATGTGATTTTGCTTGCTTTTTCTTTTTCTTTTTCTTTTTCTTATGGCTTTCAATAGCCCCACCGCAATGATTTTGAGAACATCTCATTGGCAATGCAGCGACATCATTCAATGGTGGAATATGACGTACCGCTGCTCTGCAGGTGAGTCTTGGCAGCTTCCAGGGTTGATGTGCAGCTCAGGGTACGTGCATGTTTGCTGCTGATCCACCCCCTTGCTCACAGCGTGGAGTAGCGGTGACAAGTCTAAATAATTCTTATTGTCTACTACGGAGTATGTACTGCGTACTTTGTACCACAGTACTCCGTACACCCGAATGCTATTAATTGTCCTACTTTCAGCCTAGTACGTCCAGGCGCATGAGACGCGCATGATCAAATAATAACAATGAATGTCGTTGGGGCAAGAAGAGTTCAAATTGGGTATCACATAGGCAAATAAACAGAAATCTGGGCGAATCAGACCATACAGATAGGCGATAGCTGCTGGAGGCCATCTCTTCCAGGGGAACTCGCCGCTTCATGCCCTGGGAAGGCGATCCAAAAGATGTCGGAGTAAGAAAAATTAACGCAATTGCTAGCGGCTGTGTCATCGCTCACGAGAACGACAGTGATCGGGCGCTCGACGATGGACTCGCCATCCCAATGAGACAGAGCGCCTCGTTGCCGAAGTTCATCCAATTGCCCAACAAGAATAGGGTATAGCTCGCGGAGAGAGTCTTTGGCATCAAGCATCAAAGTGAAAGTCCCAAGTGAATCAGTGTGGGATTCGGCAAGGTTTTTGCCGGGCACACTGGCAACTACCTCATCGAGTCTGGCAAGCAGTGGGTCGAGGTCAAGTCGGTTGAACAGAGCGTCCAGGTTGGGGCTTGTGACTGCGTTTCCAACCTGCAGCTCGCCATTGTGCAACCAGACATTCATTCGCACTCCTTCACATCCCGCAGTGAGAGATGACCCGAGAGCCTGTGGTCGTGTATCGGACGCGGGAAAGGTGCAAGTATCAGCCTGAGGACGCATGTGGATCTGTGCGGACGGTTCGTGCGGAAGGGACCTGGTAGTGGTCGGTAGGAATCGAATCAGTTGGAATGCAGCTCTATGATGAACAATTAGCACGGCAATATCGTTTCAGATCTGTAAGAGAAACGCACAAGCACCCGATCAATAAACATCCAACGCGGAGAAGGGCCTTCTTCCCTTTTCCTATAGACTCATCTAGATAGGCTCCCAGTCCCGGGATGCACTCTGTCGGATAGGAGCGCAAAGGATGATCGTCAAGAAGCCATGGATCGTATTCGTATCGATTGGATTCGAGGTCGATAGCCTCCTTTGAAAAGTCCTTCTCTGATTGAATGCTCGCCATAGCTGCAAGGGACCTTCAACAGCAACACCAAAATTGTGCCGGGTACGTTGCGTGTGTATACCTGAAGGGAAGCAGACTGCTGGAATCCAAGCTCAGCGGACTTTTGGGATATATAAGCTCAAGGCCAAGATGTGAGGAGACATCGCGCAATTGTGCAGCGAATTGCGAGAAGCACGCAATCTTGATTGGCGATTGCAAAGTTCGGATGATCGTCGACAGCTCTCAGTCGACAGGTCTCACCTCACTCTCACGCGCACATTCTTTCAATCAAGGGGTATCTCCACATGGCGGTCAAAAACATGGACGCTTCGGTGTTTAAGGCTGAAGTCAATGTCTAGGAACTGTTGCGCGGTCAGGGGGTGCGGGTCGGGCACTCTGGGGAATCATCCTGATGACGTTATTCATGCTGCAAATTGCAAACCCCGCAAAATTGGCTCGCCGTTTCATGCAGATAAAGAAAACCTCGAACTCAAGATCTTAGGCCGAGAAACCTCCCGTTTTCAATACCCAAATCGACAACCGAAAAAGAACCAGCACCTGGGCAGCCTTGAATGCTCACGTGACAGACACTAGCCCAATGGGGATATTTGCTCCTGCCCGCGGGTGCCCGGGTGCCTGACTCCGCCGAGTCCCGTCAACCAATCAGAAACTTTTACCACCAACGTGGGTAAGTGGGCCTTTACTCCAGGGCTTCCAAGGATGATCACTGCCCATGTAGATACGGATCAGTACAACTATACGGAATATTACGAGTATGCTCATGGTCATCCTTTTACCACCTAGGTAGTGTTTTTGTTGTCATTCAGCTATTAAAAACTGTATCAGTGACAAAAGGTCTGCGGGATAGCATCCAACGGCCACATGGACTGTTTAGTCCTAGATCAATCCAAATTGACAGCATGTTTACTGCGCTTCCGAATTTGAGGACCATAGATATAAAGCAGGTAAGGGATAACCGCCATCACCGCACTGATAGATCCCAGGATGGTAAGCGTGTAGTGTGCACCAATAGCCTGGTAAATCGGTCCTCCAGCAACAGTGACACCCCCAGCAACAACATATCTGGTGAACACAAGGAAGCCCAGAGCGGAAGCAGAATAGACGCCGTATGCATCGATGATATACATATAAGCAACCAGGAAGATTGACATAATCCCGTAACCAAACAACACAGAGGCAATGAGTGGGGACCAAATTGAGATGGAAGGCTGTGCAGACGAGTTAGCCAGATAGACGAGCAGGGTCACGGGTGCAGATATCAACTTACATAGTTGGTCCAACCCATCCAGAAGAGACTGACAGGAACAGCGGGTGCACCGCCAAGCATTGCGTACCAGAGACGCGTCTCGGGAAGAATCCGACCAGTCTTTTGGTACTCTTTCGCAGTCCATGAGTAAACCAATGGGACAACGCAGCCGGTCAAAACAATACCGACGAGCATACCTGCCCAGGAAACATTGGTCAATCCTAACGATAAACCATATGGCTCGCCAAAGACGTAGGTGTAACCCTCCAAGAAAGTAAACAGCACAATATACACCACAGTAAGATACACTGACATCAAAATGATGATCAGCTCGGTGTAACTCCACAGGAAAGGTCGATAGATAGCAGTGAGGAGGCGTTTTCCAAGGCTTTCACTTCTCAGCTCCATTGGAGCCCTGTATCTTTGATCACCAGTCTCTTTCCGGAGGATTGAAGCCTTCCAGTGTAGAAGTAGGTTTCCATACGTCTCGGGTTGCATGAGCACGACCAAAATCAGGATGGCACCTCCCATAATCAGCATCAGCCATTCGAGCCAACGCCACCCCAATGTCATGGGCACATAACTACCAATGATCTGTCCGCCCATTGGTCCGATAAAGGCCGGGATGGCGTATACGGGGAACGCGTATGCCTTTTGGACAGGATTCCACAAGTCGGCGACAGTGCCACCAGCACAGCTCAGAGGAGTAGAGCCGAAGAAACCAGCGAAGAATCGGAATACCAGATGGCTGTGAAGATTGGGGGCCACAGCGGATGCCATGACGAAGATGAGGAAGACCAACATGGTGATCAGGTAGACTGCATTGCGTCCGAATGTTTCGGAGAAGGGGCCAGAAAGTAGTGAGCCGACTCCAAACCCGACAAGGAAAAGACCTAGGTCTTGCGTTAGCATGCAACATCTCATGTTAGGTTTCACTGACGGACCTGTTGCAAGAGAGCCGACCACTTCAGATACATTGAAATAGTCACTATACTGTTTGACACCACAGGCGTCGATGGCCGAAGCTGCTGTGACAGCAAATGCAATTAGGGACACCAGAAGGGTCATGAACAGCTTTCGGGGGACGCTGCAGTTTGCTGGGTTTAGAGGGTCATCTTTGCCATCCCAATCCACAAGGATAGTATCATCATTCTGCACTTCTTTTGATTGGGCCACTGAAGATTCCTTCTCTAGCGATGAAAGATGATTGCCACTGGAGGAAAACCGTAAGTATACCTGCAGAGATATACAAAACGTACAGAGCACACATATTGGGGTTATGGCCTACCTGTCATCACCCTGATCCCCAGCTCCCGCGCTGCCAACGCTGTGTTTCTCGTTGACTAGCTGCTCTTTGACCGCGCGCTGAATTCGCTTGTATTGGAAGTATGATTCCATCTTGGCAGCATAAAGTTCTACCTTTCTACCTCAGCAGGGGCCTCAAAGATGAAATGACAAGAAGGATAAATGAGCCCTTATGGGACTATCGAGTTTTCCACCCATTAACGGGCGATGGGTCCACAATCAAAATTTGACCCATAGCACTCCGTAAAGAAACGGAGTCTGACTCTCAAGACCCACCGGCAGAGCAGAAGCCCCTTTTTCAGCGGCGGCCTCATACTTGGGAGATAGTCTTAGGCAGGACATAAATAGTACTGGAAACTAGGACTTCAATCGAAAGATCCCGGCCCATCTTTTCCGTCATCAGGTGTACTAGAAATTGAGTTGCGGTCCGAGAAGCTCGGGAATTCCCCATCGGAATGTCCGTTCGGAAGTGATTAAGCTTTTCCGCGGAGGCACGGGCTTTCGCCTTAACTTGGGAGCTTCACGCGGTTTTGTCTCCGGTGTTCAACTGGGAATTACCGATACTCTCCAGGGCTGTCTGTCCAAGTTAGGGAAATCTTAGTGGTCCATTCGCCATAAGACCATATGGTGCCAACGCGGCTGTAGATATCGCAAAACAGAAATGACTCCTATTCAGAGGCCACAATGGTGGAAATAAAAGAGATATAGGCACCCAAATGTGCGAGGACAGTCCCAGTTCTCATAATCGGGATTGGGACTTTGCTCCCGGGGTGCTGGCAAATATTTTATTCTGAGAGTTCTCAAGTCGCGATGGAGTAGATTCAAACAACCGCGGGAGCTGGGTCTCTTTGAAGTCGAGGCCTTGCAGTATCATTTTTGCCAAACCCTCAGCTGCAAGGAAAATCTGCGGCATTCCGTGTCCAGTGAAACCAGCGATGATATATTGTTCATCCTCTCCTGGAACACGGCCTATATGTGGTAGTCCATCCGAAGAATAACCCATGACTGTTGATAATAGGTACAAGTCAGCCAAAGAACCGGCCACGGGTGGAGTGAAATGGACACGGGGTATTTCAAAGTGACTTACTTCCAGTCCACACCCGATCAGTGTACGCATGACTCTCCTCCCAACCAACAAAATTGCGCTGCATATAATTGTCCCAATATCGGATGGCAGCCTCGAGTACCTGGCTATCATCGCTGACATTGTACCAGTTGGCCAAATCATCGATGAAAGCTGGTCGTGCACCACCGACAACAATACTCCCATCATCACGAGGAATAAGATAGTCGTAGTTCCAATTGTTCCAGCGAAGGGTGTAAGTACGGGTTAACCGAGGGACAGAGTCGTTAGGCGGAACAACAATTCGGCTGCAAGTCCCTCGCACTGGCACAATCTTCTCCTTATATTGAGGGGCAAGTGATGAGGTATATGCGTTCGTTGCCAGTACCACTTTTTTGGCTGAAATACAACCTCGCTCAGTCTTGACTGTCCAGCGATGAGCCAGAGACGGGTCATTGGCGTATGTTATTCCAGAGACAGGAGTGTGGGTCTGCAGATTCACTCCATGAGCAAGGGCGTTCTCTAAAAGGTGTAGCACAAATTTGTATGGCCAGATATGACCAGCATCGTATGTGAAACACCCCTTCGCGCCTTTAACTCCAGAGAACTTTGTTTAAATTAGTAAGAGATTTTGATTTCAGAGGGACGAAGACGCAACCTTTTCTGCTTCAGGTGTGTCGACGAACGTTGCGGTAGCTGTCGGCTCACATCCATTCTGTATCAATCTGTCGTATCCCTCTTTAAGCTTTGCAGAATGCGCCTGTGACAATTGAACATCTATCGCTTTTGTGACAACGTAGTCACATTGGATGTTTTCATTCTCGACGAATTGTTTCAAATAAGTGACGTGTTTGGCTTCGAATGCGGCTACTTCTGCAGCAGCCTCAACACCATGATCTACTGCCAACCCGGCGATTCCGTTGTAAATGTCAGGTTTCATATGGCCTCCTATATGGAAGATGACTTGGTTGAGCAAAAAAGAAAAAAGCCATAAACCGTATGGGTAAGATCTTACCGTTGCGCCCAGTCGCGCCGGAACACGCCTGCCGAGCCTCCAAAATCACGATCGAAGGGGGAATAAGCCCAGGCTGGGTCTGGTTGATAATATGATGGGCGACCGAGGCACCTGCATATCCCGCGCCTACAATGACGATGTCACACTCAAGCGGAAGAAATTCGGTAGATCGATGGCTATCCAAAGCATGAGGCTCTGTTCGCCAGAATGGCGTCGTCCCGTTTGGGACTGGGGTGGGTTTCGAACTCATAGCCAAACTGCTGTCAACTTGCATAAGAAAGTTGAGTTGAAATTGTATTTATTGACTTTCGATCGTCGTTTTTGCCCGGCGGCTTTTCCACCGGCAAAGTTCCGGATCTAACCCCGCCGATAAAGGGGACGTTGCGTTTAAACCGGGAGATTTGGGAAGTCGAAGGGATCAGTCGTGCGGGGTCTATCTGGGTACCTTGGAAGATATCTTTCGAAAGGGGTTGCCAAGTCCAAGTCTGTCGAGAGGAGCTCAAAGAGAGCAAAGTGCTCTCGAGATCAGAGGCACAACGGTAATCGAACGGGTTCATTGATTGTATGAATACTGTTGACTACGGGAATAAGCCCAAAGAATAGGATGAAAGATGATAGTTTCAAATTTCAGATTGAAAATATGGAGTTTCTATGTACAATTGCCCCAAATTTAGCAAGACGCCTGGTGGGCAATGATCTTGTCGGCCATTCCAGGCAACGTATCATCCATGACATCCATTTCTCCAAAGAGCTCCGAAAGTGACTCCTTCTCCCACACAGAGCAGTATGCACCCTTGAATCTAAAGTGAGAGCAGGTCAGTGAAATGAGTTTCAGTTGACTCTCAAATGCGGAAAACTCACCCAGCTTTCCTAGCAGCAGATACGTCCCACATATGCGCCGCCGCAAACCAAGGCGTCTTGCCGCCGCTCTCTGACTTCAGCTTCTCTAGAAGAGGTCGGTATGCTGCCAAATCCGGCTTTCCGACACCAACATCGTCACAAGACAGCAAGTTCTCAGCGGGAAGCTCCACGCCGGCATTCTTGAAATAACCCCCCACACGATTAATATCCGCAGCCGTGAAGGCCCAAACCGTGAAACCGGCATCGCGAAGCTTCTGGACACACTGCGCAGCGTCGGGGCGGAATTCAAGGAGCTGGTATTCTTTCATGATATACTCGAGATCCTCGGGTGAAGCCCACTTTCGCGGCTCAGTGATGCCAGCCATCCAAAGCATGCGGTAAAAGAGGGCACGGAAAACTTCCCCAAAGGGGACATATGACTGCGCCAGGCTAAGATTTGTGTATTCGCGCTCTGCAGCTTCCATCCAGGTGTATCCCAGCAGACGTGGCTTGATACCTTCTGCGCGCAGCCGATCCCCTAGGCGAGCATCAAGGGCATCAAACACATGATCATAGGCAACCAGCGTCCCGACGATATCGAAAACAACATGCTTTGACGACATGTTGAGGCCAATGGGTTCTTAACTCGCTGGTCAGAGGGAGTCTCGTTTCTTTCAAGGAAAACTTGAAATGTTATCGAATGGCAGAATGGAAAAGATATGGATAAAAAGATCACTCGAATAAAGCAACCAGTCACTGGTATGCCGAACTTATCTCTCCGTTCATCACCCATGTATACCCCGCTCCGGTTATGTGCAGTCCCGGTGGGAAGTCCGCGATCCCACCGGGAGCCTAATCAAAGAGACAATAGATAGCGACGGTCATGAAATAAAGTATACAAATGTCAAACAATGTAGCTGCCAACTCTGGCCTTCAGACTGAGAAAATTCTGCTCGAAATATCTCGAAATCATGACCATTGATCCGGCGCACATGTCGAAAGAAGACCCAGAACTCAAGGAGACAGAGACAACTGACATAGAGCGTACCGCCACTTCAGGTACTGAGAAACATGGAAGCACAGTGGTTCTCTCAGTCGGCGGGGATGCTGGGTACCATCGATCACTAACAAGGCGGCAAATCATGATGATGACCTTTGGGGCGGGCATTGGGACTGGACTGTGGGTAGGAACTGGACAAGCCTTGCATTATGGTGAGTAAAGTCGATATGATTTGCCTTCGATATGTGGCTACTAACTACGAAAAGCTGGTCCTGCTGGCACAGCTATTACCTACACCATCACTGCGTGAGAGCTCCTGTCTCGGGAGCCTGAAACTTCAAAACTGATATTCTGAAGGATGATTGTTTACGCCCAGTACTCCTCTATCGGTGAGATGACCACATATAAACCAATCCATGGTGGCTTTATCCGACAATGCGCTGAATACGTGGACCCGGCCTTTGGCTTTGCAATTGGTGTCAATTTTTGGTTCGCGGTATGGTATACCTCTATAAGGTAGATATTAAAACTATACACTGACACTGGATATAGTGGGTGATGATCATACCAGCAGAGATAACAGCTGCCATATCCGTCTTGAAGTACTGGCCAGAGACCGATGCAGTACCACTCGCGGCATACATTACAATATTCCTTGCCGTGATTGCCTTTGCTAACATGTTTCACGTTCGGGTGTATGGATACATTGAGTACTATATGTCGTTTGTCAAATGTCTCGCAGTCGTTTTGATGATTTTCTTTATGTTCATCATGACCTCGGGAGGAATTTCCGCCACGAACGGACCCATAGAGTTCAGATACTGGAAGAACCCTGGGGCGTTCAACAATGGAATCAAAGGCATTGCCAAGGCATTTGTACAAGCGGCCTTCAGCTTTGGTGGCGGTAAGACTTTCTACAATGATTGGCACGAACTATCACTGATTTGATCATTAGGCGAACATATTGCTGTGATAGCTGGTGAAGTCAAAGATCCCCGAAGAACTATCAAGAAAACAGTTCGACCAATCTTTTGGAGAATGTTCACCTTCTTCGTGGTGAATATCTGGCTTGTCGGGATGTGTGTGCCTTCCAATGACACCGACCTTGTGAATGCAAGTGGAACTATGGGGAGTCCCTTTGTCATCGCTGTTAAACGTGCAGATGTCTATGGTCTTGCGCATGCAATCAACGGCTTCATATTTCTCAGTGTCATCAGCTGTGGAATAACCAGTGCTTATATCGCAAGTCGAAGCCTTACAGCTCTGTCTGATCTACAAATCATCCATCCCTTCTTCGGCAAAAAGGACTCTCAAGGGAGACCTTATGTGTCACTCATTATCAGCTTGGGTCTAGGTGGCGGGCTTTGCTATCTCAACACTAATAGTGTTGGTACATTGGTCTATGGTTGGTTTTCTGCCTTGGTAAGAGCACCTACCCAAAGACTCACTTCAGAGTGCAGTTATTGACTGACTTCTTATAGGTAGCAATCGCGACACTCTTTCAATGGGCGTCGATCTATATAGCCCACCTTCGATTTCGGCAGGGACTTCGGGCCCAAGGCAAGGACCTTGGTAGCCTTCCTTTCAAAGGTCTTTTGACCCCATGGGCACAGTACTTCGGCCTAATAATTGTACTCTTCGTATTTGGCTGCGAGTTCTATCTGGCTTGTTGGCCATTTGGGGAAAAGGGCTCTGTCAAGAGTTTCTTCTCTTCTTACCTCGCCGCTCCCTTGTTCTTTTTCGACTATTTTGTGTACAAGGTAAGAATTTCCGGGATCTTGAGAATCTTGTATCATTCTAATCCCCATAGTTTTATTACAAAACAAAGATCGTCAAACCTATTGATATGGACTTCGCCACCGCCAAAGCGTTCGACGAACAGGATGTCATCAATGCCATTGCTTCCGAAAGCATGCCACAGGATTTGGAGACAACTGGCAAACAGCGGTGGTATAAGCGTGTACAGTACATGGTGTTTGGTTAATCCCCAGAGCAGACCCCCTTAAGTAGTGTGAAGTTATTCAGACAGCAATGAAAGGATATTAGTGTCAAATTCGACATCTGCATTTGACCACCCAGAATTGAAGAAATCATTGATATCATCGAGCTGGGGATTTGCAAGGCTTTCTGTTCCCGGCGTGAGATGCGAAAGCGGACTGAATGAGGTCAAATCTCGATTCTCAACTGTAGATTTATCCTTTTTGAGTGCTCTTGTCCAGTCCTTGAATTTTGAGTATGCAGAAGTAGGACTTTGAACCGGGTTCGACTGAGGCACAACATCGCGTTCCGGGGTGGCTAAATATTGACTGATTGCTGCCTCGATCGACTCAATATATGAAATCTCAGACTGAGTCGAGCTGCCCCCGATCATCTGGCGTATGAGAGTCATCCCGCGTCGGAGGCCGTCCTGAAGCCTCTGTGATTTTCCGGAGCTGAGGCTTTCAGCAAGGATCACGAGTAAAGCTGCTCTACACGCGCCGAATTCATTATAGGAAGCGCGACAGAGACCAACATGGTCTGATAGAGACTGAAGAGTGTTGAGAATGTCTAATGCGCTAGCCACACAGTCTTCGACCAATGTCGATCGACGTGATCTGCAAGCATCAGGATCTGCAATCGGCATTGCATTCGTCGCAGTTTCCAATTTGTTATCGCCGATGAAAATAAACGGGCGGCCCATATAGACATATATGAGAAGATAGCATAGTTTCAGATGCGAGTTCTGTCGGAATAACGGGCCTTGAGAGCAAAGGTCACGGCACTCTTCGGTTGCAGGCAGGGTATCCCACCACTGCTTAATACGAACCCTTAATTGCAACAGCCGATCTGAATACTCCGATAGAAGTCTTCTTGGGCACCTCTTGAACTGTGCACTAACTCAACTTAGTATATGCCGCACTTAGTTAGGGGTGTAACACTAACAGTGTTTCCGAAATTTCCCCTAGGTAGGATATCAACGTGTGGAATGCCATCATGTTCGAAAATCTCGGCGATGTAAACGTGGGACAATTTGTTGGCATATCCGCATTGATTTCTGACTTTGCAATGGAGATAGGACGTCCATGCATTATGCTGATATATCTAGTCGCAGTCAGATATCGTGGGAGAGGGAATAGTGTGCAAGTGACATACCTTTCAATAGAGTACGTCGTCCAAAAAAGGCGATTTCTTGTCTCAATTGTTTTTGAATCACGGTCGCCGTCGGGATATTGGCGATGCATACCGTTTTGGATTGCCATCTTCATTGCAAGGCCGTAGTATGTGTAGGCAAGCCCTCCGGTGGAAACAGGGAGTGAGTACGTTGCAAGAAGCAAAAATGCCTGTACACTTTCATGGGATGCAACCAAGAGAACGTCCGGTATGAGTCTGCATGCCACGTGGTAGAATACTAGACCAACCGAGTCCTCGGAGCATAGCCTGAGCTCATCGGTTGGATCTGTGTCAGATTCAGGTACTTTGTCCTCCATGTGGGCGAGCTGAATGCCAATAGCCAGAACGGCAAATACCGAGCACACCCAAGGGAAGTCACTGGCGTTGTATACCGTCTGTGGGTTATAACAAATCTCTGCCTTCTCCTCGATCCACCTGCGCTCCATGTAAAATGAATTGATCTCGGCATATTTGAAGAATATGCCGATGAGAAAGTCAGCAATCGGCTTTGGCGGCAGTTGTGTCATCGAGTCAACCAGGGTCTGGGGCGATGACTGGAGCTGAGTTGGTCGCCAATACTCTTTCACCTACTCAGATGTTGTTGCTTGTTAGAAAGGTCTGGGGCAGTAGAATGAAGGGGCAGGTACCTACCTGCGCATCAACATGGTCGATTTGGCCGCTCATCTTGCGACGTAGTTTTTGAGAAAAGTTCCAGTGAGAAAATTCCCCGGAATAATGAGCGATGTCTCTTGATACGAACTGCACGTCAAATGATTCATTGATGTCCAATGCACCTTCCATTCGAGTTTTGTGTGCAGCCGAGCTTTCCAACTTGGTAACGATTTGGGCCAAGCTCTCCTCGTCCAAAGACACATCTCCGAGAAAATGGTATGCAATATGCTCGAGCATCTGGATTCGTTTCTCACCTTTGTCAAGGCATGCGGTGGGGACAAAGCTGGGGGCAGAGGCAAGAATTGTCGTTGGCTCAAGAAGAGATTGGCCCTGAAAATGGCATTGTCTACCTAGCCGCTGGCATCTCCGACAAGGCCGCCCGCCTTCGCATTTTTCTTTCTGTTTTCTGCATGTTTCACAACTAGTCACAGAGGTCAGATGCTGGGGGCGAGGTATCGATGCCTTGCACTTACGCTAGGGAAGCGCGTCGACTCTCACCTCGCTTCCGCTTGTTCCCAGCTCTTAGGATATTGCTTTCTGGTGGCATCCCTGGTATCAGGATCCCAGGGGTGGTAGAAGATGGAGGTTCAACAAAGTGACTTTGGAAGAAGCCCTGGAAATCCATGGATGGGAATAAGCTTATCTTTCTTATCAGTCCGTGTCAGCCCCGACAGCCTTCCAAATTTGGTTAGCTCGAGACTCTCAATGCGGGGTAAGAGGCGGCTATTGACCAATCAAATATGTATCCCATGGGATGGAAATTGACTACGGAGTACAGAGCAAATACAGCAGACCTCCCAAGGTGGGAAGGGCGCAGGGCAATACTCTTCAAAATGTGTCCACAGGTCCTGTAGGGATTACGGTATGTACTTGAAATTACGGTCACTGTAAAGTGAAGAGTGGGGCAGAGAATTACAAGTAGTAGTACTCCTTCCCACTTGCCCAAGTGGACCCTTTTTTTGGTTCTCCTTATTGATTATATCAAGGTATCAAGGTGATAACTATGGATGCTCGAGACCTCACCATATTTGGCTTTGGCAACAATTCTTCCAAGGTTAGTTCCAAGAGATTGAGATCTCTTCTTTGACCTGGATCTTGGAGCTTGGTGTCATGTTATCTCTACTTTCCTTTCCTTTCAAAAAGTGCAAGGGCCACCCAGGGAAATTCATCAGTTGCACTTGGTCGCCATGATGCTCACCAGCATCATCTTCGTCCGTGGTTTGGTGTCTTGAGAGATGTATCCTGGACCCGCCGCTATCGTACTCTCTCTTCTTCTTGGAGTCCCACTTTTTACCACCCAAAATAGCCCACCAGCGGCGGAACAATGGCGTAAAGGTGGGAAGGCAAGCACAGACAATCCCAATGAAAGGTTCAACACAAGACCACACGAATACGGGACCTATGGTCCAAGATGGGTCTTCAGATTGGGTGTTTTTGTACAAGAAAACAACCCGAATAACCCCAGCAACACAGACACTAGACAGGTTCAGTCAGCAGTTTATTCATTGTTTATGAAAAGAAATTTCAGGAGTCTCACAATCCACCGAGTAACAAAATGCTGATAACAGCAAGCCGTTGTGCTTTTGGCATTTGCAGCTTCCAGATGATAGGAGCAGGGATGCATAAGATCGTAATATCAATCGACACAGAAGCAATTCCATTGTAAAGGAAAAATTTGCGTACGTCAATACATGTTCCTTCCGCGCCAGGATCAGTGTATGCCTGCCAAAGGTGAGAAAATGGACGACATGCGATAGCAATAGTCATAACAACTGCCACAAAGTATCCCAGGATGATGAACATGGCAAGGTAAAGGGGCCATTGGAGGTTGAAGATTCGGCGATAGAACATAATGATCGAGGATTTGGTGAGGGTCACGGTCGTCGAGTATATGATAATGTGGGCGAACAAGAGCTTCCATAACGAGATGAACTCGTACTCACGCAGAGTCTGTTGATGCCACCCGTTCTTGTACTTCGTGCCTAAAATTCTGGTTAGACTCCTGATTTCCTTCGCCTGATGTACTTGGGGTTGCTTACTGATGATCACACAAATCGCAGTACCATATGCGCAGCACTGGGAGCATGTGAGAAATGAGGAAAAGGCCTTCTCCGGGGCTCAGTTCAGTCTTACCAAGGAGGCGAAAATGAGATAATCGTCAAGACCAAAATTGGTGTGCGAGTTCTTTACGCGAGTATAGATGCGCAACATGACTGCTAGGGCCCCAATGACCATAACACTGATGGCAGCACCGAGCATCTGAGCTTGTTGATTCTCGGCAAGATCGAACCCAGCTGGCGCGGGCCCAAAATCACCAGATACTAGCATGATGCAATTGACAAGTGCACTCCGGGGCCCTTTGAGTTGTTTTACCACTGGCTTTCGGTGTCAAGGACAAGACCTGGTCATGTCAGGGGGACATTACTATATTTATGAGGATGATCTTGTATTCGTATCGAGATCATCGGCCAGTGCTGTCAGTTTCGCCTGTTCCAAGGTTTGATATGGGGCTATACCCGGGAAAACAGGTCTGTGCTTCCTGAATAAGTGATGCATCAAGGGTCCTCCAGCAGAATCCTCATTTTGGTAGTTCTTTTACGAGACTAGAAGGCGCATTAATATCATCCAATCAATGCGATGTCTCAAATAGCTATCGATTCCAAAGTTCAAAGCCAATATAGAAAGTAGCCTTGGTGCTTACCTCTCTCTTTTCGAGACCCGCCCAAGAATCTAGATCCTGCAAAACTCAATGTTCCAACTGGGGTCTTCCAAACAAGGCACCTGGGCAATTATGCGCAACCGGTAAGCACACTTGAGAAAGATATCGACCCATCTGAGGGCGTGTACATCGAAAATATCTGAAAGGTCTCACTTAGATGAAACGTGGGAGATATCATCGGAGCCGGATCCATGGACTGTGCCAGCCACGAGTGGAGCCGATCCAAGGTTTACTTCGCCGAAGTGGATCACACTCAATCACTTTGCCGCGCGCTCAGGCATCTGACAGCTGAGATTGAAGATGACGCTTATTCCTACTTGGGCTGTTGGGGCGTGCCTGGCGGGCTCTTCAGCCACTGGGTAGTTATTATGACATGGTTTGCGGAGATAGCCGTGTCTTTAGAGGCCTAGATGTTCCATCGATATTGAAGTTGCGACGCTCTGCCCCATGGAAATGTCACTTTTGAATGCCCTTCCAACACGCGCGTATGGTACACACTTATATCGCCTCCTTGCCAAGTTTCCTCTCTATGGTCATTGTAATTACTTCGAGCCTTCAGACATGATCATTATGATGATCAGATGAATTTCTTGGCCGACAAAGATCATCTTGCTAACATTTCCAAGGTTAGACAGCGTGTTGGCCAAAATTTGATACACGGCTCTTTGTCAATCCGATATCTTCTTCGCAATCATGGGGCCCCATATCAAAGCAAAGCATTCTAAGCCATCAACACGAAATTAGATCACCTTGTTCCATTTATACCCAGATTAGCTCCTTCCCAACGACTCTAGCAGTATTTACACATATTTTTCAAATGTAAATATTGTAAAATCATTAAATTTGGCTTGTAGCATCCTGCCGTGGACCCAGTGATCCCGAGTCCATCATGAACATCGCCAAGAACGTACCTAGGTAGTCTCAATCTTAGAAAAGGCTCAATGAGTTGAAGAAACTTCCAAAAGGCGTGCTTCATACTATGTACCACTGTCTTTTCAACCTGAGCAAGGCTGTTCTCGGTTCCCGGGTCGGGCAATACCCCGCGTTGAGTCAGATTTAGGGTTAAACCGGGGCACTGAGCCCGGGGTCCAGCTTTATAAAGACTCCACGGGTATTTGCTCTGTATCACTTTCATGTCACAATGGAACGCACGCAAGAGCCCATGCAAATTGAAATCAGCCAACCAACTGTGTGGGGGTCTCGATTGTATATATTTCCTCTCGGACTCAACTAACTTAAAAAGCTGACCAGAATGCCCTAGACAATCCATCAGTATCATAAGTGCATCAACAGCTCTCGTCTTCACAGGATGTGGAATCAATTTTGCCTTTGGTGTCTTTCAAGAGTTATATGATTCCATGGCAAAGGAGCCTGACACGCCCTTTACGGGAGCCACACCCGCTCAAATAGATCTCATTGGCACTCTCTCCATTGCATTGATGACCATCGGCGCCCCATTTGCAACGACGTGGATCAAACAGTACCCGCCTCGCAACGTGATTTGGGTGAGTGGGGTCATTTACTCTGGCTCCTTGGTGCTGGCAAGCTTCAGCCAAGCCTTATGGCAGTTTATTCTCACACAAGGGTGTCTCTTGGGGGTCGGAACTTGTCTGATCTATATGCCTTCTGTCACGGTAGCCCCGACATGGTTTTCTCTTCACCGTGGACTAGCAATGGGGATCATTCTGGCGGGAACAGGGGTCGGGGGTGTTGCATGGCCCCTTGCTTTTCGGTATCTCATTGACGCTGTCGGGTTTCGCAACACCCTCCGCATCACAGCAGGGATATCGCTCGTGCTGGTCTTTGGGTCAGGAATCTTCATCCGATGGCCCGCCAATCAACTTGCTCGGATTCAAGTTGAGAATGCAGCTTTGTCACGATCATCGAACATCTTTCGTCTGCCTCGGGTCGATTGGCGCGTTGCTCGAAGTCGCAAGTTCCTCGCACACGCTCTCGGCGCAGCCCTACAATCTGCAGCGTATTACACCCCTGTGTTCTTCTTCGCTTCGTTTGCACGCACACTGGGCTATTCGCAAGCAACCTCGGCCAATTTCATCGCGATATCCAATGCTGCAAACGCGCTCGGCAAAGTTGTCATCGGATACGCTGCAGATCGAATGGGCAGGCTCAACACGCTGGTTGTGACAACTCTCATATCGGCGATTTCTGTGCTCGCGTTGTGGCTTCCTTCTTGTCTATCCACGACGCAGTCGAGCGGGAGTAACCTCTTCATAGCTTTTACTGTTTTCTACGGTGTCTTTGCATCGGCATACGTGGCTTTATTCCCAACCAGCCTGGTCGAGCTGTTTGGTGTGCAGAACTTTGCGAGCGTCAACGGTCTACTCTACATGATTCGGGGCTTTGCCACCCTGCTTGGAACGCCAGTTGCAGGTGCGCTGATTAGGGGCCATGATCAGAAGAGTGTGGGCCCTCGAAGCTACGAAAATACCAGCATCATGGTTGGTGTCTTGATGGCTGTTGCGACTTTGGCTGTCCTCTGGGCTCGGATCGAAGCTACCATTTCTCTAGATGGGAGTCAGAGTCACAGAAGGAAGTGGTTAATGTAAAACACTCCCGAGGTCCACGCCCAGTGAGTGAGTTCACAGGAATTTGGAGGGTCTGTATGTGACAGGCTGTGTACAAAAGCAAGTTCGTCTACACAGGGACTCTAGAGAGTCATGATCAATGAACCATCTCATCTCAACATCATGACAGTGGGCCAATTTAATTCATCAGCGAGGATGAAAGTTGGGGATTATTCTGGCCCCGTATTGCATGGTCGGCATCCTCGGCAAGGAGGTTCACGAAACATCTTATTTCTAGGATGCATATGCACGCTGTGCAACTATCTAACCCAAGGAGCCCATAAAATCGCATAAATCATAGATCGTAGATCATCGCCTCTAAATTTACTCAGCCTTACAGGCCAGGGGTTTGAGCCCCTTCCCCAATACCCATTAGCCCACCAGCAAGACCATTCATCCGACGATCCAGGATATCCTCTTCGCTATCCAGAGAAGCAATACTACGCCCCCGCGGACGAGCGGTAGTCGGACTTTCGGGTGCACTATTAGTCTCATCCGGGTCGAATGGGTCACCACGGCCGGACCTCTCCAAATGTCGAAGCTTAGCAATAAAGTCATCCTTGGCCCTATTATCATCTCCCAGAGATGTGAAACCTGTGAGTTGCGACGAGGCAAAGGAAGATCGCGATCTCCTTCGACGTGTCCGGTGCTCGGGCTTTGGCTCTGGTATCGCATCGCCTGTATTCAGATTGATCTTGCTCATGCTCATTTCCAGAGGTCTGTCATCATCACCCGAGGACTCGCCTGTCAAGTTTCGGCGGTGATTACGTCCTTGCTTCGAAATATTGGGTACCCGGCTTGCAGAGCCAGACCACTTAAGTGAGCTGTTTGCCTGTGGGCCCTCTGCGACTGTCATGGAATTCGCCAAGGCATTGTCTGTCTCAATGTCTTTAAACAATGTTTCAAGCCACTCTGCACTGCGATGGATATACTTCCACGCGTCAGGGAAGAATCCGGCCATTTGCATGAATCCATGTGACACGCCGGGGATGAGGGATAATTCAACGTAGTTCTTTTCATTGAATGTGCGGTTGGCTTTCTCCAAACCCAAGTCCTGGCGCTCGCGGAACTGATGGAGCTTCGCCTGGCGGAGTCTTCCTGCAAAGATCACGGTGTCGTCAACCAACGGATCTCGTTCGCCGGTCATGATGTATGTCTTTGGGAAACGAGCAAGTAAAGCGTCTGGTGCTAGAACAGGGGACAGGAGGAAGTCTGTGTTGAAGTCTGGACGATGATGCGGCCCAATGTAAAGAATGATCATTGCACGAGTCATTTCTGGAGTGAGGATTCGATCATGCACATAGGTGATCATAGAAGAGACGGCAAGTCTAGTCTTTATTGGCTTGACATTGTTTTCTGCTTTGGTCGGAGCCTTTTTACCGAGGTCTTCGTTCTTTTGAAGCTTCTTTTCGAGTGACTTCGCTGTTTCGGTGGCGATATCGGTCTCCTTGTCCTTTGCCTTATCTGGTGGTGAAATTGCAGTCAAATCCTCGACCGAGCGACCGGGGGAGGTAAAGGGCGTAAGCTTGCGATACTGGTCTTGTTTGCGTTGAAGTACACTGCGGTTGGTTTGTCGAGAGCTTTTATCTTGGATCAGAGACATCTGCTCATCACTCATCCAGCTTTCTACCCTCATGTTGAGGGCAGGGTACCCAAGAACAAGACCATCGGGAGCGGGAAGCTCATCTTCTCGTCGCCATCCTTGGGACATGGCCGATTGCATGATCATCAAAGTCATTCCCACGGCTAGATTGCCACCAGCACTCTCGCCAGTGACGAGAATCCGCGGTCGAACGCTCCCTTCGAGCCCCATGCAACGACCATCTGTAGCCACGATGCTATGATAAACATCATAGCATTCGTGCAACGCATGTGGGTACGCATATTCCGGTGCCTTCCTGTAGTCGACGCTGAGGATTGGAACCTTCAGTCGGCCCGCCCAGGCAAGCAACTTATCCTCTGAATTTCGAGGGCTCATAGCCACAAAGCCACCGCCTGGAATATCTAGTACGATGGACTTTTGCTGTTTCAGTGCGCTGAGCGGGCCATCGAAATACAGCCAGGCATTCACTGGCTCGGTATAGATTGACTGTGCTGGTCGAGGAATTCTAATTGCTCGAGCCGGATATTGCGTCATCCGCGGCCGTAGGAGTCTTGCCAGATTCCATAGATATGGGCTAGTGGCTTTGTTCCAGGAAACCCGCAGGTGCTCCAGAGTCAGGGTGGCTCGGACACGACGGACCTTCTCGTCCGCCTGTTCGGCAGCGATCAGGTAGTAAACAGTGAAAACCAAAGAGGCGATATCCCGCAACCACTGAGGCTTGATGTTCATCGCGGTCCAAAATCCAGCATCCAGGCCCGTAGTGATCCATGTCGCTCGGAAGAAGGACCGCGAGTACATGTTTGCTAATGGTTCCGGGCATTCGAGGCCAACGATTTTGGCAAAGTTGCGACTGAGGTACAGCCAGAGAAATATGATGACGGTGGTCTGCCATGTTGTTAATTTGCTTGTGAAGCGGGATGAGAGTGATCGAATAAATGGTGGGCCATGTTTATCGGCTCTGTTGATATACGCAAGTGGTTAGCTCTTGGGGGTACAGTTGACAGGATGAGAACCACGGACTTGAGCAGGTAGACCGACCAGAAGGAGACTACCGCGAAGACTTGGATCTTGCGAAAACGGGTGGAGGGTCTCCCCAAAACGTGATCTAGATATTCATGAGACTCGGGTGCTCCAGTCGATGACGGAAGTCCATACCTATCATTTCTACCAGAGCTTTCTCACCAGCTCGTTTCTATGTGAAGCCAAGAGGAAGAAGAACTCATATTTACAAAGAAGACCCGACGTCAGCCACCGAGCTGAACGAATCCCCGGAGTCGTCATTGGCGAAGGGATTCACATGTGAATGCGGATCTCACATGTGATGCCTATCAGCTGACCTGTCACGGGACTGGCATAACAAATGATCATTTTATGCAGATCTATGTCTTTTGTCGGCAATAGTCCCGCCCATGTCCTACTTGCCAATTACACAACGAGACCTCCCATCCCATACTGAGCAGTCCCGCAATACAGATACCACCAGAGTCACTGACAGTGGTCGCTCCGAGCGAGAATTCACGGTCCTCTTTCGGTACACGATCAGTTATCTCGGCAAAGGTATTGACATACACCACGCCACCGAGAAGTCCCTCCCAGAATATAATGATGAACACAATCCAAACACTCGGGATGAAATCGAATAACGCATGCAGAGTCAACACCACCAGGTTGAGTACCTGCAAAAGCGATGGAACATACAGCTGATGGATGCGGTAGAATGGTGTCGAGGAGCGGGAGATGAACACACCGATCTGGTAGATGGCGTTGTAGGTGGGATAGAATGATCGGAAGTGCTCAAAAGGCGATTCGCGCAGGGGGAAAAGGAGGGTCGGTGCTACTCCTTGATTAATCACATACTCGGCAATGTAAACGAGCAGCATTGGAACCATACTAGATAATTGTCAGCATTGGGAGGCAGGATGGACTCGAGAGAAACACTCACAATGGGATGAACAGTCCCTTCACCCGATGTAGATTCAGCAATGCCTGGTCCTTCCAAGAACCATTTTGACCAAGTTCCGTGGACTTTTGAGAAGTGGTGGCACCGTGCGACACCCCCAGAAGTCCCTCGTTCTCTCCACGTCCACCATCCATCTCATCCTCCTCCACCTCTTCCCCGCCCTCAATGACGCGGTACCGATCCGTGGACTCGGCAGATCGCAGAGGCGACTTGGGTAGCACGACGAAGAAGCTCAGCAACATTAACGCAGGTAAACACGCGGAGAACAATAGCGTGATGTGAGCGGAGAGCCCCAGCGCCGAGGTCGCCAAGGCATAAGCACCTGCCCCAACCAGCCCAGCGGCACCCGTGCCACTCCCCCACGCAGCCAGACTGAATGGGCCGTAGTAATGCGTGAGACCCATGAAGCTCAGCTCACCACCACCGCTGGAGAAGCTAGCCAGTATGATGCCCGCCATCTTGGACGAAATTGTACCGCCGTCCGTGTAGCTCGGGCTCATGGCCACGACCAGCATGCCGACAGCTGATAGGAAGACGAATATGAGGACGCGCATCCAATACGGGACCATGTGGATGAAATATGGGGCAATGAGCTTGGTCGCAAACGAGGGGACCACATCCGCAAGAAGAACGACGCCTTTGGGTACATCTGGGCCGACTAGATCTACGGCTGCGGAGAGAATGATCACATATATGACATTGTTGATCAAGCCTGTTGCGGTTAGCGGGAGTCAACTTGGGCGAGCCCTGGAGAAATGCGCACCGAATAACCAAAAAGCGACACAGACTCTCGGGTCTGCGCCGCTGAAGGCACCGCCGAAACGGGACCAGAAGGAAGGTCGCTCTTGGGTGCTGAGTGCATCCTCGTTGGACAGTGAACGAGGCATTCAGTTGCGTTGTGGGCAAGCTACAAGTGCGAACTGGAAGGGTTCAACGTTCATTTCTAAAATTCAATATGAAACAGGGGATCGGAGTGGAACGTCCAAGTCAAGCGCGCAGAGTGACGACTCCTATTGAGATCCACATGTAATTGACCGCTTCCGTCCGCTGACACGGCGCTTGGCGCTCCACACCTCACGCGACACATTTATCCTCTATGTCCACGGGTCTTCTTTTAAATGCATGAAAAACAAAATGCTATCTATCACTTCCAGGTATCAGGGCAAACAAAAGTCGTAATCGGCATTCAAGGAAAACCGCTCATGCCTTGACCACCGACTCGAGAGCCTGCTCCAGAATACGCAGACCGGTTTGGATTTGGTCGCTGGTGATGGTCAACGCAGGGACGAAACGAAGACAGCCGTCACCAGCAGTGATGATCAGCATACCACGCTCACGGGCAGCAGTGATAATGTCACCGGCCTTGGCGGTGTACTCCGGCGCAAGCTGAAGACCCAGGATCAAACCACGACCGCGGATCTCGGAGAGCACACTGGGGAACTTCGTCTGCAAGGCCTGGAATCCGGCGACGAAGACGTCGGACTTCTCCTTGACAGACTGCTGGAGCTCGGGCTCCGCGAGACGCTCGACAATGTGGTGGGCCACGCGGCAGGCAAGGGGGTTACCGCCAAAGGTGGTGCCGTGGTCACCGGTCTTGATGTGTTGGCCGACGGACTGGCCAGAGACGATGGTGGCGCCAATGGGAATACCATTACCCAGGGCCTTGGCGGTGGTCAGAATGTCGGGGTGGGCGGCCTCGCCAGAGGCGGGGGCGAGGGAGGGGTGAGCGTGCGCCCAGAAGGAGCCAGTGCGAGAGAGACCGCACTGGATCTCATCGTAGATTAGAACGGCGCCGGTCTCGTCACAGCGCTTGCGGAGAGCGGCAAGGAACTCGGGAGTGGCGATGTGGACACCACCCTCACCCTGAATGGGCTCGACGATAACACCACATGTCTTATCAGTGATAAGAGTCTGGAGCTGCTCAATCTGGTTGAAATCTCCGTACTTGAATCCCGGGATCATGGGCGAGAAGGGAGTCTGGTACTTGGGGTTGGGGGTGGCGGAGAGAGCACCCATGGTGCGGCCGTGGAACGAGTTGTTGAAAGAGACAAACTCGTGCTTTTCGCCCGAGGGGTTCAGAGTACGACCGACCTTGCGAGCGAACTTGATAGCGGCCTCGTTGGCCTCGGTTCCTGAGTTGCAGATGAACACCTGCGAGGCATCGCGCATAGCACCAGACTTCTTAGTCAACTGAATCAAGAGCTGGCTCAATGCACCGGTCCAAGGGTTGTGGTAAAGGTTGGAGGCGTGAAGAAGGGTCTCAGCCTATATATTAGGGACGCAAATCAGCAATTGACCTCGAGAGAGAAGGGAGGGTGTTTAGAGCGTAGCGCACCTGCTCGGCGATGATCTTCGCAATCTCGGGGTCACAGTGACCGAGAGAGTTGACCGCAATTCCAGAAGTCAGATCCAAGTAGCGACGGTTCTCCATGTCCCACAAGTAGCAACCCTGACCCTTCATCATCATAGGAGCTGGGCGAACATAGGTCGAGACCATGAACGGAGCCCGCTCATTGACAAAAGAGCTTGTGATTGAGTCGGCCGAAGGATCGGGATTGGGCAAAGTCGTCTCATTCTACACACATGTAAGCACAGGGTCAAGTATACAAGTTGTCCGACACACCTTGGCTTTCACATCCTGGGGAGCACTGGTTGTGGCCAATCGGCGCTGCACCGGTGACTCAAGGGCAGAGACAAACTTGGATGCGCGAGGGAGACGGCGCGCGGCCAGACGGATAGCAGACATGATTCAATGGGTATCAAAAATTGCAAATCGCAAACAACAAAAGATCGCACGAATGACCGGAACAGCGAGCTGCCGAGAGAAATAGAAAAAGGTGATATCGGGATCGGCGAATCTTAGTCACTGTGGAGATTGAGTCAATATCCCGAACTCCAAAACCGTTTGACTCACTGGACATATCATTGCCCTCGTACAAGATGCCGTTCTCTCTTGCTATTCGCCGTTCAATTCTCTCGGCCAATGCGTCCCGCAGCGCTTTCCGATCTTTTTCCACAGGGCGCGCCTTGCGCCAGGGAGATGACAAGCCGATGCCCTTCTCCAACTCCCCGGCTCCTCCACGCCTCCCGAAGGAGGAACAAGAAATCTTCGAGCAACTACAGAAACGGTCAACTGGAGCTTTCAGCACACCCCAAGTCAACCAGTCCCCACAGGCAGAAATTCAGGCCGACGGTAACGGTGGCGAGCTGCACCCCGATGCGCCGAAGGGACTGAAGCCCGAGTTCGAAGGCGAGAAGAACCCGAAAACGGGTGAGGTTGGAGGACCGAAAAATGAGCCGCTGCGCTGGGGCTCTGGAAGTGACTGGAGCTATGGTGGACGCGTCACTGATTTCTGAGTGACTTGGTCACAGAAAGTTGCATATATTGGGCGTTGGTGTTTCTGGTCGGAAGACCACAATGTATATAAGCACTCATCTGTACGTTCGAGCACCTTTGGCCTGCTTCATTGATGGGACAAAACTACTCAAAATGTACAATCATCTAAAGCAAAGCCAACCATCCGCGATACAGCTGGAGCCAACCGCATCGCATCTAAGTCTGTGGCCGATTTCTACCTAGGTACTCCAAAGACATAACCTTTGAGGCAAAAGATACTAATATGATGGCTCGGCATGATAAACATACATATGTTGGTTGATTGACAATTAGCTTTCATTGAACGAATCGACGCTCGATCAAAGCTTCGCTTTCTCAGCTGCAAGACGAGCAAGCGTAGCCTTTCCGGCCCGGCTGTCATTAGCTCGTCCCAACTCGCCGCTAATCCAGGATCCAACCTTGGACATCTCCTCCAGGCTGATGCCGGTATGCATTCCCAAGCTGTGAATAGTGTGTACGAGGTCCTCGGTCGCCACATTCCCAGTAGCACCTTTCGAGTACGGGCAACCACCAAGGCCGCCCACGCTACTATCGAAGATGCGGACACCATGCTCCAACCCGACGATCGTGTTCACCAATGCCTGGCCGTAGGTATCATGGAAGTGCAATGCCAGGTCCGTATTAGCAATACCAGCAGCCTTGAGCGCCTGAAGGAGCTCCATGGTGCGTGGAGCGGTCCCCATACCAGTGGTGTCGGCCACCGAAACTTCATCCGCTCCCATTTCCAACAGAGTGGCGGTGATTTCAGCAACCTTGACAGGGCTAACGTCGGGGCCCTCGTAGGGGCAACCAAGTGCGACAGAGACATATCCTCGCACCCGGATGTTCTTTGTCTTTGCTAATGCGACAATTGGTTTAATTCGTTCGAGGGACTCGTCAATGGTGCAGTTGGTGTTGGCCTTGGAAAAAGCTTCTGTTGCTGCCGCGAAAAGTGATACTTCAGTTGTTGTAGCGGCCTCCGACGTCTCTGCCCCCGCATCTGCAGGCACTCCCGTCTGCTCCATGACCTTGACCAAGCCCTCCAGGCCTTTGATGTTGGGTACTAGGTAGTTGTATGCAATGGTAGACTGTGCTGGTGGGGGTTTTGTGAGTAGATGCTCACAGATCTCAGCTGTGCTTGCCATCTAGCATCGTAAATTAGCCTCTTATTCGTCCTGCACTATTGTGGCATGATCGACGACATCATACCTGTGGTACCCATTTGGCAGGGACAAATGAGCCAGCCTCAATGGTCGTCACGCCTGTCTTGGCTAACCTTCTGATCAATTCGAGCTTTGTTTCCTTTGAGATGGACTTTTTCTCATTCTGCAGGCCATCTCGGGCGCCGACTTCAACGATGCGGACATGGTCCGAGGTTAACCGCGACTCGGTCGCAAAGCGGCGTGCGGCTAAGGGGGAGCGGAGCGCGGAGAAAAGACGTAGGTTGGGGCGAGGTGTAATCATCGCATAGGTAAGTCTAGCTGATTTGATCGAATAATCAACAATGTAAGACTGAATAGCGTGCAGAAGGAGAATAGCTTGGGATATGGAAGAGTAGCAGGCCGAGATGCGGAGAGAGCTTTACCTCTTTCGGACTAGCTGACCACCCCACCTCTTAATCAGCAGAAAAAAAGTGCCCGCCCTAACATTTGAAGTGGGATGATCAACGAGATAGTCTTGCGAAAACTGATATCTGAAACCACACTTCATATCATGGAACCTCAGCCAGTATCCACCGAGGATGGCTCGCAAGCCAGCCAAATGCGCCAGCCAAAGAAGAGATTCGTTGGCCGACGAACAGCAGACGCCCAAGCCCAGAAGGACTCAACTGGACAGAAAGATGTAGAGTCTACAGCAGTTCAAACAGGTATGCACGCATCACCCAGGCACAAACACACTTCTCTAACAAAGATGCAGCCGCACCCCGACGCAATCCTCGCACTCTCAACCAAGTCCCACCAGAGATCCTGAACGATCCCGAAATCAAAGAAGCCATTGAGCTCCTCCCCAGCAACTACTCATTCGAGATCCCCAAGACCATCCACCGAGTCCGAACATCAGGAGCCAAGCGTGTCGCCCTCCAATTCCCAGAGGGTCTCCTCATCTTCGCCACTACCATCTCAGACATCCTCACCCAATTCTGCCCGGGCATCGAAACCCTAATCATGGGCGACGTCACCTACGGAGCCTGCTGCATCGACGACTACACAGCACGCGCGCTAGGCTGCGACCTCCTTGTCCATTACGCCCACAGTTGTCTGATTCCCGTTGATGTAACGAAGATCAAAACACTATATATCTTCGTGGACATTAGCATCGACACCACACACCTTCTCGCAACACTAGAGCGAAACTTCAAACCAGGCCAATCGATCGCAACAGTCGGCACAATCCAATTCAACGCCACCCTGCACGGCCTAAAACCCGTTCTCGAACGTGCAGGCTTCCGCGTCATAATCCCCCAGATCACCCCGCTCTCCAAGGGCGAGATCCTAGGCTGTACTTCACCTCAGCTCTCAGATACCGAAATTGACGCTATCCTCTACCTCGGCGATGGTCGTTTCCACCTCGAGTCCGCCATGATTCATAATCCTTCTATTCCAGCTTATCGATACGATCCGTACTCACGTACGCTCACACGCGAGAGCTACGAGCACGAGGAAATGCACACGATTCGCCGAGACGCCATTGCAACTGCCAAGTCGGCACGAAAGTGGGGTATCATTCTTGGGTCGCTGGGCCGACAGGGTAATCCGCATACAATGGCGATGATTGAGAAACATCTTCGTGAGCGTGGTATCCCGGTCGTCAATCTGCTTCTTAGTGAGATTTTCCCGGGTAAGCTTGCTTCCATGGCGGATGTGGAATGCTGGGTGCAGATTGCCTGCCCGCGACTGAGTATCGACTGGGGATATGCGTTTGCTCGGCCTTTGCTGACGCCGTATGAGGCGCTGGTTGCGCTGGGTGTGAAGGAGAGTTGGGATACGGGGAACAAGGGCGTTTATCCCATGGACTTCTATGCGAAGGAGGGTCTTGGTCGGACGAAGCCACAGATTGCGTAGATAGATGAGTTGGTTTTGGGCTAAGAGAAAAAGAAAACCTATATACCCCCAATAGACTAGGGCAGCGGGACTGGCTCTGACGACATGACGTCCATATATACGAATATAACCGGTTCATTTACTACGATTTACAAGTAATCTGTGAGGTTTGTTATTAATAACAGCCAGGCTATCGAAGGCCCGGCGAAAATATCATGGCATTTCATTCGAAAGTATCGAGCATCCCCTCCTAATCAAATACAAGGTTCATAATACAAAGCAGTGATTAGCTTCATCCTTTCACGTCATCTGCGCTGTCCGTGTTGAAATCACTGGCACTGCCACGTCTGAGAGAAAGGACGTTCTTGTTGGCAAGTTCATCGGCGGTACGTTCAGCAGCTCGCCACCGAGTCACGGCTTGTTGGATATCCTCAAACATTTCCAAGGAATCCTGGATGATGCCACCTTCGTCAGCATCGCCGACTTGAGTGCTTTCACGGGAACCACGGTCGCTGGTCATGGGGAAAGCAGGTCCGAAGCCTCGTTGAGGAATGGGGTTGAACATGATTGCATTGGCAAACATGCGGATCAGTTCTTTCTCCAGCTGTGCCGAGTTCACAATTCCCTTAGGAGGGATCAAGTCTTCAGTCTTTTGAAGCATGAGCACGCCACTTTTGGAAGGTGTGCCGCTGGGAGCAGGAGACTCTCCATCCCCTGGGGTGCTGAAAGATTCACCTGCAGTGGCGACGGCTTTGCTGCCCTGATGAACGGCCGACTTGATGGTTTTCAAGTCCTGCGGTCGATAAATGAGATCGCCATAGCCGGGTGCATCACGCTCTCCGATCGGCTTACTGAAGATGGAGGCAAGCTTGTGGGTGGCAACATCATTCATGAGAGGTTGCGCAGTGCGATGGAATTGACGAGCGGCCATCACGTATTTGGTTGTGTCAAATCTTGGAATGTCTGCTGGATGAGGCTCTACTTCCATAGCCTCACTTGCCCCTCGCTTGCGTTTCGATCGGGCTTTAGGTGTTTCATCATCGACGATACCGGACGCGCCCTTACGGCGACCGAGTGCTCGCAGCGTATCATCCGAAGGCGCAACTGATCCATCACGAGAAGCCATCGACCGCCCTCTGCTCCGAGAAGATGCTGAACTGACAGCGCGCATCCTTCGGCTTGATTGCTTCTCGGTCTTGATAGTAGGTGTGGCTTTGGTGTCAGGTTGGCTACGGCGCGACTTTCTTTCATCTGAAGACTTTCGTGGTGGAGGTGACATGTCCATTCCATCGATGGGCGATCCCCTCTCGCTGATAGGACTGACGTCTTCTGGACGCGGACGTGGAGGTGATGTCGGGGAGTGAGGAATGCTCAGACGCGGAGTCCTCTTCCACGGGGTTGAGGAGCCTTGAGTATCGATCGATAGGCGGGCGTGAGAAGCGCGTGATTCGGAGAAGGAAGGAAACCTCGTACTTGGGGTCTGTGACATGTGCGGGCGACCAATTGGGACTGGTGTTTGGATCGCGGAGGAAATGGCGCTGGGGGTATGAGGGATGGGAGGTTGAAGAGGAGGTTGAGACTGTGGCCCTGGTAATGGCGTGTTGATAGATTGGGGCAAGTTCCGCTTAGAAGCAGCCTGGCCGGTTTGAGGTGTAGCGGTTCCCGGAGAGATGAGGGGATATGGAGAGTGGGGTGAAGGGTCCAGCTGCCACTGCTGGAAAGTTGGTTGTGCCGGGGTTCGTTGAGAGGCCGGTAGAAGAGGGCCAGTTTTAGTTGTCACAGTCGAAGGGGGCGGAATAGGGTGCGCACGAGGTGCAATCTGAGATGGATGTGAGGGCGCAGTTCGTGCTGCCCCAGGTGTTTGGGGAGGTATTTTGGGGGCTGAAGGTGCAAGTGGTTGAATAGTCGGCTTCCCCGTGGCTTGGGGTTTGGCGGGCTGTGGTTGCTCTACTTGCTCTGCCTCCACTTGTGGGTTGCGCGGGGAGGTTGGTGCTTGCGCAACTAAGGATGGGGCCACTGGAGGTGCTGGTTGAGACCTCGCAGTCTCGTGTGATGTAACAGGTATAGCCACCTCGATACGCTGTTTCCGTTGCTCTGGTTGGGGTTTGTTCTGGACAGCGGGAACAGTTGCCGCAAGAGCCTTTCCCGTGAAGTCCTGGACGTTTGTACGCGACAACTCTTCCTTGACATCAACGTCCATCGGCTCAGCTGGTGCGAGCTCGGGTTTGTCCTCTTTGGATGGTGGGAGCTCTGCCTCGATTGCCTTGCTTTCCTCCTTTCGCAGCTGTTCCAATTCGTCTTGCATACCGGCATACTTCTTTTCATCGTCCCGGATTTCCTTGGTCACCAGCTCCTTGTACTTGGCATAGAGATGCGCTACTAGCTCCGGGACCAGTGTGGCATGTGTGAACCCATCAGCCAGATCGGCCGGTCGCGGACTGGATATTTTGCGCTTCTTCGGGTTGGGGCTAGACGCATCGTTCTCTCGTCCCTCCCGGTTGGCTCCGTCACGACTGAAGCCATCGCGCATCAAGGTCGCATACAGGTCCTCTAATGCCTCCGGGGTGAGTCGATCGGCATCGAACTCTACATTGTCGCGAACAAGCTGGTTATTGCGCAGAAGCGTCGAGATCGACCCGAAGCTTGCCGGTCGCGAATCGGACGTCGCGAGCGACTGGAAGAAGAGTAGGGACTCAAATGGGGTGTAGGCCGACAGAGGAGGCATCCCCCATTGCCCGTCCGATCGGCCACTGGGGGAAAGGGTCTTGGGGATCGGGGCCACGGTGGTTGGCGATCTGAAATCCCACTGGGGGTCTGTTGGCAGAGCTTAGATCGAGATGTACGCGACAGGCTAGGGCGAGACACAATCCGTGTAGCCCGGAAAATTCAAACGGAAAATTCTGAGTGAGGCAACCACGGCCCACAAGGACTATGCCGGTCGACCGATGGAAATGAGAGACGAAAGAGATGGATACAGTCCACAAGATGACGATCAATAATGAGATACTGGGAATGGCAAGGGGGATTGGCCCAGTTCCTGTATTGGATCATGTGACCAGTTGCCAGGGAGGAATCTGCCAGAATGCGGTTGACGTCGACTAGATCGTCTGCACATCCAACGTCTTCCTCTCTACAGGGTAAATTTTATATGTTCTTTGTTCCAGGGAGAAGAAAATATTATACTGTACCGTATAGCCTCAAATTCAGGCCAAATGACACTGTACACCTAATGGCCCCTATAGGCCTCTAAAGGCCCGTAAATCCCGAAGTGACCCAGGTCTCCATAGTAATTAGCAAAAAAAAAAAAATGGCCCTATAGAAGAACCCACTCCACGCTGTCAGGGAGTATTATAGGGAACACGCGCATGCAAGTGATCAAAGAGCGATTCCGTACCTAGGTTTACCCGTAGTTCTCCGTACGAAGTACGAAGGACAAGGTAAATCACGCCCCCTTTTTGATAGCATCAAACATCAAGTGTGGGGTGAGATTAGCATGTAATAGATGTATTGAGCAAGTCAAGCCCCTGAATCTCTACAGCCCCTTTTTTATGCGAGACGAGACTTGCGTGGTATTACGGCGTAATGATCTCCTTGCTCCCGAGTGGTAGGATGGACTAGTAATGATCAGCTCTTTCAATTTCACTCTTCTTTCCTCTCTCCTCTCCCATCTCTTGTTTCAGCTTCAGTATCAGTGTCAAAGTCCTCGAGATTTATACCATTTCCTGCAAATCCAGCATTCCGACGCCTTCTTCGAACTCCGCTTATCGCGCTTAGGGTATGTTTGGCCTGAAGTATAAGAACGATCGGAGGATTAATCTATTTTCCCAGATTCGTGACCAGATCCGTGACGCCGTGATCTATTCGGGAACACACAGCCTCTCTATCGCGAGGTTACACACTCGTCCAATACATTTGGGGTCCCGATCGTGGCCCGCGCTATCCAAACACATCATGTCCGACCAGGAATGGAAGCCGAAGATGCGCCCTCAATCGTGAGTGATCCTCATCCCCCCGGAGCTTCGGGTATTAACCCCCATCCAGAACTATGGCGCAAGCATTCTCGTCCGCCTTGGATAGCGCATTTATGCTGGATTCGGATATTAACAACTTGTCGCAAACCGTCGACCAGAAGTGAGTGCCCGAACCGACGGTCGCATCCGGTGCCAGACCACTTACCTTGTCCTTAGGAAGCAACAGATGATGATTCAGAACCGGGAGCTCGAGGAATTGCAAAATCGCATCCGCGAGGCAGAACAGCGGCTCCAGTTATCCCAGAAGGCGGGCGTGGCCCCCGCCGGCTCCGGGCAGCAGGGTGAGCGCTTCTGATCGTGGTACCCTGTTTCGGCCACTTCATACTAGCCGGTCTTATTGCGCCAGGGTCTGACTGTGTGACAGCTCCCCCAGCATCCGAGCACCCTGAGCAGCGGGCCAACCACTGAACAGCATCCTAATTGTTCTCGGCCCTCGAGACAGCGAGGTCAGAAGACGTTCGGATCCAGATGGGACTCGCGTCGCGTCGTTTGGACGCATATTCCACTGGGATGTTTTTTTGCTTTCATAACTTCTTGTTTTTTGGCACTTTTTGAAACCCCCTATGTACTGGAAGCAATTCCTCCCCTCGTTTGCGCTGCTACGGTGGACACCTGCGAATTACCCGAGTTTCTATTTTTTTTTTTTTCTTCTTTTTTTTTTCTCTACCTGAATTCAAACACGAGTTGAAATGGAGATGCAGGTCATTTCGTATAGTTCACCTGGGCACCAATTGAGCTGTGCTGGCCCGGACCTTAACGATAACGTAGTCTCGAACCAATCGACCCTGACCCGGGCGTCCAATCACACTGTCGCATTCAGAAATCCACCCAAGTTCTGTCGTCATTATGCTGGGAAACTGGCACGGGCGCCAACTCAGTGGAGCTGTCTGGAGGTTGGAGTTGCGGAGTACCTGCTTCCCCTCCATCTGGCTTTTCTTCCCTCTTTTCTCCCTCTCGCCTTCGCTTCTAGTTTGACTTTATTACCATTTTCCTTTGCGCCTCTTCACAGGCTGCTTTGCGTTCAATTGTGGGATTTCAGTACTGCCCATCATGTTGATCGACGGGAAAGAAGTGATAACGGCCGAGGAGCAGCGTCTGAAGGAGGATCGCGAGAGAACCAAATATTGGAAGGTATCATCCCCATGCCCATAGCTGGGGAATAGGAATTAATTCGAACAGCGTTGGGGACCATACGTGGCTGAGAGACAGTGGGCAACTGGTAAGTGTTAATCGGAGTACTGTGTTCCCCCTTCTGACACCCCTCAGTCCGGGAGGATTACAGTGCGGATGGCGATGCTTGGAGCTATCTGACCTACGATGACGCTCGGTCGCGCACTTATCGGTGGGGTGAAGACGGTATCGCCGGTGTCTCCGATACACACGGCCTGCAGAACATCGCTTTTGCCTTTTGGAACGGCGAGGAGTATGTTCTGTCTTGAATCTCTTCGCCTACTGATCTATTGCATACTAACTGCAATCTAGCGACTTCCTAAAGGAGCGCCTCTTCGGTCTGTCCAACCCCCAGGGTAACCATGGTGAAAGTGTCAAGGAAGCCCATTTCCATGTGGACAATACCCCGACGGTAAGCAAACAATTCCAACGCAACCGTGCCTCACTCATCCAATGATAGCACTCGTACATGAAATTCCTGTACAAATACCCCCAGAGGAAATTCCCGTACCAGGATCTCGTGGACGAGAACGCCAAGCGCTCGCGCTTGGAGAAAGAATACCAGATTTTGGACACTGGTATCTTCGATGAGAACCGCTACTGGGACATCTACATCGAGACTGCCAAAGAAGCCGATGACGAAGAAGAGCTGCTCTTCCGTGTTATCGCATACAACCGTGGCCCAGAGCCAGCCCACCTGCACATTGTTCCACACGTGTGGTTCCGAAACACATGGGCCTGGGGCGACGAGAAGCAAAAGGAAAAGCCTTCGATCAAGAAGGAAGGTTCCCTTGTCGCTAAGACAGAACACAGCAAGATCGGCGAGCGCTATGTCTCGTTTGCGCCCTCGCCCCCCGTTGGTTCCAGTGACGACGATGTTCAGCCCGAGCTGATGTTCACTGAGAATGAGAGCAACAACAAGTTGCTGTGGGATACTGAGAACACCACTCCCTACGTGAAGGATGCCTTCCACCGCCACATCGTGGAGGAGGAGAAGGGCGCCATCAACCCGGATAACGAGGGCACCAAGTTCGCTGCGTGGTACGCCTTCAACAACGGCGAGGGTGTCCCACCCGGTGAATGTGCCGTTGTTCGTTTCAGAGTCTCTCGCAAGAAGGAGGACTTTGTTGACGAAGAAGTCCTCGATGATGTGATCGAGCAGCGTCGCGCCGAGGCCGATGACTTCTACTACCACCTCAACCCTCTCCCCATGAGTGATGACCTTCGCAACATCCAGCGTCAGGCATTCTCTGGAATGATGTGGTGCAAGCAGTACTACAACTTTATCTGGGACCAGTGGGCGAATGGCGACCCCGCCGAGATTGCTCCCCCAGAGGGACGAAAGGGCATTCGCAACGAGCAGTGGCGTCATCTGTACATTGACGACATCCTGTCTATGCCCGACTCATGGGAATATCCCTTCTTCGCGGCGTGGGACACTGCATTCCACTGTATTCCACTGGCGATGATGGACCCCGAGTTCGCAAAGAAGCAACTCGACCTCTTGACTCGAGAGTGGTACATGCACCCCAACGGCCAGCTTCCCGCTTATGAGTGGAATTTTGGTGACGTGAACCCTCCTGTGCATGCGTGGGCTGTGTTCCGCACGTTCAAGATCGAGCGCAAGATGTATGGACGGCAGGATCTGGACTTCCTGGAGCGCGTCTTCCAGAAGCTGCTGCTGAACTTCACCTGGTGGGTGAACCGAAAGGATACCAGTGGCAAGAACGTCTTCGAGGGTGGCTTTTTGGGACTCGATAACATCGGTCTGTTCAACCGCTCCGAGCCATTGCCCACTGGTGGTGTTCTCGAGCAAGCCGACAGCACTGGCTGGATGGCATTCTACTCCTTGACCATGCTGAACATCGCTTTGGAGCTGGCCAAGCACCGTCGCATCTACGAGGACATTGCATCCAAGTTCTTTGAGCACTTCTTGCTCATCAGTGACGCCATGACTTTCCGTAACGGAGACGACACCGTGCAGTCGCTCTGGAACGAAGATGACAGCTTCTACTACGATGCTATCTCTTATGGTGGACCGTGGACTCAACAGCTCCCCATCAGATCCCTCGTCGGCCTGATCCCGCTCTACGGTGTCTTGACCCTAGAGCCCGAGCTGATCAAGAAGTTCCCCTCTTTCAAGCGACGAGTGGACTGGTTCATCGAGAACCGATCAGACGTCGCCGAGCGCAACATCGCCAGCATGAAGCACCGCGGCAAGGACGACAGACTTCTCCTTGCCCTCGTAAGCAAAGAGCGCCTCATCAAGATCCTCGAGCGCATGCTCGACGAGACTGAGTTCCTCTCCAAGCACGGTATCCGCTCCATGTCCAAGTACCACGAGGATCACCCCTACTCGATGGACGTCAATGGCCAGACTTTCAAGGTCGGCTATGTCCCTGGAGACTCCGATTCCGCCCTCTTCGGCGGAAACAGTAACTGGCGCGGTCCCATCTGGCTCTGTGTCAACTTCCTCATCGTCGAGTCCCTCCTGCGCTTCTACATGTTCTACGGCGATTCCCTCCAAGTCGAGTGCCCAAAGGGCTCGGGCGACTACATGCACCTGGGCCATGTGGCCGAAGAGCTCCAGCACAGAATGCAGCATCTATTCGCGCGAGACGACGAAGGTCGTCGCGCCGTCAACGCAGGCTCTGACCTGCTCGACTTCGACGAACATTGGAAAGACAACCTTTGGTTCCACGAGTTCTTCGACGGCGACACAGGCCGCGGTCTCGGTACCTCCCACCAGTGCGGATGGACCGGTCTCATCGCAAAGATCATCCATGACACCGGTATCAACTGCCGTCTGCCGCAGACCCCTCGCTCGCCATTCGCTGCTGCATCGCACTATTTCGACGATATCTTCTCTCGCTCTGGTCGCCCCCGTGGCTCTAGTCGTCCATCTGTTCGTCGGTCATCGACTACGCGCTCGATCGGCAATCGCAGTGACTTCTACTCTGGAGAGGCAACGCCTGCTGCCTCTACCGTGCTGGATGATGAAGAGGAGAGCCGTGGCCCTAGTCGGTCTCTGAGTCGTCGTGGCAGCACGGTCGACCCGGAAGATGAAGATCATGTCAGCCACTATGTCGAGAGCCAATTGCAGCGCGTGCGTAGCTCGGCTTCGATTGCAAACTATGAGGACGAGTTTGAGACCAAGGCTGATAAGGCCAATGGTCAGAACGGCGGGAATGGTCACTCTTAATTTGGATGATGAGTATATCCTGAAGCATTTTGCTTGCTTGGACTTGCCTTGATTCCTTCCACCTTCTATGGTCATATTTTCCCATTTGGTTTCTTCTGAACACGATTTTGACGATCTTCCTGGTTTTCGATGTTTTGGTTTTATTTCCTATCCTATACGTTTTGCATCTCATAAGACTTATTTACATTTTCGGAGTACTGTCTTGATTTTCTAGTGCATTTGATAGCTGAGTATACAATTTCAACAATATCATTAGTTTGGATGCCACTGGCCAATTGAGAGCCCAAGGGCTAGTTATTAGGCCGCAAGTACAGAGTAGCAGCTGGTCTCCAGTGTGAATTTGCATCACCTACAGGTTAAGATTTACTGACGGATGAATTTGTGCAATTGACAAGTAATGAGAACAAACAAAATGAAGGCTAAAAGGGAATCTAGAAACCCTCCTTTTCCCTTCCACGAACGCTACCGTTCATCCGGGACGATATACTAGTCTAACCATCCCCCCAAACGCAGAGGTTTAATTTACATTTACAAAGCATCAGTGAGAGCCTTGTTCATCTTGGCGATCTTGGAAGAAACGCTGAGGTCAACGGTGCGGCCACCGATCTCAACAACGAGTCCACCAACAAGCTCGGGGTTGACCTGGATGATGGTAAGTACTTTTCCCCAATCGCACACCTAACCGAGCAAAAACATACCTTGGCAACAACCTTGAGCTTCTGGCCCTGGCTGTACTCGGACTTGGCAACGGCCTTCTCAAGACGGTTAAGGGTCTTGGCGTCGAGCTCCTGCGAAGAATGAACATTAGATGGTGATTTTGCGATTCCTGCGGTTGAAAAAGACATACCTGAGCACTGGTGATGTTGAGGTCGATCTCACCACGGTGAGCGCCCATCAGAGTACCGAACTTCTCGCAGACACCGTTGAGGGAACCGAGGCGGTTGTTCTCGGCAAGGGTCTCGAGGAAGTTCTGGACGATACCGGCCTTGTCGGCACCGGCGACCTTGGCGAGCTCCTCAACGATGGACTTCTTGTCGGCGTTGCTGAGAGTGGGGGCACCGAGGATGTTGACGAGCTTCTTGTCGGCCTTGAGGGCCTCGCCGAGAGTGGCGATGGCGCGGGCGGTCTGGTCGAGAGCAGAAGACTTGGAGGAGGCGGTGTACTGTTTGTGTATCCGTTAGAGGTATGCTTCGAATGGAGAGCACTGATGAAATTCAAGATTGAAACATTGCTTGGAGAACACCCGAGGGAAGGGTCTCCGGGAGGGGTCGAGGGGAAACGCGAATGTCCGAAACGGTTCACAGGGTCGCGTGCGAGAACAAGGCAATGGAGTTGCATACCAGAGCGGTGGCATAGGTGCCATCAACGCCGAACAGAGCGACGGGAGCGCGGACCTCCTGGGACGTGGCATAGGAACGCATGCCGTTAACGGCGGCAGGGCGAGCGACGGAGAACTGGGTGGCACGGAGGCCAGCGCGGGCGAAGCGGGCGGACATCATGATGCAATTGGGAGGTAGCCTCGAGAGGGGGAAAGGGTAGTGGTTGAGTATTATCGAGCGACGTTCGGAGTGCTGCTTCGTCAAGGTGCAGGTTCAAGGTCCGAATTGTTCCCGTCACACGTGATCCGGATTATCTGTTTTTGCGGGATTTGGGGCTAGCGAACAACAACACCTGCGTTTGGTCCGTACACTTTGAGCAATCAAGATCTGGCGAATGATTTACTGCTTGTGATGAAGATAGATCCTTTCAAAATGTGGTTGGTCACTTGAGATCCTCTCTGCTCCCCGTGCTGCCGTCATAGATGCAAATATTGGCCTCGCGATACTACCACCCACCGTGGATCGAACATCTTCTTGCAGGCACCGACGAAGCATTTTCGTATTCTGCAGCAAAGAGACTGCTTCTTGTTCCTCACTGGAACAATCCAACCTGCAATTTTCCGCGCATCTGCAAACATGATCTCGGACTTTGAAAGCCGGCGCTGCGCTTCCTCGTACTTCCGAGCAGGTCTCTGCCCGACAGCGTCAATTGTCTTTTATGCTTCTCTGATGTCTTCGGTTACTTGCGGCTCAATTTGTTCATGGCTTTTCCACGATGACTTGAATATCCCCTTGGTCAGACCTGAGGTTCGCCTCCAAATTCAGCTCCAGACCCCACACTTTTAGCACTATAATTATCCAGAGATGACGCTTGTCTTTACTCAACGAAGACCTGGACAAGGAAAAACTCGCTCGTCAATTGGCATAGCGGAGCCAATCCTGGCATACTCGGCCTGTACCATAGGCAATGCGTGTTCAAGGCCGCACTACCTAGATTGTGACTGATCAACATGACTGCGTGCTTCGTGAGACCGCTGTGCGCAGCTCTTTGGCTCCGGGCAAGAAAGTCCAGGTTTCAACTTGGGGTGCTCAATTTTTGTAGGTGGTGAAGTTGGGGGCGCCCTTTTAAAGGTTCAATTTGACATCAATTTGTGTACTCTCACATTGTAGACCATGCACTGCACAACACTGCAACACAGACCCCTCAAATAATCGACATTCGGAATCACCACGCTGTGTCAGGAAGAATCTCGATTGCCTTTTATACATCATGCACTTTGCTGGCTCGACCTCCTGTGAGCATATGTCCTTTATTTTGATGCTTTTTGTTATGTTGGAAATGCAGCATTCTCAATATCAGTGTTGCACTCTTGCTGGGGCCGTCATTGAATCATATTCCACACTCCGCCGTACTGCATATCATTCATGCCCACACGGGCACCTGGGCAGCCCAATTGATAGATTGGATCACGTGACCATGTTTCTTGGCATCCCAGTTTTCTCCGAATGCAAGTCCAAGGCTCAATGGAAACGCTAGCCTGGAAGGTGTTTAGTGCCGAGCGCATTCGCTCTCGCTCCGGTTCTATCGCTGCATATACACAGACCACATACATTCGACTTTCCTTTACCTTAACCTTGAAAGTTTTGGCGCTAATAGCCGTTGGACTTTTGAGTACTAGTACTGTAGTACTCCGTAGACATGCATCGACACGGCTCCGGGGAGTCTCAATAGATTAAATTTTCCGGGGCGAAGGATATCATTGGCGTGTCGACCCCCGCTCTAGTGTTTAGAATATGCAATAAACCTTACTGAGCCGTGTTCTTGGAGTACAATGAGATTGACAAAGACAAGAAAGTAGGGGGACACGATGGAATGTAGAGACATTTGTAAGACCCGACCCCCGTTTCATGGGATGGTGTGGTTCACTAGCAGGGATATCAAATTATCGCTTCCAGATCAGGCAATCGAAATCCGGTTTTTTAGCCTCCACGATCGATCGCACTGCAACTCCTCGGACTAGGTCAGGCAGTCGAGCCGTCCGGGACTTAAATCGTGATAAGACTGGCCGTAGCATCTCTAGTGGCAGAAACCAAGTAAGCCAAGTGGAAATTTGACCACAAAATCTGAAACCGACGCTGTTCAGTGAGGCTAAGATGCTTGAACGGAGCCAATAATCGCTAGTGAAAATCCCGTGGCGCAACTTCCGTGGACTTTGGCGGGCCAGGGAATTGTATTTCCGGTCCGCTCTTGTAGACTCTCTTGAGCAAATCCCGGGTTCTCACCTGGGCACACTGCTTTCTGTCAACCCCTCGTCACTTGAGTATGACTGCGAACGAGTCCAAACCCCCATTAGCTCCGGCTGATTCTAGTCAGCCGGAGCGATACCCCTTGATCCGGACCAGAAAAGCAACAACAGCGTGCCAGGCCTGTCAGAAAAGAAAATCAAAGGTTCGCCATCGTGCAGTCCCCTGGAAATTCCCATGTTAAGTCTGAGATTCACAGTGTGTTGGTGGAGAACCCTGTGGGCCATGTCAAAAGGCAAACACAGAATGCGTCGTCAATGCAGACAACGATGGACGGCGCAGAATCACCCTCAAGCGCAAAATTGAATCACTAGAAAATGACCGCGAGCTGCTCTTAAGGCTGGTGGAAACTATCCGCAACCAGAACGATCAAACCTCGATTGATGTTCTCAACCTCATCCGAAGTAATGCGCCATTGGATGAGATTGGCTCGTGTCTATCGGAGCGTCAGAGCACCGACCACACGCCTGTCCGTGACGAGGGTCCCGTCAAACAACCAAAACGATCTCCACAGATCTATATGGATGTGAAAAGAATCACTGACATGCCTGTATTCCAAGTACCAGCGAAACCATGGACCACGGTGACCGATGACGATGCCTTCGTGTCACATCTCATCTCTCTGTATTTCACCTGGCAGCAGCCCACGTTCATGTGGGTCGATAGGGAGCCGTTTCTAGCTGATATGAAAGCCGGGAAACTAGGGTCGAGGTTCTGCTCGCCCCTCTTAGTCAACATCCTGCTCGCTGTGGCCTGTGTAAGTCCCCCGAGCTCTCAATCGCCATTGCCCCTTTCTACCGAGATGAACGTCTAAACCGTGCATCTTGTCATCTAGTTCTATTCTGATTACCCTGAATCCTTTGCAAATCCAAGGGATCCCACCACCCGAGGCGAACACTTCTTCTCCGAGGCCGTAGACCTGCTCAAAAAGGAGGAAGGCCGAGTGCCACTTACTACGTTTCTATCCTTGGGGGATATGTACACTTGGTATCTTCTGCTTTTTCTTCCTTTTGTCGACCGTGAAGCTAACGCCCCGCAAAGTGCCTGCGTTTCGGGGAAGGACAGACTAGGTTGGCAGTATCTAGTCGAAACAGCCGATGCCATGCAACAGGTCATCAGAAAACAGCAAAAGATGATATTAGACGCCAAAGAACAGAGTCAGGAAATGACCAGGTCTATCAACGTTGCATTCGCCGGTTTATCCAGCTTCATACCGTAAGGACGCAGAGAATGGGATTCCAACCGCCGGACTAACACTGAAATGTCAAAGAACAAGCACGATCAGTTTCCAAAAGCCACCGCTCATCAAGAGGCCGTCGTCTCTCAAGCGTTTCCCAGAGGATCATGACCCCAATGATACCTGGACACCCTACCCCCATCACGCGGAGCCTAGGCCAGCCCATACCAACTGCTTGTTGAACAGCAATTCCGATATAGCACCTGTGATGTGGGATATAACAAACTACTTATTTGGGGACGATAAACCCCCCACAATTCAAATCGCCGACATCGATGAGTTCCATCAGCGTCTCAAAAAGGCGATGGAGAATCTTCCCGAATGTGTTCGCCTAGGAAACACGCCGAATATTGGAGCGATGGATTTGCAGTAAGTGGCACACAACTTACTACTAGTACGTGCCGAAGCTCATAGTCCCAGTATGCGATACCACAACACTGTAATGGTGATGTTCGGAGTCGCTAGCACACACGCCGATGCAGACGATACAGAAACGCAGAGCCGACTCAACCGCCAGCGAATGTCTTCTGCATGCCAAATCGGCGCATTGATGAATCTTTATCGTTCCCTGTGGCCAGTGGAGCGGATGCCGATGGGGCTGATGCAATATTCAACCCTTGCTCTCTTCACGCTACTCGAGGGTCTGGATGATAAGCAGAATCAAGTATCCTTTGTGGAGAACCTGATTGCTCTTCGTGCACTAGCACGTCGTTGGCAGATGGCAAAGGGCATGCTTCGACTTGTCCAGCTCACCGCTATCAAACAAGAGGCCCAACTTCCTCCTGAGTCGCATGTTCTTTTGAGGGATTTCGAGTCCGAATGGAGCACGAACGATCGCAAAAGCTTCAGCAGCCACTACCCGAATTTCAATGTGGCTATCCAGCAACATAATGACGGCGCTGTCGATGACGTCGAGTTGGATTTGCTGCTTGAGGAATGGGACAATCTCGCTTTATCCGAGAGGACGACGCCAGAGTATAGCAGTGATGGCAAACCAGCCACAACTAGCTGATGGGACCTCGGAATACTTCAGAGTTGGTCAATTGGTAACGAGGCCAAAGTCTCCCCAGCTTGTGATAGCTTGGGATCATTTCTTCTTTTCGTGTATATCCTCTTTGGTGCATATATAAACCATGAAGCGCCATTTTATGAGATTAGGGTTCCCCGGGGGCGCTGGTGACTTCGTGAGTCACGCATTGATATTTGTGGACAGGTCCAGCGAGGGATCGAGGAACCTCAAGAAACGCAAGTTTTACCCACCTGGGCACAATGTTGAAACCCTGCCCAGCCTGTGGGTGTCGTCTGGGACTACGGACCACATGCAAGGGTTGTGAGTGCTGGCAACTGATTGGTCTGGGAGCAGCAACTAGACGACGCTAAACGCCCCCCTACTACCTAGGTGCATAGGTAGGCTATAAATCCATCCTCCGGTACGATCTAAGACTGCCAGGTGCTACTTCTTTGTCCTTGGATCAGCTCCTGGGCAATAACACATACAAACCTTGAAACCCATCGTCAGATTGACTATAATCCACCGTGAGAACACGATTGATGACCATTCCAGAGGTCCTGGACTCGTTAACCTGAGTTCCTAGTATCCTGTTAGGCCAACATGTGCGTGCAAGAGTATATCCAATACAGCTGTGGTTGCAAAGGGGAATCGATATTCAAGCAATGTGAGGAGCGCCAGGGGACGAATGTAAAATGCGACTCAGTCAAGAAAGTGCTTACTGGAAGCCCACAACACTACTGCAAGAGGCACCTAGTCCCGAGTAGGGCGGGGATTTGCTTCAGACGCCCTGAGGGACAGGCTTCGGATGAGGGAATGCAGCAAACGTGAGCTGTGTCTTTGATGTGTACGTCCAGATGGCTACTTATGTGCTAAGACCTCGGGAGAGGTCGATTGTTGAATTTATGCCGGCAAAATATACTGGCAGGGGTTTTCATGCACTATGGGAGATAGCGCCTAGGCATTCCAAGGTTGGTCTGAATAATTGGAATACCTAGGTAGCTGACATTGGTGACCGGTTGTCGGTCCTCGTTCCTGGTATTCTTGGAAACGGTCGATTTTAGCGCCTATTCTGTGTGTTTATCAGTAGAAGAATAAGGTCTCATAAAATATCATCCATGGATTCATCGTTTCAGTCTGGACGTTAGGTAAAGTCCCAAAACACCTCAAACCCCCAAACTAAGATGATTGTAATGTAATGTATGCACCACCCAAAACGCCGTGAAGATCTCCTGAGCCTCGGTCCAGCCCTTGGTGCTGGAAGCAAAGATCAGATGCAAACAAAGGTACGACTGTCAAACACTCTATCTCTAATCACTGCGCAACATACTATCCACCAAGTCACCCAGAGGGCCCCAGAAGTCCTTGCCGCTGGCAAGCTTGTGCTCGTCAATGAAGAGGACGTAGTGCTTGAAGCTGGTGTTTAGGTGGGGTTCGAGGCCAAGGTGAACAACGACGGGGTAATGGTGGCAGTAGATGTGGGCATACACTCGGTAGAGACGCTTGAAGATCTGACGCAAAAGACTGGGGAAGCTCTTGGGGAAAGGTACACCTAGAGGGAAACAATCAGCAAGGCGATGGAGACATGGGGTTGCGAAACTGGGGACTTACCAATTCGGCTAGGGAACATCTGCTCGTTGTCGACATTGCTTTGAACCCAGGCCATCAGGTGCTCAATGTATTCCGGTGCAGACATCTTGGTTGGTCTCTTGTAATTCTCGGAGTCTTGCCAGAGGTACTCGAATCTATTCCGATTGTGAGCGCAGAGCTTAGACCACTACCATAGGGAAACCATACTCATCTGTAGCCTTCATCTCGGGACATGTCTGCGGCGAGCAGAATTCAGTTATTGAGCCGTAAAGCAGGTTGATCTGGTTGTAGAAGTCGACAACTGAATCGCGAAATATTAGCTAATGTTGCCAGGGTCGACCGAGCGAGGGCGCAACATACTGTTCACAGCAAGCCATTCGTTGAGATCCTCGCCCTCGGGCAGCTTCACGGCTTTGCGCAAACTGCCACTTCCAAGGGTGGCTTCGGCGAATTGTCGCAGCTGGTAGCTGCTGGTGCCTTTGGCCGCAGAGCGAGGCTTAAATGGGGCCCGAGTGCGTGCATTGCTAGGAGGTGTTAGTCCAACGCAACCTTGTTTAAGCGCGCGTACTGCCGGCGACAGATAGGAGGGTGGCTCTGAAAGGGGGAGATGAGAAGTGCGAGTGGTCTGATATTGGGAAGGGCTGATGGAGATGGAAGGGTAGGATTGCAACTGAGAGGTACTCTCTTCGCGAGAGGAGATATGAGCAGTAGGAGGGGCAGCGGGTACGGACATTGTGGTGATGAACGAAGACATCTTCTTTCCAGGTCGCGACAGCGATCCCTTTCGAGTATTTGGCGGGGTTGGCGCTGATCGCAACTGTCCTACATTCCACTGTCAGAAGCGAGCGAATAAGTGTTCCAGGAATGTAAGCTATACCGTAATAAGGTGCAAATAGGAATATGACTTTGAGACAAAAGGTCGGAATGGGAGCGAGACGCGCAAGGGAGTTGGTTCAGCTGCTGAAGGCTGATAAGTGAGATCCGATCGGCTTATCCGCGTTGCCCCAGTGACCGCGTCAGAGTATACGGACCCCTCTGTACTCTTTGCTTCGAGGCTACCACTTCAAAATACAACCTGCTAATAGCTTGAATGCGTGATTCTGGACGCAGTTTCAATTATACATAGTCTAGATGAGGACCTGCACATCTGAGTTTACACTCAACAGCACAGAGGGATATTGAACGGGGAATATATCAAAACATGAAAGTATGGCAAGCGTCTCGGTGGATTCGAGGCTTTAAATGGAGTAACCTTCCTTTTCTTCAGGCAGTCGTTCTCTCACAGTCTCGCCATATACCGTCAAAGGAATGGCGATCTCAAACGAGTCACAGTTTAAGTGCTCCATTGCAGACAGCACGGTACCGCGATCATCCGACGATAGCGCCTCAAGGAGGCGAGCGCCAGATGGCCCGGGGCCCGTCTCACGATGGAAATTAGGTGTGACAAACTCAAATCGCAATTCCCAATCCAGAGTCACACCACTTGTGATAATAGATGGGGTGGCAGATATAGGAATGGCAGGACTGAAAGCCACACGCGTTGCATGCAAAGTGTTCTCGAACAGAGAAGCATGGATGCGGCGCGTGGTTCGGTGAATGCTTGCATTAGACCGAATGGCCAGGGTGGGAGTGACCTTCTCAGATGTCTCCAATGAGGCACGGACTGCATAACATGGTATTGTGGCATTGCCAAAATCCAATGTGGCGATGACTGTTTCTCCCAATCGGTGAACCGGCCGGTTCAAGACAACAACCGCAATCCGTTTACCTTCACGGGCAATCTCAAAGCGGTTAGGGCTGCGCCGAGAGTTCACTGCCTGATTGCTGCGAAGGATAGCAAAATCAATGATATCCTTACTCGTCAAAAGCTGCGGCAGCCCGTCAACACTGGCTCGTCTCGATGGGAGTGCCCCCGGTGGGAAAAGCGTATTGGAGCGCGCACGCTGCGCCAGAATTTCATCCACATAACCAAGGAAGTCTGTAGCTGAATGGTGTGATTTGCTGAGACCTTGGTTCTTCGGAACTGGTGCAACCGGCCCAACCTTCTGCACCTTTGCTTCGTCACGTAGAATCACATACGGGGACATCAGGTCGTGTCCAAGAACATCGCCCTTCTCTGTGCATAGGTTAGAATATAACAGGTCTTGAAGGACGAGAAGACTTGCCATTTACGCCACTGAACACGCGAAAGGGTATGTTGATCCGGTTGACCTTTTGGGGCTCATTGGGGCCACTAGGCCGCTGAGTCCCGATGACAAGGTTGTATGTGATTTTGATTGCCTTTCCCTTATGGCTCGCCGGGAGACCTTTGGGAAGAGAAAATGAAAAGGAGTATGACTGTTCTTCTCCAGGGGCCAGTCGAAGATCGACAAAGAGGAGCGACTGCGAGGTTGACAGTAATGGGATTGAGCGCTCGGATGACACACCACGCATTTCACGTAATCCATCCAGTTCGTTGTTGGAGAGTAGACCGTTGATGGACTCTTCAATCGTGTTCCACTTGAGTGCACCCCAGAACCCGCCGCTTTTGCGTGGACGCTCTGCAGAAGGGTTCGGGCGACCAGGCAATCCGCCTGAACTCGTCTGGCCACCCACCACCCCCTTTCGCTTTACTTCTTCAAACGCCGACTGGTTTACCAGGGAACCATCGACGGTGAAGGAAGCACTAACCTGCGCATAGCCCATGAGCAGCGCCTGGCTGTTGGGAGATTTCACAGGGGACGCCGCCACGCTTGCATGGCGGGCATGTCGCATGGTAGGGGGAGCTCTTGCACCCTGGGCAGAATAGTTTGTGTACTCTGATCCCAAAGTCTCAGAAGAGTGACCGCTGATTGAGTAGAATTCCCCACTACTGCGACTGCTCCCATTAGCGCTCGCAGCTGATATGATCCGGGTCAATTGTTGATGCGCTGGTCCAGTCATTCCCTGTCCTTCTGTTAGAGTAGACCTTCCGGCCGTCGATACAGTTCCGTTTGTAGTCGCAGATCGTGGCGATGGAGTGCGCGGCCCGCGGCTGGCTGAATCTGTTGAAGGTGCGGCTGGGAATTTGAAGTCGAGAGGAGGGGGTTGCGGCCGTCGCGCAGGGAGCCGCAGTTGCTCCGGTCCTCCCAGCGGGCTCGTTGCTAAAGATCCAGGCCGGCTCGATCGACTGGGGTGGGAGGTATCGACCTTGAGGCTGCCATTGGGATGCTCGCTCGGTGCTTCCGCCAATGGAAATGGAAAAGCATGTGTGGGGGTTCGCGCTGGTGGGCGATAACAATGAGCTTGATGATTCTCAGGTTTGCCGTGTGCTGCTGGGTGTCTACCTTTCTTATAAGTGTCCTCGTAGCTATTATTCCTCCTTGGTGGGACTTGAAGACTGGCCGAGCGCCCATGGCCCCTAGCTGGCTTCGATCTAGCGGAATGATGCTGAAGGGGCGAAGGCGACGGATCGGCTTGACCTTCGCTGTCAATTGACAGGATAGAGACGGAGCGCTTATGGCTGTGACCGGGTTGCCAAGTCCGCGGCGTAGAGGGGCCGTTATTCGGGGGGAAGCTATGTGAGCCGGGGGTCAAGGGAGTGTTCAGAGACGAGGCTGTTCGATGATATGGTTTGCGCTGAGAGCTGATGGAGAACGATCGCCGACCAGGAAAGGTGAAACCAAAGAAGGATTCGGAATTTGAGCTCGTGTGGTTCGTGTGGTTCGCGACTCGAGACCCTTTCCTTGAATGTTGACTCTCCGGATTGGACTCGGCGCTTGTGTCAGCCACGTTCTTGAATGTGATTGTACATTCCACGTTCTCGCCCGCGAAAATCGTCTGGTCTTTCCATTTCACGAAGACCTGGATGTCGGATGGCATGGCGGGCGCGTCAGCATGTGGGCTGTAGGGGCTTTCTAGGTTATGAGGTATGGCCGGCACGATAAGCTGTGGTCAGATGGAAGCTGGATGAAATATGCCGACATGAGCATTCTGTCAACCTGAGTGAACCATGTTGGTTGAGGGGACGAAGGTGATATGATTCCAGTTAGCTCCCGAGCTGCGGAATGACATACATCCCGAGGTCCTCTCCCCTTGTGCATTACCCCATTATACTATCTTGCCCAGGTGGTAATGGGGATTTTTTTGGCCACCTCAGTGCCGTTTCAATTATTTTGTTTCTTTTGAACTGCACTATATTGTCAATTGATGATTATCAAACACTACAGCAAACGTATAAAGCATACTGGTTGTTGATTGCTTCACGAAAGTGCCCAGATTAAGAAAATCATATTGTACACGGTGAAATTCGACTACCTTAACTCAACATCCTATGATACATGGCATGACAGCTAGAATACTCCGCCCGGAGGTGATGGATGAGGATCATTCGCGATCATTATCCTCTTTATAAAGTACTTGATAATCCGCCAGTGGTTTGGCGCGGTCATTTGCAGGGCGAAGACCAAGCTCAGACATACGACTCCAGATTCGATCGTGTCGTTTCTCCCATCGCTTACGGCGACTCTCCATCTCGTCTTCAGTGGGACGCCATCTGCTTTTCAGGATTCGGCGAATGGCTTCCGGGGACATCTCGAACTCCTGCGCAAGAACAGCAGTCGTGAATTGTTCAGGGGCCTTCGCGTGGAGGTGACGGATTCCATCAAGTGCATCGGGCGACAATTTCTTGGGTGGATTCCAGCCCCCCGTAAACTTCTGCTTCAGAGCTGCCTTTTGGACCTGCCAGTTTTCAGGCTTTCTTTTCTTTTGTTTCTCAAAGTCTTGTCTTGCTTTGGCCTTCTCTTCTTGCCAATTGCGAGGTCGCTTCTTTTCCTCTCGTCGCTTTTCGTTGCGGAATTGCCTGCGCTCTCTGTCGGACCTTCCCGTTTTGCGCTCTGAATCTTTTTGTTGGGCCTTAGGTTGACGCCTGTGGGTATTCCATCCACCTTTACTCGGGCCATCAAAGGCCTTGTGGTCTTTCCGTGGCGATGGTGTGATATCAGCAGAGTCCGAGACGTTGGAGGGACTCAATTCGGACGGCTCATTCTGAGTGTTGCGAAGTCTTGAGAAGAGACTGAAGGGTCGACGAAAGTCACGATCCCGGGGATAATGGGTGTTGAGTCGTGCGTGGTAGGGGGTGACCAGGGGAGCGGCCAGATTGGTGGTCAGCTGCGAACGATAGACATGGCGCAAAGCAGCAGAGAGCGCTAGGTTTGAAGAAGCGACACATGTAGCCACCATTTTGAACTGGCGGTTTCAGTAGAAGACACGACTTCAGAGTGTGGCAAAAGGCCGATGGAAGGAAAATCTCCCGATAAGATAAAACTCAAGTTGTATTCCAATGTTGTGGCCTGATACACAAGGTGTCAACTTGCGAATGCTTTCAGGCCGGTCCATACTCCGTACATCAAACCTAGATACTTCTATTCCTTACCTACCTAGGTATTATACCTAGGTAGTTAAGCTCACCTGGTCATGGCACCTCACAGCTGAAATAAACAACTTGATACTACAGAGCTTCCGTTCCTTTCTTCCCGTCTCTCGCCTTCCCCGAAACGCAGGGCCCAAGTTACTTCAGATAGTTATCTACTTTCCCAATGTCGTTGCCCCTCGGATCCTCGGTCTTTCTCAAATTGAGACACATACCTTGGGTAGGTAGACGCTTGTCTCTTCGCCATCAGACCAACCCCCCCTACCACCTGGGCAGGGAATCTGAGACAACACCAGTGTTAATAATCCAATATATATATCACAAGGACATCCGGAGTACACCCTCGAGATAAAGCTATATAAAATCACATGGAGTACTCCACAAGGAATTGTGTACCTAGGTACCTATCACTTTTACTGTTTCTGAAAGAGGTTAGCCTACTTCTCTAATAATCTCGATATCAAGATTGATGCAGATATTCTACACACCACTGTGACCAAGGAGACTATTTTGAAGAGAAATTCCGTGTGAAGGTTCCAAGGTTGTAAGTCGGCTCCTGAACAGGTTCAAACCTTGGAAATACCCACCTAGGTAGGTAGTCTTTAACGACCTTCTGGGCAACCCATTCAGCATAAAAGGAGAAAGGCTCAGATAACTGTAGTACGTATCTATGAACCTTGAAGTTAATCAATATTTTACTTCTGCCTGAACTACCTAGGTAAAGACTACAATAACCCTCTGACTTGAACATAAACCTTCCAAGGTTTCCATCGAAACCCCCAACAGCAGAGAACCTTGGAAGTAAATGTTAGAAAGCTTTTGCCGACGATCTATATCGACAAGCGAACCACCGATACCTAGGTAGAAGTGGAACGTTCACGACCCGCGACTTTGTAGCTATGAAATTGTGAATAATCGGAGGCAGCCCCCGGGGCCCCGAGGTCCAACAGGCTCGGAGTACCAACGGACAGCTCGCTATGAAGGCTATGAAAGTCTATCATGTCGAGAGCAAAGAGGAAATTATGCAATATGTTGGAGGCTGCGAGACTACATACTTGGCGAAAAAATACACTTTTAACTTTCAGGGCTACCTGAGCGCAGGGGTTTTGTGCAATTCCATCTTTATGAGATCGCGGTTTCTCATCGCTATGTGTCTCTTACGCAATGTCTTGTGATCTGGCGAGTCAAACCTTGAATTTTGATACCAACCAAAGGATGCTATTATTTTGATAGAAAAGTCGGCAGATGGGTTCAGAGCCCTGACAAAAAAGGGTTTTATGAAAACAAAGACGCTACTCGTTATGCTAGAGGGCATCACCTCGCTTTCAGTTCAGACCCACTATAGATACTTTTCCCTTGCTTCATTTCGGTTTCGTGATTTTATGTCAACGTGGCAATCCACGTAAGTCCTGAAACTCGTGCAATAGCCCCGTGAAAATAGCCGATGTTGTCTCCGGGGCTTATCCCGACCAAAATCCCACTCGCTCCACATCGGACAAACCACTCATAGTCGCACGTAGTGCAAATCTATTACCCGCTCGGCCCGCCGGACCCACCATACAGGTACCTACTAGTACTAGCTTCAGTTAAATTGCCCAGCCTCCATGTGAGGATTGATTGGTTTGGTTTCTAGCTCCCGAAGCTTATCCTTTACTGTACGAGCCTGCGTTTAAGCTTAAGTCTACTACTCAATGAATCCTAGTCACTGACTTTGTGTCTAGAATGTTTTAATTGGAGTTTCGAGAGCGGTACAGAATTTTTAAAAAAACAGGGATGGAGAACTGCTCTCTTCGGGGCAGTAATCATTTGAGATATGAGATTCAAGAGAGGAGCGGCGGAGATTGGACGCATAAAAAACCTAGAAATGACACGAAGAACTTCGGGATTTGATCGCCGGGGAATATACCTAGGTATGTATCCGGCTTCACAAGCGGTTCCGTGATAAGCCGACCCAGACTCTTGACATCCATCCCTTACTGATCACCTCGGTCTGTGCAGACCAGTTTACCAACGCCGTCTGGCTTGAAAGTTCACCGTCTCATCGCCTCCAGCCTGTTTGATATGCGCTCTACCTTCCCGATCTTTTTCTTGACACGATTCCTTTCGCGTGTGATGGCTTTTGCAGATGCAGATCCAAAGCAAACAAACCTACCTAGGTAGCTGAGTGGGGTCGCTTTCACTATCAGTTACCACCCAGAGCTATCCTCGGAGCGCCGGAGGCCTTGTGATCCTTATCTCCCCTGCGGCCCACCGCCACTTGTGCGGTAACACAACCTTGGACTATTTCTTGGCATGCATACCATGAAAGGGATGCCCCTCTTGACAAGACCTGGGGTTAGTACGTCGATCTCGGAGATCTGATTGGTGACATCGAGATCTTGGAAACACCTCGTGGTTATTTGGTTCCACATGGGCCCCTCGTGATTTGACAGTCTTCACATCATGGCGCCCAAGGCTGCCCGACAGGGTTGACCCTGTCTCCAGCAATCGATCAGTGCTCCCATCTCTCGAAAGCGAGTAGCACGAATCCAAAGCTGCATGAAATGCTGGGATTAGGATCAGCAAGGTCAGACCGTTCTTCGTTGTGAGTTCAGCCTCGATGACGTCTCCTCCTGCCAAAAACGATGTACAATTCATTTAAAAACCGGAAGTCCTTCGTGCGATGTCTCGACACCCGAGAGACCTTTTTTCTATCCATACTACATAATGGACCACCAAAACGCTGATAGCAGCATTCAATCCGCGGATGGATTCAACAAATTTGACAGTGAGAAAGGCATACATAGCCTCGCGCCGTCGAACTCCCTCTCAAAAATTGAATCCCCAGCCCGCGGCTCTATTTCGGAGATTGAACAACAAAGAATTGTCCGGGGAAATGAGAAATTCCACCGTCTTGGTTGGAAGCGTCTTACTGTAGTGTTGTTTGTCGAGGCCATTGCTCTTGGATGTCTCAGTTTTCCCAAGTCATTCGCAACTCTCGGCATGGTCGGAGGTGTCGTCGCCTCGATTGGAATTGGAATTGTTGCAACTTATGCTAGCTATGAGGTCGGCGCCGTCAAAGTGAAATACCCTCACGTGGAGCACTACGGTGACATCGGGAGGCTCATGCTAGGCGAGTGGGGCTTCTGGATCATCACAGTCGTCTTGATCCTCTCTGTTACATTGACAGTCGGCTCACACACACTCACTGGTATTATCGCGTTGAAAAGCATCACCCAAAGTGATGTTTGCGCGGTTATATTCGGACTTGTTTCGACAATCATCCTGCTCTTGTTCGCCATTCCACCGAGTTTTGCAGATATAGCCATTCTGGGCTACATTGATATTGTTTCTATCTTGACGGCTGTGGGAATCACAATCATTGCCACGGGAATACAGAGTTCCAAAGCTCAGGCGGGCACCGACCTTCCAAGGTCAAATTGGTCTGCCTGGCCTAAAGAGGACACCGATTTTGCATCAGCCATGGTGGCAATCAACAACATTGTCTTCGCATATACCTTTGCTCCTGCGCTGCCATCCTTCTTGAGCGAGATGCATACCCCGAAAGACTATGTCAAATCTGTGTATTCACTGGGGGCTATTGAGATCGTCCTTTACACTCTTATTGGGTCACTTGTTTACGTTTTTGTTGGACAAGACGTGGAATCACCAGCCCTATTATCGGCTGGACATCTCATCTCGAGAATCGCGTTCGGCATCGCTCTTCCGGTCATTTTTATCTCGGGCTCTATAAACACCAGTGTCATTGCACGCTACATTCACGGTTATGTGTACCGTTACTCCGTTGTGCGATACGTGAACACGAAAACGGGCTGGATTACTTGGATCGCGCTCGTGTCGGTCGTGTCATTTATTGCATGGATCATCGCCGAAGCTATTCCGGTGTTCTCGAGCATTTTGTCTATCAGTGGTGCACTGTTCAGCTCAGGTCTATGCTTCTACGTTCCCTCGATCATTTGGTTTGTTCTAATCCGGGAGGGCAAGTGGTATCACAACCTTCCCAGAGCCCTTGCGAATGGGTTTGTGTTTTTGTTTGGTCTGGGAGTTCTGGGATGCGGCATGTATGCCAACGTGATCGTTCTGGTAAGACCTCTGAAGCACCCGCAGCTACTACGGTAGCCCACTGACATTCAAAATCAGATGGAAGAGTCTCGAGAAGGCATCACTGGAAAGCCCTTCTCTTGCAAGGCGTCATCGGCATAAAAAGTTTAATTACAGAAACATCTCTGGAGGAAGGCAGCCATTCTAAGGGTATAAAAGTTTCCAGCATATAAGTGAACGAGTTCAAAAATCCGAAAGAAGTGATACTCAGATATGAGGTACGACTATTGGGTTTCTGGAGGCCCCCATGCCTGCAGTGTCGATAAAAATTTCTCTTTATCTCTAAATACTGGTTTTGTCCTTGGGGATCGAACCGATACTCCACCACATACGTACAAAAAGCCGATGAGGCCTTCACCTGGGAAGTCATAGCGGTGTACTTCAAATTCATGGATGCATCCGGCTAGAGACAATTCAAAGATGCTGCAAGGGGCCAGAGTTAGGTACCGACATCGAGGAAACAAGCAAACATAATTTGTCGTGAATACTTATGAAACCTTGAAAGTCCCTTCTTGGGATGTACTAAGCTTCAAACCAGTAAGATCAAACCCACGAACTCCTCAGTTCACCGGACCCCGCGGCCCCTGCGCTACCCAGGTGACTATATTAAACCATACGTAATCGGGCTGTGTTGCCCAGGCGAAGTGCTGCCGGGGGCCAAGCAAACATTACTCGTAAAAAATTGTTCTTTGTCTTATTGCCGCTATTATTTCCTATCCCAGGCTTTTCAGCTCTGAGCCACATTGGCTGCATTCCACATCTCGGTACTCCGTATTGATACTATGAATTTCCTATCGCATCTGATCTGGGGCTCATGTTTCGGGGTTGCTAACGGTGTGCTAACGGCCCTGACGGGGTTTAGATCTAACGGCTCCTGACACCTGGGCAATACCCAACCTTGAAAGTAGTAGCGCTGGGGCCAAAACCCCACCCAAGGGTATATGTTTCATGCAAGTACTCCGTAGATTGAGATCTTTTCCGTGAATTTCTTTCCAGTTTGCACTCAGCTTCAAGAGCCCATTAAAAAAAAAACTGCCCCCAGGCCTCCTAGGCTATTGATATCGACCATGTCGTCGGAAACGCCCCAAGCCCTCAGCTACACCATGCACAACAGCTCAGGCACAGAAACTATTGTCCTAATTCATGGCGGCTTCAGCAGCAGTAGAGAATGGGACCAGATACTTCCAGCTATATCTGAAAAGTACCATGTCTTGATTCCAGATCTCCCCGGTCACGGTGCCTCGTCGCACGTACCCTTCAGCGTCGAGCAATCCGCACAGTTGATCCTGGATCTGATAAGTGCTCTCGCGCATAATGGTCGCGCGCATATAGTCGGCTTCAGTCTCGGGGCTCATGTTGCTGCCTGCGCTGCAGAAATCGCTGCCCCAGGCCAAGTTTCTTCACTCATCGCTACGGGGTACAACTCTTTTGCCACACCCAAGATGCTCGTTCCCCTTCTTGTTCCCGTGGTCTATATTCTCAGTCATTTTGTGATCGGTCTGACCGATCCACGGGCGCAGTGGAATGCGTGGGTGACGGGGACTTGCTCATTCGCCCTCGCAGGAGCTGTTGTGCGTACTTTGTGCGATGGCCGTCCATTGGGTGAGATTCATACGAGATCTTTGATCATTGCTGCTACTGGTGGTGTACTTCTCCCCAAGGACAAGGTTGATAGTGCGAGAGAGTTGTTCGAGGCCGTTGCGGGTGGAGTGAATGGGGGAAGTCGGGTGGTCCAAAACCGTGGGGTGAATCATCCATGGCATGTGAGTGATCCAAAGCTGTTTTCCCAGATGACACTGGCGTGGATTGAAGGGAGAGAATTGCCCAGCGCCTTTGAAGATGTTGAGAGCGTGGATATGTAGAACCTGACCCCTCTTTGCTCTGACTTTTGGCGTTGGTGGTTCTCGGATATGACTGCATATGGAGGATTTTACTTTCCTTTTACCTAGGTTCTTACCTTGTGAATGTTTTACAAATTAAAGTAGAGTAACTTTAATATTCGAGAGAACGAAAGACATTCACGAATGTGTTCGAAGCTAAGAACCCCCAGGCGACAATTTCAGGCATAGATATCACGTGAGCTCGCTGCCATCTCGGGCTAGCGCAAATTGGTCGAAAAGCGCCGGAGTAACTGCAGGTTCCGCAACATCGAGATAGAACGTCGTCGTCAATCTCACAATGGGTCCACAAATCAAGATGCTTGCTGGACCGCTGTCCGCTTGTACGCGGCCGACCTGTACGAACCGCCCTTCTCCCAAATGCTATCTCTGAATGCTTACAATGCGACACAGTCTCAGCACCGCTGGCAACATTTTCTCTTTCACGATGCTTCTCCACAACCTCACCCTCCCTCGACTGGCTGAGGCCAAAGTTCCAAGAAAAGTCCAAGTCCCCTAAGGGTCGTCCTCACGTTGCTACTGGCGGATCCACACGAGGAACAACAGTCGTATGGGGAGACTTCGGATTGCGGATGAAAGACCACGACCGCCGAATGCCTGCGTCTGCATTGAAAATCGCTGAAGATACCATCAAGAGGCGGCTACGAGGAATGAACTACAAGCTGTACAAGCGTGTCAGTGCGAACATTGGTGTCTACACCAAGGGTAACGAGCAACGTATGGGTAAGGGTAAGGGTAAGTTCGATTACTGGACTGTCCGATTGCCCGTGAGCCGAGTCGTCTTCGAATTGAAGGGAGATGTGCACGAGAAGATCGCCCGTGAGGCTTTCCGATTGGCGGGTCACAAATTGCCAGGTATGTTATCCTATCCTCTCTCTACTTGGTACTTGAGTTTGAATGCTCATTCTTCCTCCCTAGGACTTTGGGAATTCGTCAACAAGGACGACCCTCCTGTCGTTGGAATTACAAAGCTTGGAAACGGTGTTACTCTCGACAGCCTCAAGCGTGCGCGCAGAAACCCACCCCTCGGTACCGACGACCTCGCTTCTCCCCCGAAGAGCGCCTCCTCCAGCTCCGACCCTACCCAATAAATTGTCATTTCTGCAAGATACCGACCGTCTTTGCTTTCCGGTCATGTCTCTTAAAGAGGCTCTCGTGTCCATTAACCCCCGACACCAGACCCAGGTCCATACCCCTGTTGTCTGCGGGCCTTGACTGCTGCGTCATCATCCAGTATCTTATCTGTACATTATCATCAGCTGTTTGCGTCTCTTTAGAACCGTCGAGATATGGGTTTCTCCGATGGATACCTTGTTTTGGTACTTGGAGTTAGACAAGGAAATATATTCAGGATTTACCTTTACTGGACGCCGCTCCCAAGCCAAGATTCTGCGCTTGGGCGTATTCTTCATCTTTCGACGACGGAGTGTCCGTCCCAAGACTGGGAGTAGTCTCGCTTGCTGTGTGCTTCTTGTCCCCTTCAAATGAAGTCAGCTTTCATTGACCACTGACCCTCGGATCGTTCGCGAGATGAGGTGGCCTACCACCAAGCTGCCCTGATTGCTTAGAAGGGCTTTGAGTGAACAGTCGAATTGACTCATATCTTTACAAAATGTCAGTAAGCAACGGTTGATGTGGCGCTGGCAGTCTATACTGGGTGCTTTCGCCGCCGGGTTCCATGTCGACAAGTCTTGGGTCTGACATTATGATGGGATCAATATGAAATACTTCTCGATTTTTGGAATCGTATGTTTTCTCTGCAGTAAACCGAATGAAATGAGGGCGCAAGGTAGTTGGACTGGGGCATGGGGTTTGATGACATGTATGACGTATCCTTCACATGGACCGCGTGCTTGACAACCTTGGAACCAGTTGATCCTGGAAGGTTGACTGATTTACATCTGGGCATTACAAGACTGACGCCAGTTTGCTACCTAGTAATACATAGGTAGCCACTAGAAAGCTCATCAATTGCTATGCATTTCATTGGAAGAGAGCCAGAAAGCAAAATTCTTGAGTCAGAAAGTCAATTCAAGTGATCTATGCATAATATTTTAGCACAAAATGTTAGATAAAACGCCAACCTGAGCAATAGCTCAATGCGCCTGTGAAGGTATTGGAATAAGCGGATGGTCGTGAGCATTCAGCAAGCCAATGCTTAATGATCGAGACCACAACTGTATGGCTTGCTCGTCATTGACCATCTGGTGTACAAAATCGTCATTCATCGATTGCTCTTTTTTTGAATAGCTTAGAAGTCCATGCCCATGAGGTATCTGAAGATGTTAGTTAGATATGGTAAAAATATGGCCTGTTGGGAACATACCCCTCATAAATGCGCATGAATTTGGCCACGAAGGCTTCGAGATGGAAGATAACTTTCTGTTGTGGCATACTTATTAGCACATTTGTTTGATGCAAGTCACGCATGCACTTACGCTTCCCAGCTTGATGCGGTGCTCATAGAAGGCAGACCACTTGATCACGTCGGATTTGAGCGCATCGTCAACTCTTGCGACAAGCTTGAAAGTCAAAGTCTAGTTTGAAGAATTAGTATACAGTAGACAAGAGCAAGAGATCATGCATACCTTCAGAATAGTGGTAGGTGGGATACAATGGGTCAAGAGATCATAAAGACGAGCGCGAACCTGCAGCAGACGAGCTGGTGATCGTTCGGCCAGGATCTCATCTGCGGTCAAAGTCACAAGAGCCTCCCAGTCCGGCGGAGGGATCGGAGTCTTGTCCGTGACCTTCTCACTATAATTCAATGTGCGTGAGTCTCTACATCTGACATGATAAGCATAGGTGACTTACTTTTGCGCATAAATCGACTCGAACATGAGAAGGGCGCGGCGCAGATTGCGTCCACTTTCCTTCGCAATTCTCTGATTAAGGACATCTGACTCTGTCCAGCCCTCCTTTTTACCCGCCAAACTGAGCGCAGAGCAAATGTCGGTCTCGGTGGGCGCCGCGACCCTGACCAGCAGACATCGAGAACGAATAGGTGCGATGATGTTGGAGGTACTGTTCGCCAAGAGAATCAATCGCAAGTTGGGGCTGTATTTTTCCATAGTACGTCTGAGGGCAGCTTGAGCATCGCGCGTCAAGTGATCGGCCTCGTTGATAACGACAACTTTGAAGCGCTGCTTCGCACCCATATCCACCTGCTGTGTCTGTGCAACCTCTTTGAGCAATTCTTGAACAACGACCCGGTCATAGTTTCCGACATCTGCTGGGGTGATCTCCATGTGATAGACCGATGAGACGATGTTGAATTCTAGCTTCCGATTGCTTGTCGTTTGGAAGACTCTTGCATCGATTTTGATCTTCTCGACACCAGGGCCATACAGCTCCTTCAGCGTCGCAATTATCCGTGTTTTCTTTCCAGCGCCAGATGGACCGTAGACTAAGAGGTGGGGGAAATCGCCACTTTGCGCCTAGAGTCACTTTGTTAGATCTACCCATGAATTGAGATGGGCTTGCTCACCAACGAGCGCAAGCGATCGGAGAGCTCTGGGTGATATGACAGGGCATCGAGGGTGCGTGGTCTTAGCTTATCAACAAGAAGAGCCATCTTGAAAGGTCTGGCGATTTTGATCTCAGTGTAAAGTGGTCAAGGGTTGGTTTGGGCGGAGAGTGCGGACTGGAGATGGCAACGCGTGAACGCGTCCCGGCAGACAATTAATGACTGGTCCGTGCACCCACCCTATAGGTACTGCCCTGAAGAGTACAACGGAGTTGTACATTGCTAAATATCATAGGCTCTACGGAGTACTATGTTGAAAAACAGCGCGCATTACAGGACTAATATAAAAAGCGAGCATCTTCAAGGAATCTGGAGGCCTTGCACCAAACTCCGATGTGTATTGTACATGTAAATTTTGCTTATGAGATGAGATAGATGCAATATCAGACACAATCATGCTGGTCTCAACCATTGCAACCATTGCCTGAGCGTCCAGGTCTGTACATAATTCAACAGTGGTCCCGTAATCTACAATGTCCTTGGGACAAGGCGGTCACGATGCAATGGGCTTCAAAACGCCATTATCATCATATTTCGCTTCTGCGATGGGTCAGCCTCGGCTCCGAAAGGAATTGGGGCGTGGAATATTAGGCACTTACTGAAGAAGGTGTATGACAGGGTGATGGTATCAATGCCCTGCATGTTAGGGTCCGTAGCAAAGTCGGGATCGATGAAGAAAAACACAGGCATATCCACAGACTCCCCGGCATTAAGTTTCTGCTCCTCGAAGCAGAAGCATTGAATCTTGCTAAAGTACGGCGCAACCTGGCCAGGCGTGACACTGTACGTTGCGACTCCAATGATATCATTTGGGCCCTTATTCGTTGCCGTGTAGAAGGCCAAAGCGGTCTCACCGGGTAGCACCCGGACCTCACGCTGCTGAGGAGTGAATTTCCAGGGCATAACATCTGATACCGATCCATTGAATGTAATGCGGAGACGGCGGGAGTCGGTCACTGGTGTCACGCGCGAGGAAGTATCCCCGTCACCACCGCGGTGTGTAAGGATAGGTTGACCACCCCAGCCGGTTTGCGCGCAAATCTGTTGTGGGCTTTGGTAAGCTTGCGGCCACATCGGCATGTGTCGCCTGGAAGAGCTTGACCTACCATTTTGTAGAGAGGGACAGATCCATATGCGAGAGCAGTAGTACCGAGAATGAGACTGATAGCATAGAGCCTGGCAGGGGATTCGCATGAGCATATATTGCCTCTCAAAGACTGATTCGAAACTCACGCAGTAGAGACATTGCGCTTTTTAGATTGGGGGGTTCTAAACGGTGCCGCAGATGGCCGGCTTTGTTCCTGCAGCTGGAAGCTCCGTGAGAAGTATCTCCGTTCGGACTGGAATATACTCTTGCGAATATGCTGAGATTGCTGTGGTATGTTCCATTTCGCCGCAGAGTGCCCCAGCGAGGGGAATAACCGTGAGAACATTGTTATGTAGATTCAATGGGATCGGATGTTGAGTCTTGAGACTGGACCAAGATCCACATCACGTGACGTTTGTTATCGATAAGAATTTGGAGGTCCACGCCCGGGCGCCCGGCGGGTGGCCCCACCTGGACACTATTCACGTTAGTACTCCCAGTGACCTCCAGGGCTTCCAAGGGCAAGGCTGGTGTATTGGTGTATTCTTCTCTTCTTCTGTTTAGACATTAAGACTCAATTGATTAACAGTCAGGTGCCTTCGTCTCGCGCGAGCAGGGAATGCTCACATCGGGAAAAAGGAAGCATCTCGAAGTATAGATGTGCTATCAAGAGTTTACTCCGAACTTGTATATGCCCAGGTGGCCCATGAGGACCAACAGAAATATCATCTAGGCGTATGTGCCCAAATAGAGATTTTGTGGTTTCGTGATATAAAGCTAACCGAAATCATACAACGTAGTAGCAACCAGGTAAACGTCTTGGAGTCTAAATTAAGCGAACTAATACAACCGCTGGCTTGTTCAAAGGTCCCAACGGCTTACCTCAAAGTCTAATGATTCAACACATTCGACGTGATGCGCCCGAAGACACCTCGCACCATTCTGGGTCTCTCGCGAAGGCAGGTGACAAGAATAGCAGCGCTAAGAGCAAATGCAACGCGTTCTCGATATTGGTACTAATGAAACTGTCAGCAGGCCGGCACTTCCTGGCTATTTTGGAACCCATCACAGGCCAATTTGGGGACATCGAGAAGGGGGTTGACGGGATGTGGGTGTAACCCTGCTGTGAACAGAGGATGCGAGGGTCCGATGCATACCTTCTTATCATACAACCGTGGCAAGACCGTGGCGACTGCCCGGGGTGCCACAAATAGCGCCAACTCTTGCCTTTTCCGCGCTTTTTCGGCCAATACACTCCAGCCACACATGAAACAACCCATGCCGACGCAAAGTCCCGAGTCCCACATCGTCGGCGTGACCGTCTTCGGGTCAAACATCCTGGGACCGAGTCGAGTTCGAGCAAGACATACACCATAGTAGAAAAGACTGACGAATGCCGAAAGGAAGGCAGATGACCGTGCTGCATCTGCGAGGGCCCGCCTGAGGGCTGTGGCAGACTTCATTCCCCGCAGGCGAAAGATTATCTGAAGGGGAATATATGTCGCACAGGCAAACTTGAAGGTTTTGGCAAATCGATACAACGCATGTTTCTCGCAATTAGGCCCACAGCCCATGTGTACCATTTCGCAGGGGATTCGGCGGATCTTTGCTGGGTCTCCCCACTCAATTGGCCAGTGATAATCTTTGCACATCGACTGAAGAAGAGGGGCCTGGCCTGTGTCTTTTCCGTATACAAAAACCCCCCGTCGGACACGACGCAAAGCTTCAATTAGACGTGAGTCGACCTGGGCAGCTTGTCCAATCCACTTCTCATATGCTTTGGGAAGCCGTTCAGGGAGATAGAACCACGCCCACATGACAAGAGCAGAGCTCATGGCAAAAACGCCCGCATCTGCCACGCCGGGAATGAGGGATTCGGTGACGGTCCAGCGGCTCTGCGCACGACGACGACGGGCCCAGCGGTTCCACGCGACACACGCGACCACATCAACCGCTCTTGTGACCAAGTAAATGGTCAGGTCCATTGTCCTGCCTGCCAATTCAGGACGTTGGCGCTCTAGCGGATTGACTGATTCCCCGCCAAAGTCTTTGACTTGACATGCGGAGTCTCGGGTGGCTTCATCTTCTAATGATGGACGGATCCGGTTCTTGTTGAGAAGCTGGAAACTGAACCACCCCGATATGAAGGTGATCAAAAACCGAACCAAGCGGTCCAGTCCTTGCGATATCCGAAGCTCACCCTTGGTAAGCCCGGCTGCGACAAAGGAACAGAGTCGATACAATCCTAGTGGCAGTAATGTTGAACCGCCGACCAACACAGCACACGATGTGGGGAAGCTGTTAGCACGTAAAGGCCCTGTCAATACTTTGACGAGCTATTCAATGAGAGCTAAGTTAGCCACGGCAATAAACGACGGACGGTTGTGACTCAAGTGGACGCTTCTTATGTTCGAGATGCACCTTCAATCACGTACCTCTTGTAGTTTTTGTTGCGTCGTCCAGTCTTTGGTACGTAGTCGGCGTACATACGACGCCAGTTTTGGAGTCACAGAAGAAAGGTACCCAAGGGCATAGGCGCGCAGAAGGCTACAGTCACAATTAGCAAGGGATTAGATCACACAGTTGCACCAAGCCACAAGGGTATCAGATCGCACTTACGGCTTGATTACCCGGATGTTGTCCCTTTCATGGCGTCTCCGGGGGGCGGGTTCCATGTTGCCGGAAACTCTCATGTCATGATCTGTCGGGAGGTGTCAACATCACAAATTTCCCCCGAACTCATCAGTTGAACTCTGCTGGGGTTCACAGAAAATCCCCCTTTCGCCAATCAAGGCAAATCGACCGAGAGCCTGACTGATAATGCCCGCGACCTAGAATTGCACCTCCCGAAAATTGGGTAGTATTTCAAGGGAGATTGACACCTGCACAATCGTCTTTTTTTGTTTTTTTGTTTCGGGGGGATGATCAGCCGTGGATCCTGTGCAACGGTCTGAGATGTAAGAGGCTGTGAATGGACCTCGGTTCCTGGGTAGTTTCAGATTCCCGATAAACAGAACCCCCGCAGAAATTCCAAATCAGGGGCCTTGGTGAAGACAGACGATCATCCGAGCTGGGTTCGGAGAATGATAGTCGGTATAGCGGGGGCCTCTAAGGAAGGCCCACGGATGGTTTAGTGAGATGTCCAATGAGCGGTGACCGCAGAGCCTGAAATAATGAATTGCACTGACCCCAAATATGGGTTTGCGTGTCAGTGCTTCAACGTCCAGGCCAGAGAGTCGAGAGGTGTGGTGTACGTAGTGGACATGTACATGAAGTGCAAGAAAGACGTGGAAATGTACCTGAGGGATACCTGTAAGGTACCTGCGAAGGGGTCTCGTGGCAGGGCCTCGGAGATGTTCCCCGGAGGTCCAACAGCTCTCCCCAGGAACGCACTAAATACCTAGCCAGCCACGGCGGTGCGCTTGTAATTTCCGTAATTTTGGTACCATCCCGTCACGCGCAAATTTGCATGTGATGCGCCTCGACGGCCGAAAGAGCCTGGGAGCAACTTGATGTCATGACCCTCTTCTAGATATCTGTTTGCTCTCATCTCTCTTCCTCCTGTCATTCTTTCCAACCTGCTTCTTGCCCCTCTACTGGCCGTATCTCATCGACCCGTATCTCCGGAGCCGCGTCGTCAAATCTGACTACGGTGGCCTTGATCTACTCCCCCCCGCCGTCCCTCGTTTGTGGAGTCGAACCTTCTTTGCCAACTTTTTCAAAGACAAGAGTCTCTGCAGGTGTCTGAGGCATGACCGGTTAGCCTTGGTCTGCGCTATATTTGAAGCCAGAGCAGCGTCATCTCGTTGACCGAGACTCCCGAATAAAATCATTGATATCCGACTTATACCCACCATGAATGGACCTGGAACCGAGGTTCAACCCGGACGCCCATCTTCTCCGTCTGCACCCTTCGGCTGTAAGTTAAAATGTGCCTCAACGCCCCCATTTCACTCGTTAAACATTGAATACAGACTCGTTTCTCTCTCACATGGACACCCCCTTTGAGCAGGCGCCTGCACTTCCCCCGGGACCATCTCTCCTTGACGATAATGAATCCAACATGCTCGATAACTTCTTTACTACCATGAATGCGAATCAGTTCACGAACGATTTTTGGATGCGACAAGAACACAAGACCGGGGCCCCAAATTTTGAGTGGTCAGCTGAGCTGCCACCAAACTTTGAGGGATCAACCACCTCTTTATCACAACCTACGTTTCAGCAACATGGACTTGGCAAGGTCGGGGGAGGGTTGATGGCAGGAAACCCCGCAGGCTCGGATATTTTCGCTGCAGCATCTATGCTCTACCAAGGTGATCTTAACGGATCAGAATTGGGGTCCACGTTGTCACAACAAGCTTTTGGCGGTCATTCACTGCATCCGAATAGATTGCAGCCCCGAAATCACTCCCACGCCGGAATACTCGGCCAGGGATCAGCCCAACCAGAGCCTCGCACCGACGTTCCCACTGGATATCATACCTCGGAGATGTTTTTTGATGTCCGCGACCCTATCCCAGCGGATCAGCATCCTTCGCGGAAGGTCCGAAGTCTCCGTTGGGGGTCAGATGCCAGTTTTATGGACCAGGGGTATCTTCGCCCACCAGATCAACCCGACGAGGAGCAAAGGACCAATGATTTGCTCGACCATCTTGGATGTTTTGAAACACAAACCAGTGCATCTAATACTCGACCACCGAGTCCTGATCGAATCGTTGGAAATCCTGTTCGCCGGCCTTCGTTCCGTGCTGCCATCCCGGAGGAGACGACACAGCCCCGAAAGCGATCCAGAGTTGTAAAAGAGGAAGACAATTACTCAGACGAAGACGACGGTAGGCCTGAAATCCGAAGGTCCCGGGGATCGATCAGCAAAGTCCGACGTGTGTCAACGGATTTGTCCAAAAAGCCGCGGCTGCAGTCAGGGTCGAAAACTGCACGTGAGAATCTTACTGAAGAACAAAAGAGAACCAACCATATTCTTTCTGAGCAAAAACGACGAAATCTGATCCGTCAAGGCTTTGAAGACTTGTGCATCCTTGTCCCTGGACTCAGAGGTGGTGGGTTCAGCAAAAGCGCCATGCTAACCGGGGCCGCCGATTGGCTTGAAGACCTACTCCGGGGTAATGATATACTCCAAAGGCAATTGCATGAACTAAAGAGCATCAACGGCCTGGTCATGCCTCGATGATTGCCTTTCTCGGATCACACGATCGCTCTCTCAATTTATGATCACCCAGATCACCCTACCGCAGTTCTCTGCGGGCATTCAAGCTTTCAGCGAGTTGTTCTTTTTGTACTGGACAACTCGAAAGCCCGATCTGCCATCACGCGCCTCGGATGACACGATACTATATCCCTTGCTCATTATTTTGGGCACTTTCCTTCTTGTTTGTATTCATTTACTCGCCGTGGTGATACATAGTCACCTTTCGGCTGGTCCTCGGCATATATCGATACCCTATTGCATAATTCTAAAGGCATTTACTTGCAGAACTTAGTCTGGATTCTTATGATCTTTTCGCTCAGAAGTGTTAGCCCGTTGTGACAACTGTAATGAACTTGGAGTATGGGGTAGATAAGACGAACGTTGACGACCCACACATGCATGATCCCCAAGCGCACCTGGGCGACTCTGTACTGTGTACTCCGTATGAGTGTACTATCTGCCCATGAGCCAATGGCACAGCGCCCAAGACCGTATGTAAAAAGATGTAACAGAGTGTAAGCAGTAAGGAGGCCAAGAAACTTCCAAGACATGGGGAATGGTCCCCACCGCTCTGTTTTTGCCATGTGAAAGAGACGCGTCTCCAACTTTAAATCCAAGGACCTCCACCTACGCCATGCCAAAGCGAAAGCATGAAGATGTCCCAGAGGGCTATGCCTATCTCAAACCCCAAGTTCGCCGGGTTCCAGAAAAGACCATTAAGTCAAAATGGGCACCACTGCCCGAGCCCGTCCAGGAGAATATCCGCGAGATGTTCCATTCGCTCGAGCGACCGGTGATCATGCGGAATCAAAACGAACGAAAGCGCATCGAAGCACAGGGCGCTGTGCAAGCAGTCGTACGAAAGTAAGTGTATACTTTGGTCGGCGCCTCTTGCCCTGAGCAATCGAAGCTGATTGCTGCCCCTCGCGTCCAGCCTAAATAAACGACTGCCACGAATGCCGTTCCCACCTGTCACCAAGGATTCTAATTTCGACTACGAATCCGCCCTCAATGAGCATGTATGTGCTTTGTGATAATTGGGGTAACAGGCCGATGCTAATCTGTACAGCGCTTGCTTGAAGCCAATTTGGCCACGATGAATGATAGTGTCGATCTACTCAAAGCCGAGATTGCCAAAGAAGAAGCACTACTTGCAAGTGAAACCAAAGCCCTTCAGGAAATGGACAAGAATGCTAGGCGTGCCGAAGCCGAAAGAAAGAGGCAAACCAAGAACGTACGTGAAGGAATCACCAAATTTGATTCGATGCTAATGATTTCTTCAAGGAACACCCTATGCTTCGGCAGCTCGATGCACTTTCTCGGGCGGAGAGCTCTGCATCATCCGACTTTACGCTGCTGGGCGCAAAGGAGAGCCAATCAACGTTGGATGCGGTAAGTGCTCTGGTCTGGTTTACTTGCTCTCTAGATTATCTGACCATGTCTGGTCGACCAGTTGGATGATGATCCCGAGGTTCTGAGACTGATGAAACAGTTGAACGGTCATTTGCAATCCATGCAAAGCAATACCGCACCCTTTTCCGACCTCGGTGATGCTATCACCCGCTCACAGGCAGCTTTGGATCTGTATTCAATGACAAACGATTGATTTCACCGCCAGACAGGTACTTTCTAGCCTCACAAATTCGTCCTGTCAAGTTCCCGAGGCTTGTCACCACGTGAAACCCCTTCCGAGGTCATATCGGGGCATACCCACTTGCTGAAGAAGCCAGCAGAAGTGCTGCGCCCGAGGGTCAAGGGTCAGACAAACCCTTGTCGCGAGTTCGGATGTCAATGCGCCCAGTTACATACGGCGAGACCCTGCACGTATTCCATAAATTTCGGCCATGGTCATTTTATCATGCTTTCCCCAAGCTGTGGGGCCTCGGGCTGTTTACCGGATCATCCTTGGATTAATGTCCTCAGGTCCCCATATTTGACTGGGTGTGCATGATTTACTTGCATTGCATGACCTGAACTACTCCGTAGTACGGAGTACTATTCCCAGAATGACGACTACCCCTGCGTTGCTAAAGTCGACTCAAACTCTACATATAACCACAAATGCAAATGAATTTGCGCAATGTACTACTAGTACCCCCCATACACTGATTTTCTTCATTCCAATGCGCCAATTGTAAGACCAGGAAATGTAATGTAATGCCAACCGAGGTCTCGCCCCGAAGGTGGCGGGAGAGCGAAATGCGGAGCAGGTCGGAGGGGTGTGACTCCGCTTTCTCCATCCCCAAGAACTTTTTGACGTTTCCCTTCTCCAAGCCACTGGACTGCAGGCAGCCATTTCACGCTGGCCCTGTTGGTTTTTATCAAGTTGTTGCGCCATGACCGAAAAGAATGCGCTAGGCGCAGCCCCCAATGCGAAGGCGAGGTCCGATGCAGGGAAGGATACCAGCGTGAAGGACTCACAACTATCTGCGGCCAAGGCCGAATCGACCGGCTCCGGGAGTCACTCCAGTCCCAAGAAGCGCCGCAAAGTGAATCACGGTAAGGTGCCGTTGCGCAACATGCGACAGGGATCTGGGCGCGGCCGATCCGGTAGCGCATTGCGATAAGAGCCTTTTTGCTAACGAGTGATTTCTGCATGTTTAGCATGTGTCTATTGTCGCCGCTCGGTAAGTTCAAGTCCCAGTGGTCATGCGATCTTTTTCGATGCCTGGTGATCGACTACGATTGCAGCGCATTGCGTATTTCACTGAGCTTTGCTAACGAGATCGCCTCGCGTGGGACAGCATATGACTTGCGACTCGGTACGACACCTCTACTCTCCCTTCCCCTTCGCGGTCCTGCGCATTTGAAATCTCGATCGTGGGCTCGCGGGAAATTGTTCACATCAGCTGACTCTAATCCATGAAGGAACGACCCTGCACTCGATGTATAAAACGCAACATTGGTCACTTGTGCCATGACGAACCAAGAGAGACTGCGAAGCGGGGGCGTGGCGAAAACGAGCACTCGACTGCAGACGAAGAAGGATCGTCAAATAATGAACTGGGCAACGTCCAAGGCATGCCCAGGAGTGTTGACGTTGATGCCGGTGGCCAGCAACAATTTTCCGAAAACGCCATCGGAATTGCTCCCTCCGCTGTGAATTCGGGGACTGTCCCCCCGGGAAACCTAAGTGCATCTGGTCAAGGTATCGAAGGCAACAACTGTAAGCTCCAATTATAAATACCTTCTTTCGATCTCTGAGCTATGCTGATTCTTTCTGGCAGTGCTGCAGTTTAATGATTGGGCAGGTGGCCAGAACCAATTTCAAGAAATGCATTCTCTTCACCCGTCATATATGTTCAATGCGCACGAGGTCACGAATGAGTACAATCTTCTTGGAGACTTCCTAAGCAATAGTCTCTTGGATGATGGGGCTTTGTACCCCAACCAAGAGATGCCAGGTGCTTACTCCGATCCGTCGTTGATGGGCTCCTTGAACGGCATGGGAATGCCGAATGGGCTGTCAACACCAGCACCACCTCCACCCCGGGCTCAAGCGCCACCGAGTGACTCCTTGCAACAGCCTTCAGCAGTGGGCAATGACAAGGCCCGAGAAACCTATTACATGACTGCGGCCGATCCAGCAGGAACCGATCCCCCAGAAGAGCGGATGAACAAGCTCCTCAAGGCGAAATACGATGCCGGTTTACTCAAACCTTTCAATTATGTCAAGGGATACGCAAGGTTGAACCAGTATATGGAGAAAAACATGCAACAAATATCCCGGCAAAAGATCTTACGGCAACTTGACAAATTCCGTCCCAAGTTCCGAGAACGTATGCAAAGCCTCACTGATATCGAGCTCATTCTGGTGGAAATGTGGTTTGAGCGGAGTCTCATGGAGTACGATCGTGTCTTCGCTAGTATGGCTATTCCTGCTTGCTGCTGGCGTCGAACGGGGGAGATTTTCCGAGGAAACAACGAGATGGCCCAGCTCATTGACGTCCCGGTAGAGGGTCTGCGGGATGTAGGTTTTGTTCCCGGATTTCAGTCGGTGTCAATGAAGTTGGACTGACAATTTTGATTTAGGGCAAGCTCGCGATCCACGAAATTATCGTCGAAGACCAGCTTGTTAGCTACTGGGAGAAGTTTGGCGCCATTGCATTTGACAATACCCAAAAAGCAATGCTCACAAGCTGCACCCTCAAGAGTCCCAATCCCAATTCGACCAATGATGGGATTACCTGCTGTTTTTCGTTCACCATCAGACGGGATGATCACAATATGTAAGTTTTGATGTACACCTACTAGATATCCGTCGATGCAAACTAATGACCACAGCCCATCACTTATTGTGGGCAACTTCTTGCCCATCGATAAATAGTCCATTACACTAGAATTTGGGCTTCACAGCAAATTGAACGATGCCCATAGGTACTATCTTCTGATGCGTCAAGAGATTTTAGCTGTGAGATTGCGCATACCATTCTTAATGAGAACCACGCCTCTTTCTCGCCCTGTCACCATAAAAGAGCCATATAGTAAGGTATCAAGTCAGCAATATATCAAGCCCTGGAGCTATATTCCCGATGATTGGATTCCAAGGTTCCCGAGGTCCTATACCGAGAGAGCACTTTTCCAGTCCGAACCCTTTTCAAGGTTGAGGGCCCACGCTCTACCTATTATCAGACGGGAATATCGCGATGTGTCCCAGCCACCGTGGACGAAATGAACAGGCAACGTATCGAACAGGGCCCAATGCTTTTCGATGTCTTGCTTCACTCCCATGCGGGCCTAGCCGGGGAGCATCTCGGTCTCAAGGTTCCAAGGCTTGCTCTGCGCGAGCCAGATTGAGTCGGAATCTGATCTGCCAATTGCCCCAGTGTTTAATTGAATGCAAACCTAGGATAACATGGTCGGTGGAAGGATGAAGGTCCAGGCTTGGGCGTTGCAAAACTCGCTTTCTTCATCCAGAAATATCCAAATTGTCCCCCTGAAATATTCCAGATCCCCCAAACTAAATACAAATCTCTATCCCGCTAGCCGTGCAGATTGGGAAGGGCTAGAAGCGCATTCGCTATCCTAATTATCACCAGCCGGGCGAGAAATCCGGACTGCATTGGATCCGTGTACGTCTTTGGGCTCTTAAAACAAATAGGATGAAATGCTCTTTCCAGGAAGATTCGAGATTGAAAGGGAAAGTGCAGATTACTGCCTTGATACTCTCCAGGGCTGCTTTTGTCGTGTCAGTCCCGCAAGAGAAGCGGCGCATGTTTGTACCTACACCCACACATCTCAGTCTCTCTCTTCCTCTCTCACCTACACACTTTCTTTCTTTCTTTTACTCTCTCTCTCTCTTTCCCTTCTTCTCTCAACACGCGTCATAGGTTTCAATTTGAGCAGTCTTCACCATGGCCGCTGTTTCTCGGTCCTTGAGTGATGTCTCACTGGAAGGTAGGCCTCGTGAATCTTCCCAATAAGGAAACACATTGACCACAGACAACATAGATGTTGCTTGCATTGTGCAGACAAATCTCTCCACTGTCACTTTGGGTCAACCTATTCTTCCTTTTGACATTATTTCCCTGATTGATGACCAACTCAACCGCGATATTTTCAACACACCGGCGGGGGTGAATGAAAACCTTACAAGACTGGATGCTATTGGGACCTCTTTGTGGAACACCTGCTCCCAGCTCATAGTGGTCCGTGGCCAGTTTGGTGTCGATTTGTGTGCACTTGCGAAGGCTCGGGCTCTCGCGTTTGCCCTCATCAACATCGCTGTGCCATCTAAGGTCATTGGCTGGCTCAGGTCTCTGGCTTGTTCTTGTATTGCCGCGCAGACCTCCATCGGTATGAACCATGAAACATGAATCGGTGTCGAGGGAAGCGGATATTGACGGCTCAAATAGTAACCAAACAGCTCAAATCCGCTCATAAGATCTTAAGCGTCTCAGCTACCCGGCTCCAAGCTCTTCAGGCATCTGAACTCGGGCTTGATGCTACCCTTCATCGCAGCCTCGCCACAAAATACTGGCTCCTTCGAGTCCGCCTGGTATCGTTTTTCTTTTTGTGTTTTACACTCCGCAACTGACTGGGTCTTCTCTAGGCCGCGCAAATGCAGCGCTTCGATATTGCAGAGCACCTCTGGTCCAAGATTTCTTCTCCGGTTCTGATCAAAGACCGACAGTCTGTCCTTGAGACCTCCTTCTGGGTCGGTGACAAAGCAATTCTTCTCGATCCACCTGCCGCAGTCCAATGGCTCAAGGTAGCATATCAGACATTGAAGGACTTGAATAACGCCACCGAGCAGAATTTCAAGGCTTACAAGGACTGGGCCCTGCTCATCTCGCACTCCTTAGGTAAGTGGGGGTGGGCATTGGTACACTCGGTTGTCTAACTTGATATCTGATAGCTGTGGCATGTTTGCCGAATCTTACCCTGGATTCCCCTCAAATTTTCAGCACCACTCTAAGGAGTATGAGAATGGTTTGTATTCAAAACAGTGACCTTTATGAGTTGACTCTGACCTTTGCAGATGTACCCACGGCATCTCGCTGTGGTTCTTCTTGATCTAACTGTGAGCAACGAAGAAGATATTGAAAATCTTGCCTTCAGTACAGCTAATTCCTCAACTATCTATCTTGAAAGTTGCTGACTGTTTCCCAGGGTTTGACAATGTTGTCTCACACAATCGCATAACGAGTCGCAACATGATAACGTGGGTTACCCAAATAGCCTTGCTTCTACTACATCTAATGATGAGAGTAGGCTCTTCCAGTTTGTCCATTTCGCGGCATCGAAAAGGTACTTATTCCACGGCTGTATAAAAGGACCATTTGCTTATATATTCTCAGTCCTGTTGCTGCGATAACGGCGCTCCACTCCCTGCTCACGACCACTCTTCCCAGAGAATGGACCGACAAATGCTTTCTTGCATATCTCGTGCTGATATCTAGGTCTCCTGAACGGGATCAACGCTGGGTTTACGATACAAACCATGTGATCAAGTCATTGGAGCAGCGTGGATATCCATCATTCGGCCCAACGACTGCTCAAGCCGCTGTCCTAGTAGGGCTTATGTGGCTCAATCATCTATTAGACAACCAGGCTAACATCTATTCCAGTGTCTTTGGAAATTGAGCGCCCTCGCAATCGAGAAGGGTGACTACAGACTTGCGGCGGGTTGGCTTCGCATTTGCAACGATCCCAAGATTTCTGCGAACTGCAATCAAGATACCCGGTACCGTATCGCGAGGTTAGTGGAGTATGGCTTCAGTCACCATTGAATGCTGAGTATGAGCCTTTTCCAGGAAAGCGTTGGCGTGCTATGTGGAGATTGGAAGCCTGGCCTCGGCCCGTGATATACTGAATTACGGATTGACCCAAGGTCCGTTTGACTGCAAGAGAGTGTACTTGGAGTACAGGCTGGCTATGATGGAGGGACAAGACCTCTCGGGTATGCTTCCAAGCATGCATACATCGGAATTCTTTCTAACTACTGTATTTTCAAGCATTCTTTCGTTTTGACTTCCCGACAGATCCACCGGTCCCGAAAAAGCAGGCGTGTCTCCTCTCATGCGCTTTGGCAGCTCAGCTGCAAAACAAACCAGAGGAGTTTATGAGCTGTCTGGGGCAGTTGGTAAAGTGCTCACATGCGGGAGGCATTCACCATCCGGGGTTTTCACCCGCTGAGCATCATATGTGAGTGTCATAACCAACTATCTAACGATAGACAAAGGCACCCCTAACTTGGATGTACTTCACAGGTTCTTGATATGCCTAGTGCTAAGTGAGCTGGCGAAGTACCGTAATGACGAATTCCACCTTCGCGTCAACGAAGTGCTGGCAAACGGTAAGTCTCCTGCTTTACCCTACAATCCAGATTCTGACCTAATTTATAGCACTGCAATATGCAAGAGAGTACAGTGGCTACGACGGTGGGGACCGTCAAGTCTGGATCACACAGCTACAATGGTTCTATCAAGCAAGCTATCGTGTGGCCGTGCAACTTGCCCACCACCAAAACGTTGAAGTGACTTTGCAGGCATTGAGATACTCGCATGAGGTGCGTATCAATCCTTTCCAAAGAACAATTGTTGACTTGACTATAGTTCACGCTCCTCTATCGTCGAGTTGCCGGAATTGAGGGCAGGCTTAAAGTGCCTCGCCCACACTTCTTCTTGATTAACTTTGTCCGTCTCATCACTTATGCCGACGGAGCTCGATTTTCCAGCGACCAGGAAAAGAAGGTTGGTCACCATCCCTACTCACATCATGAAGTTACCATCGAAGATACCTAGTTGTTTCTTCTTTCTCCGCATGATGACAATGCTTACAATGAACAGAGAAGTTACTATACGAGCCTGCGCGCAGTCTTCAATACTTTGAGTACTTTGTTTGGTTGGGTAGATGGACAAGAGGCCTCAACTGAGGCCTCGGCTTCCATTGAAGAAAACCAGTATTTCTTGGGAGCTTTTTTCAACTTTGAGGCTACTGTCCAGCTCGGTCTCTGGGAAGAACTGCGCGAAATCTGCCGCAACCGTCATAAATTCCCTAAGACTCGGTATTACCATCATATGCTCGATATGATTCTCCAACCCGGCACTCCAGCCGCAATCCAAATCAAGGTCTTGAAGGTGAGTTCTCAGACCTGGCTGCATCATTGGTCAACAAAAACTAATCGTTGTATTTAGCGAATTGTCTTCGACATAGTCAGCTTCGTAACGGGAGGCTCGTCGGATACTGCCTATTATCTTTCCAAAATACCTCGCTACCTTTACTGTATGTTCTTGATTGCCACATCGTCTGAACCTGCGGGGACCGAATTGGCAGATGGAGCTGTGATGACCGACTTTCTGCTTGCCGAGAAAGTGCTCGATCAGATACACACAATGGCGGAACGTGAGGCAAGCAAGGACGATAATGATGACGGCAAGTTTCAAGTTTACCAAACGGAGACTGAGCACTATTTCATTGGCGGAAAGAACCCCTTCCCATCTCTAGAGCTGGAACAGGTTGCACGCTTGGCCTTCAATAGGGCTGCTGATTTCTACTCCACTGGTGAAGACGAAATATGCTTCCGCTGGGCGCATAAGGCTATCGATCTTGCTCGGCTTGTTCCAGGTGTGGCGGGCGAGACACTTGTTCAGGAATTGGAGGAACGGCTGGAGCTTCTGGACTAAACCTTTAATCTCGAGGTTTGCTGCTTTTTGATGTGGGAACAAAAGAAGTCGGTGATCAGGGAGCCGAGGGGGCTGTGGGAAAGACTAGGGATATGGGTGCGGGGGATTTGTGGATTTGTGTTGATTTCAATTCGAATATGACACACGCAGTGAGTTAGTTTGGGAATGAGCAATGACACATCTGTGATTCTGGAAATGGGTATCAGTAAATAGTCTCAAATTTCCAAGATAGACATATACATACGTCGGGGGGCTTGGGTTCCTCGCCTATGGACAGGAGAAATCTGGCGGAACTTCCAGGGGTAGGCCCAGGTATGTAATGCTGGACTACTACTCATCTCTATGGATATAGTACATCTACCCCGAACCTAATCCACGGATGAAGTCCTATGGGGCTGCAGAGTCCAGTACGGACCTCGGAAGTAGGGCAAACGCGGTGAAACTCTGTAGTCAGGCACCCGTCGATCCGCCAACTGGTGGACCCGGGTTAAGTGGTTTCTGACTAATCTTTTGCCTGAGGCAAAATTCACGTCACGTCGCGCGTCAACCCGGCCTATCTGCAGCTACGGCGCGAACCGTCCCCAATCGATATCTCGAGTCGGGCTTTCGTCCAGTTTTGGTTGCACAGTGGAAAGTTATGGATATTCGAAATTTCTTTGGCGGCAAGCCTGGTCAAGGCTCCAGCCCAGCTGCGCCAAAGCCCGCACCTAAAAAAGAGGTATGCTGCCTTGCTTCCGAAGGGGACATTCGCACATATAAACACCCAAAGGATCCCTGAGAATCATTTGCTAATCTGAATTTCACAATGCAGGATCCTTCAGCAACAAGAAAGAAACGTACGCGCTTGATATCCTCTACCTCAATGACACGGGCCTAACATGAAAACAGGTAGCAGGAAGGTTGTTGATGACAGCGACGAGGAGGAAGATGCAGCACCTGTGAAACCATTCACCGCCAAAGCCAAGCCAAAGAGCCAACCGTATGTCAATAAAAAGTTCAAAGCTCCTTGTGTTCTTGGGAACTAACGAGCCCTCTTTACAGAAAGCCCGAAGAGACTAAAGATGAGCCAACGACTTCCTCTGACTACTTTGCCTCCACCAAAAAGAGGGGAAGGCCCGCCAAAGCCCCAGAACCGCCCAAGCCAGACCATTCCCAGGAAGATACCGCTAGCGCAAAGCCCAAGAAGGCCGCCGAGGAACCAGCGAAAAGCAAGAAGAGCACATCTCGCGCCTCAGCAAAGAAGGACACCAAAGTCATCGAAGATGAAACCCTTGGCGACAACGACATATTTGCATCAGAGTATGGAAAGGTCGGCAAAGGAGACGACGAATATGTTGCCGGTGGGGATAGTGATGACGGCAGCGACTTTGAAGTCCTTGAGGTGAAGCCTGCCGCTGCAAAGCCCAAACGAGGGCCAGCAAAGAAGACTTCCCGCAGCGACGAAGATGAGGATGTAGTGATGGAAGATCTTCCGAAGATCTCTGCCCCGAAAGCTCCGCCGGGTCGCAAACGCAAGTCGGAAGCTCTCATCGACGAGGACGAAGACGAGGATTTTGAAGCGCCAAAAAAGCAAACCAAAAAAGCTGCAGCGAAACCGAAATCCACCGCGTCGCCCGCTGCAAAGAAGCCAAAGGCTAGCCCAACAAAAGGCAAGAAAGAGGACAAGGTTGAAAGCAAGGAGATCCAGGACATCTTTGACAGCATTCCAACGATCGATGCCCCGGAGCCACCTCAGGGAGAGGCTAAAAAATGGAAGTTTGGACAGCAACAGTCCCGGGATCCAGAAATGGCTGGGACTAAGGAGTTGCCCACCGGAGAGGAAAATTGTCTCGCAGGGCTTTCGTTTGTTTTCACGGGTGTTTTGGAATCTCTCGGCCGTGACGAGGGATCTCAGTTGGTGAAGAAGTACGGTGGCAAGGTCGTTGGAGCACCTAGTTCCAAGACGAGCTATGTTGTTCTGGGCGGCGATGCCGGTCCAAAGAAGCTCGAGACTATTGCAAAGCACAAGCTCAAGACCATCAACGAGGATGGTCTCTTTGAATTGATTAAGAGACTGCCTGCCAACGGTGGTGATGGAAAGGCTGCCGAGAAGTATGCAGAGAAGCAACGCGCCGACGAGGAGAAGGTCCGGGCTATGGCCGCCGAGATCGATGCTGAAGAGAAACGCAAGGCTGCAGCGGCAAAGCCTGCCAAGACCTCCCAAGCACCTAAGTCTGCTTCAACTGCGCAGCAAACACCATCCAGCTCACAGCCTGTGTCACCCGGTGATCTCTGGACCACAAAATATGCGCCAACTTCGACCAGTATGATCTGCGGTAACAAGGCCCCCGTCGAGAAGCTACAAAACTGGCTGCGCAACTGGCATCGTAATGCAAAGCTGGATTTCAAGAAGGGTGGTGCGGATGGTTCCGGTACCTACCGAGCTGTGATCATGCACGGTGGCCCCGGAATCGGCAAAACTACAGCGGCTCATCTTGTGGCAAAGCTTGAGGGCTACGATATCGTGGAAACCAATGCCAGCGACACCAGAAGCAAGAAGCTCGTCGAGACCTCCACGTTGGGCGTGCTTGATACAACCTCTTTGCAAGGATATTTTGCCGCAGAAGGTAAACAGATTGAGGGCGAAAAGAAGAAGCTTGTTCTTATCATGGATGAGGTTGACGGTATGTCTGCTGGAGACCGTGGTGGTGTGGGAGCTGTTGCTGCCATCGTCAAGAAGACGAAGATCCCTATCATCCTCATTTGTAATGAGCGACGGCTTCCGAAGATGAAGCCGTTTGACAACATCACGTTCGAAATTCCCTTCAGGCGCCCGACAGCCGATCAAATCAGAGCCAGGCTATCAACGATCTGCTTCCGTGAAGGCCTCAAAATTCCGCCTCCCGTACTCGACGGTCTTATTGAAGGCACAAACGCCGACATCCGGCAGGTCATCAACATGTTGTCTACAGCCAGACTGGACCAGCAAGGCCTTAATTACGAGCAAGGAAAAGACATGTCCAAAGCATGGGAAAAGCATATCATTCTCAAGCCTTGGGACATTGTTAGCAAAATTCTGAGCGCTCAGATGTTTGCCCCAAGCTCCACCACTACTTTGAATGACAAGATCGCTCTCTACTTCAACGATCACGAGTTCAGCTATCTAATGCTCCAGGAAAATTACCTGAAGACCAAGCCCACGCTTGCGGGCAGGCACCAGGGCAAGGAACAGAAGCTGAAAGCGCTCGAATTGATGGACAACGCCGCTTCAGGGATTAGTGATGGTGACCTAGTCGACCGCATGATCCACGGAACTCAGCAGCAATGGAGTCTCATGCCCGTCCATGCAGTATTCAGCTTCGTGCGACCTGCTAGTTTCCAATACGGAAACTTTAGCGAACGGGCTGGATTCACTAGCTGGCTGGGTAACAACAGTAAACAAGGTATGATCATGGCTGGTCCTTTTAATTTCCCGGTGTGCCCATTCTGACCACATTGTCACAGGAAAAATGTCACGATACGTCAAGGAAATCCAAGGCCACATGCGTCTCCGCACCACAGGCAACAGGGACGAAATTCGCCAGCAATACTTGCCTCTGCTCCAAGAGAAGATCATCCGCCGCCTCATGGATGAGGGCAAAGAAAGCGTTGAATCAGTTATCGACCTCATGGATGAATACTACCTTACTCGTGAAGACTTCGATGCCATGGTTGAACTGGGACTCGGCCCCATGAACGAATCTAAGATCAAAATCGAGACACAGACCAAGGCAACTTTCACACGTCTGTATAACTCGCGCTCGCATCCTATGCCATTCATTAAGGCCAGCAATGTCGTGGCGCCGAAGAAGGGGGCGAAGGAGAAGCCTGATCTCGAAGATGCTATTGAGGAGTCTGATGAGGAGGAAGTTGTGGATGAGGTCAAGGATGACGAGGAAGAGCTTGATTTGAAGAAGGACAAGTATGTTAGCTTGCCTAAGAAAAAGAAGGCGCCGGCCAAGGGCAAGAAGGCCAAGAAGGCGGAGGATGACGACGAAGAGAAGCCAAAGAAAGGCCGTGGCAAGGCTAAGGCTAAAGCTTGAGAAAGGTTCTTGTAACATATTCACTCATTTTGATAGCATTGTACGTTTAATCGGTGTTCCCTGGTGCATCTCTCAATAAGATTACTTTCAAGTGCATGTCTGGTTTCCTACTCTCGGTAGCTCGAGGTTTATGCTCTCCAGCATCTTATGCTTCGCACCGTATAACACATTACATTCTCGAGGGTCATTGGATGTAGGGAATCTTGCCTTCGTGTCGTGGATATGAAGTTCCTGTCTACAATGGGAGATATGATTGCCAATATTCATGTGGAGACATATATTTGCCAAGGTGAAATCGGAACTATGCATAAGCAGCCAACTGCCCCTTGGCGGGGAAGTTGTTGATCTGCGGAGACCGACTTTCCTCTCCTCAACGTCGATGCCGAGGTGTGCATTTAGCACAGAAAACCCCTGAGTTCGCCTTTTCTACACCGAGACACAGGCTGGTCCTGGCTATCATTATTTGGTTTCTTCTCGTTTATCCACACGGGCATGCGACTTCCTTAACCCTGTGACATTGACCCAGCAACCTCCGTCGCTGTAGACCACAGACTACGCAACGCGCGCAACGCTCGCGGACATAGCTCCTTTTGGCAGTCGACAAGATGTCTCTCCTTCACAATGAAGAGTTAGTTGGATTTGAAATTGCGGACTGGTGTGTTGATCTCCAAGCTGACCTCAGCACAGCTTCACAATTTGGCAATTACGCTCGTCCTATCTTTCAACAATCAAAGATGGGATCGGAGATCGCCTCATCAATGTCAATGACTCCGTCCTAAACACACCTGGCTTCCGCGCGGCGGGCTGGTCAACTGCCTCCGCGTTCCCGAACACGCATAGCTCGTCCCACTTGAAGCGCACATATTCCCCGCCGATCCCAACTACCGCGAATGTTTCCTCAGAGTATTATAAACTGGCAGAGCGCAATGCGAAATCCTCAAGAGAAGATATGCAAGGCCTCGGTCTGGAGGATGGCGAGGACGATGGCGGCATGGTAACAGGCAAGAGCCACACGGATATGACTGCACGGCGGCATCATGCGCGCCACGGGAAGAAGAAAAGTCGTCGTGAACAGCAGCAGGAGGTACACAGGCAAGCGGTTGCAGAGGAGGAGGACAGCAGTGACTTGAGTGACGACAGCGACGACGACGGAGACAATGTCGGCAGGTAGGTGATCCCATCTGTGAAGTGAGGCCGTATTATCTAACCAGACACAGTGCTGTTGATCAGATCAAATTCCACAAGATGCCCATCCGTCGAGACCGAGATGATTCCTCCCCGAGGCGCTCTGAGGACCACCGCGAGAGGCCGGAGGTCATGATTACATCTGCCTCAACCCAAAACGTCTCAAATCAGTATCATTCAATACCGCTAAGACCACGCCGAGACACCACTACTAGCAGCGACCTATCAACGGACAATGAAACCGATCACCGAGGCTATAAGAGCCAAGTCCAGTTTTCAGGCAGTGATCACATTGTTGATCATCCTCGCAGGCGACGTGAACGGACTGGAAGTCGCGGCGCAGAGAGTCTGGCCCTCGGGGAACTCCATGAGGAAGATGAAGATGACTCTGGCGCCGAGTCAGTTGTGTCTGCAGTCTCATCGGACTTCGACAACACTGCTGGAACTGGATCTTTGCTTTTAGCAGGTGTTGCCGGCGGATTGAACCTGTCTTCGCCCATGGTAATGATGAACAAATTACCTCCAGGCACGGGCCCGCAGAACAGTTCACCTCGCAAGAGTCGTACCCCGGCACCTACGCTCCAGGATCTTCCTCCACCACGACCTATTAGCATGGTACAACCAGTCAGTCTGCTGAGCAGCCAACTGAAGGCGCGCAAGCGCGCCCCAAGCAATCCGGTGGATAAGTTTGTGGTGCTTTCTGGGCGAGGCCAAGAAGATGCCTTGTACTTGAAGATCTACGCTCCCTTCTCCAGTGACCCTGAAGATCCCTTGGATCTACCAGTGACACGCGAGTCTAAGCTTGCAGAGCAGCCTGCACCAGTCACCGTGGCTGAGACTATTGGCCTGGCCCTATGGAAATACTCGGCGGACTCCCGGGGCCCAGCACTAGGTCGTGAAAAACTGACTGTGAATCGATGGACTTTACGAATGGTTGACGATGGCGAAGTTGAATATGATTTCCCGGCACTCGGACGGACTCTTCCTATGACGGATTTCACCTCAAATAACAACCAACCCCCGAAGGCTCGTCAACGGACCAGAGGCAAGCCTTACGATGAATTTGCTTTGGTCGAAGCATCAAAGACAGAATTTGAGGAGAACGAAAAGTTATACCCACAATTCAGCTCAAGTATCGGATCAGAAGAGACCGATCAACCCGCCAGTTTGAGTACCCCAGGGGCCACTCCCCAACCCGCTTCGCAGACCAAGGCGCCTCCTATGGCACCAGCTCGGTCGAATCCCATCCTGGGTCAACCATTCTCGTCAGCACTCAATCATAGTACCCTCACACCTGCCGATCGACCTGCGGTTCCCACCTCACACGCAACCCCTCGTCTTGGGGTTGCTAAAACCCTGAAGATCCGCTTCGTCAACACCGAGGCCTCTGCACATGTCATGACCATCAACACATCTACCGACAGCTATATCGCCGAAATTCTGGACTCCGTGTGCAAAAGATGGGGCCAGGACAAGGGCAACTACCTTCTCAAAGTCATGGGATCCAATACGATTGCCCCCCTTGACCGCACCGTGGAGGCTCTGGGCAGCATTACAGAGCTTGATCTAGTCCGTCGGCGATTTGGCGGGGGTCCCCTCGCTCTTGGAACATCACCCGGGAGCTCATCACCAAACGCACCTCTCATGGTGGAAAGCAGGGAGCCTGCAACCTCGAAGAAAGCTAAGAAGGAGGCCAAGAAGGGTGCGCAACATATGCTACCTTCCGCCTCTCAGAAGCAAGACCATCTGGGCGGATACTATCGCCGGTACCACGTGTTCCGCAAACAACCTATGTCTTTCACAGCGTCCAATCATCGCATTCTCACCTTTGAAAATGACTACATGCATATTGTGCCTGGTGATACCGGTAAAACCGTATCTGGTGGTAAGACACGGTCGATCAGCTTCAGCGACGTGATCGGATCCAAGGTCAGCCGCCGACACCCCAAGAGCTTCCGCGTCATGATCGTCCGTGGGAACGACGCGACAGAGCAAAAGCGCTATGACTTTGAAGCGCGGACCACTGGCGAGGCTGAAGAGATTGTCAGTGAGATCAAGAAGAATATGGCACATTACCGCATTTGATTATCCGTCTAGCGTTGCTTGCGTTTGGGGGCTTTGACAAGAAGAACGGGGGCGTCTATACCAATACATTTCAGTCTTTGCTCTCTACCAGTATTTCTTGATTTTCTATCCATTTTTCGCTTCTCCTCCCCTTCATTGCCCCCTTATTCGACCTTCTGTAAGTAAAGTGACAAGTCGCACTCCAGACCGGAGCAGCGTCACTTTCAAGCCTTGGATCCACCTGGCTTCGGGGGCACTGAAGACTCCGAGCAAGATTTGTCTTAGAAGCCTGAATAGTTAGTAGACCATTGGGCCTGTAGATGAAATAGAGTCATTCTCCGGCTCATGATCCGACCATTCAACATGTCCGCAGGAATGTGTAGAGGATTCCTTGGTATCCAGCACTGTACAGTGTACACAGAGTACACTCATGCTTACGCCGTACATCTAGTTCAGCCTTAGTGCGAACTGTATACGACCCACCGTTCATCGCACGCATGTTCAGATCGCAAGATCAGCAAGCCGGCCTTGCCAATCAAAGGTCCGACCCGAGTGGTGATAGCGTTTTATAGATCGACGCCCCCTGAGCCATTCAGATTCCTCAGATCAGCTGGAATGATCTTAGCGCGAAATGAGCTGTGTGTCTGTCTGAGTGTTTTCTTTTCATTCTTTCTCACTCTCGTTGTGTTCTAGAACGTTGGCTATATTTGGACGGCTGGGCTGATCATAGCTCGACTTTAGCTCCCCGCCATCCCACACACTCCTTACCTTTGTTTACTCCCGCGAGTCCGCTCCGCCACTCCATTTCGACCTATATACTCCCACGAATGCGCCCAATTGTTCACCACCCGGGGGGACCTTGAAATTATCCACAGGCCATGGCTACCACCCCTCTCACCGCGAAAAGCAAGCTTGCTGGACCTGGCGCATCCTTGAAAATCACTCCTTCAAATTCTCCAATCCTCCGCCCCGGCACACGATCTCCTAGCAAAACATCCCACCAATCCTCCTTATCTCTTCAGACCGTCATTGGCACAACCACGACAACCCCCAATGGCTTCTCGAGCCACGATGAGAGCAAGAGCTTCGCACTCTGCGCAGGATCGGCAGCTGTGCTTGCTCAATTAGACGACCAGGCCAATATCAGTCAACGTTTCTATCGAGCTCGCCCCTCCGCAACCAGTGTCAATCCATCGACTTCGTTCTACAACCAATCAACCCCTCCGGCGACCCCAGACCCGAGATCACGTTCGTTATCACACATCCGGTCCAACCCACACCTGAGCATTACGAATGGCTCCCCGTCCAGCGAGGCTGGAGATGCTGGAAGTCCTCGGGGGTGGTCCTCGAGAGAAAGAATCAAAGCGGTCACGAGTGTCTCGATCAGTCCCAACGGGCGGTTTCTCGCTGTAGGAGAGACTGGATATAACCCTCGAGTTTTGATATTTTCCACAGCAACGGATGCGTTGCCAGATGTCCCCCTCTCTATTCTCAACGAGCACACGTTTGGCGTTCGCAGCCTGGCTTTCAGTCCCGACTCCCAGTACCTGGCAACTCTGGGGAACCCGAATGACGGGTTCCTTTTTATCTGGATGATCAATCTGAAGAACGGGTCAGCGAAGCTCCACTCAGCAAACAAATGTACTTCTGTCATCAAGGATATGTGTTGGGTTGGACGGAGCCTGGTTACCACCGGTGTGCGGCATGTCAAGGTCTGGCGTCTTCCTACAATCACACGACCTGTCTCTCCAACCAAGACACGGTTGAATCTCGACGGGGCTCCGTCGCCAAACCCTGCCCCCAAGGCGCTCTCTGGCAGGAATTGCCTCTTAGGCGCGTTGGGGGACAGTGTCTTCACCTGTGTGAGTAGTATATCCGATCACGAGGCTGCGATTGGCACGGATTCAGGCGCCGTTTGCTTCCTTGATGACCGCGAGGGGGCCCAGAGAATGACAACAGTCAAACACGCCGGCTTCAGTATCACATCTCTGGCCGTGGACTTCGACCAGGAGTCTATCTGGCTGGGTGGACGGGGGAGGCGAATGCAGCGAGTGACCTTCGAAACTCTACGATCGTCTGGCTCGTCTACGCCAAGGTCCCCCATCCGCCTGGACAAGACCCTGCTGGATAACAAAAGCAAGGCACCAGCTATCACATGCATGGGCTCTCTTAACTCCCACCTGGTCACGGTTGAGGCCACTCGTGAAATACATGTCTATCCAGTTCATAACCTCCTTGAGGACAGTGAACAGGAAGAGGGAGAGTCCTCGATGCCTGCGCATCGAGATCCCATTCTCGGTATATGCCATATGAAGTCCCCCAATGACTATTCAGCGGACTTTTTTACGTGGTCACGCAATGGCTCCGTCAATTTCTGGGACGTCAACGGAAAGTGTCGAGGGTCCCGGGTCATCGATCTAGACCAATTTTCCGGAAACGAAGACAACGCAGCGAATGAACTGAAGATTCTGCGCACTGCAAACGCAGAGTGGTTCATATCAGGTGACAAATTTGGTGTGCTGAGGTATGTTGATACTTGCTAGAGATTCCAAAAACCCCCGCTGACTCGGAACTAACAGACTGGTCACGAATTCTGATTGGAGTTGTATCAAAAAGGTCCGTGGCCATGGTGGGGAGATCACAGATGTTGCCATTCAGGCTACGGATGACTCCTGGCTAGTCGCCAGCTGTGGCCGCGATCGAATGGTGCAGCTATTTGAGAAACGCGAGAATGAACTTCAGTTGATCCAAACCATGGACGATCATGTCGGGGCCGTCGGGCAGCTAATGTTCATCAACGACGGTGAAAAGCTGCTTTCGTGCTCCGCAGACCGTACCGTCATCATAAGAGATCGTGCCACACGAGAGGTGGATGATGGGCCATGTATTGCCTACCTCATCTCCCGAGTTATCACCCAAAAGGCCTCTCCATTGTCGATGACACTTTGCCCGGACGATTCGAACATTTTATACCTCTCCACTATGGATCGATGTGTTTCAAAATACGACATCCCCTCCGGAAGGCATCTTCATGGTTTCAAGGCGTCTGACTCGGAGACCACTGATGCTGTTATTTTAAGCTCCTTGACAGTTGCGCCCGAGATCCCTGGCCAAAGCCCTAAAGTTCTCATCGGTGTCTCAAGCACCGATAAATCTATCCGTGTATACGACCTGGAACGTGACCAGCTTCTGACTGGTGAATTTGGACACACCGAAGGTGTAACCGATGCCTTGTTGATCGAGGGACGTGATGGCTCTGAGGAGTCTCAGATTCAACGCACTTTGATCAGTACTGGCATGGACGGGATATTGATGATCTGGAATCTGTCCGTTCAACAACAGATATCGCCAGACCTTCTGCAGAACACACGCGACGATGATGAGGGACCTACCAAGGAGATGACAGTCGCAAGGCCTCCTCTCAGAAAAGTGCTCTCGCGCAGTGAATTGGCTGGCTTCCAGCGTCCAGATAGCCCCAACCCGACAACCCCAACGCCTACACGTGAACATTCCCCAACCCTGCTTCGTAAAATGTCGAGATTATCCCTCGCCCCGTCCTCTTTGAAAAACCACGCTCTTTCGGAATCGACATCTACCCCCAATCGTCTGTCTCCAACACCCAACACACACCGAGACCTAAACCGCCGGTCTCCGTCCCCCGTTAGCCCTAAATCACGACCCCCTGCTCGGAAACCCCACAGCGCAAGAACCAACCGTCGCACATCCATAGACTTCCGCAACCGGGGCAAAACAACCCCTCGCACCGAGTTTGGAAGCATCGATATGTCCACCGAACAATTGTGCCGCACTCTCCGCGCCTACCGCAAAAAGGTCAACGGCTCATCACAGCGCATCCAATCTTCCAAGGAACTCGAGCGTGAATTGAGCCTTACACTCCGTGTCATCGGCGGACGTGATCAAAGCACCGACGAAAGCGGCGACAGCGGCGAGACCGAAACTGACAGCAGTGGCAAGGATATTGACGCTGAGCGAGAGCCGAGTTGCTCGCCTATTCCGCGCCACATGCCTTCCACCCCATCGTTGCGGCCCCAAAGCGTGCGACAAGTCTCGCGCAGTCGATCTTTTGATGCTTCGGGCGAGTGAGGAGTATAGCTCCTACTCCCTCAGAAAGGGACTTTGAATTTCCGGTGTCTATCTCGGTATGCTTTAACCATGCATTAGCGATGCACATTTATCATCTTCACTTTGTCGTTGTTTTTTTTAGGTTCAAGGGTTTTTTTGGCTTCGCATTCTCTTGATTTTTCTGGTTTTATCTCGCTCGTTGCATACTGGCATCGTTGCATATTGGCATCGTTGCATATTGGCATCTTCGCATCTTCGCACATCTGAAGCTTTGCATTATCTCCTTTCTGTTTATTGGTGGACTGGGCGATCTTCTTTCATTTTAATTATCCCCATAGTCAGGGGATAACTTCACTTCTGATGATACCCATATTTACCATTTTGCGAGAAGTCACAGGCTGTCTCGCCTCAATTCAAGATTTTGGTTCGGTTCTATATTCCAAGGGTTCTCCTTCATTCCCCCCAATTCCGTACAAATTCACCGTTGCTTCTCAGCATCGATATGGATCATCAGGTGTGTGGTGTTATCTTCATGCAAACTGGTGCTCTAGTAGCTTCAAGGTTTACAGTCTGCTCCTTCAACTTCCGAGGCTGGTAATTGTATATGCATTGTTTCCACGAAATTCAATTCTAGAGACCGCTTGTGATACGACAGTCGAGACAGGAAATACGACTATTCCGCTTTTAAGGAATTGATGAAGAGAAGAGAGACCAAGGCTGCTTCCCATGTCCACGGCCCCGGGGGTAGGTAGAACTATAGAAGGCACGTGAACACCCGGTTCTCCCACCTTCAACCACGAAGATTGCCTTGAGCTTTACTTTCGTAAAGCAACTCTTTGTCTTTTCTGGGTTTGCACATACCATATGACATACTAAGTCACTGCATTTATGTCGGGCGTCCATTCTACACAGCTACAGAGCCACATCATGACTAAGATGTCTTATCTCCGGTGCCTTTCCGATTAACCTCAGATTCCTCGATCCGCGACAGCTGTCTGTGATGGGTCAATCCCCCCACACAACCCAACAATGAGCCCCGAACCTGCGCCCACAGAAACAAAGGCGCAAGAACCAGAGCCTCAGACCGACGAATACAACACCTCAAGTCGAAAAGGCAAATTTCGCTTCAAGAGCTCATCCCGGCACTCCAAAGAAAGCTCAAGACATGACCACAGTCGTCAACACCGCAAGCGCAGCCACCGCTCACGCACAGAGGACAAATCCTCCAAGCGAAGACACAGAGACCCATCACGTTCCAAACCGGCAGAGCCAACCCAGCTCCCCACCTCAGATGCATTCCGGGAATCGCTCTTCGACGCACTGGGGGACGACGAAGGCGCCGCGTATTGGGAATCAGTGTATGGTCAACCTATCCACAACTATAGTGTTCCGCACGTACAGGGGCCGGAGGGGGAGCTGGAGCAGATGACGGAAGAAGAGTACGTTGCGTACGTGCGGACGCGGATGTGGGAGCGCACGCGTGAAGGACAGCTTGAGGAGCAGGAGAGGCTACGGGCGGAGAGGATGAGGAAGAAGATGAGTGAGGAGAAGGGGAGGGCGGCGGATGAGGAGAGGAGGGCGTTTGAGAGGGCGATGGATGAGAGTTTGAGGCGTGGGGCGGAGAGGAAGAAGTTCAAGGCTTGGGGTGGGGTTTGGAAGGAGTATTTGGAGAGATGGGGGGAGATGGAGGCTGAGAGGGTCAAGGAGGATCCTTCTCGGGCTTTGAGGAATATGATATTTTGGCCTGTCAGGTCGGGGAAGAGAGGTGATGTTGAAGCTGCTGCTGTTGAGGAATTCATGAAACATGCGCCGGAGGGGGATTTGGTCAATACCCTCAAGACGGAGCGAATCCGTTGGCATCCCGACAAGATTCAGCATCGGTACGGCGCGCTTGGCATTGATGATGTTGTCATGCGCAGCGTCACAGAGGTCTTCCAGATTGTTGATCGCATGTGGAGCGAGAAGAGAGAACGGCAGAGTTGATGTCTTGCCTTTACGATCTGCCAATGTTTTCCTTTGTCCTTTTATTGAGATACCCCCGGCGTTACAATGCTTCAGAGCCCACCTAGTTTTCGCACTTGAATGATCATGATTCGAATTCATTTCAGAGAAAAGTAACAAAAGCTGCGGAAATCGTAGATCAGAAAGAAAAGCTTCACAGGGGCTATGTATGCAAGATCCGTTCAAGAGGAGAAGCTGGAAAGTCCAGAGCCAAGATGAATCACACAGGATTTCAATACTCGCTCCTTGTCAAATGTTCATAGAACGTAAATTTAGAAACGCGAGGACCGGGCTTTGGTCCGGTAGATGGTGTACCCAAAGTATGCACCGACAATGGCGCCGAAGAACATGATGACCTTGAAGAAAGTCCAAGTCCAGCTGCTACCTTCTTCCTTGGGAGCCTTGGGGGAGACAGGACGGCCCTTGGACCGGCCGTCAGAGGAGCCTTTTCCGCCGTTGCTGTTGCGGTTCAGGGAGTAGAGGTTCTCGGCCTTGAGGGAGATAATGTCGTGGTTGTCACTCAGCTCACCGGTCTCGGCAGAGAGACCGAGGTAGGCCACTGAGGGAATGGCAATGTTGGATTCATCAGCGTTGAGGGTGAAACATTCGGTCCATGTGTCTTCGGTCTTGTACTGAAGCTCTAGAGACAAAGACTTATCCTGGAAGTAAGTAAGACGGGCTTTGGTAGGAATTGGGGCGCTACGGAGACCACGAGCCTGTGGACAAGGTTAGCGATGTTTGCAAAGCGACAGCAGATCAACGAACAGAGCAACCAGCCAACTCGTTGGCCTTGCCATCGTGCGCCTGGTCATATGTGGTCTGGCCGTCACCCATCATGGCCATGACGTAAGGGAACGACACGCCAGGACGGTTGTTTTTATAGGTGTCGAAGAAGATACCGAGACCCTCGAATCTATCTGTCGATCCAAAGACGGGGCCTTGGGTCGCGCGTTCCTTGGTGAGCCAGAGCGCAAAGCCATCGCCATGCAAGTTCCCGGCGCCGTGGATCTCGAACTCGAGCTCGATCTGTGAGAGTGCGTGAGTCTTTGAAAACGCGATAATTCCCCATATTCCAAATTTACCTGCCAATTGGTCGCGGTGAGCGGCACACGAGAGGAAATCCATCCTTGTTGCGAAGGTCGGTCAGCCGTGAGGCGAATATATCTGAGCAAAGAATTGTGAGAATCGAGTCGAATTCCCCGAGTCCACGGTTTGTATCCTTACTTGTCGGCGCGAACTACTGTATCTCCTCCGAAGTCGAACCAGCGGCTTTGGAAATCCGAATCGAGGTATGGCTGCCAATAGCGGTCAGTATTATTGCCTTTTCACTAAGCGAAACAGGTCGCGCAATCGCGTCCACCGGCGTAGCGCATCAGAATTTCCGATCAGGGTGGAATATGATCATACCGGAGAGAGGCTGTGGGTGCGGAGCTAGCAGGCGGAGTCAGTACCTCGGTCTCAAGCAGGGAGTTGGCCTCGACGTACAGGGATGCTCTTGATGTTCGCGTCATCGTAGGCAGATACAGGCACAGAAACCAGGCCAGCGAGGCAGAGGAGCGAGGAAATTGAGGGGAAACGCATTGTATTAGAGCCCAATGGAGGGGAGGCTCAGGGTGATTGAATGATTGACCGGAGGTGGGAAGTGGGGGGGGGAACGGTGTCGCCAGGACCCGAAATCCCAAGCAGTAGAAAGGGAAGAGTAAAAAGGTCCAAAAGTGGAACACAAGGAGTGAATGAGACGAGGTTCTCGAAGCGTAGGGACAAGGAGGTGAAGTATACAGCTTGTTATGCTAAGGTGTCCACATCGGCTGTGGCGCAGGACACCAGCCACAACCCTCAGATCCTGACGAACTCCGACTTGTGATTGCACTCTCACCATCTACTCAACGGTCTCACAACCTCACCATCTCAAAATGTCGTCTCTTTTCGGTTCCTCTCCCGCTGCTCCTCAGACCTCTGAGGAGATCAAGGCTGCTGTCATGCGCCAGCTCCAGCAGGAAGCTGCCATGGCGAATGCCCGTTCCCTGATCGGAGTACGTCACCACCCCTGTCACAACACAGCTTCAACAAGCTAACCCGCACCCAGAAAATCAACAAGCACTGCTTCCAGGCTTGCGTCCCTACCCCTGGCTCTTCCCTTTCGTCCAAGGAGAACACCTGCCTGTCCAGCTGCATGGAGAAGTACATCGCCATGTGGAACGTCACCAGCAAGACCTACATCGCCCGTGTTGGCGCCGAGACCAAGCGCATGGGTGGACAGGACGCCGCCGCCATTGCCTCCATGGCTGCCGGTCAACCCGAGGGTGGCAGCGGTATCCTCGGTTAAATTCGTCTCGACGAAGGAATCATCAACGAAAGAAACCAAAAGACACATATCTGTGAATGAACTACTGTACGATAGAAGCGGCTTAGTAGCCCGTGTATAATATGGGCGAGTCTTGAAAGACCCAGTGGTTGGAGAGTATGGGAATAGAGGATTCGCGACGAATCCATTTGTACATCGAGCGAATACGTGAAAGGCGAGAAATTGGAATAAATCGATTGCAATTGCTTCAAAAAAGAAGGGACCAAAATAGTAGTCAGGAAGATTTGTGCAGATAAATAGTATGGGTTTCCGTTTAAATGGCTCCTGGTTTTTCACGACTCCTGCCGTGATCAGCTCCGGCCCTCCCCCGGAGCGTGGGCTCTTCGTCGCGTCATAAATCATACAAGCACCTAGAAGTCGGGGAAGAGGTGGCCATATCTAAGACGAGTTAGTCATGCGGTCCGATGTACATCATGCAGCAACGGGAATACTCACGCATCCTCCCCTTCCTGGCCATAGTGCTCCGTCTCCTCCGGGTACTTGTCGTATTGGCTCGCGTCACCTTGCCCGCCTCGAATTGGCGGGATGTATGGTGCATCGATATCTTTGCGAGCCAATCGGTCCCAAGTGACCTCGGCAAACCAGGGATGGTTCTTGACATCACCCGGGCCGCCGTGCAGGTTACCAAGGCGCTTGGTAAGATCGGACGTGATCAACTGAGAAAGCAAATCTACTGCGTCGGCGTGCAAGTATGGAGGATACTTGACCTTGCCCCGCAGGATATTCTCATAGATCTTGACAGGCGAACCGCTATCCCAAAAGGGGGTGAATCCACACAGCATCTCGAAGATTAAGATGCCCAATGACCACCTGCGGATGTCAGCCAGGTCGTTTGGAAGACTCGGAGTCCCACCTACCAATCAACTGATTTATTGTATCCTTTAGAGGAGACAACCTCCGGGGCCAGATAGTCTGGAGTACCGCAGAGGGTCCATGTAATATCAGGGACGTCTTTAGCGAAACCAAAATCGGTAATCTTAAGATGACCATGGCGATCTAACAACAAATTTTCAGGCTTGAGATCACGATAAATGATCTGGTGGGAGTGCAAATATTCTAACGCCAGAGTGACCTCAGCGGCATAGAACTTGGCCACCGGGTTGGGGAATCGCTACATAGAGAAAAACAGAACGCAATCAGCTCTTGATCCGGTTGTTTCGGATCGGTAGACGGGACGACTCACTTGTGATTTGCGCAGGAGACTGAACAACTCACCACCCTCGACAAAGTCCATGACCATGTAGAGGTTTCGGGAATCCTGCCAAGTTCCCCACAAGGTGACCAGGAATGGATGGCGAACGCGATTCAGCATGCGGCGTTCGTCGTTGGTGTGTTCAATCTGCTTCATCTTGACAACCTGGGCCTTCTTCAAGACCTTCATCGCATAGAAGCGATGATTGTGTTTCGACTGCACCAGGTGGACACGACCGAAGCTCCCCGTGCCCAGCGTGCGCTGGAGCTGGAAGTCCTCCTGCGAGTACTTGCCCTTTGTGACGCGCTCCTGCTTCTGGGGTTCGGGGGCCTGGGAGGGCTGCGCATGGCCCTCCTGGTTTATGATGTTGTCGATGCTAGCGGCATTGTTCGGCGTCCCCGTGTGCGAGGGTGAAGCGTGCGATTGTGTTTGCATGGATGCGGAATCCTCCCCGAGATCTTGCGAATCCTTCGTTCGCCTCTTCTTCAGAAGTCCTCCTAAGCTCGGCATGGAGAGATGAAACAGGGGCCATTGAGGGTGAAAGGGAAGGAAAGGACCGGATTAAGTGGGGAGGGGCAACCAGAATGACGCATTGATCTTTGGATCGAATTCCCTCGACTCCTCTCTTTACGATCCGACTCTCGCTGCTACTTTTACTGTTTTCTTCTTTTTCCACTCTCATCCGATCCCTGGCTTTTGGTTTTGTCTATACACGAAGACACGAAGACCCGATGGGATCTCAGCGCCACCTGTATCAAACGGCTTTACCGTCCCAGGAGGACTTTGCTCCGTAATCAAGACACATGGTTCGGAATTTCAAAGGACCTGGAGAACTCGTCCGATCATGACTCTCATGACTTCACCAATGAGCGGAGGAATCGGGTGATGACGTTGCTGCGTATGTTTTACCCGGACACGTTGCATCCTTTCGTCCTTATACTCCTATGTACTAGTATGGACGGATATTCGAGGACCATGATCTCTCGAGTCAGGTCTTACTCACAATTGGCTTTGACAATCGAGGTAGTATCTCTGTTTGCATACTTGGACTAGATCGCCTCGCCTCGATCACCCAGAAACACTTTGAGTAGATACCTAGAGCCATATCCATGATAGAGCAATGATACAAAGAAATATACCAATGTCCTCCGTGCGGACCTCATACCCACTAGTAGCCCTGAAGAGTCCAGATCTCAATCCAAGAGCTATGCAACTCCCCGGAGAGCTCTGCTCCCAAGGTTTGGAACCCCGGGGCCTTGGAACCGTGTTATGTAAGCTGATGCCTGAATCCAGATGTCGGCCTGAATCAACCGCGCTGGTGAACGTCCTTGCCTACCCATTCATCTTCACCATGGCGCTTGTAGCCTATTCAGACTCCGAGGGGTCAGATGCCGAGCCAGAGGCCAATGTGCCCTCGGTGGACCAGAAGAAGCCCGATTCCAAGAAATTCCAGGCCGATCATACCACGGGCAAGATTCGCGTCGCACTCCCAGAGATCAAACCAGAGCCCTCAGCAAACGACACTGCGGATGGCCCACGCAAGAAGCCCCGTGTAGGCGGAGGTCTCTCCGGCTTTAACGCCTTCCTTCCAGCTCCGAAACGAACCGCCGAGAAGAAAGCGCCTGTGGCGACAGCGCGCAAAGCGTTCGGTCTGAAAACCGGGGCCGGCCCTGGATTCGATCGTGATGCGGATGCAGAGATGAAAAATGACTTGATGTTTGACAACTTGGCCGACAAGGCAGATGAGAAGGAGACTAGCGCTACACCCAACGTCACAGCAGATGCGCCGACGACCATGAAGAAACAGGGGGACGTCAAGTTGCAGGGAAACCCAATGATGTTCCGACCCCTCTCCGTGGGACGGCCGCAGAAAAAAAGGAAGATTACCAAGATGGCAGAGCAACCCACGCCAGGGCCGGCTGCACCGAAAGCCGAACCTCTGCCTCAACGTGTTACACAAGCCCCTGCTCCTGCACCGCCAGCAAAACCAAAAGTCAGCCTATTCTCGTTATCCTCGGAGGAGTCTACACGACCGGAGATTGCACCGGGTCCTTCGACGACATATCAGCCACTGCTATACAACGCGGAAGGCGAGGGCGAAAGCGAAGCAGCGGTGGACCCAGCGCTGGCCGAATCTGCATACATCGCACCCACTCCTGCAACAGCAACCGTTTCCACAAATCCAGGATCATCATTGGATTCGATCGCCAACGACCTTAATCTGTCCAAATCCGAACGACGCCAATTGTTTGGCCGAAACGCCATGTCCTCACAGTCTCATGTCCGCACCTTCAACACCGATGAAGAGTATGCCTCGAATCAGAATCTTGCCCAGGGAGAGCTGGCTGCTGCTGTGCACAACCCTGTGCGCTCTATCGCGCCAGGCAAGCACACGCTTCAACAGCTGGTCAACGCGGCAAGTTCACAGAAGGAGGCACTGGAAGAGAGCTTTGCATCCGGAAAGAGAAACAAAAAAGAAGCTGGATCGAAGTATGGATGGTAATTGGACAGAGATTTTGGGAAAGGGGGTTACCAGCGCATTTGCATTGAGATACCATTGCTATTACTCTTGCTTTAGCAGAGAAAAACCATGTTTTTGTACGGACATACAAGTCAGCTATAGAGATCAGATTCAGTAAAAGTGTTCATATTTATGAAGCTGGACTTTGACCATCCTCCTATAACCTTAGAATCTAATTTGTCCAACACTCTTCCGTCGTAGTCGAGTCTTGATGGATTTGCAAGGCTGACTTAAAGCCTCTGAAGGACCTATCAATTGTGTCTTTTTGCTGGATTTCAGAAGGACCAAGAAAATGTATAGTAGAACATGTACATTCGCTCATGTATCACATATCTAGGTAGAAATCTATCATACAGAAAATCATACAGAAAACCCATACACCGTAAAATGTATCAATGCCAAAATCAAATCCAACGCCATTTTTTAATGTTTGCATCAAGACGATACATCCACAACTTCGGCAAACCACTGCTTCAGAGCGGTAGCCAACACAGAAGGCAGCTCCCTGACATCACGAACGACGAGATAGTAAGGGAAGGGGAAGTCCTCGAGATAGCGCTTCATCTTGAGCTTCATCTCACCACCCGAATCGGGATCGGCCTCGAAGTTGGCCTGGGAGAGGTCAAGGATAGAGCTACCCTTGACAGCATCGACGATGATGAAAACAACCATGATACGTTCCTCAAGTGCAGTCCTGACAAGTCGGCGAATAGTGTCATGATCCTCACAGATACCATCGGAGATGATCAACTGGAGTTGCCAGAGATCTGCAGAGCCAGAACCAGGGGAACGCTTCCAACGAGCCTCACGGAAGAGGGCAATCGAGTCGGCAATCAGCTTGCGCACATTTGTGCCGGTTTGCTGGTAGCTGAAATGCTGGAAGACCTGGGAGCCAGCCTCGGAGGAGAATGGCTTCCCGAACTCATGAGCGACACGAACATGATCTTCGTTACCGAAGCCGAGAACACAAAGGTCACCGGCTTCTAACATGCTCAGACTCTTTGCCACTAGGGCAAGGGTCTCGAAGGCGAGCTGCCCACTTCCACTTTCCAGCATGGATTTACTGTCATCGACAGCCAGCATGATCTGGTAGTTGCGCTTGGAGGGAATGGAGCGGCGCATCCAGATCTTGTCACGCTTGTACTGTGATGCAATGTAGGGAATGATGCGCTTAATGTTGAGGCGCTTTCCAGTACGGAAGTCACCACGCAGCTTGGTTGCCATCGTAGGCGCGAGAATCAAGCGAAGCTGTTCCGTAAGCGACAGGGAGAGGTCGTTGGTGGCGGACTCGTAGTGGGACCAGAGGCGACGAGCTTCATCCTGGGGTGTCAATGGCGGAAGCGAAGAGGAGAGGTGGATTGCTGCGAGTTGGGTGTCGACTTCGTCGAGCTCCTCGTTCAAAGCCTCGGTGCCCTGCGCATCATCTGCGCGCTCGTGGGATGCTTGTCCTCCGGGAATGAAGGCACCGGCGGACTCGCCATCGGCAGGGGCGGTCTCGCGGTCGATTTGCATCTCATCCTCAAGCTGGTTGCTGACGTCCTCTTGCTCCTCTGTGACATCGGGAAGGACGTCGTTCTCGCCCGGCTTGATGTCGGACTCGACACCCTTGTTTTGATCGAGAGCTTGTGTTTGATCCTCGTTTGCTTGACCGAGGGCTTGGGTGTCGGCAGCATCATCGTCGTCCTTGAGATGCTCGAAGTCTGCATCGGCCATATCGGTGTCTTCGGGCATGGCCTGAGTATCCTCCTCTTCCTGAGATGGGTTGAGGATCTCCTGTTGGCGACGGTGCCATTGCTCGAGGATATCACCAAGCTTCTTGAACGCCTGCATCTGAGGTTCATTGGGCTTGTTTTCTTCGCCGCCACCAGCGTCTCGGCTAGGCTTGCTCTCTTCGCTATCCTTAGCAGCGCCGGTTTTATCATCAACGTTGGCACTGGGATCAGTGGAGCCACTCTCCTGTTGGGCATCACCGGATGCGCCCTTCTCTTCATTTTGATCTTGCTCCGCACCAAGCCCACCGGTGACAGCCTCGCTAGGGGCAACGTTGTCACCCTCGGCTTCGTTCTCATCCCGCTGCGCGAGGAAGTCCTCGGGCTCGGGCTCTTCAGGGTCCTCGCCACCGGCTTCTTCTTCTTCTCCTTCTTGGTCATCTCCGGCTTCTCCTTCATTGGTTTCTTCGGCATCATAGGCCATTTCTTCATCTTCGTTGCCTGGAGCTTGATCTTCTGGGGCTCCTTCGGCGTCTTCTCCGGCGTTCTCATCGCCGTCTTCAACCTTGCCATCTTCCTCGGGCGCGGGGCCGAAATCGTCGTCGAGTTCATCCATTCCATCGTCCTCTTCATCGCCATTGTCGCTCTTGCCGTTGTCATCATCAAGCTGCATCTCCTCGGGGAGCTCAAGAGTTTCTTCTTCCTTGGCCTGAGGGTCGGTAACATCCATGTCCTCACGACCAACAGCCTCGCCCTCATCTTCAGGGGCTTCTTCGTCTTCTGTTTCTTCCTCCTCTTCCTCGCCTTCCTTGGTCTTTTCCTCGCCTTGTTCACCATCCTTGTCCTTCTTTTCTTCTTGTGCAGCAGCTTGCTGTTCGGCCTCTGACTGGCCCTTTCCTTCCTCATTCTCCGTATCCTTCTGCTGCTCGTCATTGCCACCGTCCCAGAGCTTCTCATCAACAGCACCCGGGTCAAGGTCATCGACGCTACCCGTCTCTTCGTCGATATCATCATCGCCTTCATCACCACTTTCGTCCTTCTCTTCCTCATCGCCTTCTTTGCGTTCCTCGGCGTCACCTTCCAGTTCTTCTTGATCCATGTTGACGGCATCCTTTGAGTCGTCCATCTCATCATCGTCACCATCCTCTTTCTTGTTTTCCTGCTGCGCGAGCTCGGAGAGATCTTCGTCATCGCCAACGTCCTTGCTGATATCCTCGGCGCCATCACCATCACCCAGGCCAGTTCCGCTTTCCATTTGGCCCTCCTTGCCTTGGTCTTGCGAGGCCTCGGCAGGGCTGCAGAAGCCTTCGGAGGCGACGGTGTTGAAAGTCTTTGTCAGGATGTAAGACGTCTTACAGATCTCGCGATGAACCGCAATGAAGCGATCCGCTAGGTCTCTGCAGATCTGATAGTACTTGTTGGCGATAGGCAAGATACTGGTGATCAGGGCGGCCGCAAGGGAAAGGCCGCTAGTAGAGTGGTCTTGCAAGCGGTGCAGCTGATCAAGGACAGCTTCTAGAGTGGCGGTGATCTCCGGGAGATGAACAGCCTTCAGTCCTCGGGAGAAGAACTCGTCACTCCTTGACAGCAGCCCGTCGAATGTGATAGCAGATGGTACATCCTTGAGCTTTTGCAGACCGATGAGCATCTTGTCGATGGCGGTCATGAGACTGCTATCAAAGGCTTGGACAGACAGGCTGTGTTCATTAACCTCTGGATGAGCAGCCATGTTTGGCTTGATCCAAGGCTTGATCTGATCTAACGCGAAAGAGAGATCAGGACGAGTCACGCTCCACTTCTCCACTTCAGCAGCCAACTCGCTGAGAGATGTCTGAGTTTGCTGTGCAACATCAAGGTTTGCCTTGGACGCGATTCTGGTTGGAAGTGAGGGGAGAGATTCATATGACTTGCGCAAGTCATCGAAGATGGCCTTCTTGGCGCGCAGTTCTTCAATGACCGCAGATGCATCAATTCCAGAGAATCTGGAATGGACCCCGATAATCATTGAAGCCAGTCCCAAGATAGGGCCTAGCCAGGCCACAACCCTGGCCAGATCGGCACGTTCTTCGGGCGCCAAAGCATGATCCTGGGTCAATGAAGTCGAAGTCGCCGTCCATAGATTCTGCACCTTATCAAGCGTAGACTTCAAGTTACCCAAACCAGTGAGAGCAGGGGCAATGATACCTCTCTGGCGACGAATCGTGAAAAGAAGGTGTTCGATGGAGCCCATACTTCTGAAGACTTCAACATTAGTGAGCTCCTCGGAGTAGTTGCGCGCGGCCAGACGGGTCTTGGGAAGAAGGTCCAAGAGTCGGTGGAAGTACCAATCGGCATTCTGGACCGCAGTTGAGGTTGCAGCGCCAGCTTCGAAGGCAGCGCTGGTCGCGAGAACTTGCGGGACAGATGCTTGGGTTTCAATGACACTTGATCCGGCATTACGCTTCACACCCATCTCGTAGAGTTGCTTCAATGTTTCAGCGTAGAGACGACGCTTCTGGGACTTGAGGTGCTGAACGTCATCCTTGTTGTCCTCGTTCAAGACCTTAGGGGTCTGGGACTTGTATTCCTTCATGCTTTCAATGACAGACACGATGAAGCTGTCAAGATCCTTGGCAATATCAAACTCAGCCGGGATTGCCGAATAAAGGTTCATCATGTTGCTGGCTGTGCCATCCGGCTTCTGGAATCTGAGGGCTCTGGTAGACCACACGTTCTTGTCTTTTTGACAGAGAGCCATTGCCTCGGGGAAGACTGCGGTAGGTCGAACAGGCTCTGCCTGGGAAATAGAAGTAATTTCTTCGGTGATCTCCGAGAGGCCGGATTCAAGGACTGACTGGGCGGACTGGCCAAGAGCCGCGCGGTACTTGCGGACCACCTTGAACAACTTGAGGTGGGAGTTTTTGGCACTTTGCTTCAAGGCTGCAATGTTTACATCTTTCCAACTGGCCAGTTGAATCTGCTCCTTGATATCCTTTTCAAGAGTAGAACGTCTCTCCTTGAGAATCTTGTCAACGCCAGCTTGGAAGGGTGCGTAGTGGTGAAGGAAGTTGTCAAGCGCAGAGACAAGCTGCTTGAGACAGGGATAATCCGTAACAAAGACTTCAAGCAACGCTTTGAAGTTGGATACAAGCTGTAGACGGCGAGCAAATTGACCCATGGTGGTGGACTTGAAGAATTGTTCCAAGGTATTGACCAGGCTCTCGGTGTGTTCACTCATGTCCTGCTCGCCTGACTCTGCCATCATGATGGGTGCTCCGATGAGTGCCTCGTAAGCAATGAACCACCAAGCACTGACGTCGTCTTCACATTTCTCCTTTTCGATGTCCAACAGCTTGGCCCAAGTTGAAAGTTCAAGACGACGCCAGCTGATAAGAGTGGTCGTGATCTCATCAAAGATGGTGACAGCTGAGAATTCCCTGCTGGCCACGGTTTGCCACTCATGCACGTGGGAATGAAGTTTTTCAACCTTGGTCATGAACTTGGCGACAGGCTCAGTGTGCTTGAACTGGAGTATTTCCATGCAGCATGAGAGGACATCAGCCAACACAGCGTGTTCGGGCCATGCGGTCTGAATTTGAGCGAAGCGAGCCTGAGTCGAAAGTGTAAGAGAAACGAGTTTCCTAGCTTCGCCAAGGTTGGAATCGGTATAGAAGTTATAGTTCTTCTGATGATCATCGGTCCCCTCATTTATGGCGTCGTCCAGAAGCAATAGGACCGCGGGAAGATGAGTTTGAGGGGTCACTGGCGAGAATGAAGTCTCACTATCCGACCAAATGGAACCCAAAAGTTTTCCAGATTCTTTGACAAGTGTAGCCAGTGCAGTACCGCTGCGTTCGTTTGAAACGATCTTGGCATGGAGCGCAGCGAGACGAAGAGCAATAGCCTTGGGGTCAATGCGCTCAACAGTTTCGGCGTCTGGAAGAGACTCTTCTTCAAACGTGGGGAAGAGTGCATGGAGCTCAGCTTCATTGACTTCCTCCTCCTCCTCCCAAGATCCCTTGAAGTGATACAGCTCGCCCTTTTCGGCCTCCTCTTCTTGGTCTTCCTTGAGCTTCGTTTTCCACATGTGATGGAATTCTGCGAAAATGCGTTGCACAATGCCTCGTCCTGCGGTTGTCTCCAGGATTGAGGAATCTGCGTCGTGTGCAGCCCAAAGAGCAGATAGCTCTTGAAGTCGCATTTCGGTCGCGTTCTTGAGTGAGCCAGACTGCTTCACATGATCCGGAGCAAGGACGGGGTGAATTTCACCTCCCAAGAAAGGCGTTCGCTGGCTCAGGGACTGGATATCAGGTACATCAGAGGACTGTTCAGCCTGGCTAGAGGCCATGAAAACACCGAGGTCCAGCAATTGCAGGAAGCGAACCACTGGGACTGCAATGTCATCATAGGATCTGTAGTGAGTGCTGAGACGACTGCTCAACTGCTTGATGTTGTTACGGAGCAATTGAATCATATCCCGAGATTCGACCGATTGCTCAGAGCGAATCATTTGTTCGGGGTCTCTCTTCAGAACAGAGTTGATCAAATTAACGAACTCGCCCTGGAGGAGGCTCAATTGAGAGTTCTGGGGGCGATTGACCAAAGAAGGAGGCGGGGCAGAGCCAAGGTCAAGGATCTCCTCACGCAGAAGCTCAGAGCGGAGGTTGGAAACCTGGCTCGTGAAGGTCTTCTCAAACGCAAGGATGGCCGCAGATCTGGCAGTGAACTCTTCGAGTCGTTGAGCATGGCGCTTTCGTTGAACAACAAGGCCGAGCGAAGGGTCAAACGTCTTGTCGGGTACAAACAATCGCAGAAGAATTACTGCCAACTGAACTGTTGCAAGCCCAGTGTTACAGATACCTTGTTGCTGGGTTGATTGTTTTGATGCCAACGAAGCAACGAGATTTGGCAGGGCTTGCTCGACGATAGGCTTCAAGTAATGGTTACTTGGCAGAGTTTGATCCAGCTTGGCCACAATTGGTGTCTGATCATCGGGCAGATTGCCGTTCTGAATCGCTTGAAGAACGGAAATGAGACTTTCCGCGGAGCCAGGAGCAAAGAAGTCCCCGTGACATCCCGCCAACTCAGCTGTGAGTTGCGCAATAGTGCGTCTGAGGTCCATAGACTGATCTGTCGCAATTTGCTTGCTGCTGAGGGTGAGAGCCTTGGACAGGGCTTTCTTCTCTTCCTCGAGCATGTCTAATTGACCCAATTTGGCATTGCCAATGACCTTCAACTTATCCAGAAGCGACAGCGATACAACGCCACCAAGAGCAAGTGCAGATTCGGATTGACTGTAGGAACCCGAAAATAGCGCGAGTCTGTTAAGTGCGTTGGGGACGTTGCTCTGGAAGTTGGATGCATCCAACGGACGAGCTGCACGACCAGCCAAGAGCGGTACAACTGTTTGAATGACTGTATCTGTAACTGGCTTCTGGAAGAATGAAGAGATGTCATGATATTGACATAGAGCCTCGAAATCATGGGCAAAGTATGGATACTCGACGGACTCGGAGCGTCTGACGGCCTGAGAAAGTTCGGACACGGTCTGCTTGATGCTCTGAACAAGTACATCTCCATCGGCACCATCTAAAAGAATGAACCTTTGGGCGTCGATCAACGAGTCACGAACCTGACTCAATTGAGAAAGCTCCACACGAGTCTGCAAGGCCAAAGTGGTAAATTCGAAGACAGTAGACTCGAGTTCAGTCAGAGAGTCCAGCTTCACTTGAGACACCGGGGTAACGTGTCTCCAGGAATCCCAAATCCTTTGCATAGAAAGACCAGTGGTCAAAGCCCAACCCTCTTGGAAACGATCGAGTGCCTGGGATAAGGCGGTTTGCAGCGGCTGGAGGAGAGGAGAAGAGTCGAGGAGCGATCCACAAGTTTTCCTACCCATTTGCAAATATACTTGGAATTCACCTTCATCGACCTGGTTGACTTCGGTGGCCTTGTAAATGTCCCAGCTAAGGCATATTACAGCCCGAAGAGCTGCAATGATAGACGGACCCTGAAGGGCGGTTCGATCCAGAGACTGGATGTAGTCATACAAGGCCTGGCCACAATCGGACAAGAACGAGGCCACCGGTTGCGTTGTATCCTTCATCAACGCAGGAATGCGTTCGGATGCCAAAGACCGTTCTAGGCGCGTCATCTGGCTCGGCTTCAACTCTTTTCCAGACGCATCTGCTTGGATCAAGCCTTGTCTGAGACGATGGATATCGAGTCTCAACTCCTGGAGGTATGCCAGCACGATCAAAGTAGATCTGAAGTCACTGTTTCCTGATATAGAAAGCAATGGCTCGTTGATAAGAGGGTGAAGGGGTTGCAAAGCGCCTTGGATGCCAAGATGCGCACCCCCAAGAACAATTTCTCCGCTGGCAGCCTCAATAGGCTTCCATTGGTTGTTATCATGGAACAAAGATGCGTAGCGTTGCAAAACATTCGATGTTTGTGTGCTATTGGCTTCGGGGTTGATGGCCACACAGTTACTTGGCGACTGTTGCAGATATGACAGATCGGCTGGCGAAAGATGGTCCAAGCACACCTGTAGGGCATCTTCCAAAGCAGAAGGTGACAAGGAGGGGTCCAAGTTCCAGATGTGGCGAAGTCGGTAAAGGAAAGATTCGCAAGTGTAGGATGGACCGATAGTAGGTTTGATGTCAGATAATTCGCTCGGCAAGAAGCAGATCTCAGTGCAGCGATTACGCATAGCACGAGACAACTCGCCGTTGCGAGGGTCCATGGTCAAGAAGAGTCTGAAGTTAGGGTGAGGTGTGATGATTCTAGCAGATCCATCCTCTGTCCGTTGCTCATTGAGGATGAGGGTCCCGTTTGGCTCAGTCAAAGAATTCAATCGGTCCAGCACGGACGGGTTGCACAGATTGGCGTTGTCGAGGATTACCCAGTGTCCATGCTGAACAGCCTGGGTGAGAACACCCTCCGTCCACTCGAATCCAACCTTCATCTTATCAGATTGCTGAATGGCATTCAATAGATCCTGGGCTCTCTCAAGGAAACTCTGATAGGCCGGGTCGACAGAAGATTCACAAAGGCTGGAAAGAGAAGTGATCACATTTTCCATCGAGATATCTGCGGATTGGAAGTGCTCGCAGATACGGAGCGCAGAGACCACAACATCAGAAACATCTCCTGAAGCAAAGCAGTGAATGAGTTGGTTTCGCAAAAATATCTCAATGTCGTGAACAAAGCCTGAAACTTCACGGCGGTGGTCGATTTGTTCAAAGCCACCGATCAGATCCATGGTGTCGGTATCAGCACTTAGGGCCAACTCAACAAGATTGGCGCCATTGACAGCAGCCAGTTTTCTGATGAGAGTGGTCTTTCCGCATCCAGCAGCACCAACAAGAATACTTGGCCAAGAATTGTCGATACACAAAATCAGTGATTCAACAATGTGAAGATCCTTTGGCAAGATTCTCATATTGGGCTCAGCCAGTCGCTGTAGCAGAGGGTCACGGTTCAGAATACCGAGGCCAACCTGCAGATATTCAGGGGTGAGGTTGTGGAAATAACTCTTCAGTCCAGTATCAGAGTCTGTGAAAATGCTGTCATAGATCTGGGAGACCACATTGCGGTCTTCTTCGCTTCGGAATCGCTGGTTGATGACCACATCAAGGAAATGCTTTGTCTGAATCTGCAAGGTTCCTCGGTCGGCAAGTTGAAGCCATCGCTGCACATCTCGGAGATTAACTTCCCATGGGCCGCCAATGGTGCCCAGTCGACGCTCTTTCGTGATAGCCTTGTTCAGAAGCGAGATGAAATCAACCAACCTTTCTGTCTGTACGGAAGGACTGCCAGGGAAGAGTCTAGAGCAGATGGTCTTCAAGTCATCATCGGTGAAGCTATCAGCGTAGACAACCGTAAAACGGTTGACAAAAGATGCAGGAAGACCCTTTCTGCCACCACCTTGGTGATGAGGATTCTGTGCAGCAAAGAGAACGAAATCAGGGTGTCGCTTGAAAGTCTGATCCAACTCGGCAATATAAACCTGCTGACGATGATCCAGACAAGAGTTGAGACCTTCAAGAACAGATTGAGAAGCCAAGTTCATTTCGTCCAGCAAAACCCAATCACCACGCTGCATGGCTCGTAGGAAAGGTGCATCGCGCCAGGTAAATTGGCCAACATCTCCTCCCTCTACTGGTACATCGGAACCAAACAAGTCTGTGAGATCTGTCTGCTCCGAAAGATTGATTCGGGTGAGAGGTTTCCCAAGTGCTCTGGCCAAAGCTGTGACAAGTGTAGTCTTACCCACACCTGGACTTCCTTCCATAAGAATGGGCTTGGAGGATTGCAAGCCACGTGCAATTCGTACAGAGTTGGCAATCGTGGTAGGGGCGTCCATGGTGAATTGTGGGTCAGGTTCCGCGTTGCCAGCAGCGGGCAAGGCAAATGGACCGATACGGAGAACACCTGGCTCCACAGAGACGCTGGTCGATTCTCCATAAATCTTTGAGGCATCAACACCGAACAACTGACTCAACTTTGCAAGGCACGACCTGCGATTGCCTTCCAGGTTGTTGAGGGACATAGCAAGCATTGCGGCCGGGTTAGCACCCAAAGTATCGACAAAGACCATGGCAGCTCCCTGGATAATGGCAAAGTGCGTATCGGGGCTTTGTGACGTGTTGATGAAATCAACCCAGGCAAGAAGGTCACGAATTGAGAGTGATGTGGTAGATGTGTTTTGGAAGGCCGTCTTGAACCACTTGGCGAACTTCAACATGGACTTTGTTACTTTCTCGTCCTTCAAATTCAACCTCATCGAAAGAATGGGCAAGATATCCTCATCTTCGGACAGCTGAGGTGCCCAAATTTCTGTCATACGATTGCGAAGAGCCGCGGACAGCTCACGCTTTCCATAATCACCACCAGGGTTCATAGTAGACAAGAACTGGAATCCACCATCTGCGACAACCATAGAGTCAATAGGACCCTTCTCGGCAAGCAGAATCGACCTAGCAGGTTCCAGGACACTGTTAAGTCTTTCGAGGACCGAATCATCTGCCAGAGAAATTTCATCAAGGAGGAAGAATTGACCGATCTTCATGGCAGTGATGAGACTTCCATCAGACCATTCAAACAGAGCGTTGCACCGAACAGCATTCTTCTCAATATTATGCAGCAGAGTTTGATCCTTGGTCTGACGCTGCTCTGCGGTCAAGGCGGTAAACTCCTGTTTGAGTTCGTCGAAGGAGGCACCGGTGTGTTCGCCATGGAGAAGTATTTGAAGATCGTCCACAAGCTGCTTTTCGATTGCTGCTCGGTTTCGGATGGGCCTTTGCGCACCAATCAAGTCGCCGGTTTCCAAGTTCACATGAGCGTTGACAATGAACAACTCCCTTCGGAAAGCTTCCGCAACGGCCTGGCAAAGCTGGGTTTTTCCGCAACCAGTTTCTCCAACAAGGAGAACCGGCTCGTTGTTCCGAAGAGCCTTGGAAACAAGCACGAACAGTCGTCTCATTGCCTTGGTCCACACAATACCGGTGGGGAGCTCATTCATCTGAGGGGCATTCTTCTCCAGCTCGGCGGAACTATACAAGGTGTCTTCATCCAATTTGACTCTCATAACTTCTTCGATGACAGCTTTGACGGCAGCCTTCTCTTGGGGATTGCGGACACGCTCGCCGAGAAGCATGTAGCCGTTGATTGCTAGTTGCTCTTTGTCGTCTGCGTCACGGAGGGCCCATCGGAAAAGGTCACGGAGGGTCGCAAAACTGTTCTTCTGCTCGAAAAGACGATTTGACTGGCGTAGCAATGACAGTTTTCGGTAAACTGAGACAATTCGGGTGCAGAAGGACGGGGCAATTTGTGAGCGCTCCTTCAAAATGAACTCGAGCTCGCTTTCAGGGATATCATCGAAATGTAGCTCTAGGAAACGGTTCCTGAAAGCACGAGACAAGACCTTTCGACCACCGTAGAGACCAGCAGGATTTTGAGTAGCGAACAACATGAAGTTCGGGTGTGGATGAACAACTTCTTGGGTTTCTGGAATGAATAATTCACGATTATCATCAAGGAGTCGGTTAAGGGCTTCAAGAACATCGGAGGGTGCCAGGTTAAGCTCATCCAGCACAATCCAATAACCGTTTCGAAGCGCCTCCACCAAAACACCCTCTTGATAGCGCAAGCTTCCATCATCCGTAGAGACGTAGGATCCCAGATATTCTTGTAAATCTGTATGTTCGTGGTTGTTGATTCGTACAAATTTGTTTCCTGACACCTTCGCCAGATACTCGATCATACTTGTTTTTCCGGCAGAGGTTGGACCTTGGAGGAGAACAGGGAATCGCCGAGTGGAGCTAGCTCGAACCAAGTTCTTGAGGTTTTTCTCAATGAATGGAGTGATAATATAGTGTGGCTGCTCCTCTGGGGCCAGATGTCCACGGCGCATCCAATAATGCTTGAATTGCACATAGTCATGACCATCTGTAGGAGGCCGGGGAGTTTGGCCGAGAAGAGACCTTGCGTTCTTTGCGTTGCCGAAGATGTGCAGCTCAAGCAGGGGAATCAAGGAGCGCTCTGAGTTCAAGCTGAGCACAGTCAAGAAACTCATGCTGAAACCTTCATAGATTGCTCGGCGCAGTCCGTAAACATGTGCATGATCGATGACATAGATGAGAGCCCGGACGAGGGTACGGATACTGAAATGGGGACGTTGTCCAGCTCCGTCGGTGAGCTTGTTCTCATTGCTGAGCTTCTTGGTGATCATGTATAGTTGTGCAAGATCTGGCACAGCGCGAGGATCACTTATGGTCAAATCACCGAGGTATTTCTGGATAAGTGCAAGCAAATCATTTAGATCACTGTCGGGTGAATGCACATAGAACTCGGTGAATCTGGAACGCAGTCCCGGAGGAAGATCCCTCTTTCCAGCATCAGTTGCAGGGTTCATAGCACCGAAGATGCGGAACTCTGGGTGGCCGAAAACTCTCTCAACGTCACCTGCCTCGGAAAGAAGAACTGAGGGCGATCCTTCGCTGCCGTGGTGCAGCAAACTGGCAATATTTTCGAGAGTATCAGGAGAAGCCAGGTTCACCTCGTCAAGAAGCACCCATTCTCCATTCCTCAAGGCCCTCACGATCTTACCTTGAACGAAAGCGAAGGCGAACTTAGCATCGCCCTGAGCGACTTGGGCCTCGAAGTCGTTGAGCTGAGTGGCAAAGCTCTCCCATCTTTGGCGCAAGTGCTGATATTTGGGGGAGTCCAATTTACGCTTCTTGGATGGCTGCTCATCGCCATCGGCAGGTTGGGGATTGAAAACGCCGTTTGCAAGGCGAACAGCCTCCTGCCACAGAGTCACCAATCGAACCCAATTTGAGGAGGCAGCACTCTTGGAGATCGAAGACAAGAATTTCTGGTTCTTCTTGGCTGAGAATGTGAGTTCGAAGAGCTGTGTAAACTCATCCAGCATGGGAACTGCCATTGTACGGATGTTCACAGGCTTGAAACCACCCAAAAGGTCAGTGCTTTCACTCTGCTGAGACAGGTTTACTACGGTAAGCTTCTGGCGCATCAATGTTGCGAGGTGCTGTACGACTGTGGTCTTTCCAATACCGGTTTCTCCGACCAGCAAAACAGGCTCTGCCATCTGAATGGATGCAGCAACTTGCTCCATCAGACCAAGAGCGGCTCTGGTGGGAGCAAACCGTGAAGCTGCAGCAGCCATCTTCAGTGCAGATCCACTCGGTACCTTGACTTTATGGCAAATCTCACGACCGAGGACAATGCTGTTGTTTTTGTCCGTGTAGGTGGGTGTACGTTCCTCAAGACAGAATTGCGCTCGCTGCGGGGAGATCTGAAGCGCTTCAGCGACAACAGCTGCAAGGTTGCTTTGCATCGATTTCTCGGGAAGGTACTTAATGAAGACATCGACAACATCGAGGAATATCTCATCCTCGGTGCCCTCTGTTGTGGGCTCGTAGCCAGTCTTCGCGCCCATGCGCAGTAGACGATTGTGTAATCTGCTGCACAGTTTGATCAGATCACGGAATCCTGGGGTGCGACCCTGGGAGCCCTTGATGGCAAGGCTTCCATGGAACGCAGAGCATACACGGCCGTAGACATTCATTATGGTTGGAACACGAGATTCAAGCAGGGGGAACTTCTGCAGAATCACATCACGCATTTCATCCACGGGAAGAGAATTTACTTGAACTCTCTCCCAGAGCCTACTTCCAAGCATTGAGCTGTTTGGTGCAATTTCCTCGCCAGCGATGTTGTAAGATGACTTCATGGTTGCAATAATCTTGAAGCCTTCTGCGCACTTGATACGCTCTCTCCGGCTGGGAATGGTCAACTCCCCTCGCTCAATGATGGGGAGAATGAGGCCCATCACTTCCGAGGGGGCACGGTTAAGATCTTCAATCAAGACCCAGCGCCCTTCGCGGGCAGCTTTGGTCAATACACCGGGTTGCCAGGAAAACGACCCGGAAGCGGATGAAGTGGCATACATTCCAAGCAGACTCTTTGCATCTGTCTGCTCGTTCAGGTGAAGTGTGACCATAGATTCGGCCTGGCCCATTGTGGCCGCAATGTCGTTGATCAATGATGTTTTGCCAGAGTTGGGCAGACCAACTAGCAGAATGGGTTTGTGTCCGAGCAATGAGCCTGCAATCCGGCGCAAGTTTCCAACTGTGGTCGAGGTCTTCACGACAGATGTAGAGGTCGGAGGGGTATCTTTCAACCTAGGAATCAGAACTCCACAAATTTCTGCAGTCTTCGTGGTGAAGTATTCCTGTGTTCTCTCAACCAATGCCAGGGATTCAGATTCCATTCTAGAAGATCTCGCATCCCGAATGGTTTTTCCAAGAACATCCCAGCGTCGCTCCTCCCACAGCCCCAGCAAGCGGTAATCGATTGTAGCGCCTTCCCATTCTCCTTCAATGGATTCAGCTCCAGTGTTGACGCGGATCATCTTTTCGGTGGCCGCATCCGCGGCATGCATGTACAAAGCGAAGCATCGCACGGCGAGGTAGCGAGTCACTCGGTCTTGTGACTGAAAGAGGGACTGCAGTTGGAGTGGGGAAACGATGGGGGAGAATGTTTCCAGATCAAACGAGAGGAGTCGAAAGAGGGCGAGGAGCAATAGTCGAATACTATGTTGGTCCAACTGTAGCAGTGTTAATTCCTTTGACATGGCCAAAGCAGCCAAAGGTCCAGTCTGTGAAGAAGCATATTGACTGGCAAGCGACCGCAAATGCGGCGCAAAAGGTAAAATCTGCGCAAATGCCGCTAATATGTGAATGTAGTCTGCGTGTAAATCCGATTGAAGCCATCGAGCTGCAAGATCGACAAAAATCGGCTCGTAAAGCCTGAAAATGCTCGCTGTAAATTCGTTGTTCAATGCGCCAATCGCAAGCGCGTGGAGGTGTTGAGTCCCCGATGCAGTCCGAATGACAGTAGAGATTTCACTCGGAAACTGCTCGAGCAGCTCGGACTCTGTCAGAGTCCTCTCATAGACCGGCCTTTGATCCATGATTTCGGCCGTAAGAGAAGCTCTTAAGTGTAGTTTGAAAACAAGTGAAGAATTCCGCTTCTCTCCAACTTTTTTTTTCTGCCGCAACCTGTGGCGCAGCCCCGCCTGGCCTATCTACCGCCTTATCTGCGAAGCTTGCGCCACACTTGCGCGTCGAACAAAGCTGTCCCTCAAACGTTGCGACTGGGAGATGATCTCGCGGTCTATCTATTTTCATGATGCCATTCAATGGTCAGGCCTCAGGTAATGAGGACCAGTCGGGGTCACAATCAATAAACCGAGATGGGCCCGAAGTGAATAGGGAAGCCGAAGGGCTACATGAGCCGTTTGTACTCGAAGCTCCACCTTCTGATACAATACTGACCCTATGGTATCTTCAGAATATCCTTTAAACGGAAAACAAAACAGCGATCGCGATTCAGCCTGTCCAGTCTTCTCTCCCCTACCGCTGGCGGTTCGGACATTGGGTTCAGCTCTCCCGCGCCGCAAGGTGGACATAACGGAGACGTATCGCCCCTCGATCCTTATGCGCCAATCGGATTCAATGATGGCGCCGAGGGATCAAAAGAAGGTGGCCCATCAGACTGGTATGTCGAAGGGCCTGGCAGACGCGTGGGCTATGACGACTTTACCGCTATCGATTGGATTTACGAGTACACAAAAGAGAGACAGAGGAAACGACTTCTTTACTCAAGTGGCCAAGGGTTATTGGGACACGCCCGCCGGCTTCTTGATGGAAGCAATATTTGGTTGGTTTTGATTGCGACAGGTATCGCTGTAGGCATAATTGCTGCCTCAATCGATATTGCTACAGATTGGCTAGGTGATTTGAAAGCCGGATATTGCAAGAGTGGCAGTGGAGGTGGAAAATTCTACCTGAATAAGAGTTTCTGCTGCTGGGGGCTAGATGGTAGGTCATGTCTGTTCCCCCATAATCATCGGCCGCGGTACTCACTGCCGTACAGATTACTCAAAGTGTCTAGATTGGACACCTTGGGGGAATGCATTGGGCGCCAGCTCCAAAGGAGGAACATACACGGTTGGATACGTCTTCTACGTCGTTTTTTCGGTAGTTTCATCCAGGCGCTTCCTGCTCCGAGCTATGCTGACCATATCCAGGTCTTTTTTGCGGCATGTGCTTGCTTTTTGGTTAGGAACTATGCCATCTATGCTCGACACAGCGGAATTCCCGAAATCAAAACCATTCTTGGCGGCACTGTCATCCGACATTTCATGGGCCCATGGACCCTGGCTATCAAATCCCTAGGCCTGGTGAGTGCAGCCGCATCCTCTGAGAGGGATATTTACTCATCAATACCACAGTGTCTTTCTGTCGCATCAGGACTGTGGCTAGGTAAAGAAGGCCCACTTGTGCATGTTGCTTGCTGCTGTGCCAACATTCTGATGAAACCATTCGACAGCCTGAACGGTAATGAAGGTATGTTTACTATTCTGCATTCATACTACCCACGTACTCATATTGTAGCACGCAAACGAGAGGTTCTTTCGGCAGCTGCGGCCGCAGGTATCTCAGTCGCTTTCGGAGCGCCCATTGGAGGTGTGCTCTTTAGCTTGGAGGTATGATTGTTGTGAAATCCCTGCCCATCTGGAAGTTATTGACATTTGCAGCAACTATCATATTATTTCCCGGACAAGACTATGTGGCAAAGCTTTGTTTGCGCCATGGTTGCGGCTGTAACTTTGCAAGCCTTGAACCCGTTTCGAACAGGAAAGATTGTGCTCTACCAAGTCACATATACCCGAGGCTGGCATCGCTTTGAAATTATCCCATTCATCATACTAGGGATCATAGGGGGCCTCTACGGTGCATTCCTTATCCGACTCAACACAAGAATTGCCAAGTGGAGGCGAGCTCGGACCTCTTCCCGGCCGATTATTGAAGTAGTGATCGTGGCTCTGATCACGGCTTTGGTCAATTATCCCAATCATTTCATGCGAGCTCAGAACTCAGAGCTTGTCCAGTCCTTATTTGCGGAGTGTAACAGTGCCACGGTCGATCGATTCGGTCTTTGTGCTACAGGCTCTGCCTCTATCGGCGTGGCAATCTACCTCGTGGTGGCTGCACTGCTTGCATTTTTCTTGGCCTCGTTGACCTTTGGCCTCGAGATCCCTGCGGGTATCATTCTCCCTTCAGTTGCCATCGGTGCCCTTTATGGCCGAGCTTTGGGTATCATAGTTCGCATGTGGCAAGAAGCTTACCCGAAGGCTTTTCTGTTTGCAAAATGCGAGCCAGATATTCCGTGTGTCACGCCTGGACTGTACGCCATTATTGGCGCTGCCGCTGCCCTTGGTGGTGCGACTCGAATGACTTTGTCTATTGTTGTAATCATGTTCGAGTTGACTGGTGCATTGACATATGTCATTCCAATCATGATCGCTGTGATGCTGTCCAAGTGGTGCGGTGACATCTTTGGCAAACGAGGTATCTACGAATCATGGATTCGATTGAACGAGTACCCATTCCTCGATCATCGTGATGATACTATGCCACCAGATGTATCGGCCCATCGGGTCATGACAACAGTGGATGATATCAGCATTATCACCGCGACTGGCCACACGATCTCTTCTATCCGCACTCTGCTCGCGAATACCACGTATCGTGGGTTCCCTGTTGTCTCTGAAACTTCAAGTCCTATTCTTGTGGGGTATATCACTCGCAATGAGCTTTCTTTTGCTCTAAAGTATTCTACCTCACCTTCCACTCGCAATCTCTCCGATGAGACACAGGTTTTCTTTTCCCACCAACCATTCGCGGACCCCGTTGATACGCTTGATCTGCGACCTTGGATGGATCAAACGCCCATCACGTTGAACAGTAACATCACGTTCTTAATCGTGCTTCGAATGTTCCAGCGCCTGGGCTTACGTTATGTGCTTTTTGCCAATAAGGGCATTCTGCAAGGGTTGTTGACCAAAAAGGACGTTTGGTCAGTGCTCAACGGTGTCGAATTTCGCCGAGAAGAATCCCTTCGAGATGAGGAGTTCCAACGTTCTGAGATCCATCACGCCGCCGAGGAAGTTGGACTACTCGATGGCAACGATAGGTCTAGCATCGGCAGTTCTTTAAGGCGGGAATCTCTTTGACATTTTCTGCCATCTCTTGTATATTTGGTCTTCAATTTTCTACATGGTCAGCAAAAAATATCGCAATGCTAGTAGATTGCCCTTTCCGCGACAAAAGGAGAGAAATATGTAGTGAATATATTCAGGGTGTAAAGGGCGACCCCTGACCCTAGGCACCTGGGCAGCTGTGGCATCACTATATTGAATGCCCGGAGCAACTGAAGTGAAGGCATTGAAGTGAAGAAACGTCCAGTAAAACGCCGAGCCTTTTCACTGCGTTCATCTCCAGGCCCTGGGGGTTCCCCACATCCCATTCCCGCGGTCCTTTGTCATCTAAGCTCACCGCCCTGCCCCCCACCTATCAGGATACGCGATGGCTACTCACAAAGATTCTCCAAGCCTTGAGCGAACGAGCAACAAGATGATGATCGATCCTTTTGAGGTGCGCATGCGCTTCACAACACAGCTGCAGCACCTGAGCGCAGCTGTCACCCCTGCCCAAAAGGCCGCTCATTATGCACTCAAGTATCGCGACCTTGATGAGGACCTCCACTCATGCATCCTGGAGCAGCTCGAACGAGTAAGCCACAATCAATTGAGCCCCATCTCATGCTTACAATGATTTACTCAGAACAACATGAACAACCGGGCCAACATTATGTATTTCATCGAACATCTCTGCGAAATGGCCATCAAAGAAAACCACCCTCCATACGTGCGCATGATGCAACGCGATATTCTTCGTGTGGTGGACTCGGTCGTTCCTCCAGATGGCACCGGCGCGGCCAATGTCAAGCATGTCCGTCATGTATTAAATGGTCTCCAGGCCAAGGGGGTTCTCGGGACCGAGACCGTGGCCGAAATCGACGCCGCTTTGAAAGACCGTGAATCAGACCCCTCGCACATGGATCTCGAACACGAGGGAGGCACCGAGGATGGTAGCAAACCCAAGCCTGAAAAGCCACAGCTGCGCCTTGATAGGAAGCAGATCGAACAACGCATCGAGGAGGATCGTGAGCGCAACAAGCGGCTGCGTGAGAGCATGTGGGCCATGACTGGTAGCGACCGTGACGAATATAACCAAATGTGGGACGAGCTTAGTCCAATTGGTGAGGATGACTTCATTCGATCGCGGGAGGAGGCGATTGAACGCGCCGAGTGTGCTCGCAAGCACGTGGAATTTTACAAGAACCTTTATGGCATCAAAGATTAATTGTGGCGGGAACCAATTGTCTACGGATTTGCATCATCTTCGGAGTTTTGGCTCATTCTGCCGGTGTTCGTCGGTGTTCATGGTGTTTGGAAGCGCTTTCATCTTCTGGGAAACATTGGGTTCATGGCATTGAAGAATCGTCCAGAGTAGTACATCAAAAATGAATACTTTTCCTTCAGGTTCGTCATGGGCGGAGAATGAAGCAGGGTGCTTCGTTCCGACAACCTTCGATCTGTCTAAATTGATGCATCAATAGAATCTCCTTGAGAAGCTGCTCACCTGGGCAGTGGTCATTGCAAGGTTGGCAGAATGTCGATCTCTATTCCGTGCAGCTCAGGCTAATACTCAGGTGCGGACCCCGGGATCTTCCAATGCACTTCATTTGATTCCCATCCGACCTCGGGAGGCCTCCGAAGGTTGATAGAAGAGATGAATGCCGGGTAAGTCCTATTCCCGCACGATTGGTATGCCGACGCTATACTGTAACAGTACTAGACTCCGCAGTTGACGATCAGTGGGTCTATCCAGGCAATGGGGGGAAACATCATGGATCGATTGCAGACCTTGAGGGAAATCGGAGATAAGTACTAATTGCGGGACAGTCTCCAGGGAATATACTCAAGCCTGGGAACTACATAGGTATGCCCAGGTGCCGTACGTCCTCATTTCAGCAGGTCTGATTGTATTTGAGTGGCTTTGTACCTACCTAGGTATACCTAGGTAGGTAGGTATATATATCCCGAGGTCTAACTAGTAATTCTACCAATTCTAAACGGTTCGATGTTATATATGTCCAATCCCGGACGGAGAATATCCTTCAACGGATGAATGGAATGAAAAAAATTAAGGTTACTAGGCAGTATTGCCCCATTCCAAGTTTTACAGTCGTACAAGTTTGATCTGAAAGGATTAAAGATTTCAAGATTCACCTGAGTATGGATAACCTGAAACATTGGAAGTGGTTGAGCAACCTTGAAGACGCACTTGAACCTGGGCTACCTGGCCAGCGTTTCTATTAGCTTCGGTGTCCATGGATGCAAAGCCGAGTCGCACGCGTCATCATCGTTAGCTTGTATAGGATATATAGCGCTGATCTACATGTTATGCATAGACTACCTCCGGAATCCAGCCCCTAATATTGCCCAGTGGAATAGAAATATAAAAGTAGAGCCTACCTAGGTACCAATGGAAGAATCCACCTGGCCAAACTTGGAACAACACTAAAGATACTCGAGCCTTGAATCACCCCAAGATCCTTCCATTTTTTCATATCCCAGCAGCCTTGAAAAGTTTGAGTTGACGATGGTTTTGTTCAAAGAGGCTACCGCTGCTTTGGCAGCAATTGGTCTTTTCAGTCAATCAACTATTGCCTCGACAAGTACCTCGCTTCCAACACCCGAGTTAATTGACTTCGACGACGATGGTGTGGTTGGCGGCCTTTACCGACCAGCGACAGCGAGTGGAAGATCCCGTATCGCAGTTTATGTGATGCATGCAGAGCAAGATTACCTATCATTCTCAGCCTGTACCGAGCTGCCCAAGCGAGGATTCACAACTTTCTGTGCAAACAATGATGCTAGCAAGAGCGGATACATGTCTGATCTCAATTTTGAAGACATGATGGCCGATGTGAACCAAGGAATGAACTACCTTCGCAATTTGAGCGATATTGATCAAGTCGTCATCCTGGGACACAGCGGTGGTGGAGCTATGATGGCCGCGTACCAAAATATTGCAGAGAATGGTGCTTCTGCTTGCCAGGGATCGGAGAAAATCTATCCATGCTCTGATGCGATGGATAATCTCGAGGCCGCCGACGGTCTCATTTTGATCGATGCAAACTATGGTATCTCAACCATGGCGCTCTTGAGTTTGAACCCGGCCATTATCCATGAGTTCACAGGCTCCGAGATCAACCAGTCTCTCAACCTTTTCAACACGACAAATGGATTCCGCAACAATACCAGGTCCAGATACACAGCCGAGTTCAAGAAGAACTTCCAGACTGGTGTGGTGGCCCGAAACAATCGCATTCTCAAGTATGCCCAGCATAGAATGGCCGAAATTGAAGCTGGAAATGGAACTTTTGGGGACGACGAGCCTTTCACTATCTTGGACTCATTGTATACCGGCTTCAACAACAAGTTCTTCGCCCAGGATACACGCTATCTGGCCCACACCACCCATGCTTGGCCATTACTGCACAAGAATGGAACTACCCGGCAAATTGTTCCGTCCGTTCGAGTTGCGAGCAATTTCGATAGCCTTGCAACCGATTTCCAAGACGGTGCCCTTAAGACGACCATCAAGCGGTACCTATCAACATTCGCCATCCGGGTCAATGAGAATTTTGCATACAAGCCTGATGGACTCGAGGGCATTGATTATGCCTCTAGTCAACTAGCACCTGCTGCTTCAATCAGGGGTGTGACGGTTCCCCTGCTCACAATGGGAAACACTGGCCATTGGGAATATTTGAATGCGGAGAAGCTTCACCTCAATGCTGGCAGCAATGACTCTTCTATTGCCTTTGTTGAGGGTGCCCAGCATACGCTGGAAACATGTACTGCCTGCGAGTCTTACCCCGGACAGTTTGGAAATACCATGAATACAGCCTATAACCACATGGAGCAGTGGCTCGGGAAGAAGGGGCGTTTTCTCTAGGACGGTGTCATGAGTCCTCACATCCAAGGTTGATGGAAATCAGATCGCCCAAGCACTAATGAGACTGCCCTGCATTATTATTGCGCTTCAGAATTGCTATTTTTGTTGCAAATGAAGACTCATATGAAGTGGCTGCCTTTAGCGATCCAGGATTTTGGTGTGGAATATTACCATGTAGACCTTGAAGCATTTTCTATTGCCAAAACTAGAAGATTTCTCGATGTGATTGAATGTTAACTATACTTCAATCTCATTAGAGGGCCATACCTCCAGTGCTCCAGACAGATAGGGCTAAATTATGGCTTACTAACCGAACCCCGACCGAGGGTAGCCAATGAGAACGCGTTTCTCAGATCATCTTCACGCGACGGTACCGCGTCATGGTACTGAGATTCCACCACCGCGATGTCGACGGATTCGGAGTCGGATTACTTTGACGATGACGACTTTGTAGTGCCCTCAACCCCGGGTGGACATCCCCGGCCTTCGAAACGCCGCCGCGTGGAAACTGAACGAGATGAAGACGGCTCTTCGATTGATTCATTCTCGGATGATGATTTGCCAGCGCAGCGACGAGATTCACCTATCCGTTTTCAAGATCACCCAGGCCGCTCCAAGAACAAGAGTTGTGTATTGAACAACGCCCGGGTCGAGAATGAAATGTTCGTCACCCAACTCACACAGCCATCTTCGAGCCCCGAACGAATACGAGGCCCGCGATGGCAGAAGCCCAGCGCCAAACCCCCTCCGCCGAAATTCGACCAACCCTCCGGACAAGGTGGTGGACAGAGAGCACAAGATCCCCAGGATGACGATGGGATGAGGGCCGCGATCGCAGCTTCCTTAAATTCATTCGAGGAAGAGCAGACCAACAGAGGAAGCTTCCAACAGCGGGGCACCTCAAGCGGTGATCTGTCGAGACATGCATTCAACCAACCGGCACAGGTGGATGACCTGGCGGATGATCCGTTTGACCTTGCGAATATACCCGATGGTGCATTTGATTCTTCCCCGTCATCGTCACCAATAGCAAGACCAGCACAGCCTGCTCCTCCTTCGCAGATAAGCCAGCCTAGAGCTCCAATTCGACAGCCACCTTTAAGACAAAGTACACTTTACGGCATGATCGCGGCAGATCCAGAACCCTCAGAAGCACAGCAAGACGTGGGCCCTCCCCAGAAAGCCGAGCCACCCACGCATCACAAACTTGTGAAAAGTGCCATGGACACATGGATCTTTCCTACAAATTTGGGCAAGACCAGAGACTATCAATTTAATATCACCCAGGCAGGTCTATTTCGCAACTTACTCGTGGCTCTGCCGACTGGTCTGGGAAAGACATTCATTGCTGCCACCATCATGCTCAACTGGTTTCGCTGGACAGAAGACTCGCAAATCATATTTGTCGCGCCCACAAAGCCCTTGGTCTCCCAGCAAGTATCTGCTTGTCTCGATATCGCAGGAATACCACGCTCGGCATCAACTATGCTCACAGGAGGTGCATCGCCAGGGATTCGTGCCGAAGAGTGGAAAGCGAAGAGAGTATTCTTCATGACGCCTCAAACTCTGATCAACGACTTGAAGACCGGAATCGCTGACCCAAAGCGAATTGTCTTGTTGGTCGTTGACGAAGCCCACCGTGCGACAGGCGCATACGCATATGTTGAGGTTGTCAAATTTCTTCGGCGTTTCAACAACAGCTTTCGTGTTCTGGCCCTTACTGCGACTCCGGGATCAACAGTTGAATCCGTCCAAGAGGTCATCGATGGTCTGGACATCGCACGCGTTGAGATCCGCACGGAAAACTCAATAGACATTCGCGACTATGTCTATGACCGCAACATCGAAACTGAAACATTTGAGAACTCGGACGAAATGATCTTTTGTATGGACCTCATGTCTGCGGCTTTGAAACCCCTACTCGATCAACTCCATACCCTTAATGCATACTGGGGACGAGACCCCATGGGGCTCACTGCATTTGGTCTTACAAAAGCAAGACAACAGTGGATGCTATCTGACGCTGGCCGGAATGCCAATTTTGGCCTCAAGGGCAAGGTGAACGCCATATTCACGGTCCTTGCTAGCTTGGCCCATGCAATCGATCTGTTAAAGTACCATGGAATCGTGCCCTTCTACCGGCATATCCTTCATTTCAAGTCCGGAATGGAGGGACAGAAGGGCGGAGGCGGCAAATACCAAAAGCAAGTTGTGCAGCATGAGAGCTTCAAAAAACTGATGGGCCACGTTGATCCTTGGAGCAAAAACCCTGAATTTATTGGCCATCCAAAGCTGGAATATCTGAAGTCAGTCATCCTGAACCACTTCATGGACAGGGGTGAAGGCAAGGAGACCACCGAAGGAACCACCCAACCTGCAACACGCGTTATGATATTTGTTCATTTCCGTGACAGCGCCGAAGAGGTCACCAGAGTGCTCAAAAGATATGAGCCCATGATCCGACCCCATGTTTTTGTGGGTCAGTCCAGCGCCAAAGGCTCTGAGGGCATGGATCAAAAGACTCAACTGCAAATCATTGAGAATTTCAAGAAGGGAACGTTCAACACAATTGTTGCTACCTCGATTGGTGAAGAAGGATTGGATATTGGAGAAGTTGATCTCATTGTGTGTTACGACTCGTCCGCTTCGCCCATTCGAATGCTGCAGCGTATGGGTCGAACAGGTCGTAAGCGGGCTGGTAACATTACTCTGTTGTTGATGAAAGGCAAAGAAGAAGACTCTTTCATCAAGGCGAAAGATAACTACGAAAAGATGCAACAAATGATCGCCAGTGGATCGCGGTTTACATTCCACCACGACCGCTCCGCCCGTATCTTGCCTGCAGGCATACGTCCAGTGCCGGATAAGCGACAAATTGACATCCCTCCGGAGAATTCACAACAAGAACTCCCTGAGCCCAAACGCAGGGGAAGAGCACCAAAGCGACCACCAAAGGTTTTCCACATGCCAGATGGCGTGGAAACTGGATTCACTCGAGCCTCAACCTTGGATGGGGACAAGTCCAAGAAAGCCGCGCCCAAGAAGACTGCACCCAAGAAAGCTGCCGTTTCTCAAAAGCGAGCCCGAACACCTACACCTGAGCCGGTCGAGGTTCCATCTCTCGACGATGTAATTCTCAGCGCGGACGCGCAAAAAGACCTAGAAAGGTTTTACCAGAACGTCGGCGACACATCTCCGCAAATCATTCGATTTCCTCGCAATGATGCTTTTCCAAACTTACAACTTGCCCAAAGGCCTACGGCTAATGTCGCGCATGGTTCGCACACACGGCGCATGGTAGCTGCATTGAAAAAGATGGACCAGACCGATGCTAGCTGTGATCGTCAATTCAAGGACATCCTCGCTCGCGAACCCCCAGCCTCGGATAAATCTAGCCTCTTATACGAAGAGCCTGCAAAGAAGCCACGAGGTGTGGCCAGACAACCGAAAACACCTTCCAAACCAAGTATTAAACACATACCAGCGCAAGACCCTGCGAACCCTGCTGGCGGGGAGGTCCATTCGCTATTGCCTCCTGCCCCTGAACGAAGGACCATGGGTTTTGGCCTGGACGATGATTTTGACGACGATTTTGATCTTGATATGCTTGATCCCAGCGAGTTGTTCAGCAGTGCTCGCAAGAAACTGTGAGGGCAAAGCTGCTATTTGGGACTGGCGATGCATATGTGCGATATCTTCATAGATAGATTCTAGATCAAATGGTCTATTTCGGGTACAAGGCACGGTGTACTCCGTAGCTCGCTTCAGGTTCTGTTTAAACTGTATCTGTTAGTTCCGAGCGTAGTGTCTTGATTTAATATGGTGCATGTAAAAGATGGACAAGTTTGGTGCTTTGCAGCTATCAATTTCTTCTTGTATTCCATTCTAGCATAGGAAGGGCAAGCCCCCAACTGCCTAAAACCAAGTAAATCGAAAACCTCCATCTATCAAAGAACTCCAAGCATGGGGCTGGGGGTGTATTTGGGTATTTGTGGTTGTAAAAGGATGTCAAACGAGAAGAATAACCCGAGAGAGCAAACAGGACTGAAAACCATCGCGAAACGGGATGATTTCATGCATGTGAGGATTTAGTATGTGTGGATAGTGGCTAGGTAAAGCAAAAGGGAAAAAAACAAGCACCGGCTCCAAGCGCCGCAAGGGCACATCTACATCAATGCAAAGAGGGACTAAATGAGTGTATCATGATCAAACACGGTCGCGGGCAAAGTCGAGAACTTCGCAGTCGTCTTCGAAAAAGCCATCGTCGGCCTTGAGGGGAGTTGAGTGTCTCTTCTTCCGGCGGGTGGTGATCACGACTTCTTCGACGTTACCCGTGCTATTGCCGAGAGTGATGAGGTTTTCTATCTCACCACCGGCGCCAAGTGAGTTACCGTGAATAGCGGCATTCTCGTCTTCGTCGTCTCCGTGATCATCGCTGCTACTGTTGAAAGACCTCAGGTGAACTTTCGTCATGGGGATATCATTGCCGAAAACCCATGGGCTATTCGGCTCGCTTCCTTCACTGCTGGTAGAAAACACACTCAGACCTACTCTTTGGTCTGTGTGGAAAGGCTGATAAGGAGTGTTGGTTTCAATCTCGGCCTGCGAGAGAGGTTGGCAGAGTGGTCGGGAGGTAGAGGGCTGAGAACTGGCCGAAGGCAGAACCAGAGTGGCGTGAACTGCGAGATCTGGATCAAAGGTAGCCATAGGTGCTGGGCCACACGGGCCTTGCAGGTTGGCAGGTAGCTTAATCTGAGATTCTTTGCCGCCCACGACAGAGTGAGGTTGGCGGCTTTTCTGGCCCGAGACAGAAGCACGTTTCAGGCGATAAAGCTTGAAAAACCCGCCATCTACAACGCCCAGGAAGATCGAACCTTTGCTGCAGATCCAGGTCACTCGCGAGGACGCCGGGTCTCGAGCGAGGCCTGATAGATGCAGACGGTTCTCACCAACGTGGCGCAAGGTATTGACCGTTCCTGTAGCCGCACCCATGGACTTACTTAGGCCAGCGGCGACGACCTTTCCACTCTTCACGCTAGCGGCGGATGGAAGCGCAAATCCACTCATATTGGGGAAAGCAGCCCCAGTAGACGGAACACGACCCCGCACGGCGGAGAAGAAAGGTTGTGCCTTGCCACCTACTAGTTTCATAGCTGCCGACAATGAGCTTCCGCCAGCCGGCTCACTGGCTAAGTCCTCTGAAACAGAGTCAGTAGGTGGCGCTTTAGTTGCTGTAGGCTTGCCGCGTCGGAACGGAGGCCACTGGAAAGCACTGCGAGGTAAATCGAACACGTGAACAGTGCCTTTGCGTGTAATGACGGCCAATCGGTCACCCGTAGGCGCCGTCCAGATCACATCAACGATACTGGATGTAGTAAGGCGTGCGTATCTAGCAATCTGTCGCACATTGGGATTTTGACCGGTTTGGTCATCGGCCATAAAAGCCGTCGATCGGCAATGCTTGAGTTGCATCAGATCCCACACATATTGAACGTCGCCCTTCTTGCTGGCTGTGAAAAGCATCAAACCATTTGGCGACAACGATAAGAAGCTGCAACCGTTGGGTACCTGGAAAGTTGAGACGGGGTGGGCAAAAGCATTTCGGATATCGCTACCGTCTTCAAACCGTCTTAGGTCGATGATAGACACAGTGTCAGGCTCAGATGGTGCGGCCTGTGTGTCATGGCCATGTGTAGGTGGAAACAGCCCATATCCTTGGGCTTGGGGGTCGGGGCCTGGAGGTAGCCGGCGGGATGAGGTGCCTCCTGCCTGTTGGGCATTCCAGTAGTTGTTCCATGCCTGCATACCTTGGTCGCCCATCCAGCGGGCACCCCTCACAAGCTCTTGGGCAACCCCTCTTGCCATTTTATCCAGGAAGCTTTCACCCTCACCAACATCAGTAGCACACGAGACTGATGGCACCGCAGGAGGACTGCGGGTTTCAATGCCTGGGGCTTTGACGTGATACAAGCTTGATGGTACAGTTCCATGTATCGATCCCCGGGAGGATGAGGATGGGGGAGCAAAAGCCAGCCATCTTCCTTGAACGGCCAGGATAGGTCGCTCAAGAATGGAAGCACGGTGCGGAGAATCCGAGCGAGTTCCCTCTGGATCGGTAGTCGAGCTTGAAGAAGTCGAGTAGCGACGAGTTCCTTGCGACTGCACTCCAGTCCAGGTCTTACCCAAGCACTGGTAAGTTCCATCCTGAGGCGATAGAGCATGTCTATAGACATACACTTCACCGCTGACACCTGAAGCGAGAACGACATACGCCCCCGAGGTGTAAAGTTTCAGACTGCCCACTGCTGGGGGCGCAAAGGACGGAAGACCTGGCAGGGTATCCAGACACGGCACAGGTTTACTTGTAAATAAAGTGGAAACATGTTCGCCAGTCCGGAAGGAGTAAACCTCGACTCGAGTCTGGTAAAACTTAGGTTCGTCCTTCCCACGTTTATCGTTGGAGGGACCTCGGATCATGGAGGGGGCAATCTCGTTTGCGTCCGATGTTGCGGACGACACACGGCCTTCTTCCTCAGCTGGAGGTTGCGGGCCGTGAACTACAACAGCCACGTGGGGCCTAGATGACGCGAAAGGATCACTCGAAGAGTGACTAGTCAGAAGTTTCGCTTCAATCACACGACCATTCAGCCCGGTGATTTGACCAACGAGTCGAGTTCGACGGTCCTCGATAGCAAGAATCTCTATTCCGCCATCGGTACCAACCAGCAATACATTCACACCTGTTCGCGATGCTTTGGGTGATAAGTTGGGCAACGTATCAAAGCTGCAGAACGTGTAATTGCCGTCGGTAAGTGATCGGTTCTGATTCGGAAGAATATCAATTTCTGGGGCTCCGAAGAAATGAGCCTGCGGAAGATGAGGGAGAGGATGCGGGTTGCTCATGGGGCTTCCGTAGGAGTGGCTCTTTCTTCTGTCCACAGATTGTTGCCTCGAATGCATGTTGCTTCGGTAACCATTGCCATAGCCATTCCCGTAGCTAGATGGTAAAGTCCGAGGTTGAGGCGATGCCGAGGAAGGATGAATGAAGCCACGCTCTTGGATAGTGGGGAAGTTCAGAGGTGACGCATTGGGAATCTCCCCATCCATAAGGTCGGTGGGAGGACTCTTTCCATAGGGCACAGATTGGGCCCAGGTATCGGTGCGAGTAGTGAAGTCGTCACCTGCGGGCTCATCGAGTGAATCAAGAGCACCCAGGGCAGGCGACGTGATAGGGGGGTTTACATGTTCAATAGGGGGCTCAGGGGGAGGCGGAGATCCAGGCTTGGGTTCAGGTACGATTTGAAGCTCTGGTTCTGGCTCTGGTTCAAGTTCCCCCGGTGCTTGCTCGGGCTCGGGCTCGGGCTCGGGGCTTGGAAAGGATGACTCCGCCGGGGGCGGAGGGAACGCCGGGGTACTGTCCATGTAATCACGCGTCAATGGCGCGCGTTCATCAGAGAGGCAATCACCGGGTACATACTCATCCGGTGGGGTCTCTGCTGCTGCCTTGGCTGCCTTAGCCTTTTTACTTTTCTTCTTTTTGCTCTTCCCGCTTGGTTCATGCTCTGGAATGGGCCTGGGCTGTTCCGGGGTGAAGGGACTATCGTCTTCGAGAGACCGGCTGTGCTGGCGGATGAGGTCGTCAGGTGCTGCCGGGGGCATTCAAAAGATGATGCCTCGGGAAGAGGCAGAGGAGAAGTCAAGGAATGAGACCGCTCTCCGGACCTTGCTTTGGTCTGAGAACGGGAGGGTTGGTATCGCCACGAGAATTGCCACCGGGTCCTCGGTATCACGAATCGGAGGCCTGCCAAAGATGTCAGTCATAAATTCACATCGGTGAGGGTACAAACATGCAGGCATGCACATACCTGGATAAATGATGATCCAAACCTGGGGAAATGAAGGTGGTCTGCAAGCACCACCTGGGGCGTATCTAGAGCGGAGATCAACTGGGCACTCTACCTAGGTAGACCCGCGGGGAAGGGTTGATAAGAGATAAACACGTTCCAGCAGCCTGAGAAAGTCCCAGCTGCAGTATCAAGAGTAATCCAAAGGTAACTTGCATTCACGCAAGTTGAAGAGTATGAATGAGTCAAGAGGGAAGAGGAGTGATGATATGGTTCGCGATAAGAAGAGGGGCTGACCCCGGGTCATCAGTCAGGTACGGGGCTATTAGGGATGAGAATAAGGGGGGGGGGGGGGGGGGGGGGGGGGGCCGGGGGGGGGGGGGGGGGGGGGGGGGGGGAGGGGGGAGAGATAGGAAAGGGGAGGGGTTTATTCTTTTTTTCTGGAGTGAGGGGGAAGAAGAAAAA